GTTTGGGATTGCTTTTTTTGGCCAAAAACCTGCTTAACTTTAAAGTTAAGCAGTTTAAGGTGTTTGGTAAAAATAAAATATCCTGCTTATTTTAAAAGCAATGGTCTTTTGACAGCAGCTTTTAAAAGCAACCTCGGGGTTGCTTTTTAAAGCTGCTTTTAATTGAAGCAGCACGCTCCCTTTAATGAAATTTTCGCAATTCCACAAATACCCTTATTAGGTTAGAAATCTATCCTCACGTATTTCTCTCAAATATGCAGACACCAAAGTTCATCTTCACGTAGCCTCCCAAGTTTCTTCACGTAGCCTCCCAAGTTTGGAGACAACCATTCGCTCAATCTCTCTCAATCTCTTTGACAAGGTTAGATTCTTCAATCTCTCAAACTTTTTATATACGTGCTGCTCTTGTTTTTTTGTTTTGTTTTGTTTTTTTTTTTCCTACTGGTTGTCTATGGTTTCTACTAGTTTTATATACGTCCAGATTTTTTCTACTGGTTGTCCATGGTTTCTATTGGTTTTATATGTCCAGATTTTGTCTATTGGTTGTCCATAGTTTCTTTAAGCATAAAGGTGTCCATGCCAGGAAGTTACAAAGGAGAAATATACATTCTTGTTCCAAGCCTCGAATGGGGCCAAATAAATTTGTATTTGCTTCCATCTTAGTATCTTATCCTCTGTATAAATTCTGGCTCTATAGAAATTCAGCTATTATTGAGCTTATATGTACCCCTCAACTCATTGAGCATTGAAAAAAGGAACCGTCCTAAACTTATTACCGGAACCTTGACCCTTTTCATGTATCTAGAGCTCTGTTATGTCATTGTCATCTACGATTTTAGGGTCTTCTTGAATATCTCCACAAGCTAAGAGCCAAAACTGTGAGGCCAGCAATGCCAATCAAAATCTGTTACTACCAGAAAAACTAATTTGTAATATAGCTGCTCTAAATTTTACGAATAATTTGAGATAATTCAAAACTGCAGACCCAACTAGTTTTGCTGCAAACTTTTAATTCCCTTTATTTCTTTGGCTTCCATTAATCTTTTGTGAATAAATATCAAAACTGCAGACCCAAAAAATAAGGGAAAAATATATGGGAGTGTGTTTGAATCCTGGGCACCTTCATTTGGTGTACTTCCAACTCAGATTAGTAAAAAGCACTTTCAGCATCATGTCTATTTTAGTCATTATAAATAGTTACAGCACTTTTACGGTAAAATTTACCAAACGCTTTGACACTGCTTTTCATACTCACAGCACTTTTAAAATTACAGTTTACCAAACGTTTAACTGCTTTACTTTACAGCTGATTCTTTTTAAAGCACAGCAGAAGCAGTTTTTTTTTAAAGCGGCAGCAATCCCAAACTAGGCCTAAAAGGGAAAGCATAAATCAGATCAAGCAAGCATATTATCATTGAAACATTAGTGTGCACCATTTTTATTTAGAACCGCTAATAATATCACGAGCAACTTACTTTTAAATATATTCAGTTCCATCTCCTTGAACTATTAATAAAAAAGAAATACTTAGATTCAACAATTATAATCAGGCCGCTTCTGTTCATCTAGTGATTAGTGATTTTCTTTTAATTAAATTATAAAAATATTAGAAAAAAAAAAAAAAAAAAAAGAAAAAAAAAAAAGTCGTTTAAGAAACATAATTTATTTTTGCACGAAATGAAAGCAAGCAAGTTGGCATTTCTTAACTCCTAGTCACATTCGCATAAAAATGAAAAAACTCTTTGTCCCATTTGCCAATCCATAATTTTTTATTGAATTGCAAATTAGTCCCTCGAAGATTCCTTTGGGTTTTTTCCTTTAATTTTTATATTCTGCTTTATTTATTAAAACACTACAAACTTATATTGCATGTCAGTCAACGCAGTGGCCATGACTGCTTTTTAAAATTTCACCACAGCTGTTTTTACACATGCAGCAACACAATGTTTATATATATATAGTTCGTTCACATCACCAAATATATATCCAATTATATATAATTGGTTTACATCATTGTCTTGGTCACCTTTGTTTTATCCTTGAATAAAAAAGTAATAAAAGGAATACCCAAAGCTACGAAGACAAAATTGGTTATTTTTCCATAATAAAAAATTTGCACGAGCATTCAAACCCTGTAAATCTAAATTGTTGTTTATCTTTCAATTACAAAAGTGTATTAGAATAAACTGTGATTTTTGTATCCAGAATAACTTTTCCTTTTTTTCTTTTTTTTTGAGGTGCTCAATTGTGAAATTTCTGTATTACAATATATGTTTTTCCATGTCTTAGAACTTAGAAGGGGTTAGAAAAAGAGCAAATCAGTCAAGGCCACTTTAGACTCGGTGTGAACTCTGTCGTCAATCAAATAATCTGTCATGGGACACTACTGTTTGTTTCAGCGGTACACTAGTGAAATACATTTTACTCCTCGTCGTCCACCGACGTAACGACATTACTTTTTCTCAATTGTTGTAATGTATTTCACGAGATATTTCTTGACACAATATCGGTTATTTCAAATCAACTACATCAATATGCGCATGTGGAGAAAGAAAGTGCGTTGATATGATGAAAAGAAAAAAAAATATATTTATCTTGTATTGGGCTATGAAAATCAACATTTGAATGGAATTGAATATTTAATTCACGTTGACCATGAAAAATTGCAGGACCATGATCATGGAAATGAAGATTTAATTAGTGTTGATCATGGAAATGAAGATGAATTATTGGCCATGATTACCGATTATTGATTACCTAAATTTGTTATTGATCTCAATGAGCCTGCTTCCTATCAAGACCTGCACCTTGTCGAGTTTCTTGAAGTATGTTTCCAACGACAAAGATAAACGAAAAAAATCTTCCAACGCCCCTTTCAAGTTGCATGTCTCATCAAACAGAAACTTGGACGAAGTCAATGGGTGCCACCGATGGACTTCTTTCATATTCCAGAAATGATTTTAGCGAACAAGACCGCCACCAAAAGGTCGACTATGCCCGTGGCTAGTTTCCTAGTTGTGGTACCGCGATCCCAAAACCAACTGTTACCCTTTATCTTAAACCACTTTTTCAAAGTTTATGGTTTGATGGGATGTGCAAGGGCATTGGAAGATTTTTTTCGTTAATCTGGGTCGTTGGTTACATACTTCAAAAGAAACTCAACAATGTCCAGGTCTTCATAGGAAGCAGGCTCATTCAGATCAGCAACAATTTTTGGGAATGAAAACAAGAAGGGGCCTTTCTCTTAGCCTTTCACTTAAAGAAGAATACATATATGAGCATATTTGAAAATTTACCCTATTTTATTTGACTCAAAGAGTTTATATTTCCCACTTAGGCAATGGTTGATTGTTGATTGTGTTTGGAACCAATCATTATAGGTACAAAGTTCTTGGAAAAGTAACTGTCGAATTTTACAGATAAACCCTAATCAAGCAAATTGAATAAAATTCTAGTAAAAATACAACAAAAACAAAAAATTATCAGAAAAAGTAATTCTTCCGTCTTGCAATTGCACCTCCGTCAGTGCTCGTTGCGTTGTTCATTTTGGGCACAAAGTAATACGAAAACTTCTCTACGTTGATTAGAGTTGAACATGACGAGCAGTGTGTACTTATTAAAATTATATATATATATATTTTTTTCATAATTCAATATATTCTTTTTGGTCATTTTATATTAGAATAAATTAGTAATTCAATAAATAATTTGAAATTTGCAAAGAAGAGATTGAGTAAACTATGGAGTTGATATCCAATAATATAAATACAAATATATATATATATATATTGTTGTTGTAAAAAAGGTGATTTGTTGTGGGGTAGAATCTGAATTGGGTTTTCATCTTTAAGTGGATTATGAGGAACTGGGTACGGGCTTGCTACAACTTATTGTTTTCTTTTTGTCCATGGCGGGCTACACGTATTTCTGAGCAGTTTAGGGGCACATTGTTCTTTTTGGCCCATTGGCAACTCAGATGAAATTGGGTTGAATTACGACCCAACTCAAAGTACAAACGACATGTCGTTTACAAAAGATACTTCAATTCAATCACAACTAAAACGCGATGGTTTGCATAAGATCCATGCTGAACCAGTTGCAAATTATAGCCTAGTGCCCGTTCGACCTTAACCCAAATGTACAGAGAAAACTACCTTTATTACTAACAAACACAAACAATTCAACCTCCTTTACAATACTAACTAAACTCCTAATATAATCAATTAATTGCTAATGCAAACGACTAAAACACCCTTAGCATCCTATCATTACCAAATGATGGGAAGGTTGCTATCGATGCAAATCAAGTGAGTAGTAGGTGGTAGTGTTAAAGCAAATAGTGTTGCAGCAACTCTGATGGTTTTCAATAGCTGACGTTTTCAATGTATTTATAAACAAGAAAAACACACGAGAACAAGACGATTTGAAACATTATTTTCCCACTGCTAAACACATACCAAGTTATACAAAAACTCTGCAAGCATTCTATTATATGGAAGCTTCAATTTCATCTGAAGCCACTGCAGCTCCGTTTGGGGCATCGTCTGCATGCATGCAACTGAGCAGAAACATCATCTATGGCGGAGTTTAGCTGTGCAATATTCTCAGCCAGTATTTTGCGGGTTTTCTATCGTCATAATTAACAAAAAATGCTGGTACATTGGCTTCAAAGAAGAACCTAGCATCAAACATTAGGCAATAATTAACAAAAAATTTAAAATTTTAAAAAGTGAAATGTACACTCATGGGTAAACCTAGCATCAAACCTGCAATGATGTTATATTTGAACATCATGGGGGAAAAGAAAGAAAAGCACAAGCAGCTAGTTGGGGGCATCCTAGAACTGTAAACTTATGGGTAAAGATAATGAGGCTAGCCAACTTGATATGCAACAGACACGAGAAATTGCATAAGAAAAGGTTTAGGTTGACAAAGCAAAGATTTGAAAGTGGAAGAAATAAAAGTTACCTTGATCCACAGTGCCAAAGATTCATCACTTTCTAGCCACGTAGGCTCTCAAAGATATGATATGACTCTCCTTCCCAAATGTTGTTTGGCAATTCACTTTCCCTGCTATCTACAATCAGATGACCATTGCCAGAGGTTAGGCAAGGTTCTGTGCGGTAATTCTGTTCATTTATGTCATCACCATCAAAATTATGCGAAACACTGGATAACTTTTGGCCCTCCTCCGCCTGACAATCAAGACATGAAGCTCCATTTTGACATCCTTCTGGGGTATGCAATTCATCAACTGCCTCTTGAACTTGACCTTGTCTTACTAGTTGAGGCCTTTCCACATTTGGCAATAAGTCATCTACTCTGCCATCTGCCACTTGCTCTTGCTTTTCATGCTCAGGGCAGTTGGATTCTCCATCATAGACAGAAGTTGTTGCTGAAAGCTGGAGTAAGGGAGCACTTCCATGATCTTACACTAAAAATAGTGGTGCCATCCCGATGCATATCTTATCACTGATTATTTGCCCATCCACCTCTCTGTTCAAACAAAGGTCCAGTTGATGAAGAGTCAAGCAAATGTATTCTGTAACATACCAACACTCAAAACACGAAACCTCAAATATACTTCTTATGATCTGATGAAAAATAAAACGCTGGATCAGCCACAATGATCATATGTGTGCGTACATGTGTATATACATGCTTAACTCTACAAATAACACCAGAGGAAAAACATCTAAGACAATGCTGAGAAACTACAATGGCCTCACTTGGACTGCCCACATATAGCATAATGAATAGTTTCATATCAGGATAGAGTTCAAACAACGACAGTAATCATGTACTTGGGATCCACCAAAAAAATTAAGCAGAAGAACATTTAGATAACAAATGCCATAATATGTATTTCACCTTCTTCGAGGAGTTACCTATGCAATAAATTTCAATTTATTCATTAACAAAAGATTGTGCCAAAACTGCGAAAAACCACAGAGCACAATAAATTTCAGATATATCATTCCGTGTATAGAAGACCTAATAAAGTTAATTGTTATATCTGGCAAAATGGCATATTATTATATTCTTTTTCACAATACCAGCAGCTCTAAAATGTGAAAATGTCAGAAAAGAAAGAGGGAAAGAGAAAATAAACCTACTTGGCTCCAATTGAATCCATAGTGCAGATGAATGGCTTGTCTTCATCTCCCAATCCCGCAATTACAGGCTGACAGAAGTATGGACCAAGCCTAAATCACAAAGAGGAAGATAACATTTCTAAGTATTCATAATACTATTAACATGATTGTACAGACCTCAACATCCAGATTAAGCTAACATATTCAAGAGCACCTCATTATCAAATTGCTCAATAAATTTTCAAACCTTTTCTTATAAAGAATAGCAGAGAGGTGGGTGTACTAGCAAAAAGAAACAGAATTGAAGAGAAACAGTATTAATACAAGAACTAGCCAACTAAGAGATTTTTAAAAGATAAAAACGGAATTTGAAACATTGAAAAATTCGGACAATCATGGTTAGCTGTTATCCTATCTCCTAAGCAACTACTAGAAACCTATATTCAAAGCACAAAAATAGGCATACCCTGCTCAGACAACAAGAGGCCTTCTATAGGAAGTAAGCTTTTCTTTGCCCTGCAATGTGGAATGTAGATTACTGGGGCTAATGTTCAAAAGACACTGGTGCATTGGCTTCGAAGAAGAACCTAGCATCAAACAGTAGGCAATAATTAACAAAAAAAATTAAAAATTAAAATGTGAAATGTGAAATTCAAATGTCAAAACTTCAACATGCAATGTTTAGATTTGGTAGACAGAGTCTCATGAAATGTATTGAGTTCAACCCAAGATGAAAGAGAATTAATTAAACACCCGACTAACATGCCCGTGAAAACAATTTGATGCAGCATAGGAAGGAAATCACATAGAAAAGAAAGCTGGACCAAGAAGCTCAGAAATACCAGCTGGTGCATATTAAAGTTCCAATGCACTTCAAATTCAAAGTTAACAGCTTGAAATACTCTTTACATTAATGTTCAACTGCTTAACTGAAGTAAAGTAGCATGTATAGACAATTGGATTATGGATAGGACATAAATTGGGATTCAACCATACAACTCTTCCAATGAAACAGGAAACCAACAAAAATCAGAGAATTGTAAAATGGCCATCTCTTACATTTCAATTTCTAATCCTTAAAAAATGTAGCCTTAGCTTGCATTAAACAAACAACCCCATAAATGAGCTCTTAAGAGTAATTTGCTAGATCAACAAAAAGGCTGAGAAATCTACAGTTTCAGCAACACTTGAGACGAGAGAGTCATCTGATTAACCATATAAACCAACACATCACAGCAACTAAATTACAATCTTTGAACGGATAAAAAAGAGAAAGAGGGTGATATGATTACCAGCTAAGAAGTGGGTTTTGGGATTTTGAACTGAAACAAACATACTCGTTAGAGGACTCATCTCTTCAACTTCACAATACACAAATTTAGAGAGAGAGAGAGAGAGAGAGAGAGAGAGAGAGAGTATGAGGATCCAACTCTAAACAAGCTTGGAGCAACCTGTAAGTGTCTATGACTCTCTGTTCATGAATATCCGAGTATAAAGAGAGAATAAAATTTGGTTGCAGTGAATAAGTGAAGTTCCAAGTGAAATCACAATTGGACCACTTGGATTAAACAAAAAAAACTAGGATACATGGGAGAATTAAAAACAAATTCCAAAAGTATAATCCTCCATTTTACCACAATACTAAAATTTCCAAAGTAAAATCCTCCATTATACCACAATACTAAAACTTCCAAAAGTATAACCATCCATTGTACCACAATACTAAAATTTCCAAAGTAAAATCCTCCACTGTAACACAATACTAAAATTTCCGAAAGTAAAATCCTCCATTGTACCACAATACTAAAATTCAGTGTAAATGAGTATCTTAATCCGATCCCATTAGTTATACTAGATACAAAAACAAATCCCACTATGTCAATCCAAGTGAAGGTAGATACAAACAAATTCCAAAAGTGGTCGACCCTAAAATGCATCTAATGTTCAGGTAGTTTAAACAAAATGTCATCCACTCTGTCTGTCTGCATCAATCTTGTCCTCTATCATGCTTGAATTCCTGACTTTGTCTGTGTCTTATAGTATGCTAGAATCCCTGACTGCACCGGAAGATATCAACACCAAAATGTAAATCAAATCTACACAGAAAAAAGAGGGAGACTTTTAGCAAACAAAAATCAATCCCACAACAAAAACCCCCAAAATTAACTAAGAAACACCCTGAGACCCAAAAGAAAGCATAAAACTGCTTGAATTTTTAATTATTCAAAAGATTCTCAAGAAAAGACCAAAACAAAGCTCACTGATGATTTTACTATCTAAAATGTTCTGTTTTGTGTGACATTCCTTGACTAGTATAACAGACAGACAGATGTTGACCCAAAAAATATAAAAATAAATAACAACAGACAGATGGCATGAAAAAGCAAACCATATAACAGTACCTTGAAAGAAGCAAGCTTAGAATTCAAAATCCACTGGTGCTAGCACCAGAAATACCTGAAGAATAAAAAATAAAAATAAAAACCAAATAAACAAAGAGTAAGTCCCTAAAATACAATAATAAAAAGAACAAGAAGATATAGGCAGTAGGAAAGAAAGAACCAACCTGCACCGCCAAACGATCCTTTCAGAAACTGCTCTAAAGCCGTTTTAGCAACTTTTCCAGCTGAGAAACAGTAGCATTAAGTTTATTACACATAAAAGGTAAAAAAAAATTAAACAGATTCAGATTCATAAACAAACAAGCAATTACCGGAGTCCAGGTCGTCATTTGATTCAGCCTCTTTGCCTTTGTCTTCGGGCTTTGTATTGTCAGATTTGTCTTTTCCGAGAGAACAATTCCAATTCCAAGCCCCAGACAGATAATTGGCAACTATGACCGCTGCAAAAAGTTCAATGAGACCGGTAGCAAATTTTCCGCTGGTGCTACCTCGAGCAGATATCCAAGTTATGCCCTTCTCCATAAATTTTCCGCTGGTGCTACCTCGAGCAGCGCGCAAATGCAAATGCAATTCTTCAACATAGCAGCTCCATCAAAACTGAAATGTGGACTGAACTGCTACGTCTCTTAAAACCATTAATGGCAAGCAACAAGATTTCTATGCCGAAGGAACTGGCTGAGCCTGAATCGGACCAAGATTTTGACTTTCTTGAGTTTCTATTGAAGTATGTGTACACCGACCCAGAACAGCGACGCAGCCTTCCCATGCCGCTTGCCCGTCCCATCGCACAGACTTGGAAAGAATGGTTTATGGAGAAGGGCATAACTTGGATATCTGCTCGAGGTAGCACCAGTGGAAAATTTGCTACCGGTCTCATTGAACTTTTTGCAGCGGTCGTAGTTGCCAATTATCTGTCTGGGGCTTGGAATTGGAATTGTTCTCTCGGAAAAGACAAATCTGACAATACAAACCCTAAACGAAAATGGGAGGAACCGAAAAATGGAGAAAAGCGGGAAACGAAAATCGGAAAAAGCAGAGCAAATTTCGAGAACGAGGAAAAGTAGAAATTCGCAGTGAATTTGGGAATCAGATGATGAGAACAGAGTATCGAGATTGGGAATGGCGGTTCTGGTGTTAGCAGATAGGAAGAAGTTATGGGCTAGTAGCGGAAAAGTCGGAAGTTATGGGCTAGTAGCGGAAAAGTCGGAAAATAAATTTCGCTTCAAGTCCGGGTTTAGGCGGGAGAAAACTGATTTGCCACGTCATCGATCCGTGTGCTGTCGATCCATTGGTTGGGATTCGTTTTAGCAATCTGAACAATCTTGGTGGAAGAAACACAGATCGTTCATTGCTGTCGATCCATTGGTTGGGATGTGTTTCCTTGTGTTTCGTTGTGGCTGTGCAGTGGAAATAGCAGGACACGTGGATGCTTTCCGTTCAATAACTGTAAGAGATACAATCGATGATCTCCCGGCCGTAGGGAATGGAGCATCCAAGGTGAACTTAGAGTATGAAAGCGATCCCAGCTCATGGTTCCAGAAGAAAATCCGAGGGGAGATGGCTGTTTTGACTGATCACATTTCGAAAGAAATGAATGAGCTGAATCTGATTCGATGCCAGAGAATTCCAAAGCGGCCAGGTGCTGATTGGCAATGCCTTCCAGATGAAAAGGTGAAGCTCTCTACTGGACAGATAGTTGACTTGATACCATGGTGCCTGCCCAACACAGCCAAGCGCCACAATCAGTGGAAGGGCCTGTTTGGAAGGTTGGATTGGGAAGGCAACTTCCCAACTTCCATTACAGATCCTCAGCCAATGGGGAAGGTGGGAATGTGCTTTCACCCTGACCAGGACAGGATTCTAACTGTTCGGGAATGCGCCCGATCTCAAGGTTTTGCGGATAGCTACCAGTTTTCGGGCACAATTCTTCACAAGCATAGGCAGATTGGAAATGCTGTTCCTCCTACTTTGGCCTATGCATTGGGGACTAAACTCAAGGAAGCAATTGACAGCAAGAGGTTGTCTTCACAAGAGTAAGAGTAGTAGTTGTTGTTTGTTTCTATGTAATACTGATAGTTCCATTTGGTTGCCTTCTAAGGCAAAAACACAGCTCAGTTTGTTGTCTTTGATTTTCTTCTTGTATTGTGTTTGTAAACTTGTCTTGATTGAGGAACTTCAATTTAATACACAGAAGCATTTTTCTTCAGGAGACAAGTGTCACAAGAGTTTGATACATATATATATATATTTGAAATTATTTTATTTTATTTAGTAAGCTTCTTTTGATTGGCCACGTAGCTCGGTAACATCGATTGGCAGGACCAGGTATGTGGGTCCCAGTTTGACATTATATCCTGCCAGATGTCCACGTGTGCTCTCTCATTAAGCTCTGTCCCAGGAGGAAGGTCAATCCTGTCATTTTGTGAAACAATCTGTAGTTTTGGCCTTTGCCCTTGCAAAGAGGGTGGGTGAGTGAGTGAGTAAGTGAAAGCGAAGTCAAGGGTCAAGGACGTCAAACATATTTTCCTTCTTATTCGGGTCACCTAATCAGCCTCCACGTGTCACCGTCCTTTGATCCGAACCAACATTTTATTTTGTCCTTGAGAAACCGCTAATCTTGTCCCCCTCCTCTTCCAACATAAGTTGAGGTCCTTCAACAACAGGATTAAGTAAACGTAGCTTAGCAAAAAATGGATTATCAACTATGCTTAGAGAGGTCTTAGATACGCTACGGATGTGACAAAGTGATTTTATCGGCAGTCTTGTAAGGACGTCGCAGAGGATATCGTTGGGTAGGTCCATTAAGGTTGGCTTCTCGTTTCCCTTAGCCCTCGATTTCTCCAACCCTAGTAACAAATTTGAATATAAGTATTGAACTCATCACGTAGATGGTTCATAAGAATTGTGTCAAAGAATTCAAGATATAATTAACACAAAATTGTATTATTTACCAACAACAAAAAAAAAAACACACAAACAAACAATTATCACAATTGACGTCATACAATTACATATTCAAATAAAATTAAACTATAACAACAAATCAACAATACTTACTTTTGATCGAAAATATTAAAAGATGCGGCATCAAAATTAATAGAAGATCAATGCATCCGGTTACAAAGTTTCTTCCAAACCAGCAACTAACAAGGATTCCCTTCATCTTAGGTCCCAGCTACTCTTGGTCAAGAAGTAAGAATAGGGTTTGTTGATGATTTGGTGTCTTCATATACTGTGTTCGTTTTGCTAACTGGAATACAAAAAATAGAAAAAAATTAGAGTTTTTTTTTCTTGGGCGGAAAGTAAAGATAGTTGGAATGGAAGTAGGGTTTAGCTAGGAAACAAACAATTAATCAATAAATAATGATGGAAACAGGAATGACAAATTTAGGCTTTGATTTTATCGCATTTCTGGAATGGTAGTGGTTACTGATATTATTGTTTTAGGGGTAAATTAGTAAATGTGCAACGTCGATACTAAGTTCTAACCTCAGATTTGGGCCAAATTTGAATTGGACCATGCCCAAGCAATATCGGCCGCTAAATTGCCCATTTGGACATTGACCAAAGAAAACAATTACAAAACGACGATATGGAATAGAAAGAAAAAAAAACAGAGAAAACGACGACGAACCAGATGCGAGAAGCAGGAGAAGGTAACGAGTGCCATTCTGTCCGAAAAAAAAACCGAGGGCCATATGCAGAGGTGGCAGTGGTATTGAGATTCTGAGAGGACGAAGAAGGTGTTGTTGGTAGGGATCGAGCAAGGAGACCATTAGAGATGGGAGAGGTTGTTGAAATCCTAGAGGGCCATAGAAGGTCGGTGGCAGGTCTTCATACTCCTCGTCGTTTTCCAATTTGTCTCCAGGTGGCTGCAACAGTTGAAGAAGGTACTTGCTTCAACGATTATCGATACGCATTTAAGCAATTAATGCTAATTTGGTGTGAAATCATTCTCTTAATCATGTTTTTGATTCCTTAATTGTATTTATTCGCAGAGGGGAGTGAAGACTGCTACGGCAAACCGGTTGCGTGGAGAAAAAAAAGGACCTTTTGAAGGAGGCAAGCTCATTGTCACAGTGAGTGATTCTTACTAATTAAATCTTATTTTCCATCAATTTAAATACATGCTATATTAATTTTGGTTTTTGGGTTCTTAGCATTCTTTTGATAATTGCATCTTCAAAGTTTTTACATTTACACTAGCAGGCTTGTGATCTTATTTTTGTTGAATCCAGGCCTTAAAAATTTGCACAAGCTGCAAAGCTGAGGAGGATGGCAGCTGCTAAGGAGAAAGAACTTGCAAATTGTACTAGTTGCTGCAACTCCACCCATTCGATTATGTTTATAAATAATTATTTGCCACATGCTTGGGTTCAAAATTGTGTTTGTATAGTAGCAGCCACCTACACTTTAAGAAGATGAAGTTGTTAAGCGAAGGGTTGAATGTTTAATACAGTTTAGGTAGTTGTTCAATGTCTTTAATTACTAGGTGTCCCTGTACATTCATTTTATTGACTCAAATATCAATCTCATTCAGAGATATGATTGGTTGATTATTTAGATTAGCTTACTTGCTTTTATTTTATTTTTATAGCATATACTCTTAAGTCCTATGTTCTCAGTACAAATTTTGTCTTGTTGCACTGCCCATCAGGTGGATGTATGATTTAGAAAACATAAGTGAGTGCAAAAAAGATCACTTGATATAAGTTATTGCAACATTTACTTAGTTTAATTTTTACTTCTTGTATCTATCCCCCCCTCCTTCAGCCCCATGCCCGGTTATATTTTCCTATCTTTCATAGCTTCATTACTCTCTTGTGGCGTGGTTTTATTTTCTTAGTGGAGATATGGTGCCCTACTATGGATGGGAGATTCTAACACTATTACCTGACTTCCAGATCAAGAATTACATGGCAAGGAGAGAAAACTTTCATATGAGTTGTATCTGAAAGTTTTGTTCATCTCGAAGGTAATTCTGGGTATACTAGATTTTTTAGAAGTTTTCTTTCTTCCTTAATCAAGGTTTTTTTTATTGACACAATTGGTTATCCTCTTAGGTCTTAACGTATCTTGTGCTGATGTTGTGGTTTTGGAGGGTTCCTGTTGCCTCCATATCACACCAACTTGTGCAACCCTTTGATAATGCATTTTTGTTGCATATTTGCTTATTGAGTCCCATTCTTTCTTCCATTATGGCTATTTGCAAGAATCTTTTGTTTTCCTCTTTATCTTTGTCACTTGATGATTTGAGTTCCGCTGACTACAATGCGTGTTTTTACTTGTTATATTGGCCTATAAGCCTATGTCAGTTAGGATAGTTACTATATTTTGAAAAGAAAAGAAAGAAAGAATGGAGCTACCATATACATAAATCAGAGTAAGTAGCAGGAAGTATAACAAAACTGATTGCAATTCTGATTGAATCTTCTTGTTGCTTTGCAGGGAAAGTGCTATCATGGAGGGCTGGAGGAATTTTAAATGAAAATGTTATGGTAAATAAAGTTCGACCGTTTGTTTACATTGTTATTATCTTATAGTTTTCCTGGGTGAAACCTGATGTCGGAAAAGGGGTTTTAAGTGATCCCTTAAGCAAAGATGCTGAAATATGTCTCTTTGGCTCTTAGCAACTAAATGATCTAACTACTGTCAGGTGCTCTTTTAATTACTACGTAATAAAGGTCTACAGTTTTCTCATAGTGCTTCTGGTCTTTTCGTTATGTGTTTGCAGGTAGGAATTATACCTTGGTTGATATTATCTACTAGGGTTAGCAAATTTGTGTGTCGACTATTCGAGTTCAAAGAATTGAAGTGATCGTCCTGTGAAGTGGTTACGAGGAGAAAAGTAATTAGGTCTGGTTTGCTTTACTTCGTAACAATATCTAAACAAGAGCATAGGAATCTGGAATTTTCCTTAGTCAAGGAATTTGTATTGATTTGCTGTACTTTTTTGGTCTATATAAATTTAGTTTAGTGTTTGTGAACTCTGTAGTGTTTTGTTGAAGTTTGGTACATTGATTGGGCTATTTTGTGGGTGATTAATGAAATTCAATTTAAATACATGCTATATTAATTTTGGTTTTTGGGTTCTTAGCATTCTTTTGATAATTGCATCTTCAAAGTTTTTACATTTACATAAGCAGGATTGTGATCTTATTTTTGTTGACTCCAGGCCTTCAACATTTGCACAAGCTGCAAAGCTAAGGAGGATGGCAGCTGCTAAGGAGAAAGAACTTGCAAATTGTACTAGTTGCTGCAACTCCACCCATTCGATTATGTTTATAAATAATTATTTGCCACATGCTTGGGTTCAAAATTGTGTTTGTAAGCAGCCACATACACTTTAAGAAGATGAAGTTGTTAAGCGAAGGGTTGCATGTTTAATACAGTTTTAGGTAGTTGTTCAATGTCTTTAATTACTAGGTGTCCCTGTACATTCATTTTATTGACTCAAATATCAATCTCATTCAGAGATATGAGTGGTTGATTATTTAGATTAGCCAACTTGCTTTTATTTTATTTTTATAGCATATACTCTTAATTCCTATGTTCTCAGTACAAATTTTGTCTTGTTGCACTGCCCATCAGGTGGATGTATGATTTAGAAAACATAAAGTGAGTGCAAAAAAGATCACTTGATATAAGTTATTGCTACATTTACTTAGTTTAGTTTTTACTTCCTGTGTTCCTGTATCTATCCCCTCCTCCTTCAGCCTCATGCCGGGTTATATTTTCCTATCTTTCATAGCTTCAGTACTCTCTTGTGGTGCGGTTTTATTTTCTTAGTGGAGATATGGTGCCCTACTATGGATGGGAGATTCTAACACTATTACCTGACTTCCAGATCAAGAATTGCATGGCAAGGAGAGAAAACTTTCATATGAGTTGTATCTGAAAGTTTTGTTCATCTCAAAGGTAATTCTGGGTATACTAGATTTTTTTAGAAGTTTTCTTTCTTCCTTAATCAAGGTTTTTTTTATTGACACACTTGGTTGTCCTCTTAGGTCTTAGCGTATCTTGTGCTGATGTTGTGGTTTTGGAGGGTTCCTGTTGCCTCCATGTCAAAACAACTTGTGCAACCCTTTGGTAATGCATTTTTGTTGCATATTTACTTATTGAGTCCCATTCTTTCTTACTGTATGGCTATTTTCAAGAGTCTTCTGTTTTCCTCTTTATCTTTGTCACTTGATGATTTGAGTTCCACTTACTATAATGCGTGTTTTTACTTGTTATATTGGCCTATAAGCCTATGTCAGTTAGGGTAATTACTAAATTTGAAAAGAAAAAGAAGAAAGAATGGAGCTACTATATACATAAATCAGAGTATGTTTAAATGAAAATGTTATGGTAAATAAAGTTCAAGCGTTTGTTTACATTGTTATTATCTTATAGTTTTCCTGGGTGAAACCTTATGTCGGAAAAGGGGTTGTAAGTGATCCCCTAAGCAAAGATGCTGAAATATGTCTCTTTGGCTCTTAGCAACTAAATGATCTAACTACTGTCAGGTTCTCTTTTAATTACTACGTATTAAGGGTCTACAGTTTTCTCATAGTGCTTCTGGTCTTTTCATTATGTGTTTGCAGGTAGGAATTATACCTTGGTTGATATTATCTACTAGGGTTAACAAATTTGTTTGTCGCCTATTCAAGTTCAAAGAATTGAAGTGATCGTCCTGTGAAGTGGTTACGAGGAGAAAAGTAATTAGGTCTGGTTTGCTTTACTTCATAACAATATCTAAACAAGAGCATAGGAATTTGGAATTTTCCTTAATCAAGGAATTTGTATTGATTTGCTGTACTTTTTTGGTCTATATAAATTTAGTTTAGTGTTTGTGAACTCTGTAGTGTTTTGTTGAAGTTTGGTACATTGATTGGGCTATTTTGTGGGTGATTAATGAAATTCAATTTAAATACATACATTATTAATTTTGGTTTTTGGGTTCTTAGCATTCTTTTGATAATTGCATCTTCAAAGTTTTTACATTTACACTAGCAGGATTGTGATCTTATTTTTGTTGAATCCAGGCCTTCAACATTTGCACAAGCTGCAAGGCTAAGGAGGATGGCAGCCACTAAGGAGAAAGAACTTGCAAATTGTACTAGTTGCTGCAACTCCACCCTCAGAAGGGAGAGTTTAGAGTTGAAGTATGTTTACACCATATCTGACCGACCAATAAGAAGACCACATGTGGAAAATAGGGGCTCATGAAGAGAACTGGCGAGAGAGTCAATTGACCGCGCTCTACAGATACCGTCGGTAAGGAAGTCGAGGAGGATATCGTTGCGTAGGTCCATTAAGGTTGGCTTCTCGTTTCCCTTAGCCCTTGACTTCTCCAACCGTAGTAAAAAATTTGAATATAAGTATTGAACTCATCACATACATCGTTCATAAGAATTGTATAAAAAAACTCGAGATATTATTAACACAAAATTGTATTATTTACCAAAAACAAAAACTAAAACAAGCATCATAGTTGACGTCATACAGTTACATTAAAAGATGCGGCATCAAAATTAATAGGAGATTGATGCATCCGGTTAAAAAGTTTCTTCCAAACCAGCAACTACCAAGGATTTCCTTCATCTTAGTCCCAACGACTCTTGGTCAAGAAATAAAAAAAGAGTTCGTTGATGATTTGGTGTCTTCATATACTGTGTTCGTTTTGCTAACTGGAATAGAAAAAAAATAGTTTTTCTCTTTTCTTGAGCGGAAAGTAGGGTTTAGCTAGGTAAAAAACAATTAATCAATAAATAATCATGGAGACTGGAATGACAAATTTAGGCTTTGATTTTATCGCGTTTCGGGAATGGCAGTGGTTACTGCAATATTGTTTTAGGGGTAAATTAGTAAATTTGCATCGTCGATACTAAGTTCTAACCTCAGATTTGGGCCAAGTTTGAATCAAACCATGCCCAAGGAAATATCGGCCCCTAAATTGCCCATTTGGACTTGGGTCAGAACTCAGAACAACAAAGTGTATGAAGTTGTTCAAGCCTGGCTTTGTAATAGTGGAGATATATATGATGCCCATTTGGACTTGGGATATTTTAATACTATTCTCTGACTCCCATATCAAGAATTAGATGGCAATAAGGAGAAAATAGTTTCATATGAATGTATCTGAAAGTTTTGTTAATCTCAAAAGTAATTCTGGGTATAATCAATAATCCCAAATTTAGTCTAATAGCAACTGCACCAATTCCTTCATTATTTGTTCAAACTTTTGGACAGCAGGGGAAACTTTCAGAACCTGCGTCATAAGTTGAGAAAAAGAAAAAAGCAGGCAAGCACACAAGCCGCAGAGGCAAGTCCTGGACAATGGTCTAATACTGCATATGTCCCTATAATGAATGCAACTATCATTGCAAATAAAGCCCACATAGTGATCACTACCATGCTATCGAAAGTTCTGGAAATCCCTTTTCGCTTTGTTTTCGTTGTCAATAGGTAAAGGTGCATCAAGACTGAAAAACTGGACAGAGTCATGGCTAGTGTATCAGCTATTACAAAGGCCTTAAATGCTGCATTTCTTGATAGAACAACAAAACCCTGCTCTGGTCCTTTTGAAATTTCGTAAACACCAGGCATGGTGAAACCTGCTGCGAATGTTACAGTTGCTATGAGTGCAGCCACTATCAGATGGGGTTCTTTTATGCCCTCGGTGCCTTCCCCGTCTCTGTTTTCCTTCAATTTCTCGTAAATTTTGCTTAGAATTCAATGGCCTGATGCTGCACCATTTGTCGTCAAATTATGTACAAGATATTTTGCTGCAACACACACATTCAATATTATCTAATGACCTCACAAAATTAAAAAATTATTATTCTAAACAAATCCGATAGTCTAGACTACAAACGATAGTCTCTGTTCTGTATATTAGAGTTGCATGAGCCTATTTCTTAATCATCCGAGATATTACTCGCACAGTAGTATCACACATAAGCAAGATTTACAAGACCATACCTCATTTCTTGAACCATCAGCTCTAATGAGGTCAACAGCGTTCATGTTTTCCTTACTGAATGTCATCTTATCAGCCCTCCTATCATTGTAAAAATCAGCCTGGTGGCCGGGACGAAGAATGAGCAAATGAAGGGGTGTGTTGCCGTCAACATCCTTGGCATTTAAGAGGACGTTGCTAAGCCATGGATCCTTTAGAACAAATTTGTAATTCGAGATTGATGGTTCTCCGAGGCATAATGAAGAGCATTCCGACGTCTCTGGTCGACCAGTTCATAACAATCAGGGCAACGAGAAATAAGCTCTTTCATTACATCTACATGGCCTTCGGAGGCTGCAATGTGAAGGGCGGTCTTCTTATCAACTTTGTCACCCATGTAGGCACATGATTTGTCAGCTTCTAGTAGTTGTATAACATTAGTACGACCAAGGAGTGAAGTGGGGTGTCAACCCTTGTTCGTCTGCCCCTACTGCTAAATCCTTTTTCTTGCTTAATATATATATATATATATATATTTTGTCATTTCTAAATACAAAATAATAAAACCAATATAAATTAGGGTTGGGCAACTGAACCAAAGTCCGACTGAAAGACACATTCCAACCACCAATCAGTCAGTTTTCATTGATAAACACAATCAGTGACTAATAAAAATGATTATATATCAACAATCAGTTTCATTTATTTATTGTTAATTGTATTTTGAATTACAATTTGTTACAAATACAATTTTCGTTTATATATATATATATACAGTCCCCTTCAATTGAGAGATCCCTCAAATAGTGTTATTTGAGGGATGGGGCGCTCAGTCGTTGGATCTCTTTTAATGTGATCTTGCGAATGTGGTTGTTTTAAATGTTTTAACCCGTTTTAACACTCTTGAAAAAAAAAAAAAAAAAAAAAAAAAACGCTGAAGAAACCTAGGGAGAAGCACGCACGAAGGAAGAAGAAGAAGAAGCCCACCTTTCCAAGACGAAGGAAAAGCTGCCATCGCGAGTTGAGCTTGCGAGAATTCTATGCCAATCAGGTAGGTGTATCCATACCGGAGTTTATGTTTCATTCTAAATTTGGGTTGTGATTTTCGAATTGGAGTTCTGCGATGGGTTTCTAATTTTGAAAATTTCTGGCAAGGTTGAGATTACACCTGATTTCTTGTGGGTTTGTTGATTTCGAGTGAATGACAATAGGTTGGTTCTAAGGCTCGCTATTCAGAGAATGAGTCTGTAAAATTTTCATTATTGACTTATTGTTGTTATTATTGCTGTTATAATATCTTAATTGAGTTCTAATGGGCATGAAGAGAAAAAAAAAATACAGGGACAATTTCATATTCTGATATAAAATAGTGCATGCGTTGTATGCCTCAGAATTATTTAGTTTTTTTTGTTCCTTAAGAGCAATTCCAACAGCAAGGTTAGGGAGGGGGCCGCAGGGTGGGGGAGAGGGGAAAGCGATTCCAGCAACAGAGGTTGACCCGAGCAACAGGTGGACCCCAGCAGACTGGGCTGGCCCGACTTGGAGCTCGAGTTTTAGATGACGTCAGCATGCTACAGTGCCACCCATATCCAGCAGCCACGTGGCGTCGTCTGGGCTCTCCGATCGGATTTTTTCCTCTAGTCCAACGACATCGAATTTTTGTGCAATAAAATAATGAAAAATTTTTGAATTTTTTTTTTTAAAAACCCCAAAATTAATGAATTTTTTCTATAAATACCAACCAATACTCTTCACTTTTAACACCAAATCCTCATACATTTTCATCTCCTTCAACTATTATTCACTTTCTATTTAATATTTTTTTTCACCTTCAAGTTTTATTTTTCCGAAATCTTATCCGAATTTTTTTTCCGATTATGAGATATGAATTTTATAATAAAGATTGACACGTACGAATCCAAAAATCTAATCCGAAAATATTATCCAAATTAATTGTTTAGGTAAAAAAAATGTGAAAAAAAAACAAAAAAATGAATAGTATTTGCCATTTATCATGACAACTGGTGGAAACACACATTGCTTTTTGTAAGGGTAACGGGTAGCAACTATTCACGTGAATAGTGGCTGCCCTAGCTCCCCCCTTGCTATGACAAAGGGCAAACTGCTGGAAGTGCTCTAAGATGTGAAATTTGGTTTACAGAGCCAAACCTGTCAACCTTCAACTTCAAAGTCTTAACTTTCATGAGAATGGAAAGCTTTCATTAGCTACGACATCCTTCTTCTACAGCCTTAGGCTTAAATGCCTACTATTGTATTGAGCTAACATCCTTCCTGTGGGATTCACACTCTGATTTGTGAATTTTTTTTTCATGGCAAGTTCCATTACAAGGTTTAATTCGCTATTCATCGATGCTTACATTTTTTATTTATTTGTTTTCATTTTGAATATATATATATATATATCAACGAAATTATATTTGTAACAAACTGTAGCAATTAAGCCTACTATTAATGTGACACCCCGCCCCAATTTTAACCATATAATAAATTTTTTAAATCATGAAATTACAATTTACCCTCAGAGTAAGTTCATGATAGTCACTTTTCAATGCATAAGGATTTTTGGGAATTGAGTGGCACTGTTGCGTAGAGCTGTTATTACTACTAGTTGTGTTGGTTATGAGAAATTTCTGAGTTTTGGAGGGTAAATAAGCGATGAACAGTAACAAAGAGGAGGAGTTGCTGTTCTGGAATTGGGGAAGGGGATGAACAGTAACGTTCGTAATGGAATGTCAAAAAAACTGACGGAATGGGTAACGTGAGACGGTTTTTAAAAGGTTGGGGGGTACTTTGAGCCATTTGCAAACACAGCTGGTAATCTAAAATAAGTTTGAAAGCACATAGGACATGTACATAATTAAGCCAAATTTAATTGAAGTTGACCATGAAAAATTGCAGGACCATGTATTTTCCATGATGGCCTTTGATGTTAGCAGGTAGTGCTATGGTAATGTTATTGAGTAGCCAAAAAATAATAACAATATAATATAATAAAAAGACGAGCGATTATTGATTCCCTAAATTTGTTGTTGAGCTCAATGAGCCTGCTTCCTATCAAGACCTGGACCTTGTCGAGTTTCTTGAAGTATGCATCCAACGACAAAGATAAACGAAAAAAATCTTCCAACGCCCCTTGCCTTGCAAGTTGCATGTCTCATCAAATAGAAACTTGGACGAAGTCAATGGGTGCCACCGATGGACTTCTTTCATATTCCAGAAATGATTTTAGCGAACAAGACCGCCACCAAAAGGTCGACTATGCCTGTGGCTAGTTTCCTAGTTGTGGTACCGCGATCCCAAAACCAACTGTTTCCCTTTATCTTAAACCACTTTTTCAAAGTTTATGGTTTGATGGGATGTGCAAGGGGCATTGGAAGATTTTTTCGTTAATCTGGGTCGTTGGTTACATACTTCAAAAGAAACTCAACAATGTCCAGGTCTTCATGGGAAGCAGGCTCATTCAGATCACCAACAATTTTTGGGAATGAAAACAAGAAGGGGCCTTTCTCTTAGCCTTTCAGTTAAAGTAGAATACATATATGAGCATATTTGAAAATTTACCCCATTTTATTTGACTCAAAGAGTTCATATTTCCCACTTAGGCAATGGTTGATTGTTGATTGTGTTTGGAACCAATCATTACAGGTAGAAAGTTCTCGGAAAAGTAACTGTCGAATTTTACAGATAAACCCTAATCAAGCAAATTGAATAAAATTCTAGTAAAAATACAACAACAAAAACAAAAAATTATCAGAAAAAGTAATGGAAGAACCTTCCGTCCTGTAATTGCTCCTCCGTCAGTGCTCATTGCTTTGTTTATTTTGGGCACAAAGCAATACGAAAACTTCTCTACATTGATTAGAGTTGAATATGGCGAATAGTGTGTACTTATTAAAATTATATATATATTTTCACAATTCAATATATTCTTTTTGGTCATTTTATATTATGATAAATTATTAATTCAATAAATAGTTTTGTAGTAGGGTGTACTCAATTAATTTTAGAGTTCATTTAACAACATTCTTAAACAAAAGATGTGGCCTATTAAACAAAAGAGAAAAAAATGACAAGATTTCAGATTTCAATTTCATCATGCAATTAGTTGATCGAAATTTGCAAAGAAAAGATTGAGCAAAATATGGAGTTGATATCCAATATATACATCTGTATATATATATATATATATATATGTATATATTGTAAAAAAAAGGTGCTTTGTTGTGGGGTAGAATCTGAATTGGGTTTTCATCTTTAAGTGGATTATGAGGATCTGCGTATGGGCTTGCTACAACTTATTCTTTCCTTTTTGTCCATGGCGGGCTACATGTATTTCTGAGCAGTTTAGGGGCACCTTGTTCTTTATGGCCCATTGGCAACTCAGATGAAATTGGGTTGAATTACGACCCAACTCAAAGTCTAAACGACATGTCGTTTACAAAAGATACTTCAATTCAATCACAACTAAAACGCCATGGTTTTCATAAGATCCATGCTGAACCAGTTGCAAATTATAGCCTAGTGCAGTACAATGATGGGAAGGTTGCTATCGACGCAAATCAAGTGAGAAGTAGGTGGCAGTGTTAAAGTAAATAGTGTTGCAGCCACTCTGATGGTTTTCAATAGCTGACATTGTTTTCGACGTATTTATAAACAAGAAAAACACACGAGAACAAGACGATTTGAAACATTATTTTCCCACCGCTAAACACATACCAAATTATACAAAAACTCTGCAAGTATTCTATTATATGGAAGCTTCAATTTCATCTGAAGCCACTGCAGCTCCGTTTGGGGCATTGTCTGCATGCAGCTGAGCAGAAACATCATCTATGGCGGAGTTTAGCTGTCAGTATTTTGCGGGTTTTCTATCGTCATAATTAACAAAAGATACTGGTACATTGGCTTCAAAGAAGAACCTAGCATCCAAAATTTGGCAATAATTAACAAAAAATTTAAAATTTTAACAAGTGAAATGTAAACTTATGGGTAAACCTAGCATCAAACCTGCAATGATGTTATATTTGAACATCATGGGGGAAAAGAAGGAAAAACACAAGCAGCCAGTTGGGTGCATCCTAGAACTGTAAACTTATGGGTAAAGATAATGACGCTAGCCAACTTGATATGCAACAGACACAAGAGAAATTGCACAAGAAAAGGTTTAGGTTGTGATAACAAAGCAAAGATTTGAAAGTGGAAGAAAAAAAAGTTACCTTGATCCACAGTGCCACAGATTCATCACTTTCTAGCCACGTAGGCTCTCAAAGATATGATGTGACTCTCCTTCCCAAATGTTGTTTGGCAATTCACTTTCCCTGCTATCTACAATCACATGACCATTGCCAGAGGTTAGGCAAGGTTCTGTGCAGTAATTCTGTTCATTTATGTCGATCACCATCAAAATTATGCGAAACACTGGATAACTTTTGGCCCTCCTCCGCTTGACAATCAAGACATGAAGCTCCATTTTGACATCCTTCTGGGGTATGCAATTCATCAACTGCCTCTTGAACTTGACCTTGTCTTACTAGTTGAGGCCTTTCCACATTTGGCAATAAGTCATCTACTCTGCCATCTGCCACTTGCTCTTGCTTTTCATGCTCAGGGCAGTTGGATTCTCCATCATAGACAGAAGTTGTTGCTGAAAGCTGGAGTAAGGGAGCACCTCCATGATCTTACACTAAAAATAGTGGTGCCATCCCGATGCATATCTTATCACTGATTATTTGCCCATCCACCTCTCTGTTCAAACAAAGGTCCAGTTGATGAAGAGTCAAGCAAATGTATTCTGTAACATACCAACACTCAAAACACGAAACCTCAAATATACTTCTTATGATCTGATGAAAAATAAAACGCTGGATCAGCCACAATGATCATATGTGTGCATACATGTGTATATACATGCTTAACTCTACATATAACACCAGAGGAAAAACATCTAAGACAATGCTGAGAAACTACAATGGCCTCACTTGGACTGCCCATATATAGCATAATGAATAGTTTCATATCAGGATAGAGTTCAAACAACGACAGTAATCATGTACTTGGGATCCACCAAAAAAATTAAGCAGAAGAACATTTAGATAACAAATGCCATAATATGTATTTCACCTTCTTCGAGGAGTTACCTATGCAATAAATTTCAATTTATTCATTAACAAAAGATTGTGCTAAAACTGCAAAAAAACACAGAGCACAATCAATTTGAACCACATATTAGGCAACTTTCAGATATATCATATATCAATCCAAAATCCTAATGAGTCTCTTATACTAGATACAAAATGTCATCCACTCTGCATCAGTAGAATTCAAATCCACTGGTGCTAGCACCATCGCCGAATGATTCTTTAACATACTGTTTCTCAGTTGGACAAATTGCTAAAGCGGCTCTGGGACAATTCCTTAAAGAATCATTCGGCGATGGTGCTAGCACCAGTGGATTTTGAATTCTACTGACGCAGAGTGGATGACATTTTGTATCTAGTATAAGAGACTCATTAGGATTTTGGAATTTGATTTTAATTCATACTCTCTCTGCTTCTAAATTTGTGTATTGTGAAGTTGAAGAGATAAATGCTCTAATGAGTATGTTTCAGTACAAATGGATGACTCTCTCGTCTTAAGGCTATAGCGGTAGCGAATTTTCCACCGGCGCTACCTCGAGCGGATATCCAAGACACTCCCTTTTGCATGAACCACTCCGTCCAAATGGGTGAGATGGGACGGGCGAGCTGCGTCGGAAGGCTGCGGCGCTGGTCTGGGGCGGTGTGCACATACCTCAGTGGAAACTCAAGCACGTCAAAATCTTGATAAGATTGTGGCTCATCCAGACTTTGCGGCAAAGAAATCTTCGTCTGCTATGGCGGCTTAGCAAAAGACGGGAAATTTGCAGTGAATTTGGGAAAAAGAAACCCTAAAAAATCAGGGTTTTTGTGTGTGTTTATTATATATACTAGCCCATTGGCCAATTGGTTTTATTTTTTATTTTTTATTTTATTTTTAGAATTAAAAAAAAGATAATATTGGGTAGTTATGTTTCACAAAAGTATGACCTATTATCTGATTTTATTTTTATTTTTATTTTTTTAATATGAAAAAAATGTAAATTTACCATATTATCCTCATTTAATTAATAATTTCAATTCTTAATGTTTGTATTAACCAAGGGTATTTTATGGTATTTTGAATATTTTACCATTCTCTGGATTTTGCTTTATATATACTAGCCCATTGGCACATGCTCACACATGTGCCAATTGGTTTTATTTTTTATTTTATTTTTAAAATTAAGAAAATATAATATGGGTAGTTATGTTCCATAAAAATAAGACTTATTATCTGATTTTGTTTTAATTTATTATTTTTTTAATATGAAAAAATGTAAATTTATCATATTATTCGCATTTAATTAATAATTTCAATTCTTAATGTTTGTATTAACCAATGGTATTTTATGGTATTTTGAATATTTCACAATTCTCTGCATTTTGCTTTATATATACTAGCCCCTTGGCACATGCTCATGCATGTGCCAATTGGTTTTTTTTTAAATTAAGAAAATATAATATGGGTAGTTATGTTCCATAAAAATAAGACTTATTATCTGATTTTGTTTTAATTTTTAATTTTTTTAATATGAAAAAAATGTGAATTTACCATATTATCCTCATTTAATTAATAATTTCAATTCTTAATATTTGAATTAACCAAGGACATTTTCTGGTATTTTGAATGTTTCACTATTCTCTGCCTTTTGCTTTATATATATATATATATATAGATAAATGGGTGTGGCTTGTTGTATACGATTAAGGTGTAGGGTTAGATATGTAAATTTGTTGAATATGAAGCTTGTTCTATACGATTGAGGTATAGGGGGTTATATGAGTAAATTTGCTATAGGGTTATATTAGTAAAATCATTGAATCTGCTAAACATTTCTGTTCTACTTTAAGCCCACGTGGACAGTTTATCATTCAAGATCAGTAATATATAGCAGGAAAAAAAAAGTAATGTGATCAACTGCCACCAAATTACTAAGCGGTCCTACGGCCTTGCGTTTCTTGTTTTCACTAAAGACGATGAAACCAAATACCTACACAACAACATGAATCATGATTCATGATACAGGTATTTTCCTATCAGTTACTCCCTACTGGCATTTATTTTGAATGTCAATTGAAGCCCAAAACGAGACGTGTTTTTGCAGGCATCATATGCCATTCCTTTGCCTTGAATTTAAGAGCCTCTATTTATATTTGGACCCCGTTATTACAAATGCAGAGCTTCCATTCCATTGTCCTTGCACTCCACAGAAGCTTCTTAGACTCTAAGCTTCATAAACTGCAAATCGATTGTATCGAAACAGTACTAGCAGCAAATCAGTAGAAGCCTGCAGTTCCCTTCCCATGTGCAAACTTTCATATAGAAAATTGCTCTTGCAATATGCTTTAGACTGTTTCATTATGGTGTAACCTGGTTTTTTTTGGAAAAGCACTGATTAATGGCCCTAATTGTAAGCTCATTGCAATGAGGGGTGCATGAGAATGAGCAAGTTGGCAACAAGGAGGTTCATATTTCCCACTTAGGCAATGCTTGATTGTTGATTGTGTTTGGAACCAATCATTACAGGTTTGAAATCATTTGTTGTATTTTTAATGGAATTCGTATGTTCCAAACAAACTGACCTCTAGGACAATCATAAGAGAGTTGGGTATGTCCCATAGGTCTTGTTTTACTGTCCAATCTACCTGAACTTACTCAGATTTAGAGAGCCCTCTCAAAAATCATGGTTAAGGTGAGACATTCTGTTACCACATCCAATTTACCAAAAATAAGGTACAAGTGACTTGCCTTGTGAAAGTAGGTCTTGGAGTTGAAAATCATTTAAGGATAAAACTCTTCCCAACGTTCACATAAGATAGTATTTATATCATAAGATTTGCATTCACATAATTTAATTGGGGGCTTAGGCTCGGTCACCTTTCACATATGATTTGAGTAATTTTTGGCAAAAAAAAAAACTTTAGGATAAGGGATCCCAAAAAATTCATCTTTCTCTTAATCAAAAGAAATAATACGATTGGGTAATCTTCCACCTATATCACGATAAATCAACCAATGCATGTCTCCGTATGCAGATACATTCTTGCTACTAAACTTACACTGGGGAACTGAGTGTATTTCTCTCCACGATGATGATCTTATGTCCAGTGTATAAACGTAAGCCACAAAAACATACCTCTGGAAAGCATATTGTCTTCTAACAATACAAACAATCTTATGAGTCCTAGTTATAGCATCAAATCCCATACCGTACCACTTTCGATAATAAGCTTGAACAAGGTCATTAGTTGGCAACTCTAGATCTAGAACTTCTCCTTCGAGAGAATTGACCAACACGCATTTACCCATCCCTTTAAAGCAAAACAAGTTGCTAAAAACAAAATCTACTTTGTAAGAACGGAGACTGCACAAAATCTGTGCATATCTATACTTGCTTTTTGTGAAGTCGTGCTCGCCTTTGTAGTTAAATGATTGCAAGGCAAAGCGGCTACGGTGGCTAGGAATAAAAGATGAGGTTTGAGTAAGAAGCATAAGTTGAGGTCCTTCAACAACAGGATTAATTAAACGTAGCTTAGCAAAAAATGGGTTATCAACTATGCTTAGAGAGGTATTAGATACGCTACGGATGTGACAAAGTGATTTTATCGGCAGTCTTGTAAGGACGTTGCCGGAGATATCGGTGGGTAGGTCCATTAAGGTTGGCTTCTCGTTGGCAATCATGGGTGCCGGACGCTCTTCCTATCGATGGTGTCTACAAGGTGTGGTCAATTTGACCCTCTAGTCTATCATCTCTGTGGGCCCCTATTTTCCACGTGTGATATTCTTATTGGTCGATCAAATACATTGTAAACAGGTTTGATTAAAAAAACAAAAAACATGAAAAAAAGACTCTGTGTTTTTCATGTTCATGCACAAATAAAGAAAAATATCAACCCCTTTGTTCATATTTATAAGCAGACGAGATAAGATGAGTGAATTCTGGAAAAACTGAAAGTTGAAACAATTCTCATGAATAATTTACCATGCTATATATAATGCATTGCATAACCGTAAATGATACTCGAACAAAGTTACAGTAGTCTCTCCATCCATGAAAGTTTGCAGTAAATAAAATAAAATAAAAAATTTCAACTCCAAGTTACGCAGACTTCTTTTTCAATAAATCAAAATATGGGTACTCGATTTTGCCTCCTGCACACTTATCTTTCAACTAAATTGCCGAAAGTCTTCAAGGAAATCAGGCTGTCAGTATACCTGAAGATACTCAGCCTCGTTTGACTCCACTTATCATCCCAAAGAAGATTATGAAGAGTATCATAACTGAATATGCCTGGGAGTAATGTTTCAGCTTTGATGTGTTTTATGGATTTATCTCTGACGTCCCAAAAGTGAAACATATCAGGATATTCTTGAGTGAAAAATATGCCATGTTCCCATTCACCACAAGTCTTAATTGATCTAGGATAATGAGGAAATATTTTGTTGTCAATTTTGTAATCTAACTCCCAAACTTTCTTCTCATAATTTTTCATCACCCATATCTTGATAGAAGAATGCTCATATGACATAATAGCCAAACACCCTTGCACATTAAGCAAATGCATGGCGTCCAAATCATAAACAAAACCACGTGATGAATCAGGATAAGGGGTCCAAACAAATTCATCTTTCTCGAAATGGAAAGAAATAATACGATTAGGGTTTCCTCCACCTACATCATGATGAATCAACCAATGCATGTCTTCGTATGCAGATACATTGTTGCTACTAAACTCACATTGAGGAACTGAATGTATTTTTTGTCGCGATAATGATCCTGTGCCCAATGTATAAACATAAGCCACAAATATAGGATACGATGCCCTTTTAAAAACACAAACAATCTTGTGAGTCCTAGTTACTGTAGAAAATATATTTGGCTTGAATAATCTTTCATTAATAACATAGAGATATATATACACGAGTTTTCCTTGTACAATAAGGAATCCTACAATCTAGGAATTCCATCTAGGGAAGGATTGGGTATATGAATCAATTACAAATTCTTTCCTATCTAAAATACATTTACTTTCTAACACTCCCCCTCAAGTTGGAGAGTGGATGTCAAGAACGCCCAACTTGCGCAACATAGCTGAAAACTTCTCCTTGCCCAAAGGTTTCGTAAATGTGTCAGCTAGTTGCTGTGAAGAATTCACATGCCATGTAGAAACAGTACCATCAATTATTTTGTCACGAATAAAATGACAATCCATCTCAATATGTCGTGTTCTCTCATGGAAAACTGGATTTGCTGCTATATGTAATGCCGCCTGATTATCACAATACATATGAGATGCTTCTGAAGATGGCAAGTGCAAATCTTGCAACAGAAAACGTAACCAAGTAACCTCACAACAGGTGCTTGCCATGGCCCTATATTCGGCTTCTGCAGAGGACAGTGAAACCGTCCTTTGTCTCTTAGTTCGCCAGGAAATCAATGAATTACCCAAGAATACACAATATCCAGTAGTTGAACGACGGGTTATGAGGCAACCAGCCCAATCCGAATCACAATAAGCAATTAAATCTAACTTGTTATCAGACTGAAAAAGCAAACCTTGACCTGGAGTGGACTTGAGATATCGAACAACTCGAAGAGCAGCATCCATGTGAGGTAATCGTAGCTGGTGCATGAAGCGACTTAGGACATGTACCGAATAGGTGATGTCTGGTCGGGTAATAGTTAGATAGAGCAGTCGTCCCACCAATCGTCTGTATTTTTCGGGATCTTTGAGTAATTCGCCTTTGTCAGAAAGTTTGGCTTCCTCCATTGGAAAGTCAACTGGTCGAGCACCTAAGAACCCATAATCTTTGAGTATCTCAAGTGCATATTTTCTTTGTGAAACATAAATGCCTTTCTTGGATCGGGAGACTTCAATACCCAAAAAATATTTCAAATCACCTAAGTCTTTGATACGGAAACGAGTGTGTAGAAAACTCTTGAGAGAATTAATGGCATCAATATCATTTCCTGTAATCAGAATATCATCAACATAAATTAATAATGTTGTAAAAGACTTGCCAACTTTGCGGGTGAAGAGAGAATAATCGGCCTTTGATTGGATAAAACCAGCAGCAAGGATGGCTTCAGTAAACTTGGCAAACCATTGTCGAGAAGCTTGTTTAAGTCCATAGAGAGATTTGTGGAGGCGACACACAAGGTTCTCCCCCTGTCGCCGAAGACCAGGAGGAGGGGACATGTAGATCTCCTCATGTAAATCACCATGGAGAAAGGCATTATGAACATCGAGTTGTTGGATAACCCAGTGCTGACTAGCGGCGATAGCCAAAAGACAACGAACAGTGATCATCTTGGCAGTGGGAGAAAAGGTTTCATGATAATCCAGGCCCTCGGTTTGAGTAAAACCTTTGGCAACAAGGCGGGCTTTGTAGCGCTCAACAGAACCATCAGCACGGTGTTTAATCTTGTACACCCACTTGCAGGCAATGGGGAATTTGCCAGGAGGCAAAGGAGTAAGGGTCCAAGTGTGATTGTCAGCAAGAGCAGCAAGTTCGGAGTCCATAGCCTCACGCCAGCGAGGATCGCTGTTGGCCTCTGCAAAAGAGGAAGGTTCTACACTGCAACTGATGGAGTTAACAAAAGAAAGATGTCTGGGCGAGTACCGATGGTAAGAAATAAAATTACAGAGGGGAAAACGAGTACCTGGTGAAGGACCGGTCGACGAAGAAGAGGATTGATGTGGGGGCAGAATCACCTGCGAGCAAACGAAGTCCTTGAGGCGTGTGGAGGGTTGCTTGGGACGGGAGGAGATACGGGTGGGCCGAGGCGTGTCAGGGGCGGGCTGGGTGACCGGGACGCTGGCGGAAGGAGTGGGATCCGTGGGAAGAGGGAGGTCTGAGTCTGGGGTAGGACTGGTGGTGGAAGGAGTGGGGTCCGTGGGTGGAGGGAGGAGGTCTGGGCCTGGGGCAGGGCCGGTGGTGGACGGAGAAGGAGGAGAAGGGCCGGAGGTCAAAGGGAATGGGTCCGGGTCAGTAAAGGGCAATAAAGGAAGGGAGGGTCCGGTGGTATGTGGTGGTGTGGATGGGTCGGGGCTGGAGAAAGGGAACGTATCTTCCATGAAGAGAACATCGCGGCTAGTGAAAGTTTTATGGGTTTCAAGGTCATAAAGTTTGTAAGCTTTCTGGCCAATTGGATAGCCAATGAAAACAGATTTGTGGGCTCGAGGAGCGAATTTGGAGCTTGGGTGAACAGAGGTGGCATAGGCAAGGCAACCAAAAACTCTCATATGGTTGTAAGAGGGTGCTTTGTGGTAGAGAATGTCAAAAGGGGTTTTGTTGTGGAGGAGAGATGTAGGGAAGCGATTGATAAGGTAAGCGGCAGTAAGAACACACTCCCCCCAAAATTTTATGGGCAAATTAGATTGAAAACGAAGGGCTCGTGCAGTTTCAAGGAGATGGCGGTGTTTGCGTTCAACAACTCCATTTTGTTGGGGTGTGTAAACGCAAGAGTGTTGATAAATTATCCCATGGTCAGAAAAGAAATTGCGCATGGAGAAGAATTCTCCCCCATTGTCAACACGGATTTGTTGAACTTTGAGATGAAATTGTGTGTCAACATAGGCAAAAAAGGTTTTGAGGAGGGCTTGTGTTTCATGTTTATGTTTCATAAGAAAAACCCAAGTAAAACGAGAAAAATCATCAACTATGGATAAAAAATAATAAGCCCAAGTAAGAGAGGGATGTTTATTAGGACCCCAAATGTCACAATGTAAAAGAGAGAAAGGTCTAGAAGTTGAAATAGAACTAAGGCCAAAAGGTTGGTGAGTTTGTTTTGCCAACGGACAAATATCACAAACATGACGCGAATCAAAAGAGCAATTTAAAGAGGTACTAGCTAAGAATTGCAAACGGGCTGGGGAAAGATGTCCTAGCCGGCGGTGCCAAAGGTTGGTGGAGGTGGTGAGAAGGTTACAGGAAGATGGACGGTCATCGGAGGTGGTGGAGGCGAGCGCCACGAGGTAGTAAAGATCTCCTCGTCGCTTACCCACACCAATCGTCGTCTTCGAAACCAAGTCCTGCAAAAGAACCCAAGAAGGAAAAAAAGTTACGGAACAACGTAACCCATCTGTAATTTTACCAACGGATAAAAGATTAATATTAAAACTAGGCACACATAAAACATCTTTCAATTGTGTATGAGAATTTAATGAAATTGTTCCTGTCAAAGTGATCGAAGCCTTGTCTCCACTAGGCAAGGAAACAGGAGGTGAATGAGTGGTGGGGGTGCTATTCGTCAATAAATGAGAAGAACATGTGATGTGATCTGTCGCGCCGCTGTCAATGATCCATGGACCATGAGAGGAAGCGATGGGTGACAAACCTTGAGAAAAGGAACTAGCAGAAGCAGCATGTGCTTGCGGGTTGGAAGGAGAGGAACTGGATGTATCAGCCATCACGGACATGATTTGTTGATATTGGCTGTCGGATAAGTGGGGCATGGCGGACTGAATATCTTGGAGAGTTGGAGCATGGGCGGTGACTTGGTGGGCAGCAGATGAGGCATGAGAACGGTGGCTATTGCCGCTGGTGCTGTTGGTGTTGTGCCGACTGCTGCTGCTGTTGTTGTTGTGGTTGCGGCGTGGAACAGGCTTCTGGCCATAGCGGGGGTGACCGGGTGGGTATCCATGAAGTTGGTAACAGGTATCTCGGGTATGGTGATCATAGTTGCAATAGGTGCAGTGGAGTGGAGGTCGATCTCCTCTTGGACGAGAGCGAGAATCATGACGAACGGCCATGGCTGCAGTCTGCGAATCTGGAGTACGTGTGGAGCCAAGTTCCCGATGTTTCTCTTCCTGTGAGATGAATGAATATGCTTGTCGAGCCGACGGGAGAGGTTTCATCAACAAAATCTGGCCACGGATGGCACTGTAGGATTCGGGTAATCCCATGAGAAACTGCATAAGTCTATTGGTTTCGTTCTGTGCGCCGCATGTGCAAGATGTGGCCTCGTTGAAGGATGCCAACTCGTCCCAAAACCCCTTCAATTTGGTGTAATATGCAGCAATGGAAAGCTGTCCTTGAGTGAGAGAAGCAATCTCACGGTTGATTTGAAAGAGACGAGGGACATTGTTTTGAGAAAAACGCTCGCGAAGGTCATCCCAAATGTCGTGAGCGGTGGATAAATAAATGACGCTGTCAGCCACATCTGGTTCCAGAGAAGTTAAGAGCCACGACACCACCATGTCGTTGCATCGCTGCCATGCCGCAGAATCGAGAGGGTGCTTGTCCGCCTTAGGTTTCTTGATGGATCCATCTATGAACCCAATTTTATTTTTAGCACTAAGAGAAATCTTCATCGAGCGAGACCAAGTGTTGTAGTTGTCGCCATTGAGTTTCTTTGAAACGAGGACCAACACAGGGTGGTCTGAGTGGTTGAGAAAAAGAGGGTCAGCGGCTTCATTGCTGCCCTTTGCGGAGGAGCCGTCGTCACCCATGTGTGAGAGACGAGAGAAGAAAAAAAGCTAGGTTTTTGAAACCTGCTCTGATACCATGTAGAAAATATATTTGGCTTGAATAATCTTTCATTAATAACATAGAGATATATATACACGAGTTTTCCTTGTACAATAAGGAATCCTACAATCTAGGAATTCCATCTAGGGAAGGATTGGGTATATGAATCAATTACAAATTCTTTCCTATCTAAAATACATTTACTTTCTAACAGTTACACTGTCAAATCCCATGCCGTACCACTTGTTAGCATTAAATGAAACAAGGTCATTAATTGGGAGTTCTATATCTAGAACTTCTTCTCTGAGAGGATTGACCAATAAGCATCTACCGCTTGCTTTAAAGCAAAACAAGTTGCCAAAAACAAAATCAAATTCGTAAATCTGGGACAAAATCTGTGAATAACGATGTTTGCTTTTTGTAAAGTTCTGCTCGCCTCTATATTTCAATGATTGCAAGGCAAAGCGGGTACGACCCCAATGCTCAAGGGACCAGGAATGAGTAAGAAGCATAAGTTGAGGTAGTTCAACAACAGCAGTGTTGGTAGCAGGATTCAGTAAATGAAGCGTAGCAAAAAATGGGTTATCAACTATGCTTAAAGAGGTCTTAGATACGCTACGGATGTGACAAAGTGATTTTACCGGCAGTCTTGCAAAGACGTCGAAGAGGAAATCGTTGGGTAGGTCCATTAAGGTTGGCTTCTCGTTTCCCTTAGCCCTCCACTTCCCCAACCCTAGTAACAAATTTGAATGTAAGTATTGAACTCATCACGTAGATAGGACTCAAGATATTATTAACACAAAATTGTATTATTTACCATAAACAAAAACATAAACAAGTATCACAGTTGACTTCGTACAATTACATATTCAAGTAAATTAAATTGTAACAACAAATCAACAATACTTACCTTTGATCGAAAATATTAAAAGATGCGGCATCAAAACTAATAGAAGATCGATGCATCCGGTTACAAAGTTTCTTCCAAACCAGCAACTACCAAGGATTCCTTTCATCTTAGTCCCAGCGACTTTTGGTCAAGAAATAAGAATAGAGTTTGTTGATGATTTGGTGTCTTTATATACTGTGTTCCTTTTGCTAACTGGAATAGAAAAAATAGGAAAGAAATAGAGTTTTTCTCTTTTTCTTGGGCGGAAAGTAAAGATAGTTGGAATGGAAGTAGGGTTTAGCTAGGATACAAACAATTAATCAATAAATAATCATGGAAACTGGAATGATAAATTTAGGCTTTGATTTTATCGCATTTCTGGAATAGTAGTGGTTACTGATATTATTGTTTTAGGGGTAAATTAGTAAATGTGGAACGTCGATACTTGGTTCTAACCTTAGATTTGGGCCAAAGTTGAATTGGACCATGCCCAAGCAAATATCGGCCGCTAAATTGTCCATTTGGACTTGGGTCAGAACAACAAAGTAACCGAGAAAACGACGACATTGACCAAAGAAAACAATTAGAGAAAGAAAAACAAAAAAAAAAAAAAAAAAAAAAAAACGAAAACGACGACGCCAGATGCAGAGGTGGCAGTGGTATTGAGATTCTGAGAGGACGAAGAAGGTGTTGTTGGTAAGGATCGAGCAAGGAGACCATCAGAGATGGGAGAGGTGGTTGAAACCCTAGAGGGCCATAGAAGGTCGGTGGCAGCTCCTCTCGTCTTCATACTCGTCGTCGTTTTCCAATTTGTCTCCAGGTGGCTACAACAGTTGAAGAAGGTACTTGCTTCAACGATTATCGATACGCATTTAAGCAATTAATGGTAATTTGGTGTGAAATCATTCTCTCAATCATGTTTTTGATTCCTTAATTGGATTTTTTCGCAGAGGGGAGTGAAGACTGCTACGGCAAACCGGTTGCGTGGAGAAATTAAGGACCTTTTGAAGGAGGCAAGCTCATTGTCACAGTGAGTGATTCTTACTAATTAAGTCTTATATTCCATCAATTTAAATACATGCTATATTAATTTTGGTTTTTGGGTTCTTAGCATTCTTTTGATAATTGCATCTTCGAAGTTTTTACATTTACACTAGCAGGATTGTGATCTTATTTTTGTTGAATCCAGGCCTTCAACATTTGCACAAGCTGCAAAGCTAAGGAGGATGGCAGCTGCTAAAGAGAAAGAACTTGCAAATTGTACTAGTTGCTGCAACTCCACCCATTCAATTATGTTTATATATGTTAATAAATAATTATTTACAACATGCTTGGGTTCAAAATTGTGTTTGTATAGTAGCAGCCACATACACTTTAAGAAGATGAAGTTCTTAAGCGAAAGGGTTGAATGTTTAATACAGTTTAGGTAGTTTTTCAATGTCTTTAATTACTAGGTGTCCCTGTACATTCATTTTATTGACTCAAATATCAATCTCATTCAGAGATATGAGTGGTTGATTATTTAGATTAGCCAACTTGCTTTTCTTTTATTTTGATAGCATATACTCTTAATTCCTATGTTCTCAGTACAAATTTTGTCTTGTTGCACTGCCCATCAGGTGGATGTATGATTTAGAAAACATGAAGTGAGTACAAAAAAGATCACTTGATATAAGTTATTGCTACATTTACTTAGTTTAATTTTTTACTTCTTGTATCTATCCCCCCCTCCTTCAGCCCCATGCCTGGTTATATTTTCCTGTCTTTCATAGCTTCAGTACTCTGTTGTGGCGCGGTTTTATTTTCTTAGTGGAGATATGGTGCCCTTCTATGGATGGGAGATTCTAACACTATTACCTGACTTCCAGATCAAGAATTGCATGGCAAGGAGAGAAAACTTTCATATGAGTTGTATCTGAAAGTTTTGTTCATCTCGAAGGTAATTCTGGGTATACTGGATTTTTCAGAAGTTTTCTTTCTTCCTTAATCAAGGTTTTTTTATTGACACACTTGGTTGTCCTCTTAGGTCTTAACATATCTTGTGCTGATTTGGTGGTTTTGGAGGGTTCCTGTTGCCTCCATATCACAACAACTTGTGCAACCCTTTGGTAATGCATTTTTGTTGCATATTTACTTATTGAGTCCCATTCTTTCTTCCAGTATGGCTATTTGCAAGAATCTTCTGTTTTCCTCTTTATCTTTGTCACTTGATGATTTGAGTTTTACTATAATGTGTGTTTTTACTTGTTATATTGACCTATAAGGCTATGTCAGTTAGGATAATTACTAAATTTTGAAAAGAAAAAGAAGAAAGAATGGAGCAACTATATACATAAATCAGAGTAAGTAGCAGGAAGTATAACAAAACTGATTGCAATTCTGATTGATTCTTCTTGTTGCTTTGCAGGGAAAGTGCTATCATGGAGGGCTGGAGGAATTTTAAATGAAAATGTTATGGTAAATAAAGTTCGATCGTATGTTTACACTGTTATTATCTTATAGTTTTCCTGGGTGAAACCTTATGTTGGAAAAGGGGTTTTAAGTGATCCCTTAAGCAGAGATGCTGAAATATGTCTCTTTGGCTCATAGCAACTAAATGATCTAACTACTGTCAGTGCTCTTTTAATTACTATGTAATATGGGTCTACAGTTTTCTCATAGTGCTTCTGGTCTTTTCGTTATGTGTTTGCAGGTAGGAATTATACCGTGGTTGATATTATCTACTAGGGTTAGCAAATTTGTTTGTCGACTGTTCAAGTTCAAAGAATTGAAGTGATCGTCCCATGAAGTGGTTACGAGGAGAAAAGTAATTAGGTCTGGTTTGCTTTACTTCGTAACAATATCTAAACAAGAGCTTAGGAATTTGGAATTTTCCTTAGTCAAGGAATTTGTATTGATTTGCTTTACTTTTTTGGTCTATGTAAATTTAGTTTAGTGTTTGTGAACTCTATAGTATGTAGAAAACGGAACTCTTGTAAAACTTATTCTTTAATTTTATTTACTGAAAGAAAGATCTAGTCAGATGATGCTGTGATGTATTCTGTGTCTGCCACTCAGTACTCAGCTTTCTTTGAGGGATGGGTATGTTCTCGTCATCGTTTGTGTTGAAGAAACTTGGTTATTTATATAGTTAATTCTTTTAACCGATCTAGCCGTGATTGCTTTGCTTATATAAAGTACGTTCTGTTGATTTCACTTCAACGAATTCAAGCCTCATAACATGGAAACAGGCAGATAAAAACCTTAAACAGAGAATCACAAAGCAATAGAACATTTCGTTTGTGTTATTGGTCTGCATAGCAGCATAGCTTTTTAGGTCCATGTTCATGGAGTTCCTTGTTTGTAGAATATGTAGAAAATTCAACTATATTCAAAACCCTTTCTTTGAATTTAATTGGCATGAGGACAATCCAGTAAAATATCGCGTTGTCTTCTGTGGCATGCGTTGGCCTGCTTCAGTATTTGATACCTCAAGTTAGAAAGAGATCAGATAACTTTGGACATGTGACAAAAAGCCTAGATTAGATTAGAAATCAAAGTAAAAAACAAGACAAGAAGAGAATCTTTGGTTCAACTAAGCTGCAGTGGCAGCATGATTAAAATGCCTCAGAAAAGCTTTGGCAGATGGACGGCCAAGCATGAAGAAAGCTGCCCAAAAGTACCAGCAGCCGAGCACACTAGCCGCCACGGCAAGCCGCGGAGAATGACCTGATGCTGCATATGCCCCAGAAATGAATGCAATCGCCATGAAAATCAAGGCGGACATGGTCGAAGATAAGGACAAAACAATGGCATCCGGCCCTGGCAAATAAAAGTGCATCAAGACAGAACAAGCCGACATACACAGGGCCAGTGCATCTGTTACAACAAAAACTATCAAAGCTGCATTTCTTGCTGGACTTGCTTGGCCTCCTCCTTTTTCGCTTTCGTAATCAGCCATGGCGAAACCCGCTACGAAAGTCACAGTTGCTATCAATGTAGCCATTACCAGATGAGCTTCTTTCACTTCCTTCAATATTACATCAGCGTCTTTGCCACATTTGAACACACTGAATCCCCTGCAGCTACTACCACCTTTCTTCTCCTCCACCTCCTCCATTTCGGCTTTTGCGCTTGAGCGCTCCTGTATAAATGTACGTATATAAATGTTAGGTGTACATACGGAGTTGTCTAATTAGAAAAGTGCAGCCAGCTAACCTTTCTAAAGTAAACAAAAAATGCGTACTTTACATACCTTCAGTGTCGGCAGCAGAGAATCATCATCAGCTATAACAATGTGTAAAGCGTTCAAGTTTTCCTTGTTATAAACCAGTAGCTGCTCACAGCAGCAACCAGGACAGCGAGAAAGAACTGTGTTCTTGGTTGGGGTTAACACTTGGTCAACGTGCTCTCTGTGCTGCCAAAGGGCATCAACATTGCCCTCTTCTGCAGCATTGTGTACATCAAGATCCATGCCAGCTTCCCGGTTTCCCCGATCTGCTGGTAGCTTGGCCTCGGCCAAATTCCAAGCCTCCATTTTCATTTTTCTGGTTCCTTGTTTCTCTTGGAAGCATGATCTATCTGAACCCACCAAACGAGAGGCCTTCTTCCAAGTCCATGTTTTGTGGACTGAATTATTGGGTAGGTGTAGGTCCTTATTTAATCAAGTGGGTCTTATATTTTATTCAAATGCAGCTTTTGCTTCTTCTTTTTTTTTGGCACGTGATGAGATTTCTACTTTTATATTTTGGGTATGGATATTTATAATTCTCGGGTCACCAGCAGACTTGCTATAAGGGTCGTTTAACAAGCATAATTTATTGCTTAAAATGGATTACCAAATCCTAAGCAAGCTGGCATTTTCTTAATCTATGTCCCATTTGCCAAATCCTAAATTTTAATTGGTTTGTAAACTGGCCCCTTTTCGCAGAGCAGATTCCAACACTTTTGTTCAAATGTTTTTGGCATTGGGGTTCGTCCAAAGATGCAGTAAAAATGCTATTTCGAAAAATAAAGGTCTTTCTTTTTTAATTTTTGATTAAAATACTACAAAGATAAAAGCACCTTTTTTCGGTCAAAAGATAAAAGTAGCTAAATATAGATAGTCGGCACGTTCATTTACCTGCTGAAGGAGACCAAACCCGAAAACGTTAAAAATTTGGCGAACCCCCAAACTCGAGCTTCCTTGGGGTCGGTTTGGTTTCTGGACTTCTCTTTTCCATGCTTTGTGTTTGTCGCTTCTCCCTCCATTTGTTTTCTTCTGCCAGTTTTGTGGCTTTACGAAGTTACTCTTTTACCCCAATAAAGGTCTTTCTCCATTTGCAAACTAGGCTCCCTGGAAGAGCGTTGGTCTTGAGGACTATTCTTGTTGATGCTCTTTTTCGGAGAGGGTCAACTTAGAGAAAAAGGGGTTTGCCTTCAGCAGGGAAAGGGTCTGGGCCTTCAATAAAGGCTAGCCTGCAGAAGACAAAAATAGGGGAATCAGTCGTTAAGCTCCGGGCACCGGTGTGGTGCCGGCCGAAGGCTCTCCGATGCTTAAGTCAGCTAAGAATAGTAACTTTTGCAGAGTAATAGTAAAAGGCAGAAAAGTAGTTACCCCTCTTACTAGGGTACTGTTCCCTTTTTATAGGGAAGTGAAAGTGGGAGGTTGGTGTAGATTTCCGATGTGGGACTCTGTGCAAGTTGCCGCGGTGGTGACACGTGTCATGAGAATTAGGTTTAACAGTTTGTGAGCTTTGGCAGTCGGGAGTTTCGGCAGGTGCTTGGCACCTCGGAAGAGTGTCTTCCTTCGGCAAGAGAGAAGGCGTGTCTGCCTTGGTGCTAGTTGTTTTGAGACTGGATATGCTCGGTTGATTATGGTGTAAACAGTAGTCCCCCAAGTTCGCGGTCAAGAAGTGACTTCTGGGTTGGGAACTTGTAAGCTTTTGTGTGATCATGACCGAGCATTCCAGGTTCAGTGGGAGCCGTAGGGCAGTCCCTAGTCCCCCAAGTTGTCAAGCTAGAAGTGGCGTTAACACTTGGAAGGTATAAGAAAAAGCTGTGTTAGCCTTAGTGTTTGTTGGTAGCTGGGTACCTTTAAAAGAAAAGTAGACTTGGGTTTTTGAAGCTTCAGTAAGAGAATCTGTGGGCCTTAGTGCTTATGACCCGGGTCCTGTCGTTTGGTAACCAAGTGATGACTGTGAGTAGCAAAGTGGTGTGGGCTTGGGTAACACATATTTGTTGAGCTGGGCATGGGATTTTGGTAGAGAGAATCCCTTGGGAGCCCATTTTGCTGGTGCCCAAAATAGGAGCTGGGCTTATATATATATATATATATATATTTTTTTTTTTGTGAATGGCCCTGTGGTGAGCTGGACTTTAGAGTGCCCAAAGCTTGCACGTGAGCCTCCATATGTTTGAATGCTCCTTGGCCAAAACAAGGGGCTGGGCTGTCAATTTTTTAGCCTAGGTAAGACTCGGGTAGGTGTTAGGGTATTGAGGGGGGTATAAAAACATTCCCACGATGCTTGCCGTTCGGCAAGCAATAGCTAGGACTCTCGTTTTGACAAGGTAGCTGGGTCTTCGGCAGGGTGTTTGGTTTTGAGAAGCTAGGAACATTTTGGCAAGATTTTTTGGTTTTGGGCATCGTTCCATTCCGCTCAACCCTTGCGCCCCTGCCGAACGGCAAGGGTGGTTTGAAGGATTTTTGGAGCTTCCAAAATTGGGTGGTCTGAATCTCGTGAGTTGGCCGTGACTTGGAGCTGGGTTCTCTTTGCCATTGGGGTGGTTTGGCTAAGAGGTAGCTGCGGGCTCGACGGAGCCGAGATCGGGTGCTGGGCAAAAGGAGCTGGATCGGGAAGACCTTGGGTCGTGAGTTTCCAGTTTCAGCAAGGGGTTTGTCTAGGTGTGCCCAAGTTACTTACCGTTTGGCAAGGATGATGCCGAGATAATTTTTTGATTTTGGTGGTTTTGAATTGGGTCACCAAGGTTTCAGCAAGGAGGTTCCGAGGGCATCTCATGTAGTTTCGTGAGCCAGAGCCGTGATCTGGAGGAGATTTGTGAGCTGGACCTGCAGGTTAGAGCTAAGCCTTCGGTAGGTTGACGTAGGTATTTGAGAGTTTGGAACTGGGCTCGTGGCTGTGGTGTGAGCTAGGCTTGTATTATAAACAGAGCGTTGATCTTTGGCAGGGTCTGAAAAGGAGAATGTGGATGCTGTGCTTCGAAATTGAAGTTGGGCTCGGAGCTGAGAGCTAACCCGTATCCATGCTGTTTGGTGTGGTCTTTGCATTGGCAAGGATTTTGCACTTGGGGCTGGGCCTGAATCGAGGTAAGCGTTTTCGAAGCCTTCAAAATTTTCTGCATGGGCCTTTTTGGAAATTCTTTCTCCGCTGCTGTTCTGGTTTCGGCAAGGAAGCTGACCCCACGGATGTTTGCAGATGTTTGAAGCCGGGCTGCGTGGGTCACAGCTTGATCTTTCGTTCTGACTTTGGGCAGGTGTCACTTTGGAGCTGGGGGTGGGAGCTTGGTCATTAGGGAGCTGGGTGTCTTGAGCAGTTTTTGAGGTGAGTTTGTTTTTTTTTTTTTTTTTGCCTCCATTTTGTTGCTACATAACCCTTGCCGTTCGGCAAGGGTGCTTGGAAATGTTTTTTGAAGTTTTTGTTGGCTGGCCCGATTAGAGCTGGGTCTTTCGGGGTTTGGAGCTGGGCATTCCTTGTGACCTGGGTGTCTAGATCAAATCAAGGCTCCTCTGTTTGTCAAGGAAAGAGCTGGGTCCTTGTGAGAATTTTGTTTTTTGTTTGTTGTTTGTTTTTTCTTTTTTTGTTAGGGAGTTAGACCTCCGGCAGGTTCAAAAAGACTGGGTGTGGGCTCATGAGGACCTAGGTCCTGCCTTGGGCTGAACCGTGGATGAGCTTTAGGAATGGCTGGGCAAGGAAGTGGAGGTGAAGAGAGGGGGGGGTCCAAAAAGGAGTCAGCATGACCCTTGCCGTTCGGCAAGGGTAAGTTGGGAAAAGTGTTGGGGCTGACCTAAATCTGTACTTGAGTCTCTGGCATGTCCGAGACCTGTCTTCTGTCGTGGAGTGGGCCAAGGCCAAGACCTGTCCTTTGGTGTTTGTTTTGCTGTGCTTGTAGAGGCAGGTTCGGAGCTGGGCCACCTTGGGTTTTTCGGCAAGAAGTGAGAGCCTAGAGCTGGACCTTCGGTAGGTGGCCAAAAGGGTTTGGCCAACATTGGAGCTAGTCCCGGTTTGGCTAGGGGTTAGCTAGGATTTGGAGCTGGGCTCCGTGAGGTTTGGTTGGTCTTTGACTTGGGACCGTGAGCTGGGCCTTGGATAATCGACAAGGGCATAGGCTTTTTGGCATCCTCCGTAGCCGGGCTTGCCTTAGAGTTAGGCCTCCTTGATTGCGACTGCGAGTTAGGCTTTTGTGAATTTTCACTTAGCTGGGCCATTTGAGGTTGGGCCAATTTTGGCAAGGCTTGGTGATTTAAGGCTGGGCAAAATTGAATTGTGAGGCCACCCACCTTGCATTTCCACTTCAACTTCTTCCTTCGCTTTTGACTAATTTGAAATTGCAAATGCTGTGTAGGTGCTCTTGTAACCCTAGGGCCTAGGGTTTGGGAGGGAAGGTGAAAGGGTGCTAGGGTTTCTCTTGTAACCCTAGGGCCTTATAAATAGGAACTTGGAGTGACGTAGGCATCATTCTTGGAGATTTTTTGGGAAAGATTGTCAGAAAGTGAGAAGGAGAGAAAGATTTCTGGTGAGATTTTGGTGGTGGTGCAAACAAGGTTAGACCTCATTTCTCTTGAATTCTTGAAATGAAATTCAACTTTTTGTATGAACATGTTTAAAGAGTATGATGAACACCTTGAGCATGAGTATGAACATGTTGAATGTATGCATCTAGATCAAAAAACATGTAGAGGCTGTCCAATTTTGTGTTTTTGTGCTTAGATCCTCTTTGCATGTGCATTAGTTCCTTTTTCTTGTTTCTGCATGTTGTAGATGTCTGAGAGTGAAGAGGCCAGTGAGTATGTTTGTTCTGAAGAGGAGAGTTCCCAGACAGATAGTTTTGTAGAAGGGCTTATAGAAGCTAGGATGGGAGTGCATGAGGGTGAGATGGCTGGGCCATCAGTAGAGTCTGGGTCAGAGGCATATAGGAAGATGCAGAAGAAGTATAAAGTGTTAGAAGCCAATGTTGATCGGGTTTCTAGCTTTGGCACATACACCGGAGGTGGGCTCGAGCAATCAGACATCACCATCAGAGTCTGTGGGTATAGCCATGGTTTCAGCTTCAGAGGGGGTGGACATCCGGGTTGGTGTCCCGTTGGGAAATCGGAATACACTCACAGAAGCCAAGTTGGTTGAGCTTCGGACAGATTATAGTGTGCCATCCTATGTGGGCCTGAGGTTACCTAGTGCCACGGATGTAGTGAGATATCCTCCGGAGGGTTCAGTGATGATATTCACCGATATGTACCAGCATGGTCTCAGGCTACCGTTTCATCCTTGGGTACAGATGATGCTGGCCAAGTTGGGGTATGCGCCGGGGCAATACAATCCCAACTTTTGGCTACTTCTGCATGGAGTTTACATTGCTTGGTGGTTGGTTGGGTTGGGGGAGCCAACATTTGAGCAGTTTATGTACTTGTATTCGATCTCCAAGCAACAGGGGACCTTTGGCTGGGTACAAGCCAATTGCCGGAAGGCAAAGGAGAGAGGTTACTTTATTGGGCATAAGCCGAGTACGCAGAAGTCTTGGCGGAACAGGTGGTGCTTGGCCTATGGTGATTGGGAGTGTCCTCCAGGGAAGACCGTCTCCAGACATATTCCAACCCACTTCCAGTCGATAGGTCCTTAGCCCCATCCTTTAAGACTAGTTGTGTTGTAGTGTTTTGACGCTTGGGTCTTTATTTATGTTTTATTGTTTTGCTTGTGCAAGCATAAATGGCTAAGTTGATATCTGAACTGTGGTGCAGGTTCGGTGAAGTGGGGACCGATCTCCAAGGAGCGAGAAGACGAGGTTGAGAGAGTGAGGTCACTGTTGTCGGAGACCCAGCGTGAGCGTAGAAACTTAGTCACCCAAAAGAACCTGTACGAGTCCGGACTCTTGCAAGGGAGTAAGTACCTGGGTCACTGTTGTTGTTTGTCTTATGATTCATTTTGTAGTTGAAACTGACTTGGCTTTTGATGTGCAGTGGCAGGGATCATAAGGGGGAGCACGAAGGTGGCCATGGATCTGGATGATCCCGAGATGCAGAAACGGCTGAGGGAGTCTCGGGCCAAGAAGGCCGAGAAAGGAGGTGCCCAACAGGCTGCTGGGAGGCGTCCAGAGATGATGAGGGCCTAGTCTCCGATGCGTTGGGAAAGAAGAGAGCGCTGGAGGAAGCTCACCGGAGCGTGATGGGGACAGCGCCGAGGCTTCCTCCCTTTGACCCGCAGGCGCCGCCGAAGCTCCCTTTTGGTATGGATGATGTTTACGCCGAGGGGGTAGAAAAGGTGGACTTCTCTGGGCTGCGTCGGCAGAAGAAGGAAGTGAACCTGGCCATGCATCGGCAGGAGGTTCCCTTGGTGAACGTCTTCCTGGAAGGCGTAAAGAGTGACCCAGAGGTTCTGGCGAGGACCCCGGCTACCTCCTATGCAGATCGGGCCCAGAAGACGCTCCTGACCCAGGCCTATGTAAGTTGGCTTGCCTTAAGACTTTGTTCATATAATTCGAATTTGCCTTGAACTGATAATGTTGTGTGTTGCAGGCTTATGGTGAGATGTACGTGAATATGGCCAAGGCAGATAAAGAGATCCAGAGGTTGAAGAGGCGCAATGAGATGGCCAAGGATAAGGTAGCGGAGGCGCAGGAGGCCATCCGAGAGAAGAACACCCTGGTGCTGCAGAAAGCGGCGATGGCCAAGGAGATGGAAGAGCTGAAGCGGTCGAGGGCCGAGGAGGTAGCTGCTGCCCGGGTCGAAGCGATCGAGTCGTTCCGGGGTTCGGATGAGCTGAGGAGCTACATCATGGATCAGATGGTGGCGATGCAGCTGGGTTGGGAGGAGAGGGTGGCGATGTTCAACCCTTCAGTGGAGATTAACTTTGACACGAGTGGTGAGCCTCCCTCATCTAGTCGTACCACTGATGTCGTTCTAGAGCCAGAGCCAGAGCCAGCCATTACGGATGCTCCATCGACTGAGTCCTGAAGGCGTTGCCTTCTTTATGTATTCTAGCTTTTTAGTTTAAACACTTGATGTTTATTTTGATCATGTATGAACATTTTGCCTTGCCTGGGGCAAGGTTACTTTGATGTGCTATGATATGAGACTTGTTGTCATTTGATATCAATTGTGCTTAGCAAAATGAGAACCATGTGATTGATGAAAATGAGCCAGGGTCGGGCGTTCATTAAATATGTGCCGGAAGGCAAAAAGTACAAGAGTTGGTTGAGTCAAGGCTCGAGACCAAAGTATAAGAAATCATAATAGCCTATAGTCTAGGTATGTTTACTTATAGTAGTACTTGAGGTGATCAGCATTCCAAGGATGAGGCAAGGTCTTGCCCTTGGTGTCACGAAGCTGATAAGTGCCGGGGCGGCAGACTTTGGTAACCTCATAAGGACCTTCCCATGTTGGGCCCAAGGTACCTTCAGTGGGATTCTTGGTGGCCAAGGAAACCTTGCGCACGACCCAGTCCCCGAGTTTGAAAGCACGGGCTTTGACTCGGGAGTCGTAGTACTTAGCGATGCGTTGTTTGTACGCGACATTGCGCATGTTGGATTGGTCACGAAGCTCGTCAATGAAGTCGAGGTTCAGGGCTAGCTGCTCGTCATTGGCCTCGGCCTCATAGGTGGAGGTGCGGTATGTGGGCTGGCCAATCTCCACTGGTGCCACTGCTTCGGTACCAAAGGAGAGAGAGAAAGGTGTTTCTCCTGTTGAGGTCCGGAAGGTGGTGCGATAAGACCAGAGAACTTCTGGGAGTAGCTCCGGCCAGCAACCCTTAGCTTTGTCAAGCTTAGTTTTTAGAGTTTTCTTGATGATCTTGTTCACAGCTTCCACCTGGCCATTAGATTGAGGATGGGCTGGGGAGGCGAAGCAAAGCTTTATCTTGAGGTTGGAACAAAATTGCTTGAACTTTGCGTTGTCAAATTGCCGGCCATTGTCTGTGACGATGGTGTTGGGGATGCCAAAGCGACAGACGATGTTTTGCCAAACAAAAGTTTCAATGCGGGCTGCAGTGATGGTGGCTAAGGCCTCAGCTTCAACCCACTTGGTGAAGTAGTCCACAGCTACAACTGCATACTTGACTTGGCCCTTGCCCTCAGGCATAGGTCCAATGAGGTCAAGTCCCCATTGGGCGAATGGCCAAGGACTAACCATGGCTGTCAATGGCTCAGCTGGAAGTTGTGGGATGTTGGCAAATCGCTGACACTTATCGCACTTCTGGGTGAAGGTCTGGGCATCAGTGTGAAGTGATGGCCAAAAGTATCCCTGCCGAATGATCTTGTGTGCTAGGGAGCGAGCGCCTGAGTGGTTGCCACAGATACCCTCATGAATCTCTCTCAGGACATAGGTACCTTCCTCTGGGGTCAGGCATCGAAGATAGGGGAGGCTGAAGCCGCGCTTGTATAGGGCACCATTGAGGATCAAGTATCGGGCGGAACGATAGCGAACACGCCGCGCTTCAGCAGGATCAGCAGGTAGTGTCTGGTTCTGCAAGAACTGAGTGATGTGGTCCATCCATGTAGGGCTTTGATCAATGACACAAATGAGTGGTGCCCGTGTACTGGGCTGGTCCAAGAACTCGATGTGGATGTTTCGACCTATGCCCTGCTCCATCGCCGAGGCTAGCCTTGCCAATGCATCAGCATGACTGTTCTCAGAGCGTGGCACCTGGCCTATGAGATAAGCATTGAAAGTTGTAAGCAGGTGGCGGGTATGTTGGAGGTAGGCTGTCATGGAGATGTCCTTGGCCGTGAAGTCCTGGTTGACTTGGTGGACAACAAGCTGCGAGTCGCTGAATATTTGGATTTGCTTGGCGCCCATTTCCTTGGCTAGGCGAAGGCCGGCTAAGAGTGCTTCATATTCAGCCTCATTGTTGGAGGCGTGGAATTTGAAGCGGAGGGCGTACTCAAGGGCAACCTTGTCTGGGGATATGAGAACGAGGCCAGCTCCACATCCCTGGGCATTGGAAGAGCCATCCACATACAAGGTCCACAAGGGCTGGGTTAAGTCTAGGGAGCCGTTGCTGGCGACATGGACCTGGTTCGAGGTAGGAGTAGGCGTGATTGCAATCTGAGGACTGGCCAAAGTATGGGGTTCGGTGAATTCAGATATGAAATCAGCCACGGCTTGGCCCTTTGCGGCTTGGCGGGGTTTGTAGTGGATATCAAACTCACCAAGTTCAATGGCCCACTTGACTAACCTCCCAGAAGTCTCTGGCTTCTGCAACACTTGCCTGAGTGGTTGGTTGGTTAGGACATGGATGGTGTGAGCTTGAAAGTATGGCCGGAGGCGTCTAGCCGAAACCACCAGGGCGAAAGCAAGTTTCTCAATGTCTGGGTATCGAATCTCCGCATCTTGCAATCCTTTGCTCACATAGTGCACCGGATGCTCAGCACCTTCATGTGGTCGAATGAGCACTGAGCTAACCGCTGTAGCCGAGACAGAAAGGTAGATGGTGAGGACGTCCCCAGACTCAGGGGTTGACAATAAAGGGGCTCGGCTCATGTATGCCTTGAGCTCGCCGAATGCCTGGTCACATTCTGCAGTCCAGGTGATGTTGCGCTTGCTACCCTTAAGTGCCTTGAAGAATGGGGCGCAACGATCAGTGGCTTTAGAGATAAATCTGGTCAGGGCTGCGACACGCCCAGTAAGGCTCTGAATGTCCTTGACCGTCTTGGGTATCGTCATGTCCAAAATAGCCTGGATCTTCTCTGGGTTGGCCTCAATACCTCTTTGGCTGATCATGAAGCCAAGGAATTTGCCGGAGGCCACCCCAAATGCACACTTGGTGGGGTTGAGCCGCATCCTATACTGCTTCAAAATGGTGAACGTGGCAGAGAGGTTGGGGATGTGCTGGTCGGCAGTGCGACTCTTGACCAGCATGTCATCAACATAAACCTCCATGGTGTTGCCAATGAGTGGAGCGAAGATGCTATTCACCAGACGCTGATATGTAGCCCCGGCGTTCTTGAGGCCGAATGGCATGACTTTGTAGCAGTAAAGGCCACGGTCGGTGATGAAGGATGTATGGGCTTGGTCCTCAGGATGCATGAAGATTTGGTTGTACCCTGAGTAAGCATCCATGAAGCTGAGGAGGGCTTGGCCAGCTGTGGCGTCAACTAGCTGGTCAATGCGGGGTAGGGGGAAACTATCCTTTGGGCAGGCCCGGTTGAGATTTGTGTAGTCTACGCACATGCGCCAACCCTTCTTTAGTTTACGTACCATTACCACATTGGCTAGCCAGGTGGGATAATCCACCTCCTTGATGAAACCAATGGTGCTCAGCTTATCCACCTCCGCCTTCATGGCCTCATACCGCTCTGGGTCATAAGCACGACGCTTCTGCCGAACGGGTCGGACGACAGGATTAATGCTTAGCCTATGGGAGATGACGTCAGGTGATATGCCCGGCATGTCGTTGTAAGACCAAGCAAAGACTTCAGAGTTGAGGCGGAGGAAGGCAATAAGATCAGAGCGAAGCTCTTGTGAGAGGGAGGTGCCGATCCTGACCTGTCGATCCGGGATATCCTCATGGAGAGTGACCAGTTCAAGGTCCTCCACAGGTTCGGCCTGTTGGGTGGCAGATTCCTCCCTGGGGTCCTCTGGGCGCTCAGTGCCAGCTCGAGGTGGGGCTAGGGCCTGGGTTACTGCTAGAGCCTCACCCCTTTGTTGGCGATTAGTAGACTTTACTGCTGAAGCATAGCAACTTCGGGCGCCCAGTTGATCACCGCGCGCAGTGCCCGTGCCATAGGGGGTAGGAAATTTCAACATTAACATATGTGTGGAAATGAAGACCTTCATCTGGGCCATGGCAGGGCGTCCCAGGATAACGTTGTAGGCTGTAGGGCAGTCAATGATGAGGAAGGGAGTGGTGACCGTCGTTCGCTGGGGAGCTGCTCCAATAGAGATAGGGAGATGAATGCTCCCAATAGGCTGGACCACATCACCCGAAAAGCTCACCAGGGGTGTGACGCTTCGGTCGAGCAAATGAGATGGGACCTGGAGCTCATTGAAGGCATCAGCAAACATCACACTGACCGAGCTGCCAGTGTCTACCAATATGCGCCCAACGTCAAAGTTAGATATGTCGGCGCGGATAATGATTGGGTCATCATGAGGGAGGATAACGCCGCGCTCCTCCTCCTCGCAGAAGGTAATGGGGGCCCAGCCTGTTTTTTGTGTCTTCGGCAAGCGTCCCTGCTCAGTACTGAAGACCTGGTGCGCATAAGTAGAGCGGACATAATGTTTGATGGAGTTGTTGGAGGTGCCAGCCATGGTTGGGCCACCGCTGATGGTTGAGATCATGTTGATCTGCCGTTGGTGAGGGTTAGGTGGGAGGTTGTGCACGTATTTATCCAGCTTCCCCTCGCGAATAAGTCCCTCAATGATGTTGCGCAAGGCAACACAAGATTCGGTATCATGGCCACCGAACTGATGAAAGCGACAGAAGACTCCTGTGTTAGGCATAGGCTTGCTGCCTGGTTTCCGGGGTGGAGGCTGAGGTATGATAGGTGCCTCGTGCACTAGGACATTCTCATAGGTAGTGTTGAGGGTGGTGAAGACCTCGAACCTGGGTTTGGGTGAGAATGGGAGTGGGGCCCGGTCACTTGGCCTGGGGGGGGTTGCTTCCACTAGACTGGTGGTGGTTCCCATGTCTGCCCCGCTTGTTATTGTTGAAGGTATGCTGGTAGCTATCCTTCCTCTTGGGGTGTTGGGCACCCTGGGTGCTTGGTGCAGGGGCAGAATGTTGGGGTGGAGCTGGGATGGGTACCGAAGCAGGTGGAGGATCAGCAAAAGGATTATGCGCCGGGATGGCTGGGCTGCGCTTGGAGTTGAAGTACTCAGCCTTGGCATGAACTGCTGCCTGCTTCATCAGCTCGGCATATGTGTTCCAAGGGTTGCTGTGGACCAGGTACCGGAAGTTAGACTCTCGGAGGCCACTCTTGAAAGCACCGAAGGCGGCACGATCATCAGTATCTGGGCAGCGGGAGTATTCGTGGCTGAACCTGGCTGCATACTCCCGAAGGGGCTCATCCTCACCCTGTCTAAGCATGTATAGGTCGTCCGCGGAGTAGAGGCGATCGGTCTGGATCATGAAATGGTCCAGGAAAGCCTGTTTCAGACTGTCAAATGTATTGATAGTGCGGGGGTTCAGCCTGTAAAACCAGTTCAGGGCCGCGCCACTGAGAGTGGAAGGGAAGAGGAGACACATGCCTTCGTCAGTGAGGCCCTTGCACCCCAAGGCAGACTGGAAAGAATGTATGTGGGTGAGAGGATCCTCTGTACCAGTGTAGAAGGCAATGCGGAGTGGCTGGATGTCCTTCTCCTGGTGGTAATTAAGGATGCGTTCGGTAAAGGGCCCAGGCCGTGGCTTTGCCCAGAGAGGTTGGTGGTTGCGCTGATGTTCGCTCTCCAGGCGCCGGACTTTCTCGAAGAGAAGCCTCATTGCCGGGTCGGTATGAGGGAGAGGCTCGGGTGCTGGGGGTCTGGTGTGTGGGTGGCCATGGGCTGGGTAGAATTCTTCGAACGCCTCGGTGTGATAAGACTCGTAGTCTTCTAAGTAACCCTGGCCCCAGTTCTCTGAGTCCCCTATACCTTCTCCAAGGGGTAGTTGGGTAGGCTTTGGCGGGGGGCCCAGGTGTTTCATCTTTGGGTCTTGGAGATTAACAGAGATAAGATGAGGTTCCGTTTGACGGTCCAGGATACGGTCCCTGCAATCCCGGTAGACCTTTGTTGGTTCATGAGGCCGGTTCCTTGGTGGGGAGATGCGGAGAAGCCGCGACTTGGTCGTGTCCGGATAGAGGGGGCCTTTACCCTTGCTGGGCCTAGGCTGGGTTGGGACATTGTGGTGGGAGTGCTCCGGCTGGTTTGGCTGTGTACGCTCAGGTACCTGGGTAGGGCTGTGTTGGGAGCCTTGGGTCTGATTCATCTCCCAGTTACGCTTCAGTGTGCGGTAGTCATGCTCGAGCTCGACGTTCTTAGCATGAAGATTGTCATATTTCTCAGACATCTTGGTGACACTGGCGCGGAGGCTCTCCAGTTCTGCCTGGAGATTGGCATCTGCTGAAGGTCTTCTCTGGGAGGTACCCCCATGGGGGGTATGGTGCTGAGTCCCCTGGCTATCCTCAGTAGGCATAGCTGAGTGTGGAGTGAAGAAGAGGCGACGGGGCCGGATAGGAGAAGGAGCCAGCTGGGCTGGTAGAGAAAAAATGGGATTCAAGTATCGTTTCCCACAGACGGCGCCAAACTGTTGATGCTCTTTTTCGGAGAGGGTCAACTTAGAGAAAAAGGGGTTTGCCTTCAGCAGGGAAAGGGTCTGGGCCTTCAATAAAGGCTAGCCTGCAGAAGACAAAAATAGGGGAAGCAGTCGTTAAGCTCCGGGCACCGGTGTGGTGCCGGCCGAAGGCTCTCCGATGCTTAAGTCAGCTAAGAATAGTAACTTTTGCAGAGTAATAGTAAAAGGCAGAAAAGTAGTTACCCCTCTTACTAGGGTACTGTTCCCTTTTTATAGGGAAGTGAAAGTGGGAGGTTGGTGTAGATTTCCGATGTGGGACTCTGTGCAAGTTGCCGCGGTGGTGACACGTGTCATGAGAATTAGGTTTAACAGTTTGTGAGCTTTGACAGTCGGGAGTTTCGGCAGGTGCTTGGCACCTCGGAAGAGTGTCTTCCTTCGGCAAGAGAGAAGGCGTGTCTGCCTTGGTGCTAGTTGTTTTGAGACTGGATATGCTCGGTTGATTATGGTGTAAACAATTCTTATTTAATCTAATTTATGGGAATTTTTTTTAAAAAAAATTATAAATATCAATGAGGATGGGGATTCGAACTTTGATATAAGAAGGTGGACTCGTTACTCTAGCCACCTGACTAAACTCATGTATACTATTGTGTGTCATTTTTTTGATTCAAGCCTAAATATTAAAACGTCATGCCGCGTTAATTTTTATATATTCCAAAACTGGCCCTATAATCAATCTGGTCATTTAATTCCCACAAATTTTGGAGTTTAAAATCTCTCAATTATGGCGTTCAAATAGTAGAGAACTCCAAAAAAAATTCCCACAAATTTCCAAAAACAGAAAATACACATACATCAAAATGACTTTGGATTGCTTCACATGTTATTTTGGGTTGGACCCAGATCATAGTGTAGAGGGTCGGGTCAAAGCCCAAGAAACCTTTGGGCCATCAACCCAATCAAACAATCCAACAACAAAACAAAAACAAAAAGGCAAATATTTAAGGAGCCTCTCGATAATTTTGGTTTCTCTTTCAAACAAGCTTGGTTAGGGTTTGGTAGATAACAGTTTAATAATTCGATTTTTCAGTCGTTCCTTCTCCTTTAGAGAGTCGCAGCTGCCTTCGAAGACTCAAATCGTCGCAGCCATGTACGGATCGAGAGGGTAAGCCTAGTTCGATTTTGTTTGCATCTTTCAAATATCTGTGTGTTTCTTGTGATCTTCTTGTTGCTATTTTGCTTCGTTATGTTGCTAAATTTGTGATTGATTATCTTGGAATCTGATTGATGGTTTAATCTGATTCTGATGCGTCTTGGATTAAGAAAATTAACGAGGAAGAGGAATTGGTTTATTTGATAATTTGATTTCGTGGCTCTTGTATTTTCACGTAGAATTGAGTTTTGGGAATTTTAGTTTTTGATACGTGTTTGCTTTAAATCTAACCTAAACATATTTGGGTCTTTTTCTCATTCATCAAGTTAGTAAAATACATAGAGATTGGCTTGGTATTGACCATTTATGTAATTCATCAAACAAAATCCCTGCAACTCTCATATGAGAAAGACAGGTTAACCGTTGCAAAGCTCATTGACTATGCAATGGGAACTCAATTTAAATAAATAAGTAAAGGGCCCATTTTACCTGTTCGGAAGTAAGGGAAAATAGAAACTTAATCCATCTTTCAAGGACTAAAAGTGTAGTTTTTTAGCCTAAAATTTACTGAATTTATGATTTTCATGAGCAGTCTGTGTCATGGTGGAATGGATAGAGAAATTGATTCTATATTATTAAAACCTGAGAGTATATATAAACTATGTTCAATTGTGTGAATGCGAACCTAATGCTTCTGCGTGTGACATCTCATATGGTTTCTTGCGTTTGGTAGCATCAGTTGGTTGATATCTTATATCTAGGAAAAGCTGTTTTCTTTTCTATGCTTTGTTATGCATCTGTGGTTATTTCTGTTTTTCTCTGTTTGATATGGGGCTGGTAGATATAATTATATTTTTTGAGAATAACAAATGTAGGGTTTTAGACATTAGGTGTCAGGGAAGTGTGGGTTGGGTTTGGTTTTATTAACAGGTTGAGTGGGGGATTTTCTCTTTTTTGGGTATTAAGGGCAATGTTGGGAAGCGGGGGGGTTTCGGACGGGTACGAGGTCGGCTCAAAGAGACCAAGAATGATGGACTCGAATCCCTACTTCGCAGTGAGCAGCGGCACAAGTGGCTTTCAACCTTACAACTATGGTGGGGGTTATCAGCCCCCTGCCTTTCCTGTGGCCCGTCTCAGGGGGCTTCCTTTCAACTGCACTGATATCGACATCTTCAAGTTCTTTGCGGGACTGGATATTGTTGATGTGTTGCTGGTCAACAAGAATGGACGCTTCTCAGGAGAGGCCTTTGTAGTCTTTGCCGGACCCATGCAGGTTGAGTTTGCTCTTCATAGAGATCGTCAGAACATGGGGCGGAGGTATGTCGAAGTTTTCCGGTGCAAGAGGCAGGACTACTACAATGCTGTTGCAGCGGAGGTAAACTATGAAGGTATTTATGATAATGACTATCAAGGAAGTCCTCCTCCATCTAAATCAAAGAGGTTCAGCGACAAGGACCAAATGGAGTACACTGAGATATTGAAGATGCGCGGTCTCCCCTTCTCTGTTAAAAAATCTGAAATTCTTGATTTTTTTGGAGAATTCAAGGTTGTAGAAGATAGGGTGCATATTGCTTGCCGCCCGGATGGAAAATCTACTGGAGAGGCATATGTTGAGTTTGTTTCTGCGGAAGAGGCCAAAAAGGCAATGTGCAAGGACAAGATGACAATTGGGTCGAGGTATGTGGAGCTGTTTCCATCGACACCAGATGAAGCTAGACGGGCTGAATCCAGATCAAGGCAGTGATGATCAGAGACTGTAAACTTTTTTTTTTATGTGAAATTTCCATTGTGGGGCTAAGACATTTTTCTCATTAGGTTATATACAAACATGATTTGTTATCTTTTTAAATGGTTAAATTGAAGTCCATATGTGGACTAAAGGAACATGTAGGTTATCTTTACTATCATCTGCTACCACGGTTGTTTTCTGTTTTGTAATTGCTTCTTTTTCTGCTTGGTTATTGAACCGCCCGCTTAGCCATATAAGCAATCAAATTTGGTCAATGAAAGAAATTGGATGGATATGATTTCTAAGTGGCGGGTGCTGTCATAATTCCTTATTTTCCTGTGTGTAAAATTAAAGCACTAGCAAGCAAAAATCAAATTTCAAGTCAAGTGCTGTGCTGAGCTGATCATAAGCAAAAATCAAATTTGAAGATTATATTTGATCCCCAACTCCATGAAAGGCAAAGAAAAGGAATGCACTACTTCCTTCCAATGGGGAAGATCCTCATAGAATTTATGGAGCATTTCCTGTTTCTGAGCAGTAGAGCTCACCTGACCTGAGTATACTAGGTGGGCTCTGTTCTGTACTTCAAGAACCAAAGAAAGAAAGAAATGAGAGTACCATTTCAAGGTCATTTTTGGTATATTGAAATTATTCATTAAACTCTCCGAGCACGGGTCTCATTTCACTTAGCCTTGCTTCTTCTTCTTCTTCTTTCACTGCTGGTCGCCGTAGCTTCTTCTGCCGAGTACAGAAATTCTATTTGCTGAGAGCTCTTCCTTTACCCTCTGAAATTTCTCTCCATCCCCATCCAGTGCCATGACTGAATTACCTTCGTACGTTCCAATCGAACTTGAAACCACAACCTTTGACCTTATCGTTGTTGGGACAGGCATCCCCGAATCAGTAATCGCCGCCGCAGCCTCTGCCACTGGAAAAACCGTCCTCCACCTTGACCCAAACCAGTTTTACGGCAGCCACTCCGCCTCTATTCACCTTAATGACCTCACTTCCTTCCTAAATTACCATGCTAACCTACCCTCCACCACCGCCGCCAATACCACCTCTGTAAGTAGCAGCCATGATTTCACCGCCCTAAATCTCAGCCTCCGATCCCTATATTCCAACGTTGAGACTGCCAACTATGCCCCCGAAACACTAGCACAACATTCCACAAAATTCAGAGTCGACCTTGGCGGGCCAAGGGTTTTTCTTTGCGCCGACAAAGCTACCGACCTTCTGATCAAATCGGGCATAAACGCGTATTTGGATTTCAAGGGCATCGAAGCGAGCTTCATTTGGGATGGAAGTGGGAGGCTTTGTGATGTACCGGACTCTCGATCAGCAATATTCAAAGACAAGAGCTTGAGTCTTCTAGAGAAGAACCAACTCATGAGGTTCTTCAAGCTTGTTCAGCGGCATTTGGGAGCCTCTAACGGGGATGATGAAGGGAGGGAAAGTTCGAAGATTTCAGAGGAGGATTTGGAGAGCCCCTTTGTTGAGTTCTTGAAGAAGATGCGGTTGCCGCCCAAGATAAAATCGTACAGATCGCATTGCCTTTCTCTATCTGCTAGTTACAGCACTTTTTTTTTCCCCATGTCTCATTTGTCTTGATAAGATTGCTTTGCTTTACTGGGGTTTTGAGTTTTCCCCATTGATTCAGTGAGCTGTTGGCGATTGAAACGTTTATAGATACCCATTAGTACTCTTTGCTGCTTGTTACATTATTTATCGTAAAAAGGAAAAAGGGAATGTAGTTTTTATTATTATTTATAATTCTGTTGTTTTTCCTTCAAACAAAGCAAGCATTGGTTGCCCTTGTAATAGTCTACACCAAGAAAGGGGTCGTTTTTATCCTGAAAACTGTTTCTCAAATGAGTTATTCTGTTTGGTTTCGTCACCTCGAAGAGTTTTTATTTCCGTATTCTGAGATTGTTTTTGTTTCTTCCATATAGGATTATTCTGTATGCCATTTGCATGGTAGATTATGATCAAGATAACTTGGAAGTTTGTAAATCTGTGCTTAAGACCAGAGATGGGATGGAGCGGTTAGCCCTCTACCAAAATTCAATTGGCAGGTTAGTTTTGTTATTATGTTTTGTACTTAACGTTTATTATATGCCATTTTAGGTATTGTGTAGTACTATTGTAGTGATGCTCGACCCAGTACCTCAGTAGTATTTATACTATCAATGAGTTTATTTATTCATCCATGATCTAGGCTCAGTTTGAATGAATAAGTCTTTGAGTAACAAAGAAAATGACGAAACTCCACAATGTTAGATGGCAATGGTTTATGATTGTGGAGCATATGTACATCTGTTTAGAATGGGAAGCAATAAGGAAGTATGAATGGGGCGTAATCCTGTCAATTTCATTGAAATTAAAATTTCAGAAAAGAGAGCTTTTCTTCTTAGATGTGTTGTATTTCTTAAGTGAGCCAACTGATTTTGATGTGTCCCTTGAATCAATACTTATGGGACTCAAAGTTATATAAAAGATGCTACTCAGTATGCCACAAATAGGTTCTTTATCATTCTTGTTCTTCTTAGGTATGGTGCGTCTGGGGCTTTGCTTTATCCTACTTATGGTATTGGGGAGTTATCACAAGCCTTTTGCCGTCGCGCTGCTGTTAAAGGTTGCATTTATGTAAGTTTAAGCGGAAGTGTCTGTTACTTAATTTCAAGGAAAAAAGTATCCTGAAGTTATTGGCCTGTACATACTTCTTCATATATGTCCACCCTTGTTTATTTATTTATTATTAGCCTATATGTGTGGTCTTATTTAACTTTTACTCTTTTCTTTGTTGAAATTTTTGGTTCGTCTCCAACTCTGTGCATTTCACAAATTGTGAATCATGTTATTTGTAAAAAGAACGGTGGGTTAGCTTAATGTTTTAGCTCTACTTATTTACTTTTATAGGAGTTAGAGTTATGTTCATGTGCATTAGTTCTTACATTCACTGGAAGTGTAGATAAACATACATACATACAGTTGGAATGGTTATCCTTGTCTGAAAACTATTTTAATGCAGGTTCTGCGAATGCCAGTGACTGCTCTGCTTATGGACCAGGTATGGGCATGAGTGTACTTATTGTTGTTTCTGATGTAACATATTTATTGAAATAAATTTTTACCTGAAAGTTGCAAATTAGTTAATGTTTATCGTGGACTTTTGCAGAATAGTGGACAGTACAAAGGTGTTAGATTAGCTTCAGGCGAGGATTTTTTTAGTCATCAGCTGGTTTTGGATCCAACCTTCATAGTCCCTTTGCCACCAGCTTCATCTCCCCCAGACCTGAGAGAAAGTTTTCAAGTTTTAAGTCTGAAAGATGATAAAAGAAAGGTGGCTAGGGGAATATGTATAATTAACAGTTCCTTGAAGCCAGATATATCACAATTTTTGCTCATATATCCTCCTAGATGTAAGAATTAACTCTGGTTATGTTAGTGTGCTTTGTTGAAACTGAATAATAGAACTAAAATTGTTTGTCTCCTTTCCTCCCCTCTCCCCCCCAGCTTTGTTTCCTGAGCAGGATACTTCAATTCGGGCTCTCCAGATAGGAGGCGACTTGGACCAAATGGCTGTTTGTCCATCAGGCATGTATGTTTATGCTAAATCTTTGAAAATAATAATTCTCTCCCTCTCTCTGCGTTGACATAGAGATATATACACATTTTCTTTTATCTTTTATCTTGACATTCTTTTTAACCTTTTTTAATATCTTGATGGCTAAATATTTGGTAATTATGCATTACATGTACAACTTCAAGTATATGTTAGGCACATCATATCTGTCCTCCATGCTATAGCAATGAGATCAAATAGACCAGCTACCCTGAAGCAATGAAAAAGAAGCACCACTTGCCACCTACATATGTGGATTTGTAACTGTATATTTAAGGTACCCAAATTGGTTGACTTATTAAGCTCTAAAAATAAAAATGGTCAAGCCTTTGGTTTCCTGTAGTTATGATATGGAACTGCCTAAATACTTGGTCCTATTGCCTAGAAATGACTAATGTTAGGTCGTGAAGTTTATCAACTTGTTAATAGTTATTGACTCTTATCTAGTCATGGTTGCTATTCTTTCTTCTTTTGGGATTGTCTTTAAAAAAAGAGTTTCCATACCGATTATTTACCATTGTACATATGGATTAGATATTAGATACCCACCCTCACGCTTTCCAGGAATCTGTTAAATTTGACTTTGTTTACCATCTCTTCTTCAGGTTTGTGTTGTACTTTTCTGGTTTATGTGATGATGCAGGACAGGGGAAAAGGTTGCTACATGCGGCCATGAATGCTCTTCTCACCCTTCCTGTTTCTGAAAGTGGTTCCGCAGCTGGTAGTGAAGACACAGAAGTAAAGCCCACCCTGCTTTGGAGCATGTTATACATTCAGGAGCTCACAACGGTGCCCACTGTATGTCTGCACAAAAGTTTGTTTCTCAGTAATTCTATGTCTTGCATTGTGATTGTTCGCTTGTTTGATGCTTTTTTGTTCTTTGCCTCCGTTGATGTTTACCAATGATGATGAGGATGATGTGTTCTCATAGATGTATTAAATTTGAGGATGGCAATGTAATGACTTGTTCTCATCTGTGGATGATTTGAGGATCAAACTGAAAAAGGGCACATGTGATGTGGATATAATGTTTACCTTTTTGGAAAGACATTAGAACCATGTTGTACTGGTTTTTGTAAATGCGACATAAATCTTGATATAGGTATGACCTTTGATGCCTTTTCTGATTTGCATTGATTTCAGGGTCAATATGAAAATATCATCTCCACTCCGATGCTAGATGGAAATATTAACTTCAGTGATCTGATAGAATCAACTGTGGTGGTATGTCCTCTTTTAACTGGCTTAAGTTTGATAACTTTCACTATACCTAATTACTTGTTACATATCACCTAATGTTAAGCCCTTATAAAATTTGGTGTTGGTGCTGGTACTTGACAGCTTTTCCAGAAGATGTATCCAGATGAGGTATTCTTTCCGGAGACACCCTCCTCCCCTGAGGTGCCTGAGAATTCAGAGGATGATACCGAGCTTAGTCTAGAGAACTAATGGTGGTTTGTTGGACTCAAGTCAGTGTCTGCTGTACTAGGGCATTAAGTCATCCCCTCGAATGCATTGCCGCAGGAATTTGCAGACGTGGAAACATGACTGCTAGCATCTTGTATACTAGAACAAGAAGCAGGGTACTTATTGCTTCCTATAATTTGGCAAGCATTACCCATTATCAATTGTACTGCTATTGCCCGGAGCCCTACTTTGAGTTTATTGTGATATCCAAAAGGGCCAACATTTTGTGTCGAAGTTCAAAATATATTTAGTTAGCTATCTTGCCTCCAGTTACAATTGACAATTCATTTCTGACTGCGTGTTTATTTTTCATCGCCATTGAATGAACGAGAACATCGTTCTAGATGCTAGCATAAGAAAATTTGGAACCAGAAATTTAGAGAATAAGAAAGGCCTTATTAGCAAATCACAAAACAGAAACACTGAAGTTCCGGTGAGCCCAACCGTCCCAACCGTCCAATCTCATGAAAAGGTGAGCTTCAATGGCAGTTTCTGGTTTGCTGGAAATTGCATACTACTAAAGGAGCTGAATTTAATTATTTTTATAATTCATTTGTAACGCCCTTTGTGCCACTTCTCAAACATGCCCAAAGCCAATGGTAGTTGCTCTGGCTTTCGTGAATCGGGACCCAGTTTTCTTTTTCTTTGACACATGTGCCCCTACCGTCGCGCCATAATTTGATAATCCAACACTCTGAAGCGGAATATTCTTGGGTCATTCCAAGGTTAATTTAGTAAGTGCAAGTTTTTCCATGGCATAACAGGTAATTAGTACAATATTACAGAGATTGGAGTGGCAGTCTGCGTGTATTAGTAGCTACGTGACAAAATTCAAAACCTCGGAAGTCCATTTTACAAAGTTTTCGAAGCCAATTTTGTGTCCTCTCTCTTAATGGCTAGGAGCAATTACTAACAACAAAAAGAAAAATGAAAAAAGAATATTTTTTTTAGTCAAATTACCATTTAGAAAATATATTTATAATGTTAGCCAAAAGGTTTTTTATTTAAGGAAGCTCTTTCAAGTTAAGCACCAATATTTTATTGGATGAACAATATTATTTTCAAGATACAAACAATCATTGTCACGAAAATTGTTGTAGGAATCCTAAACAACTAACTTAACTCTGATGATTGACTTTATTTTTGTACACGTGTAAGTATGTGTTTGCATATGCACATAAGTCACAATTATTGTTCTATTATATAAAAATATTACAATTATAGTCGGTTATGGAAATAATAAAATAAAAGTTCGTTTCTTGTTACGACATTGTAGGAGTTCGTTATATATTTAATAAGTTGCTAAAACTAATTATTCATTCATGTGGTAGTCCACTTTGGATTTAGGTGAGGCATTCAGTTTTACACATTTTGACCAAGGAAATTTTAATTCCAATGTGACATTTATATGCCATTAAGCATTTTAAAAAATTTAGAAAGAAAAAAAACTTGGAATAATGCAATAAAGATTTTGGTAATCTCTATCTAAAAGGGAAAAAGAAAAACGTTTTTGGTCATCTAGTAACAAAATATAGAAAAAGCCAACACAAAAGAAAGTAGAGAAAAAGGAAAAAGCTTGGCTTGGCAGGACTCTAGATAAATGGGCAAGTGAAAGTAACTGTGAAACTAATCAAAGGTCTGCAACCTGAGAACAAAAAAAAAAACCCTGCTCCAAAAAGTTCAGAGCCTGGGTTTTCATTTCATCCCATTCCCTCTTTCTGCCCACGGTTTTCTTGTCACTACTTAACTGGTAATGTAGTGTTGCTTACCCCACCCCATAACCATGATATTTCTTCCTTCCTTTACATGGATTCCAGTGACTGTGAACCCCATTTGCTGAGATCTCTCTTAGTCTTCAAGAACACCATCAACCAGGGTAAGCTTATCAAAACCCAGCATTCTCAGCAATCAATTTCAGTTGTTGCTCTCCAAAGATTAGTCCTTTATTGTTCTTCTTCTTGTTGGTTTTTTCTTTTGTCTTTTAAAAAGCTTTTTTTTGTTGTTGTTGGGTTTTTGATAGAGTTGATCAGGAGCTTGCATGTGTACCGATTAGATGAGGGGAAGGAAAATGAGGTTGAGAGGGAGTTTGTGTTGTCCGCCAGTGAGCCATATGTGGAGTTATCAGCTGACCCGCTTCTTAGATTGATGAAATTTCCAGTTTCCCAAGTGCACGAAGGACATGTCAATGGTTGTTGGGTTTGCATATTTGCATTTCAGGCCAATTGTCCTCCTAATTTTACATGCATTCCTTCTATACTTTCAGTCTCCAGGTACCCAATTCAGTCTAACAAATAAAATCTGATGTTGTTTCTCTGTTTTTGCTTTCTTAAATTTGTTTGCTTTTATTTTGGTTAGGGGTGTGTCATTGTCCATGCTTAGCATTGTTAAACTTTGTAATAAAGTGGTTAATGATTTTATTTCTGTGTGTATATTTTTGAATGACTAACTTCATGTTTGGGCCTGCAAAGTAGAGAGATGGTTGGATAAGAAATTTATGGTGATACTCTCCTCATTTCTCCATGGTGACAATAGGCAGTTTCTTCGAATATCTTTGTTATGTGCAGCTTTATCTTCCTTTCCAGGCATTACCAATCCTAGTTAAGTAGGTACAGACAAAAGAGTAAAGATACCCTTTATATAAGGTTTTAGTGTACGAGAAATTCTTACATGGAATGGGTGTATAAAACGCCCTTTCACGCCTTCACCCCTCACCCCTTACATGCTGTATACCGGGGACATTCACACATGTTGGTTACGTGACCGGTTATTATGAGGAGGGGTCAAGTTCTCTTCACACTAGGCCATTGTATGTAAGAATTTTCAGGATTGGCTTGCAAAGATTGGAGCATGGCCAAGTGGGCCACTTTATTAGTGTTTCAACTTGCTCATAATGATTTATGCTCTTTCAAACTTAAATGAGTAGTATTGTAGAGTTTGATGTGGATCCCCTGAGGTTTTCATAGCAGTTTAACATAGATAGTATATATTTAAAATTCACCTAAAAGGAGAAAATTCCTGGATTTTAACAGAATAACTTGCTCAATTGGCATAGGACATAAAAACACTTTTATGGAAAGTATTTTCCATTTCTAACGTTTCTCTGCAAAACAATTCATCACATTTAATTGGTTGCTGAAGATATTACCCTTATTTGCTCTAGACCAAATCTCAACCCCCCAGCTACCCCCCCCCCCCCCCCCCCCCCCCCCCCCCCCCCCCCCCCCCCAACCTCTATCGAAATTTTGATCATTTCAAATTTCTTTGTTTTCTCTCTAGTTTTGTTCATAATTCTAACAATCTTTCCTCCCAATTGATCAGAAATCGGAAGTTGAAGGCGATTCCAGCTTTGGCTAATGATCTTCAGATGATTTTCGAGTTGAGCAACAAAAAACCATTGCAAAGGTCAGGGGAGGAAACATGCCAAGGGAGTAATGACAATAACCATCAACTAATAAGAAGTTCGCCCGTACTTGATCTGGATCTTAACAGTCTTCCATGTCCAGTCCCAATGTCTGAATCGTTGGAGGATCAAGAAATTGGAAGAAGTTTACCAGGTTAGTTGCCATTGTTTTCTATCTCTATTGCCACACGAGTTGAACTTAAAAAAATGTGTGAGAAGACACCAAACAAATTTCTATGCATTCTTCAGTATTTTCTTCTATGGCATTGCAGTAATATGGAGCTGAATCTAGAGTTTGTCTCAGCAGAAGCTTACTTTAGAATGCTAGAACTTAAAAGTTTCATTCATTTCCATAAACTAAAGCAACTAACAAGTGATATGTTTATTTTAAATCTGACTAACATTTGCTAATATATGAGGTAGTAAAAGACTGGATCTTTCATAGAAATTGATATTCAATAATATTTTGTCTTAAAAAAATGTTCTGCTCGTTTTTTAAATTTGATGTCTCATAGGTTAGGTGCAAGGTTGCAGGTATTATGGAGAAGAAGAAGAAAAGGGCACCAAGTGAACATGTAGCAAATATCGCTTTATCAGATCTGGCCAAGTATTTTGATCTCCCAATTGTGGAAGCTTCAAGGAATCTGAATGTTGGACTTACAGTACTTAAAAAGAAATGTAGAGAGTTTGGTATTCCTCGGTGGCCACATAGGAAAATTAAATCGCTTGACGGTCTCATTCGTGATCTTCAGGTCGGTCCTCATTTACCCTTCCTGATATGTTTTACTCACTTTTATTTTGAGTGATTATTGACATGCTTTTACTAAGTGGCACAATCAATCTCCCAAATCCAAAGAAAAAATGAGTGCCAACAAATTCACCAAACATTAAAAAGATGAAAGATTATGTGTGTAATGAATGAAGTCCTTAATATGCACATTTGACATATTAGCAATACAAGCGCACAGATGTGCATATATGGACGCCTATTATCCTTGCTCAGTTGTTTATAGATATGAATGTACAGGAAGAGACAGAGATTCAACAGCAGGAAAACCAGGCTGCAGCCTTGGCTGTTGCAAAGAGGCAAAGGATGTTGGAGAATGAAAAAGAAAGTATAGAGAGGAAACCCTTCTTGGAGATGAAGACCGAGACCAAGAAGTTCAGGCAAGATGTTTTCAAGAGAAGGCATAGAGCTAGACTTCTCAGAAGCCAGGGCCTACCAAACTCTGACAATTAGAACATCTGTATAAATATTAGGAGAGCTTTTGAACTCATTTCTAAATGGTAAAAACATCACTTTTGAAATTCTTGCATTGGTGATCAAGGCCTTGAACCTCTCTTCTTTAGTTTCTGATATTTACTTTTGGTAAACCAATGGATTTTTTTTGCAGTTTCTTATATTTATTAGTATTGTGTTTCCATCACAGTTTCATGGCATTTCCATTTCAGTTCTTTTTAGCTCTTTGTATCTTCGAGTCAACGAATTTCTTGTTTGACATGTCGTAGCCTCATCTATGCTTCCATTCCATGTAAAAACACTTTAAGTCTCAGTTTCTTGTTTGACAAGCCCAAAACATGCATTCATCCCCTCTTGACGATTATCTTAAAACTCTGCTCTTTTTCCTTTTCCCTCATTCCTTGAAAGTAAAAAAGAGGACAAGCCCAAGACAGCTTACATGACATTCATACTTGAAGAACATGCCTTCGTCATACTTGAACTTCTCCCCTAGGGGCTGTGTGTGCAAGCGTGTGGTTGCCACGTCTCGGGCCTTAGTTACCTTTACATGTGTAAAACGTGGCAGTTGCGGCTGTCTATGTTTTTTCGGCTGCTGCTTGGCCATAATTGTGGCTGGGTTTGACTCAGTCGGTTGGGGTTCAAGATTGCTAACCGAGGTCTGAGGATGTTTCTTTCGCTTTTCTTCTTTCATATACAAAAACAGTCTCTCAAAACATATATATATATATATGTTTTAGGAAATTCAAAAAGACAAATCCTTTGTAATAAATATTAAGGAAAATCCATGTTCAAATCCAAAAATACATCCTCGTCAACCAAAATCCTTGAATCATTCTTTTATTATTATTTTGTTTTCTTTGGTCCTGTGCTAGAATAATTGGATCCCTCATTGAATGAAAGGGATACATTTTCTACTAAAAGTGACCAACAGACCATAAGACTATGTCATAATTAACCATGATTTGCGTGCTTACTAACAATACGCTAGTGGAAGAGAAAGCAATCAATCGTCAACTCCCTTTCATTTGCGTTTAATTTCATTTAATAAAAAAAGTTAAGCATGTTTCAAGTTACAATATTTTTTTTCCTTCTAGATATGTTGCATGTTACGAATGTCGCACTAGTTCATCCTAATTTATTCGGAGGGAGACTTACGTAGAAAGACTACATGTCACTTGATGAGGAGAATAAACGTATGAACTTATATGAACCCGTAAGAGCTAAGTTTTTCTCGTTCATTTGACACAATTAAATTTTGTTTATGACGTATTAGATAACGTAAATATGAATTAAATTCATAAATAATGAGAAAGATATGATTGGACCGTTGGTAGGGTCATCCCCTGCTTAGAGCAAAATCAGTGATGTCCTCCGAGGGGCTCTGTTGTAAGCCACTCTTTATAAGTTCTTTTTCCTTTTCCATTTTTTATATAAAAATTATTTATTAGAGCCACTTTTGTAAGTTGAGTGGCCATCTATTTTGTCAACTACATACATACATCACATTGCCCCTTCCACGTATGTACGGAGACCAAGCAAATTTTTGCTTCTTGGTTTAGTGAATGAAGACTAGTAACGCTTGATTCAACCTTATTGACTTATTGTATGTTTTAATTTAAATTTTGAACCAAAAGAAAAAAATAGGTGCAGAATTTCCAAATGCGGGACCGACATTGCTCCTACAATCAAGCAGATAACAATAGAAATATCAACTTGTGGTGATGTGTTGTGGGTTTGTAGCAGTCCACGTTTAGGTACTCTTATATAATATATCTAATAAAACATGATACAATATTGAATAGGTGTTCTGTTTTTGTTTCTTCTCCTAAGTCATAACATGAATATTCAAAAGTTTAGAGCATTTAAGTCAATGCTAAATTTAAAAAAGACGGATAAAGATAGTCATGAGTAGACTCTCAGATAAGATTTCATTGTTAAGAGCGTTGATTTTAAGTAATGAAACCACTAACTTATATTGTATCTTATTTTGTAAGTTTCCGACGTGGTATTTTTACATTCTGACAAAAATGCTTTTTTTTTTTTTTTTTTTTTTTTTTTTTTTTTTTTTTTTTTTTAAAATTGAATTCAAGTTAGGACATGTTTATGTTTTGTGAGTGCCTCTATGCAATGTAACATTGTAAATATATTAAGGGCCGATGATAAAAATGTTGCTGCTGCTGCAAGCCTTGGCAGAAAACTCTGCTGTCACGCACAGAACGTCGATGATAACAGGGCGTTGACTCTCAAAAACCGGTCAAATATCTGTTGCTACAGCCTTGCCAACCAAGTAAAAAGAAAAAAGGCCTGGATAAAAAATAAATAAATAAATAAATAGTTGACCGAGGAAGGAAACAAAGGATACAATTTACAAATAAAACAAGTATGAACACTTAAAAACTGGATTGAAAGTTTTGGTATTTCAATGGCCAGAATAATTATCCAAAATCAGCCTGTTTAGAAATTAATAATGAAACAACCAAGTGGCTTCATGGCAACTCCTAAGAGCAGAAAGTCCAACACCCCAACTATATATAAAAGGCCAAAGCCAGCCAACCAGATTATTCCACTTCATTCTCTTTATGCACTGTTCTTCTCCTTTTTCCCCTTGCCCACAACTACCATTTGCAATTTATATACTCATCTTGTTCTCAATTTACTCCAAAGAAAATTAGTTAACAAAGATTGAGTTATGGGTATTTGCTTGACATCTCCTGCTTCTCCTCCTGATCCTCATCCTAACACCAACATATCATCAACTACAGGTACAGTTTGCTTCAACATTTGAACAAAGAAATTCAAAAGGGTCATGGAAAATTTCACAAATTTCTCTCATTTCTTCAAGCAACATACTTGGATCCTAATATTTTAACATGCTTTTACATGGGTTGTTTCCTTAATCATCAAAATCCATACATGATTGATGCTTGTTAACTCTTTGCCAATTGTTTTTCAGGTACATCTGGAAATCACAGCAGCAGCAGGAACATATTTTCAAACACAAGCAGCAGTGCAGGAAGAAGTCAATTTTCAGAGGCATCAAGCCCAAGAATGGAAGAGCCACAGCAAACCAATGGGCAGATTTTGGACTCACCCAACTTGAGAGTTTTCACTTTTGCAGAGATGAAGGCTGCCACTAGGAATTTCAAGTCAGATGCAGTGCTGGGTGAGGGAGGGTTTGGGAGAGTTTTCAAAGGTTGGGTGGATGAGAAAACACTTGCACCTTCTAAGGTTGGCATTGGAATGATGGTTGCTATCAAGAAATTGAACCCAGAAAGTGTGCAAGGTTTTCAAGAATGGCAGGTCCGTTTTCAACTCTGATTGCATTATTGAGTATTTTTAATTTGGACCATTTGTATTTTTAATCCTATTTCTTTATCAAGACGGCAACTTTTTAAATGAACTCTCATGATTTGGCAAAGCCTTTGCCTTTAATTAGTATTATTACTGTTTTTTTCAATTTCATTGGAATTCAGCAGATAAAGATGTGGGTCCCACTTCAAAAAAATTAATTATATGTCCTTTTCCAATTGATTAAAAAGTGGGAGACTTTACAAAAAAAGTTAGCTGTTGAGAAAGAGATAGTGAGCAAGTCATGAGGGAAAAGAATTCTACAGTCATGAAAGATCAAGTCATGCATTGAATTAGTCGTGTTACTCTTGTAATAGCATTTAACTGGAAACTTGTTTTCTTAATAATCCCTGTCCTTTGCTTTGATAATGTATTTAAATTTTCTGCTATTGCTGACCACATTAGTATGACGGCATGCTGGGACTTCAACTCATTTTCATCTGGTAAACACTTTTTGTCTTGAGATCATTCAGCTTAAAAATCTAGTTCATTTTAACTCATATATCCTTTAAAATCCCAATCCTAGTTTGTGGTGTGATTTTAATTTCATATTTGTGACTGCCATCCTAGTTATAAAATTTGACACATGCTGCATAACCCATTTTCTTCTTCCTGCATATTTTCAGAATTGCATTTTCTGTTGAAACTAACTATGTTTTTTTTGTTGTTGCCATGTTTGATAATGCAGTCAGAGGTGAACTTTCTAGGAAGGCTTTCTCATCCAAACCTTGTCAAGCTATTAGGATACTGTTGGGACGACAAGGAGCTTCTCCTTGTCTATGAGTTCATGCAGAAAGGAAGTTTGGAGAATCATCTTTTCAGAAGTATGAAATCAATGTGAAAACAGAGAAATTAAAAATTGAAGTTATTTGCTTGTTCAACATTTTGTTGACTCTTGAATTTCCATTTTGAGTAGGGAGCGCCGGCATTGAACCACTATCTTGGGACAGAAGGCTAAAAATAGCTATCGGAGCAGCTCGGGGCCTAGCCTTCTTACATGGTTCAGAAAAACAAATCATATACAGAGATTTCAAGGCCTCAAATATACTGCTTGATGGGGTTTGTACTCTTATTATATCTTGGCCTTTCTACCCCTCATTAGTATTATGTATTCTGCTCTATTATTTATCTTCCTGAGAAGATAGGAACAATCGTAACGTATAAGAACATAGCTGCCGCTTTTTTTAAAAAAAAAATCTTCTGTACATGCACTTAACATTGATCAAACACTCTTTTCTTTTCTGCAGAATTTCAATGCAAAAATTTCAGATTTTGGATTGGCGAAATTGGGGCCAGCTGGTGGAGAGTCACATGTTTCGACTAGGATTATGGGCACCTATGGCTATGCTGCTCCAGAGTACATTGCAACAGGTAATGAATCTCCAACAAAAATGAAAGCTTTTTGGAAACTTCATATATGATGCATGGTTTAGAAGAATCCACTAATAATAAGATTCTTGATAAACCCTCTTTCTCACTACCAATACTTACTAGCCCTTGAGCCTTTGACTTTGAGAGTTTGGGTGCAACTACCAGGGTAAAAAGGGGTCTGATTTTGGAAACCAAACACAAAGAAACCAGAATATTTGATGTTTCTGCTAGGGGTATTGACAAATGAGACAGCTTTAAAATGCATTCCTGTTATGAACATGCGTTTAAGATAAAAATAGTAAAAGAAGTCCAGCTTTATCTTCTTTTAGTATAGTAAATCCGCTGCCTAACATCCACGCCTCAAATCAACAGGTCATTTGTATGTGAAGAGCGATGTGTATGGCTTTGGAGTTGTGTTGCTTGAAATTCTGACAGGGTTACGAGCACTCGATACGAAGCGCCCTAAGGAGCAACTACAACTGGTAGAGTGGGCTAAACCACTTCTCCTTCATAAAAGAAAGCTGAAAAACATTCTGGATGTGCGGATGGAAGGTCAATATGCCTTCAAGGCAGCATTACAAGCAGCACAGATTACTCAAAAGTGCCTAGCACCGGATCCTAAAAGCCGGCCCTCCATGAAAGAAGTTGTGGAGGAATTGGAAAAGATTCAAGCAATCAAGGAGAAGCCAAAGCAATCCAGACTTGCATCTGCGCAACCTACTTTTAGTTTTGGAAGCAATAAACAGTCTGTTCATCGGTCTCCGCTTCACTTTAGGTATCATGGCACTGAGTAAATGAGGTAAAATGTCAATTACATAGGAACCTGTCATCAAGACCAAGCGCTAAGGATACAGCAAGTTGGTATGTTCAGGCATCAAAATTTAAAATGCTTGAACATTCATCTTTTTCTTTCTCTTGTCAATTTCCATGGTGATTTTTTAATTTTTTGTGTAGCAATTGTTGAAATTCATAACCAATTTTGTACCTGTAGTCACCACCAGTTGTGATGAATTGGAGGATTGTTTGTTAAAACATACAGTTTTTTTCTTTTTTGCCAAGCAATCACAAATTCACAATATTCTTTAGTCTTCAGCAGAGCACAAATCTATCAAGCTCCACCTGTCACTCAACTATTGGTTTCACACATTATAATCATTGTTAACAACAATAATGCAATTACATGGAAATATTAAGCAGCCGGTGAGCATTTGGAACATGCAGGGTTGGTTTGTCGCCCAACCTATGCAACCACGGCACCAGATAATCCTAAAAAACGGGGGGAGAGGACAGTTCATGTTAATCGCATGCTGTTCTCGAAGATTAATATATTAAGTTTTGTTTAAACTGGTAATATGACTTTCATAACTGCAAAGAGAATATTAAAACGCAATTGATGAATCATGTCCTTCAATTTTATGGATCACCTTAATTTTGTTCTAAGTTAAACATTCTTAACTAAAAACATTACAAAAACATTTCACAAAATATATTATCATTTTCTACAATAATACACTATTTGTATCGTATTTACGGACCACAAGTATCTAATCAACAACGCTTTCAGTGTGCCACGAGTTTTGAGATCTCATTTTACCCATCAGTTGATCATATGATGTGACAATTTTTTAATATCAAAACATTCACGGCCATGTCTTACAATTGTGGTGGCACTAGAATAATTATTTTTCTTTTTTAATTTAAAAAAAAACCCACAAATGACAAATCCCAGAAGAAAATGTTAAAAAGGGGGTGACGGAAGTACCGTTTCTTTTGGCTTCTTTTGAGTGCTTTTGTAACTTTGTAGTCTTGTGTATCTGTGTGTATGTGTATGGGTGGATGCTTTTGGTTACTCATTTTTCTACGGAAAACCAAACATCACTTTCTTCTAAACTCTTCTTCCCCACACTCGTATTTTACGTGGTTTTCTGTGTTCTTCACCATTATCCTCCATTTTCTACGATCACAGTTTTCTTCTGCTTTTCTAAAATAAATGGGTGTTTTTGTGGCTCATTGGCTCACTCTGTATGTTATATATAGGCCTCAACTCTCTTAGTTCTTCATTGGGTCGCCAGAGGCCGACGCTCAGTGGCTCATTGATCAGTATATTCATGTAAGTCCTTTACGCTTATTAAGTTGCTTGTGTTGTGTGATTGGATTGGATGTTTCTTCATGAATATTTTCTTTTCTTCTTTTGGTTGCTCTCAGAAACTTTAAATTTGTTTTGGGGTTTTATGTGTTCATTACTTGGAAGTTGGAACCCAAAATTAGCTTTTGACTGCTGAAAAAAGTTAATTACTTTTAATGCTATTTTTGGACTTGGTTGAGGTGGGTTTTCAGTTTTTACGTACAAAAGACAGTACTTGTAACGTATATGACTGAATTTCTCGAGTATATCTTTGTTGCTTGAGCTATTTTGTTGAACATGAAATTGATCACCGAGAAATATTGATAAATAATATGACTTGAGGTTCTTGAATCCCGTGTAGTTGGGTGTCCTCCCTAGTGTTTGACAAATTGCTTCAGACGGGCCGTTCGGTATCATTTTCAAGGGCCATTTTCTGTTTTAATGTGAAAACGTGTTCGGTGGGTTATTTTGAGAAACAAGCTGATATTGTTTTCTGAGAATGAAAATAAAAGTATGAACAAACGTTGAAAACGCCAGAAAGTCGTTTTGTTTTCAGTTCTCCAAATCAAAGCCAACTCTTTTCCATCAAATGAGCAAACAATCCAATCAAATTATATCCAAAACAATCAAATCTCCTCCTTCCAACCATAATCAGCCCCAAAATTTCAAGGAAAAAAAACTCATAATCACACAAATCTGCAACTGAGAAAAAAAGACACAAAGGAAGAAGAAAAGAAAAAAAAACAAAGAGAGGAAGAAGAGAGGAAGAAAGAAAGAAAAGGAATAAAAAAGAAAGGAGATAAAGATAGTTTTAGCTTTTAAAAAACAATATAATTTTTTATTTGTTAAATTTTAAATATTTTTTCAAAACAGAAATGAGCAAAAATACTCTTGAAAAATAACTCAGATAATATTATTCTCAATTTTCAATTTTCAATTTGTACTATGAGACCCCTTTTTTTTTTCTGAATATTTCTAATTAATCTACCAAAGGTATTTTCAAATCCTGAAAATGCAAATTCTTTTCTTGTTTTCATTCTTCGAAAATACTCTCAGAAAACACTCTCCGAAAATATTCTTCGTTTTCTTGTTTCTATGTATCTTTGTCTTCTTTTCCATTTTGGCCTTGTTCTCTCAAGCAAACAAACATGTCTTGATAATTTTCTTCTATTTATGGAGGGTGTTAAGTTTTCATGTTGACTGAGGTTTTATTAGTCTTCAGCATCAGCAGGGTCGGTTTCTTTGCCAGATCAGACGATGGAGAAAAGCGCTGTTGGTGCAAGCCAAAGGTTGGGGGGTTTAGGTACTTTCTTGAGGAAATGTATGTTTAGCGTCGTATCTGTGGGCCCCATTCCTGAGCACATTGCCTTCATCATGGATGGGAACCGAAGGTATGCAAAGAGGAGGAACTTACCTGTAGCGGAAGGTCATAAAGCTGGATATTTGGCTCTCATGTCCATTCTGAGGTACTGCTATGAATTGGGAGTCAAGTATGTAACAGTTTATGCCTTCAGCATTGATAATTTCAAGCGACGGCCCGAGGAGGTGCAAACTCTAATGGATCTGTTGCAGGAGAAGATTGAGGTGCTGCTTGAGAAAGAAAGTATTGTTAACCAATATGGTATCAGAGTATATTTTATTGGTAACTTGAAACTTCTGAATGAGCCTGTCAGGGTTGCTGCTGAAAAGGCAATGAAGGCTACTGCCAACAACTCCAAGGCTGTGCTTTTGATCTGTGTGGCCTATACTTCATGTGATGAGATTGTTCATGCTGTACAAGAATCCTGCAATGAGAAAAGGATGAAATTCAGGCATTGAATGGAACCAAGGTTAGCAATGGTGTGACTTATGGAGTTGAAAAGGGAGAGAAGATTAATGGTGTGATGGAGTGTGATGTTCATAAATCATGCAACGGCAGTTTGGATGGAAAAGCAGCATTAGATACCAGTAAACCTTGCAGTGAAAGAGATGAGGCGGATGAGAAGGAAAATACAACTGTTAATCATGTTGAAAAAGATAAAGGGGGTGAAGTTGCAAGTAGAATTTGCAATGGTCTGATTGAAGATGTTCAAGAGAGTGAGAAGTTGCCACACAAAATTCCTAATGTAAAGCTGGTCGATGTTGAGAAGCACCTGTACATGGCAGTGGCACCTGATCCAGACATTATGATCCGAACTTCGGGTGAGACCCGCCTGAGCAATTTCCTACTCTGGCAAACTTCTAACTGCCCATTGTACTCCCCTGCTGCTCTGTGGCCAGAGTTGGGCTTATGGCACCTGGTTTGGGCAGTTCTGAATTTCCAGAGAAACCATTACTATTTGGAGAAGAAAAGGAAGCAAATGTAACATGCCACAGAGATTTTGTACATCATGTGGTAGCCATGCATAGATATACAGCATAGTGCTTAATATTGCCCTGGAAGCTTGGAAAGCTTGAGCATGGGATACAAGCTGAAAATTTCCCTAATTATTTGCTAATTAGATTGAATGTAATAATAATAACAGTATATCCATGTTTATATTCTTATTAACCATCCTAATTTCGTGTTGCGATTTACAAGTTTAATGTCTAGTGGACTCTGGATCCGGCACCAATTTGGTTATTCAAATCACTTTGCTTGGATTTATAAATTTGTGATCAACAATTGTAATTGCAACTATATACAGTTAAAGGCGGCTATAGCCTTTGAAAATGAAGCAGCAACCAAATCAACTTTTTGATAATTGTTCCAGCCTAAAATTCACGGCAGACGTAAAGGCCACTTAAGCAACCTAACCCCCCTTTCAATGGTCTTGATCAAAACCACTTAGTTTGTGTTTTCTGCATCGGATGCCAGATAATGCCGTGTTGACTGGAGTGACACTTTTATATTGAGACAAAACAAAAACTACTCACACCACTGCTTTATGCTGGAAGACTATCATGTAAATTCAGTCTTCTCAAGTTCTTTGCAGCATTGTATCTCTGCATTCTTACTTTGTCATGGCTCTGTCTCTTCGTTTCTATGGAGTTTTTGTTGTTCTACTTGTTTCCCTCCTCGTAAGTAAGCCTCCTCTACCTCTCACCACGAGCATCACCACCACCACCACCAACTCAAGTCCCTCCACTTCGCGCTCTTTCAACACGAAACCATTAACAGAACCGGATATATTGTAGTGAATGGTGTAGGTGGAGCAGGCATTAGTCAAACCACTACACCTTTTGGCACCGTGTTTGTTTTCCAGGATCCAATGACCGTCACAGCCAATCGTCTTCGAAACTATTGGAATAGCTCAAGGAACTTCTGTCACCTCCAGCTTGGATGGGCTTCAGAGATCTCAGTAGCTAAATCACTTTGCGTTTAAAGCACCACTCTGGTTTTTTTTTTTTTTTTTTTTTTTTTTTTTTTTTTTTTTTTTTTTTTTTTTTTTTTTTTTTTTTTTTTTTTTTTTTTTTTTTTTTTTTTTTTTTTTTTTTTTTTTTTTTTTTTTTTTTTTTTTTTTTTTTTTTTTTTTTTTTTTTTTTTTTTTTTTTTTTTTTTTTTTTTTTTTTTTTTTTTTTTTTTTTTTTTTTTTTTTTTTTTTTTTTTTTTTTTTTTTTTTTTTTTTTTTTTTTTTTTTTTTTTTTTTTTTTTTTTTTTTTTTTTTTTTTTTTTTTTTTTTTTTTTTTTTTTTTTTTTTTTTTTTTTTTTTTTTTTTTTTTTTTTTTTTTTTTTTTTTTTTTTTTTTTTTTTTTTTTTTTTTTTTTTTTTTTTTTTTTTTTTTTTGGGGTAATGTGAAGAGCGATGTGTATGGCTTTGGGAGTTGTGTTGCTTGAAATTCTGACAGGGGTACGAGCACTCGATACGAAGCGCCCTAAGGAGCAACTACAACTGGGTTAGAGTGGGCTAAACCACTTCTCCTTCATAAAAGAAGCTGAAAAACATTCTGGATGTGCGGATGGAAGGTCAATATGCCTTCAAGGCAGCATTACAAGCAGCACAGATTACTCAAAAGTGCCTAGCACCGGATCCTAAAAGCCGGCCCTCCATGAAAGAAGTTGTGGAGGAATTGGAAAAGATTCAAGCAATCAAGGAGAAGCCAAAGCAATCCAGACTTGCATCTGCGCACCTACTTTTAGTTTTGGAAGCAATAAACAGTCTGTTCATCGGTCTCCGCTTCACTTTAGGTATCATGGCACTGAGTAAATGAGTTAAATGTCAATTACATAGGAACCTGTCATCAAGACCAAGCGCTAAGGATACAGCAAGTTGGTATGTTCAGGCATCAAAATTTAAAATGCTTGAACATTCATCTTTTTCTTTCTCTTGTCATTTCCATGGGTGATTTTTAATTTTTGTGTAGCAATTGTTGAAATTCATAACCAATTTTGTACCTGTAGTCACCACCAGTTGTGATGAATTGGAGGATTGTTTGTTAAAACATACAGTTTTTTCTTTTTTGCCAAGCAATCACAAATTCACAATATTCTTTAGTCTTCAGCAGAGCACAAATCTATCAAGCTCCCCTGTCACTCAACTATTGGTTTCACACATTATAATCATTGTTTACCAACAATAATGCAATTACATGGAAATATTAAGCAGCCGGTGAGCATTTGGAACATGCAGGGTTGGTTTGTCGCCCAACCTATGCAACCACGGCACCAGATAATCCTAAAAACGGGGGAGAGGACAGTTCATGTTAATCGCATGCTGTTCTCGAAGATTAATATATTAAGTTTTGTTTAAACTGGTAATATGACTTTCATAACTGCAAAGAGAATATTAAAACGCAATTGATGAATCATGTCCTTCAATTTTATGGATCACCTTAATTTTGTTCTAAGTTAAACATTCTTAACTAAAAACATTACAAAAACATTTCACAAAATATATTATCATTTTCTACAATAATACACTATTTGTATCGTATTTACGGACCACAAGTATCTAATCAACAACGCTTTCAGTGTGCCACGAGTTTTGAGATCTCATTTTACCCATCAGTTGATCATATGATGTGACAATTTTTTAATATCAAAACATTCACGGCCATGTCTTACAATTGTGGTGGCACTAGAATAATTATTTTTCTTTTTTAATTTAAAAAAAAACCCACAAATGACAAATCCCAGAAGAAAATGTTAAAAAGGGGGTGACGGAAGTACCGTTTCTTTTGGCTTCTTTTGAGTGCTTTTGTAACTTTGTAGTCTTGTGTATCTGTGTGTATGTGTATGGGTGGATGCTTTTGGTTACTCATTTTTCTACGGAAAACCAAACATCACTTTCTTCTAAACTCTTCTTCCCACACTCGTATTTTACGTGGTTTTCTGTGTTCTTCACCATTATCCTCCATTTTCTACGATCACAGTTTTTCTTCTGCTTTTCTAAAATAAATGGGTGTTTTTGTGGCTCATTGGCTCACTCTGTATGTTATATATAGGCCTCAACTCTCTTAGTTCTTCATTGGGTCGCCAGAGGCCGACGCTCAGTGGCTCATTGATCAGTATATTCATGTAAGTCCTTTACGCTTATTAAGTTGCTTGTGTTGTGTGATTGGATTGGATGTTTCTTCATGAATATTTTCTTTTTCTTCTTTTGGTTGCTCTCAGAAACTTTAAATTTGTTTTGGGGTTTTATGTGTTCATTACTTGGAAGTTGGAACCCAAAATTAGCTTTTGACTGCTGAAAAAAGTTAATTACTTTTAATGCTATTTTTGGACTTGGTTGAGGTGGGTTTTCAGTTTTTACGTACAAAAGACAGTACTTGTAACGTATATGACTGAATTTCTCGAGTATATCTTTGTTGCTTGAGCTATTTTGTTGAACATGAAATTGATCACCGAGAAATATTGATAAATAATATGACTTGAGGTTCTTGAATCCCGTGTAGTTGGGTGTCCTCCCTAGTGTTTGACAAATTGCTTCAGACGGGCCGTTCGGTATCATTTTCAAGGGCCATTTTCTGTTTTAATGTGAAAACGTGTTCGGTGGGTTATTTTGAGAAACAAGCTGATATTGTTTTCTGAGAATGAAAATAAAAGTATGAACAAACGTTGAAAACGCCAGAAAGTCGTTTTTGTTTTCAGTTCTCCAAATCAAAGCCAACTCTTTTCCATCAAATGAGCAAACAATCCAATCAAATTATATCCAAAACAATCAAATCTCCTCCTTCCAACCATAATCAGCCCCAAAATTTCAAGGAAAAAAAACTCATAATCACACAAATCTGCAACTGAGAAAAAAAGACACAAAGGAAGAAGAAAAGAAAAAAAAACAAAGAGAGGAAGAAGAGAGGAAGAAAGAAAGAAAAGGAATAAAAAAGAAAGGAGATAAAGATAGTTTTAGCTTTTAAAAAACAATATAATTTTTTATTTGTTAAATTTTAAATATTTTTTCAAAACAGAAATGAGCAAAAATACTCTTGAAAAATAACTCAGATAATATTATTCTCAATTTTCAATTTTCAATTTGTACTATGAGACCCCTTTTTTTTTTCTGAATATTTTCTAATTAATCTACCAAAGGTATTTTCAAATCCTGAAAATGCAAATTCTTTTTCTTGTTTTCATTCTTCGAAAATACTCTCAGAAAACACTCTCCGAAAATATTCTTCGTTTTCTTGTTTCTATGTATCTTTGTCTTCTTTTCCATTTTGGCCTTGTTCTCTCAAGCAAACAAACATGTCTTGATAATTTTCTTCTATTTATGGAGGGTGTTAAGTTTTCATGTTGACTGAGGTTTTATTAGTCTTCAGCATCAGCAGGGTCGGTTTCTTTGCCAGATCAGACGATGGAGAAAAGCGCTGTTGGTGCAAGCCAAAGGTTGGGGGGTTTAGGTACTTTCTTGAGGAAATGTATGTTTAGCGTCGTATCTGTGGGCCCCATTCCTGAGCACATTGCCTTCATCATGGATGGGAACCGAAGGTATGCAAAGAGGAGGAACTTACCTGTAGCGGAAGGTCATAAAGCTGGATATTTGGCTCTCATGTCCATTCTGAGGTACTGCTATGAATTGGGAGTCAAGTATGTAACAGTTTATGCCTTCAGCATTGATAATTTCAAGCGACGGCCCGAGGAGGTGCAAACTCTAATGGATCTGTTGCAGGAGAAGATTGAGGTGCTGCTTGAGAAAGAAAGTATTGTTAACCAATATGGTATCAGAGTATATTTTATTGGTAACTTGAAACTTCTGAATGAGCCTGTCAGGGTTGCTGCTGAAAAGGCAATGAAGGCTACTGCCAACAACTCCAAGGCTGTGCTTTTGATCTGTGTGGCCTATACTTCATGTGATGAGATTGTTCATGCTGTACAAGAATCCTGCAATGAGAAAAGGAATGAAATTCAGGCATTGAATGGAACCAAGGTTAGCAATGGTGTGACTTATGGAGTTGAAAAGGGAGAGAAGATTAATGGTGTGATGGAGTGTGATGTTCATAAATCATGCAACGGCAGTTTGGATGGAAAAGCAGCATTAGATACCAGTAAACCTTGCAGTGAAAGAGATGAGGCGGATGAGAAGGAAAATACAACTGTTAATCATGTTGAAAAAGATAAAGGGGGTGAAGTTGCAAGTAGAATTTGCAATGGTCTGATTGAAGATGTTCAAGAGAGTGAGAAGTTGCCACACAAAATTCCTAATGTAAAGCTGGTCGATGTTGAGAAGCACCTGTACATGGCAGTGGCACCTGATCCAGACATTATGATCCGAACTTCGGGTGAGACCCGCCTGAGCAATTTCCTACTCTGGCAAACTTCTAACTGCCCATTGTACTCCCCTGCTGCTCTGTGGCCAGAGTTGGGCTTATGGCACCTGGTTTGGGCAGTTCTGAATTTCCAGAGAAACCATTACTATTTGGAGAAGAAAAGGAAGCAAATGTAACATGCCACAGAGATTTTGTACATCATGTGGTAGCCATGCATAGATATACAGCATAGTGCTTAATATTGCCCTGGAAGCTTGGAAAGCTTGAGCATGGGATACAAGCTGAAAATTTCCCTAATTATTTGCTAATTAGATTGAATGTAATAATAATAACAGTATATCCATGTTTATATTCTTATTAACCATCCTAATTTCGTGTTGCGATTTACAAGTTTAATGTCTAGTGGACTCTGGATCCGGCACCAATTTGGTTATTCAAATCACTTTGCTTGGATTTATAAATTTGTGATCAACAATTGTAATTGCAACTATATACAGTTAAAGGCGGCTATAGCCTTTGAAAATGAAGCAGCAACCAAATCAACTTTTTGATAATTGTTCCAGCCTAAAATTCACGGCAGACGTAAAGGCCACTTAAGCAACCTAACCCCCCTTTCAATGGTCTTGATCAAAACCACTTAGTTTGTGTTTTCTGCATCGGATGCCAGATAATGCCGTGTTGACTGGAGTGACACTTTTATATTGAGACAAAACAAAAACTACTCACACCACTGCTTTATGCTGGAAGACTATCATGTAAATTCAGTCTTCTCAAGTTCTTTGCAGCATTGTATCTCTGCATTCTTAACTTTGTCATGGCTCTGTCTCTTCGTTTCTATGGAGTTTTTGTTGTTCTACTTGTTTCCCTCCTCGTAAGTAAAGCCTCCTCTACCTCTCACCACGAGCATCACCACCACCACCACCAACTCAAGTCCCTCCACTTCGCGCTCTTTCAACACGAAACCATTAACAGAACCGGATATATTGTAGTGAATGGTGTAGGTGGAGCAGGCATTAGTCAAACCACTACACCTTTTGGCACCGTGTTTGTTTTCCAGGATCCAATGACCGTCACAGCCAATCGATCTTCGAAACTAGTTGGAATAGCTCAAGGAACTTCTGTCACCTCCAGCTTGGATGGGCTTCAGAGCATCTCAGTAGCTAAGATCACTTTGCGTTTAAAGCACCACTCTGGTTCGGTTTCCATTGTCGGAGGCACGCATAACGTTAAGCCCTCTGATCATCCTGTTGTGGGAGGCACTGGTGATTTCCTGTTTGTGCAAGGCTATGTGACATCATCCCCAGTCAATCTCAAGGGGCTAACTGTTGTCTACAAGATTGAATTTCACCTTTACTGGCCTCCATATGCAACTCAAGGTTCTTAGTGGTTTGATTAGTATCTCAACTTTAGCTTTAATGTTATTCTTATCTAAGGATGTAATAAGATCGATTAGATCATGGGTTATCTTTAATCCATTTAATTTCAAAAATAAATTTACATATCACGAATCAAAATTTCGATCCTGCAATTAACATCATAATGAAGATACAGAACTTCCAAGTTACAACTGAAAAAAAAAAATGTATTTCAAGTAGGGTTTTCTGGAACGTATTAATAAGCTAGACCCTCCACGTCCATGATAACACCACCTGAAAAGCTTGAACAAGGTGCAAGCATTTACACAGAATGGAATGATGATAAGAAGGCACCACACCAACGCAGCAGGTGTTTACATGTGGTAAATTCAAGACTATGTGGACTACAAATCAAAGAATCAAGTACTGTGAAGCAAACAGGAAATGTTTCGCAGGAAATTGAATTAACCATAACATTCTGAACCCAGAATCAACACCGAGGCTTGTGTAGACGGGGTCTATTGCAGAAGATACGCCCATTGGCCCTCACAAATGCAGCTATAGCAACACTTAGACCAGCCCATATCACTGAGAAGAACAAGTGTCGTAGATCGTACCTTACTGCAAAAGAACGGAAGACGGAAAAATCATTTGATTGCAGATTCGCAAAGATGTTTACAACATTCTCTCCAGAAAAGAACCCACTATGAACCAACATTATACCAGTCCCATCCCACCCTTTCATCACCAAGCCATGAATTTCTCCAAATCTTATTTCGTCATAGTATAAACTGTTGATATTTACCTTGCCTCAATGACAATGTTGCGAAAAAGAACCCTGTCAAAACGAATGATAAAGCCAGTGGAAATGACTGCAAAATGAAATAAAGTGAGTTAAGAGGCTGATAAAGGTCATGAGTTGGGTAATAAAAAAATGAAGTAATATAAGACGCAAAGTAGGATTTATTGTGAGATTTATGAAAAATTACATTCGAAACTGTAATGAAAAATCCTAAAATCTTAATTAAAAAACTAATGGACACAAAGCTTCTACTTACAGCAACAGCCTCAAGTCCTCCCTTTTGAGATGATGGTGTCATATCTCTGCTGACAGAGACAATGTAATGTCCTTGCAGGAGGTCAATTGCATCCTTCAGGTATTTCCACCCAAAAAGAAAATATTCAATACTTAAAAAATGCGAGATTTATGCACAGAGAAAAGAAGAGATGATAAAAGGAAGCACACCAACCTGTTTGGTTCCATCAACAAAGTTATTGAAATAATAACGTAGAAGGGCATTGATTCCATCCTTAGCGATCCCTTGCATTGTTCGCTTCCCACATCTAATATCCAACCAAATAGAAAAAAAATAAGAAAATTAAAAAATTTAATTGTCCAAAACAAAAGCTAAAAGTTTAAATCTTATTTTATGTCACATCATAAATATAGCTACAGGAAAGAAATAAACATGCTCCCAAATATTCCAAAGTTTCCCACCCATGTTTTCCTCAGTCATAATCACATATTCTTGAATAAGAATGCATCACATGCAAAGAAAAAGAATTTCAGAGTAGATCCATGTTCATGTACCTTACAAAATCCCCTTTCAAAGCAGCAGTGCCGGAATACTGGATGCTTATATCATCCCCATGATTAGCCCACACTGGAAAAAAGAAAAAGTTGATAGCAACACACACATGTGCGTGCATAAACCCACAGACATGGTAAGCATTCTAACTCTAATCTTTATATGCTAGAGACACACACACACAGATGGTAGAAGAAAAGTAAGAGAAATGGATGTACTCACAGATTTTAAAGCATTCGTCTAAATTGGGATGTGAGCTAATAGTTTCTTCAGCAGCAAAAATCCCAAGCCTTCTAAGTTGGCCTTCCAACATATTTCGGGCTATCATGCTCTGCAACCAATAACAATTTTAGGGAATGAGTGATGGCAAAAATATTGCATAACTAGAACCATCAAGGTGATTATAAAATAGTAGTAGTCTGGCTTTGGCTGCTTAACTAATATGGATTTTAATCATAGAAAAAAAGAAGTAATAATAAAAAAATATATATAAAAAAATGTGGCATCTGTAAAAGTAGCCGCTTTCTGTGGAATTAATCTCACAACAGTCAAAACAATATGTATTTTTCTTGCTTGTATTTTCCTTGAAAATGAGAAAAACAAACTACTTTGGTTGTATTTTAACCTACCTGGGTAACATTTGTACGATCTAAGCAATCAATGCAATTGGTCCTTACAACTCCTAGTTGCTCCTTCATTTTCTCGCCCTTTTCATTCAATAGAAGATACCTGCATGTCAATCGTCGTAAATAAGTGAGAAGAACTAAGATTACAGCGTGCTACTGTTAGGCATTGAATAAATAATTTACTTTTGATAAATACATCGTCATGCATATGCATGGGAGAAAAATCATTGAATATCAAAAGAAATAGGAGGAAAAATATGAGCTCTTTAGTTCAATTATCAACCAGCACTTTTAAAAGGAAATTTCTGAATATTTTCTTAACAAACTCTGAGGTTACATAACAATTTTGGTCTTGGTGTTAGCTAACGTATATGTTGTAGGTCCATTCGCTAACAAATTGAGATTTTTCTTTTGGGGTACAGTAGTAGTCTAACATTTGGTAATTATCAAGGTGATTTGTCACATACCATGCATCTATGCCATATCCACATCAGATATTAAATCTGTGAATATGTCCTCGTTGCATAGTATCACAGATTACAGCATATTAAAAAGCCACCTATGCCTATACACCTATTAATTAGAAAAGTTAACTATGGCTACACATTTCTCTGCAGCATGCAACATAAGTGTCGAGGATTAATCTATTTCTGTGAAACTAACCCTCAAAATATAAATTTGAAAAGGGCAAATGAAATAATGAAGTGATTTATACTCGAGCAAATTTCAAGGAGTTAAATTAATGGACCATTTGATGAGAAACATACCCATTCCTGTCGAGGAAATCTACAATTTGTTCATAAAGGATTGAGAGGCGCTCAAAATGGACGTGCCCACAGATATGATGAAAATCGAAGTGCCAATATCTACAATATTCAGCAGGTCTCACCATGAAACATATCTATTACTACTGCCAAAGAAAAAGAAAAAAAAAGGAAGGGTGAAAAAGGATGAGGTGAAAGGTACTTCTACCTTAGATCATCACTAACAATATGCTGCATTGCATTTGCAAATTTCTCACTCAAGCGTCCTTCACCTCCATGCTGGTAAGATAAGAAAACATCATGAGAACACCCAAAATTGTGTGCGACTTATGTGAATGTCAAATAATGAAAAGTTCAATAGTGTGTACACCTATGAATATACTGACCCACAAACTTGTGTGCATATCCACAATCTTTACATATAAATAAATAAATAAATAAATATATATATATATACACACGATAATAACATCCGGATGTCCACATTGGAGAATTTCTGTATATATATCATGCACGCATACATTTGTATGGAGTACACATGCATGCCTACTGGTTGTGTATTATCAGATAAGTTATTCCACAAAGTTTCGAAAAGAAAGAGCGCACCGTGTTCACAAGATCAACAGCTAACACAGCCCCATACTTCTTTCTTAAATCCAGAAAATGCCGCTCAGCCACTCGGGGCTGCATAACATTCAGTACACAACCAGTCAAACGGAGATAGAATGCTATGGAAAGAATCTTAGAATGTAAAAACAAATAACCATCAACTCACAGATTCCTCAAGTCGCACAAGTTCAAACTTAGGCTTATATGTTAAATCAACAATTTGCTCCCAAAGCAACGGAATTGACCCCCTAACCTGCAAAATGCAATTAACAATGTGTAAACCATTTAGACAGTTAACTTTACCATTTAGGACAGTAGATCAGAAACCCCCACAAAGAGGAACCAAGTAGACAAAAAATCCATAACACGATTGCATATGTACAGTTAGATATCATTTTACCTGGACAAATGATGCTGTAAACCCATTCAAGTGCATAATCTGCTCAGTTTCCACAAAATTTGCTACATACCCATCAGAATCAGCTCCTCTTCTCCACATCCGAGTGCCTTTCGAGAAATGCAAATTGTTAGACTAGATTAACAATGACATAAGTTTTATCTCTGATGGATTTCATGCCACTAACTGCATAAGATTATATAACCTCTACAATCCCAAGTTTTAGTATAAATATAATTCTGCTGAAAATGCATATGCTATCCACATATATCCTCACCAGAAATCACTAGATCTTTTACTTCCTCCTGAACAGAACAGATGCAACAGAGTTAAGTTCAGCACATCACTCTAGATGTTCTAGTACTTTCTTACCGTACCATTAAACTGTCCTCTTTCAGTTACGTATTGAAGTGAAGAGTAGTTGGTCCATAGTTCAAACACTTTTAAGTCCATGCCAAAATAATATCTTAAATATCCAAATCTTAAGTTCTCCCTCATAGATAGTATGGTACTAAAACTAACATCTGTACTATCCACATATCTGCAATTACATGTGTATGACAATTATAAAATAAGCAGACCATTTCTCCTAGTGCACCTCGTAGCAATAAATAAATAACTGAAAAGTACAAGCTTTGAATACCATTTCTCCTAGTGCACCTCCTAGCAATCAGAGTAACATCAATAATATCTTTTCCAATGGCTGCTTGAAAGTGATGAAAGCCTGATGATCAATTAAGGAGAACCTTCCAATGGAAAAACAATTTATAATTCCAATACCAGCACACAAAAGGCAATAAACAAACTAAACAACACACTTGTGTATGTTTATATTAAATGTATGCTCGTGCATCCATGTTCTATGCATGCATGCAGGCATGTAAGCATGCATGAGAAACATCTAAAAACTGAAAGCAAAAACGAGACAAGGATACTCCCTTGAACAATAGGAAGCAGATAAGGGTCAAGCTGCAAGCAAAGACCGCATCAGTGCTCAGCAGTTAGTAAATTGGGAAGTAATAGTTCTGCAGAAAACTGAGCAGGTAACAGTAAAACTTGGCAACGACCTCACCTTACTATCTATAAGCCCTTCCAACATATAATTGTTCCAGAGAAATCTAGGCTCTGCCTGTGGCAAAACATTTGGAGATATGAGATTGAAACCATGAAGACCAAGCATAAAACATGGATATGTGAAACCATCATTTATACATAACTTTGGAAACAATAAAAAAATAGGATCAATTTCAGTCTTCCATTGTCAAACTCAAAACACTTCAGAGAAAAATAATAATAAAAGTCAGTCAGTTACTGCAAATTACCTGTCTCCAAAGTGGAAGCAATTTGGATTCATCACCTAAATCATGCAATCGCTGTGCACTGCAATTACACAAATTTTTTATCATAATGACTAGCACAATTTCGAGTCAAATATAATGTAACCCTACTTCTTCTTCTTGTTTCTCATGGGGGCTCAAGGGGACGGTGGGCAACTTAATGTAAAAAACAGTTCACCTCAGCGTTAAATTGGTCTCATATGAGAAATAAAGACCAGGAGTCCTCTCTGCTATATTTAGCAGCCCAGAAAACTCAGTCTCCATCTTTTTCTGCCAAGAAGGTATAACAATAATAGAGTTACATAAGCACTTCCCAGATAAAGAAAAAAAAATCAATAGGAACCATATAAGAGAGACTAAAGAAGTGATAAGAGGTAAAGCAACAAAAGATTTACCTGTTCTGTAGGGGAATTCTTTAAAGAGTGGTCACAGGGGAAAACCTTCAACGATGAAACTTTAAAGATAGGATGCCCCAAGTAAGAACCGACGCATTCACGGTCTGTTATAACCATCAAATATGATCCTGAAAGCATAATGGATTAAGATAAGAGAGTTGGAAAAGCTGAAACTCCTGGGGCAGAAAGAATTATACAATTTCTCAACAATACTTAGTAAGTGTGTAACAAAAAAAGGATTGGTTAATGTACGAAGTCACATTATAAAAAATAAAATAAAAATGAAAAAAAGGGGACATGGGTCTTAGATGGGCAACTAACCGGCATATAAATCATTACAAATATAAGATTCCAAATATAAAAAAAGATAGACAATGTTACCTGCCAAAAGCTTTAGAATTCCAACGACACCAAAAATAGTTCGAATTTTAGGAACCCGAACAGAGTTTGAATCTGGAAGCTTATCTGGAGAATTGGAAAACCCAAATACACAAAACACTAAAATGTCTAGCATTAAGCCAAGAACTGAAATCAAGATTCTTACTTTACAAAAGGCCAAGAAAACCCACCAATGAGTTGCATAGACCCATCAACCCTACTAACTGCCAAAGAGGAACCATGAGAGCCATCAGTGGGCTCAATCACATACTGATCAGGAAACTCCCATAGCCGCATTCGTGTGTATAGCTTCTGCCCAGAGTCAGCCTTCTCCATCATATTACTTGGTAAAAACCCAAATCACTGAAAATCAAACGTCACAAACAGACCCAATACTTCAATTTCATCTAAGAACTAACAGAGTTGAATAAATTTCAAATCTTTGTCCAAATTAAGAAACTGATCGAGACATAAACAGCATTACAATTTGATAAAGATACCTGTTTAGAGATCACCACGTGAAAATGGCGTGTAAAGGAAAAGAATAATAATGAGATCCAATCTCTCTCCAAATTCTTGTGAAAAGGCAATGAAAGAGATCAAAGAGCAAAGCTAAAGCTTTTGGGAGGTCTGACAAATTGACAAAGTAAAAGAAGAACTTGTGAGGCTAAGGCCGTGTTTGCCCGCGTGTCTTACAAAACGCATAAGCCGGTAACGGTCTCTCTCTTCTCTCTCTTCTTCTCTTCCAAGCTTTAACGAAATTTTGGGCGGAAACTCTTATAACTGATTTTGCCCAAAACAGTGTCGGAGGACTTGAATTAATCAGAGAATTAAAAATTAAAAAACCAGCGTGGAAATTTTTGATTGGTGGGTCAGCCAAGTATTTGGGGGACCCAGAGACTTGGTCGCTGTGGAAGTTGGATTGAACACCGTTAGATGTAACATACTACTGCTGAACTTGGACGATTCTAAATTCGGTTTGTACCCTTGCGGCACCGGTTGCACACGTGTCAACAGTTTTTGCTCCACTGGTGTGTAAACGGTAACACTTCGTTTTTTTCAATTTTGTTTCTTCGTGTATTTTACAATTTCCTCCTCTTTAATTAAATTTATTTTGTTCAATTACCATTCTAGGTTTTTAAATTTATTTTTGTTCAATTAGCATTTTAGGGTCTTCAAAAAGCTAGAGTTTATAGTTAAGGATTACAAGCTCAAAACATTAAATGAAAGATTCAAAAGTCTATATCCAAATTTAAATTCTCGTACAAACTTTAAACCCGAAGCACTTAATAAAAGTAATTTTTGATCATAACATGAATCAACAAAAGATTCGGAAGTATAATATCAACACGTCCATATATATATATATATATATGTACTAATTAAGTGTTTCAAGTTTAGGGTTTAAACAAACTACTTGAATTGATATTGAACTATCTCGTACTTCTACCGGCCTAAACCCTTCAAACTCACTGCCCCTTCTTGCCACCATATTGAAGGCAATATTAAGTCCATATATCAGACCAAGGCATCCCGCCCTAACCTTAATTACAACTCCATATATATAGATTGTTTTCCATTTTAAGCTGGATATTATACCATACATGCATGTATATAGTTATGACCCCACATTCATGAAATCCAACGAAGAAATGTTTGGTTTTTGTTTTTGAGCAACAGACACTAAAAAAACCATGAAACGAAACGCGTATATCAAAACAAAAATTATATACATTTAATAATAAAGAATATAGAGAAGAAATAGACTTAACATCGATAGACTCAAACATATATTAATTTGATCACCATCTCTCCGGCTGACGGCCACCGGTAATGAAATCATCAGGGCACACCAGTTACTGAGAAACAGTGACACAAACAAAGACACTAAAATTACTTAAGAAACGCCAACGCGCTTATTACGATCTATGCCAAATGCGCGTTACTTAACATGCATGCTTGCATGTATGATTAATTAACCAGTCTTGGCAGCACCACCACTACTGCCGCCACCATCCTTATCCTCGTCTGGGGGAAGCATGTTGAGGTCGAAGCCGCCACCTCCGCCACCTTCAGTTTCTTCTTCTGGATCACTTGCCTCATTCAGATCAAACCCACGCAGCGCACCGAGCCTATCCCCTACACAAACCAAGAACATCGATTAAAGATTATAAGAAAATTGATTAATTAATGTTTAATGTTACAGCGCATCCATGCACGCAGTGCCATTTGTTAGTTGATATATCATTTATACCTTGTTGCAGGGCTCGCTGTGCTTCTTCGAATCCTGGGGGTGGGAAGCAGCCCCTCCATTGACGCTCTGGGTGGCAACGCATGTGCCCAAACAATGCTTTCCACGAGGAAAAGTTTGAGCGTTTGCATACGCTGCAAACCGGGCTCACTCCTTCTGGGGCAGTTATCTCCGCTTTGCGCTTGGCCCGTGGTGGCGAGCCGCTGCTGCCGCCAGGAATCATGCTCCCTCCTGCGGTCCCTGACCCTCCTCCTATAGTGATTTCCACACTGAAAGGAGTGAAATTTCTTCCACCAATCTGAGTGATTTGTCCCGCTCCGGGAGAAGAGGCAAAGGACGATGACCCTCTCCCAGAAGAGGGTGATCCTCTGCCACCAGGAGGAGACTTTCTGCCAGAGGGCGAAACCCTCCTATGGTTGGATGACCCTCTGCCAGATGGTCCTCTATTGAGACCAGGAGGACTCACGGATGACCCTCTAGCAACATTGAGTTGAACAGTGCTCGGAGGGGGAGGGTTTGGAAATGATGGAGTACCAGTAGCAGCAACACCCGTAACGTTAACATTAACGTTGTCGTTACCGGGTTGCTGCTGTCCCTCAGCGGAGGAGGCTAGGCGGTTGGTGTTGTTGGTGGTGGTGTTCTGCTGGTTAGCCATGGTGTTGTGAGAAAAATAGGTAACTATATGTCCGTGCGCACATGGTGCTCAAAACGTTTATATAATATATGGTTGGTAAAACCTTGAACTTTGTTTACAACGAGTTAGGGTTGTAAAGGATGCGTCTCTCAATCTCAATGCGCACATGGTGACATGGTGTTCTGTATAAAGGATGCGTCTCTCAATCTCAATGGGCACTGCAATGCGACTCTTCATGTTGTAATGGGAAATTCTGGAAAATAATATGCAGCGCGCCACTTTGTGTAGGGTTGTGTTCTTTCAATATCGACCGTTGAGGTTCATGTGTGATCCATCACACGGTGGTAAGTGGTGGTCAGCGCATGAAGGTACGGCCACATCGCCAATCACGATTGGGTGCCTTTTCATAGAGGCAGGAAGCGAACCGGTTGGGGATGAGAGACGCAGTGAAAGCTTTGGTTATTGAAATGACAATTATGACCTTGGGAAAATAATAGTGGCAAGTACGCCAAATATGGTAGACACCAAATATGGAAAAATCTTCGTTTGTAACAAGCTAAGATACATTGCACTTGTAATTCGAATTTGGAAAATAGGTAATTAGTATTAAATTACCGCACATGAGCGAAGTATCACTTGTCATATTACTTGTCTAACCAGATATGGTGTGTCCATAAATTTCATACAACAAAGTGAGAAGTAGATATATTTATGAGTTGGCCAAATTCAACTTCAATGACTAATTAACTTGTCATATGTATTGACCAGCTTTCGGAATTTTTTTCTATTCAATGTTGAAATAGGTCTCAAGTTGTTGGAGTCATCTCTTATTTATTGGTTAGAAGAAAAATTACATGTCAACGAGGGATGATTGAGATAGTAAGGATTGTTCTTTTTGCTATCAATGCCTATTTTTGAGTCCCGTTGCTGACAATCCCTTTTGGTGAGTAATCTGTAAAAACTAAAAAAGGAGCTAAGACCCTCTATGTAAGTCCTCAAAAAGACTTTGGTATGCCCTGGTCTAGGGATCAGGTAGCCTCCCCTCCCCTAAACTTTCGTTCATCCAAAATAAAAAAAATAAAAATTACATGACGGTATTTGGTTGAACGAGATTGATTAGGTCAATGACAAATCGGCTATTTGCAACTTTGTCAATAAGCTCATACCAAATTATCAAATCATTTCTAACATTAGACAACTTCCACTTAGCTATTTAGGATTAACTAAAGGGTGATTTTATTGGCACCCCATTAATTGCTCTTTACACCCCATACTAATTTTAAATATAAATAACCTATTTTACCCTTGTACACAATTACCGTTAAGGACAAAAAAAATTAAAATTAAAATTAAAATTGCTCACTACACCCCACATATGTTCCTGCAACCCTAGTTTGATTTTTTTCTCAAACTATCATGTTCCTAAACCCTAAACCCAAGATTTATAAGTTTATACTAGTGAAAAAATATATTGTATTTATTCATGAAGGGTGAGATTGAAGTTAAAGACGCTTCGAATGAGGTACGAGTTTATTTTTTGGCGTTTTGCAAGTTTAATATTTCATAACAGTCGCTGGTTGTGTTCAGCACATCAGTACCGAACGCGACAGATAATTTTGGTGGGATGTCACCGAAACTTTGCACCTTTTTCGGTTGGATTTCACCGGTGAGAAACTTAATATTCGGTGGGGATCCACCGTAAGATGGAACGTAGTTCAGTGGTGTACTACCGAATTTTTACCCGCGTTTCAGTGGCATCCAACCGAAATTTATTTATTTTTTCAGTAACTTATTGCCAACCACAAATTTAATCCAAGCTATTTTGATCTTACTCCCATTGAAGGAACAAAATATCCAAGCTATTTTGATCTTACTCCCATTGAAGGAACAAAATCAAGGTGACGCCCCTACTGAAGGCAACAATGTGGGAACAGAATGTGTAATGGACTATAGTGATCAATTCACAACTTACAATGTGTTATTACCATATAACTAATATTTTGTTTTATTTTCAGCTCTATAAGCCTCGCGAAAACCAATCAGCATTCGATACATATATGCATATAGAGAAATTCCCTGAGGGTATTAGGAAATATATCACTCACCAGACTGAAGTTCTTCTGGATGGTAACTGTGGATATAGAGCCATAGCTATGGCAATGAGATTTGGTCATAATGAATGGCTTAGGGTATGCAAGGATTTGTTGCAACAACTACATGATATGTCTTTTGTTTTTAAGAAGTGTATTCGGGAACATAAACGATACAACGAGATTGAGCGAGCGCTAAATTATTTTGATGATGGATTTGCACAATTCTTTTGTTGGATGACCATGCTTGATATGGGACATATTATTGCCACACGTTATAATGTGGTTTTAATCCTTCTAAGCATGCGTCAATGCCTTACATTTCTTCCTTTTTCAGTTCAATCAAGCGAAACCAAGCTAAATGAGATTGCCATTGGTTTTGTTGACGATGATCACTATGTCCAGGTATGAATTTATTTGTTTACGCAACATTGGTTAATTTTATATGCTATGCGTATATGAATGGATTCTTGTTTTGTAGGTTCATTTGTCTCCAGATCATCCTATTCCACCAGTTTCTAGAATGTGGCATGAACAAAGTGACATATGCAATGTAACACATTTGTACTCGAGGTACCAAGCACGTGTGGATGCTTTTCAACAACTTCCGGGAGTGGAGAATGTAGCTACTACAGATACCGTCATCCTAATGACTGATGAAAATGCACCTGTTACATAATTGAGATTATAGATCTAATAATTTTATTTAATTTTTTTTCACATGTAACCTGAAAAATACATCTTTGTGTGCATAGTCATTTAGAGTTGAAGGAGAAAGTTGATAAAATAATGCAGGAGTTTAACCATAATCTGTCGCAGAACCTCCAGAGTTGAAGGAGAAAATAGAAAAGGTGAACACAGAGATTTATGAGGAAATTGAGAGAGTCTGTGGTGGCCACAGAGATTTCTTATCACTGGCCGAATACATGATGTACTCCTCTGAATTTGTGTCTGAAACATTGGAGAATCGCACCCGTAACCATGACAAACTCACATACTCATCATTGTATTTGTGCAATTGTTCAGTAGCCTCTTCATCAGTCACTCCTAAGTATTTAACTAACAACTCAAAATTTGTGTCGTCATCATCTCCAAGAGGAGCAACCGCTGCACCAGACACAGAATGCCTAAAATAGATGACACATCATCCAATGTGATGGTCATCTCACCAAAAGGCATGTGAAAGGTGTTCGTTTCGGGATGCCACCTCTCAACAAATGTAGACACCACAATCTTATCAGCATTCCGATAAGAACACCTAATAAGGTGCTCTAATCCAGACCTCTGAATGTACCCTTTGAATATACTATTATTTGGATTACCCCACCAATTCCACTCACGAAGGGTAGATGTTTTCGACATGCACCTAAGGGGCTCACGTTCCTAGTTAAACAAAAAAAAACAAAATTAAGGTTAGTTACCATGAACCAGATTTATATTCTACCTTCTATTGTCACAGTAAAACGACTTACCTGGTTATTCCAAATTGTAGCTGCTATGTGAGTTTTAAAACTCGTAAGTAAAGATGGATCAATGGGACCTACTCGAGATGGCTTAGTAGGCTCGGCATGTACCTCAACATTACTATCCTGAGCAATAGCTACATCTTCAACCTTTGCGTCAACATTACTATAATCAGTAGGAACTACATCTTCAACCTCTGTAGTATCCTCAATGTGATCTTGGGGAGCCGCTCTCTGTCTCCTCGCTGAGGCCGTGGGACGTTGTCTATTAGGTCGTGATGATGAAGCTTTAGTAGTACCCCTGCGAATCCTCTTCATATCTAAAAATAAACAATATTAAGTACACACTCAGTAACGTATTCGGTACATAATCACTGAAAAAGGGAAATAAATTCGGTGGACAATCACTGAAAAAAGAATACATATTTGGTGGAGTACCACTGAAAAACCAAAAGAAATTCGGTGGGAGTCCCCTGAAAAATAGAAACAGATTCGGTGGACTACCACCGAAACAAGGTAACAATTTCGGTGGTAACCCACCGAAAGTACAGGTTCAATTCGGTGGACTACCACTGAAGCAATGTAATCATTTCGGTGGCAATCCACCGAAACTAGAATCCAATTTCGTAAAACCAGGTTCGAACTACCCAGAACCTTGAAATTGAAATCAAAATCAGTATCAGACTTTGGCTTTTCAAAAGTGAAATCAAATGTAGGCTTAATCAACACTTAGAAACGTAAATATATAAATCAAATTTGAAATCAAACCTTGAATAAGGATTTGTGAGAACTTGACCTTCAATGGCTTTTGGGTTTGCAGAGATGGAGATGGGTGTGATGGTTCTGTTTCAGATATGGTTCAGGTTTGCTGGAGGCGATGGCAAAGGGCTTCTTCGATGGTGAGCAAAGATCTGCGATGGCAAGGGATGAGTTCTTCGATGTTCTGCGATGCAGGCAATGGCAAAGGGCTTCTTCGATGGAGGTTGGTGTAAATGGGATGGGGTGTGCGATGGAGTGTGTCTGCAAGAGGAGAGAATTTTCGGTGGGGTGTGGCTGGATATCAGATGGGGTGGGGTTTGATTTCAGATGGGGTGTGGCAGAAAGGGAAGGGGGTTTTCGATGGGTGGTTAGAGAATGGGGTTTATGAGGGCAATTTAGGGAAAAAAAAGGGGGTTTAATGAGTAATTTGAAATTTTATTAAAATTTAGTGGGGTGTAAAAAATTACGGGGTGTAAAGAGTAATTTATGGGGTTCATATAGAATTACCCTTAACTAAATGAGGGAATACTTTGAATTAGTTCAATAACCGAATAAATTAAAGAGAGATATAAGTTAAATGAGTTAATCACGAGTTCGGGCAGTTGAACGACACGTCGTTTGGTTATTATTATTATTTTTAATTGTTGGGTTCGTTGGAAGTTGAACCTTACTAGACAAGTTATTCTGACACGAGAAAAAAAAGATGGATATTTGTAAAATTTTGCAAGCACTCCTTAGTAAACAAATTTTGCCAAACCATTCATATGACGAAATTTTCTTAAGCATGTACACTGAGGACTGCCAGGCCTCCGGAGAGAGAGACCATAATACATTGACCATAGCTTGTGCCACAAACTTAGGGCTCGTATTATCAGCTTATTCACACCCAAAATGGGCACTTTAATACATCTCAGGTCCAGCATGACCAATCTCAGCAGCAACCACATGAACATAACCAGATTAATAGAAAAGTTGTAACTACAACCTATAAACCAGAATTCCCTAAAAGTCGCTCTACTGCTGCATGGACGTTTCCTGCGGTGGCCATCAGAGCCCGTATGTTCTCTTGTTGGTCAAAGAAACCCATCTCCTGAAGTTGTGAAAGCTGTGCAGCATAGAGTTCTTCCGGTGGCACTGAAATATATGGGATAGGATTAGTACAGAACAAACAAAGGAAATCCTTTTCTAAGAAATGATAGGTAAGTAGTAACCATCAGGCCTATTGGGAACAGCCAGGCTGCCAGTGCCAAGCCCACCAAACATGTTCATCAGCATCTCTAGCCCCGTGTTATTTAATGATCCTGTTTTCACAAAACCATTAGCATGCAACCAATTACCGCGATGAATATATTTTAAACAGAAAAATGATTGCTCTCTTCTCTTTTAAATTAGGCAAATGACAGGGAACGTTTTCCTGGAATCTCACTTCACAATATGGTTTTCATTCATTGAAAATTAGAAACAATAACCCACCCTGTACCAAATTTTAACCCAACCCATCACAAGTAAAGCATTCAGTGTGACAAACACTGTTAGGAATAGTTTCAAGTGATGCAATGCAGACAAATTGAATTGCCTGTGCAAACATCATCTCCTAAAATCTGTCAGGCATACAAGTAGTTCCAAAGAAAGGCAAATAGAAATTGGATATTGACTTGGATACCTGTGGTTCCACCAGTCTGACCTGTTTCCCTGCAAGAAAGACTGATTTAGCACAACTCTAAGAGCAAAAACCAGTAATGACAACTGATCAAACAGAAGCAATGCAAATAGTATTATAAGGAAAAAAATAAAAATGGCCCAAGCCAGGCCTGCAGGTAACAGAAATAAACCAATTAAAGTTATGAGATGCAGCAATCTGAAACATAGCCAAAGCCAAAAGTCAGCATGAAGCTTAATTGGAAATATCACTAAACTAGGGGTTTTTATTTACTGCGATCTTCCTGACCACTGAAAAGGAAGCACCAATGAACATGCACAGTTATGTTATGTATTATTTTCCAATCAGAGTTGATTCAATGACCCTGAGCCAATATTTCTAAACTAAGTGACTAAATTTATTATTTGTCCAACCAGTTGAACCAATGATCAGCACCCAACTTTTTTAACAACTAAATGCAAGGTCAGGACAAATAATGACAGTAACAATTCAAAGCTTAGTCCAGAGGAGAAAGTAAAACATCCAATTGAACTGGCCAAGAACTGTTGACATACAGTTTCAGACTTCAATCAAGTTGCATAATTATTAATCCATAGTGGTCAATATGGAATCCTCAGGCAGCTAAGGGAGAAATATCAATTCAGGATATATCTATCAGACATATCGAACATAAAATTATGTCACTTCTTACTGGGTTGACTGTTGCTGTTGCCGACCAAACTGAGACATAAGTGATTGCTGCACAGTCAAGAGCAGCTGCAAGAGAGAAGAGACAAAATAAAGGCAATGAAGAAGCAAGAATCAAATAGGTACCGTTTTCAAGTTTAATCATTAATTGGACATCATACGTCACTCTTACATATGCAAACATTAGCGGCACTGTCTCCCAGGTTAAACTCATTCAAAACCACAAAAAATAAGGTTCAAGTGAACTGAGAGAGAGAGAGAGAGAGAGAGAGAGCACATGCATGTGTCAAAAGCTTAGGCACACGTAACAAATATACCTGCATAGTCTCAGGAGAAGCCAACTGACGAAGAAATTCAGGGTTTTGCATCATTTCTCTTAAATGAGAATTGGAATCAAGCATGCTTCGAAACTGGGGGTTGGAACCTAGAATCTGCAGACGGGTAATGTTAAGAAAGGAGAAATTTCATCCTCAAGCTTATTCTATTAGAGAATAAAATGATACCTGGTTCATATACTGAGGATTGGAGATGAGGCTTTGCATTATTTGAGAAACAGCTGGATTTTGCATAAACTGATTCATTGAATTGTAATCCTGTGGCAGGGCACCCAATGCTTCAAACTCTGGAAAGTTAAGTCCAGCTATGGGAGTTGGTGTCTGCGGCCTAGCATCACTGATAGGATTTGATGCTGTGGTATTAGTTTCGGCAACTCCAGCTGCTAGATTCAGATCTAGTTAACGACTGATTTAATGACTAAAACAACACTGGAACATAAAAATCTTGACCTTAACCAGAGGAAGCTAAAGGTTGGAAAGTTTCCTAAAGTTCTTCATTGTATTGTGGCTAATATTGTTACTACCACTGCTATTTTGGACAAAGCAGCAACCAATTCAATTATAAGTTGAAATCAGAGAAGATGCCTGCTAGCTTAAGTGGTATCTTCCGCTTCACCAAGGATGAGAAAAGCCTAATACCTCTTATCTAGTCCACAGCCCAACTCTCCTCTTATATAGAAAAAGAGAATACTTTTCTGCCTCGTCATACTTTGTGCCATTGACTGATAGATGAAATACCACATCTTTATCCAGACAACATAGAATGTTATTAAAAAAAAGGTTCATTAAGAGATGTGCAATATGTCCCAATGAACATAAGGGACTCAAAGCAAACAAAGTTTAAACTGCATCTTCAAAACCAAAACATTGTAGAACAGAAACAAGTGAGCAAGAGCTTACTGCCTGTAGAGGACCATGGGTTGGGAAGCGGGTTAGTATTTGGAGCGGGAGAACCATTCATTGAATCAGATCTGGTTTGGTTGCCACCTTGGGCCCCCAAAAGAGATGCAAATGGGTTTGAACCATCACTCCCAGCATTCCCAGCCATTGTTGTTGCATTCATAAATGGCTCTTGTACGTTTTCATACATCCGCCTGAGCATGTTAAATCCCTCAGGAGTAGCTTCAATGTTGCTCATGGCTCTGTCAGTGTTACGCATCATCTCACGCATAAGCTCGGGGTTTCTTGCTGCTTCAAGTGTCTGACGGAGCGTGCCAGGATCATTAAGTACGTGTGCTAGCTCGGGATTTCGATCAATAATTTCACGCATTTGAGGGTTGTTCATAATCAAGTTCCGCATTATGTCAGGGTTATTCATAAGATTTTGAACGGCAGGCGTGTTCATTATGTCTCTCATTACGCTGGGGCTCTGAGTCAATTGTTGCTGCACTTGTTCAAAGTCAGGAAGCCCAGCTCCAAACAGACCACCAGTGCCACCCATACCATTAAGTCCGAGTCCTGGGAATGGTGAGGCTCCAAAACCAGACCCTCCCAATGTCCCACCATCATTGGATCCAATACCCCTTGCTTGGGTGGAATTTGCAGCTCCAGCATTGGTTGCACCAGCAGGGTTGGCTGACGCAGGCGGTGCAAAACCACGAACCAAGTGAACAGTGTGATCTGCCTCCAAACCTATTGATACCAAAGAACAGAAGCCACAGTTAAGCAAGACTTTTCTTTTTTCTTTTTTCTTTTTTCTTTTTAAGTTAAGCAAGACTTATCTTAATAACAGAACATCTTTAAAGTCTGCAAATGTAACAAGTACTGCTCCATTATAAATCTTAAGCTTCACTTACCAAATAATTTAAGCCTAAATTGTTGTCTTCTACATGACACAAAGATTTCTTCGCTGGGAATTGTCAAATGTCTAAACAAAAAATTTCAGAGCATGCACCCCAAGCAACGCTACCAGCAACTACAAAGACAAATAAAACAAGCAAGTTTCCCAGAAATTATTCTTTAAATGAGATTCTGGCATCCTATCAATCAGAAAAAAGAATTTTAAAAGAATTCAAAAAAAAATTAAAAATTATAGCCCGGTAACTTCAGAGCAAAGCTTCATAGTCAAAAGCCTTTGGAAAAGAGATGCAACCAGATTCTATGCGTGTGAGATGAGGAAAGCTCTCTGCTCCTAGTGACACCAGCCCTATTATTCAAGTTTTTAGTCCTGCTTTCTCTAATTCTCTCAACCATAACATCAAAGGGTTCAAGTCGATTACCTAAGGAGCAAACCCAACATTACACATTCTGGTATCTGTATAATCCATAATTACACATTGGATGAAGATTGAACTTCAACTATATCACCAAGCCTCTGCCACAATGTAATGTGAACTAGCACCCTAAGTAACTTGAAAATGCATCTATAGTGGAAAGAAAACATAACACAAATGGATCAGAGGACACATTGATTCAATCGCAGCAGTGAAATGAAAACCCATCTCAATTATGTACCACAAAACACACACCAAAATACAAACATACATGAAATTGTTTAATGTGGTGAAAAAATCGGAAATAGATAGTACCATAGCTTTGGACGGTTTGATCGTCCCTTAAGATCCGACCCTTGTAAATCAGACGCTGCTGATCGGCCGGGATGTCGCATTTTGATGAGAGAACTTCCTTGAACGATCCAACGGTGGATTCGAGGTTAATCTGAACGGTGAACTTGGAGCCATTGGAGCATCTGACGTTGACGTTGACCTTGACTCCATCTCCATCGTCGGAGTGGGTCCCGTCGTCCACAGAACCCTCACCTCCTCCTCCCATAGTCGGAGGTGTCTCACACTCTGAAATTACAAAAACTCAGTGACAATATCAGACGGATCAGAGTGATACTAGAAACCCTGGCGGAACTAGACTTGGACAAAAATTTGGGTCGTGATTGGGGGGTTTGAGGTACGATGAGGGATTGAAGGGAGAGAGAGCTCACAGGCTTCAGCTGGTGAATGAATGCCAATGGGAAAGAGGAGAAAAATAAATAAAGAGAATTTTATAATCAAATAAATAAATAATTGGTGGAATCTGAGGTGCCTTAGCCCACTCAAGCCAAGGAAGGTATATAAAAAAACAAGGCTTATTTATATATGGGGGCGGATCGTGGCACTATATTTTTTACTCAAGTTTTGACACAATTTTTGTGTCATTAGATTACTCGATTTTTAATGGTTGAGATTAAACCTGACATGGCAAAACAATATTTTTTTTCTTTAATTAATATTTACACATTGGGATTAAATTTCTGATATCATATTAATTAAAAATTCATTCTCTCTCATCTCATTAATTATCTTTAATTAATTCATTCTCTCTCTTTCTTCTAAAGAGAATTGACGCCTCCTCATGTGCCTCTACTGCTTCTCTCTCTATCTTGTCCCATTCTCATCCCCAAGGCCACCCTCACCACCACCACCACTCCAACCCCTACCCTACCTCACTAAACCACAAATCACAGGGACTCTCTCTCTCTCTCTCTCTCTCTCTCTCTCTCTCCTTCCTCTCTGGTATCCATCTCGGTTAGCGAAAAAATTGGTGCAAAGATGTGAGATCTCATTCTTTTCTATATGCTTCTTATGGTAGGGAGGGAAATTGCTGTTAGATCTTACCCTCCAAATTTATGGGATACAAATCCCCTTCAGTTCTTACTCGAACAAAATGGTAACAAAAAGGCCGTGTGTTCTGCAGGTACAGTGGGCAATTTTGATGAACCCAATTTTTGATATTATAGCTAGTGACCATATCTAAACACCCGTATATATCCACAAACACTTGTGCACATGGCTCTTGAAATGAAAGATATACAAGAACCCAAAATTCAGACGGCATTGCTAGTCCGAGCTACTCTCTAAGCTTCTTCCAAATCTTTCAAGAACCTGTTTTTCCCAACCAAACAATAATTGGAGCAGAGCATCTCATATTTGACAATTTCAATAAGCTACAGTAATTCACTAGAATAGCCTCAAACAATTACAACATATAATTGAAAATCTCCAGCAGTCGATGCATAAATACTTGTACCAAAATCTCTTAAGCAACTGTCTATCAAGCACAACCTCCCATTGTCTAGGATTGATTAGGCAAGTGGATGCTTAATTATCATGTTCTCAAAACTTAGGAACTAATATGCTAGATGAATTGTACCTATATGGAGAGAGAGAGAGAGAGAGAGAGAGAGAGAGAGAGAGATTAGATTACCAAGGAAAAAAGGATATTACCAAGAAGAGAGATTACGTTTCCAAGAAAAAGGGAGGAGAGAGAAAATAATTTTATTTATTTTTATAAGAGAGAAAATAAAATTAATGATTGTTTATTTAAAACATTAAAACTATTTCTCATGTCAGATTTAATCTCAACCATTAAAAGTGGAGTAATCTAATGGCCCAAAAATTGTGTCAAAACTTGTGTCAAAAATATGGTGCCACGGATCCGCCCCCTATATATATATATATATATATATATATATGCCTCGGTGCTTTCTAAGTTGTCTCAAATTACCATATGTTCTTTGAAACATCTCAAAATACCACATACACTTTTAATAACTGTCTCACATTATTGACAAAAGTAACAAGCTTTTCTCTTCTCATCGTCTTCTTCTTCTTCTTCTTCTTCTTCTTCTTCTTCATAAAAAACATGCACAATTTTCAGACGAACCAATTCTAATAATCTCCTTATGTCCAAAGCCCAATTCACAATTTCCATATGTGCCCTTTTGGTCTTCGTCACCCTCCTCCTCTTCACCCTCTCAACCTTTGAACCCACAACCAAGCCTCACCCACTCATCACAACAGCCTTCAAAAGATTTCTCTCCCAAAAATCCCCAACCACCACCAACATAGACCATAAATTACTCAATAAATTCATCACGTAACAAAATGTCTCTTAATACTGACGGAATAGGTACCGTGAGACATTTATTAAAAGTGTATGTGGTATTTTGAGACATTTCAAAGAACATATGGTAATCTGAGAGAACTTTTGAAAGCATAAAGGGCATGTACATAAATAAGCCAAAAAACAATGGGATTTGTCCTTTTTTTTTATTTCCTAATACTATGTTTAATATGAGAAAGTAAAGGGTTTAAAAGAGCATTATAAAAACTATTAACCAAAAAAGGATTATCAAATCATCCTATAATCTTAAATTTAATTGTAGCACTAAATTGATAAATTTAAATAATGTAATCCTTGATTCTCAGTTGGGGAATAGTGGCATTTTCTAGAGAAATCCCTCGTCTATGAATAATCCATCCCTTTACAAATTTAACAATTATTCTAACAATTGATTTATTGGTTTTTTTTACAAGTAATATTGAGAGAGGTGGATTTGAATATAAAACTTTTTCAGTTACATGCCTATACTATTTAATTATAAAAAATTGTAGTCTCGTTGCATGGCTATACTATTTAATTAAAAAATTAATAATAAAAAAGGACCCTCCTAGTTGCATTGGTTTGTACCTTATGGATATTAATTTGCAACATATCCAAAGTAGATGTTAATCTTCCACTATTTGATGTTTTAATATAATTTTTATACCATATCTTATTCTTATTCAATAATATGTGAGAATTATTTGTATAATACGTGAATTTTTGTGTGTTACTGAAAATTTTGTGAAAAATGCGTGTATAAAACATTCGAAATACGTATGTACATGTACAATATGAATATTATATATATGAATACATATGTAAAAGACTATAGCTGCTCGTCTATACTTTTTATTAAACTAATTTTTTTATTATTAAAAATAAATAAATAAAACCCGTAACGTCTCCCGCCTATACTCTATATATATTTTTTTAAATGAGTATAGCCGTTTTTTAATATAAAAAAGTTTCCCCAATCATTAGGAGCCACGTGTCAACACATGTCTTCTTTAAAAAAAATTCAAAACTGAGTATAGCCGCGCGGCTATACTAATTTTTAATATAAAAAAGGACCCCACCCATTTGGCGCCACGTGTCAACGCATGCCTTTTAAAAAAATTCAAAACTGAGTATCGCCGCGCGGCTTGACTATTTTAAATACGAAATAACACCCCAGCCATTATGCCCCACGGGTCAACACATATCATTTACAAAAAAATTCAAAACTGCATATAGCCGCGCGGCTATACTATTTTTAATATATAAAAAAGACTCCATCCTTTAAGCGCCACGTGTCAGCACATGTCTCATTTAAAAAATTCAAAACTGAGTATAGCTGTGCGGCTGTACTTTTTAAAGAACAACCTCTGTCGTTTGAAGCCACGTGTCAAACATAGGTATAGCCGACCGGCTATACTATTTTAATTATAAAAAAAATCGTATTATCACCGCACGGCTATACGATTTAATTAAAAAATTAATAATAAAAAAGGACCTTCCTAGTTGCATTGGTTTGTACCTTATGAATATTAATTTGCAACATATTCAAAGTAGATATTAATCTTCCATTATTTGATGTTTTAATATAATTTTTATACCATATGTTATTCTTATTTAATTATATGTGAGAATTATTTGTATAATACGTGAATTTTTGTGTGTTACTGAAAATTTTGTAAAAAATGCGTGTATAAAATATTAGAAATATGTACGCACATGTACAATACGACTAATATATATATATATATATATGAATACATACGTAAAAGACTGTAGCCACTCATTTATACTATTTATTAAATTCTTTTTTTTTTAAACCAAAAAAAAACCCGTAACGTCTCCTGCCTATACTATATATATATATAAATGAGTATAGCCGTTTTTTAATATAAAAAAGTTCCCCCAACCATTAGGAGCCACGTGTCAACACGTGTCTTTGAAAAAAATTTCAAAACTGAGTATAGCCGAGTGGCTATACTAATTTTTAATATAAAAAGGACCCAACCATTTGGCGCCACATGTCAACACATGTCTTTACTAAAAAAATTTCAAAACTGATTATCGCCGGGCGGCTATACTATTTTTTAATACGAAAAAAACCCCTGCCATTATGCCCCACATGTCAACACATATCATTTTAAAAAAAATTTCAAAACTGAGTATAGCCATGCGGCGGTACTAAAAAAGTAAAGAAGAACCTCTATCGTTTAAAGCCACGTGTCAAACATATGTATAGCAAGCCGGCTATACTATTTTAATTATAAAAAAAAAGGAGTTTCACTAAAACACCCAAAATGGGAGCTGAAATTATAGAAAAACCCAACACTCAAAACACTTTATAAACACACCAAAAACTCATCATTATACACACTCAAAACCCATTTATAAACACACCCAAAAAATATACAATTGTTGATTTTTGGGTTGATTTTGGGTGTGTTTCTATGTTTAAATAGTGCTTGGGTTTTTTTTTATAAATACATGTCTAAGATTGGGTTTATTTATAAATTTGTATAAAAAAAATCATAGTATCGCCGCATGGCTATATGATTTAATTAGAAAATTAATAATAAAAAAGGACCCCCTAGTTGCATTGGTTTGTACCTTATGGATATTAATTTGCAACATATCCAAAGTAGATATTAATCTTCCACTATTTGATGTTTTAATATAATTTTTATAACCATATGTTATTCTTATTCAATAATATGTGAGAATTTTTTGTATAATACGTGAATTTGTGTGTGTTACTGAAAATTTTGTACAAAATGCGTGTATAAAACATTCGAAATATGTACGTACATGTACAATATGACTATTATATTAATTAACCATTGACCCAACTAACTAGACATTTAACCCTAAGCCATACCCACAAGCCACTCAATTGGGCCACTTGCATAGCCTATATTTCCTATAGTAAGTCTTATAAAGACTTCCAAGGAACTCTGTTGTTCCAATGTGGGAACTCAAACATGTTTGCAATGCCTTGCAAACCAACAAAACTAAATTATGCTTCACTTTTCAAACAACCCTTTCCTCAATTTATTCTAGAAGATGAGATTTCACGTCTACATGGTGCTGACTGCAACATAATACGCACACAACCTCTTCGTATTTTTGCTGTGTCTGTTGCTGCTCGTATATCCTCTGAAAGGGAAGAGAATCTTGGTGAAACTGTTGGTTATTAGATCCGCCTGGAATCGAAACTTTATTCTCGAAAAAAAGTGAATTTTGCACCACTGGAGTATTACTTAGACAGTTGGTAATACAATTTTTCTGATATGTTTCCGACACCTGCATGATCCATGGTGTTATAATTTATTAACCTCTCATTCCCCCAATTTTATTTCACCTGTTTTTCAAATACTAAATTTCCTCAATCTATTTCTTAGAAAAATTGTGCTGGCTACAAACATAGCACAGAGTAGTATCACCATAGATATGATGTTGTGTATGTCATAGACTGTGGAAGGGCAAAGGAAACCAGTTATGATGCTTTAAACAAGTTGGCTTGTCTATTACCATCATGGATTTCAAAGGCTTCAGCACATGAGGTATAATTTACTACCAGAAGTAACCCAATTCAAGGTTTTACCTGAGTGTCAAACTTGTTGAGACTCTACCAAGCTCGCTCCATTTATGGTTTGTCAAAATAAACATTTTATTAAATTTTATTGCTTTGGTGATGATTCCAGAGGCGAGAGCGTGCTGGCCGTGTGCAGCCTGGATTTTGTTACAGACTATATCCAAAAATGATCCATGATGCAATGCTCCAATATCAGTTACCTGAAATTCTCCGAAAACCTTTGCAAGAGCTATGCCTCCACATCAAAAGTTTGCAGCTTGGAGCTGTTGGGTCTTTTTTGGCTAAAGCACTTCAGCCATCAGATCCTCTTGCTGCTCAAAATGCAATCGAACTTCTCAAAACCATTGGAGCTTTAGATGACATGGAGGAGCTTACTCGTCTTGGCATGTAAGTTATGCAAGTCTCTACTGAATATCAGCTATGGTAGTTGACTGACAAATCTTACATGACAGGTCACCATCTTTGCACACTACCATTGGATCCAAACATTGGGAAGATGCTTCTAATGGGTTCTATCTTTCAATGCTCTAAACTATTTGAGTTACATGCCTCTTGCAATTGAAAAAATAAACTAAACATAAAAAAATTAAAAATTAAAACGGAGTTAGTGCATGAGTTGGAGACCTCATGTCCCGACTTCAATCCAAGTTGTTTAAAAAATTATCGACTTTGAACAATGTTATATAGGGTCAATGCATGAGTCAATACCATGAGTCTCTATTTTAATTCACGTCCTTTAGAAAATTAGTGAGTTTGAACAATGCTACATAACCCAAAGTTTGTAACAATTTTTTTCCTAACCTAAGTTATTGACTAATTTGTGATGGTATGGTGTGTGATCCTAATTACGTGCCATATAAAAGTTGAAAAGTCCAGACAAAAACGTAAAGATAAAACTGCCACTAGAAATTTAGTTTTCAATTGACATGGCATGTGTAAATCATCTAAACTTCAGGGGTGTTTGTGCAATTAAACTAGGTTTATAAGAAAGACAACGATTGTAGTAAAGCACAAATTCTCACAGGCAGGAAAATTTTCCTGTGACACATAATCAAAAGGTACCAGAAAGCGCGCCATGATATTCATCTTCCGATGGCGATAATATCCCCTGGAGGCTCCAATAATTGCCTGTTATCTCGCCTCAGAGCCCTAATAAAACAACAGGTCTCTCTTTTTCTCTACTTCCCTGAGCTTCTGTTTTCGTTCAGGCATTTTGTCGAACACGTGGGTGACAATGGTTTCTCAATGCGCAGAGACTCGTCCATGCATTGTCTGAAGGAGGATTGCAAGCTCAATTTCACACTAAAATGGTGCCAGACTCGGTTCCTGACAAAGGTATATTCATTAAACTCTGTACATTTCTTTGAAAGAAACGTTAATTGCATTGTGTACATTTGTGAATTGGTAGGCTGCATTGATATGTCAAAATGGAAAAAGTTGGATTCGAGGAACCTTGGGATAAAACCCTCCATGGTTTCGCAACCCTCTTGGATTGTCTTAAAAATTCTTCAGAGTGAAGGTAACATTTTGTTCTACTTTTGCCTTCATTGCCATTATATGTATGTGTGTTGATGTTGCTTTGTATTTTATGAAGTTAAGAACTTATGTGTTCTTCCCCAGTTCAAGGATTGGTGCAAATTATTCAGCTAAAGACGTTATTCTCTTAGGCTGGAGTTGGATGGTTTGCTTATCTTTTTATACATGCAGGGTTTGAAGCCTACTTAGTGGGTGGATGTGTCAGAGACTTGATCCTCAAAAGAATACCTAAAGACTTCGATGTGATCACTACAGCTAATCTTAAACAGGTTTTGTAACCTTGTCTTTCAAGTTTTCTTCTCAACTCCGTTAGGTTGTGATAATTTACGGATGAAATTCAGGCTTTTCTGTTGTTTAACGCTTTTACAGATCAAGAAGCAATTTTATCGTGCAGAAATTGTTGGACGACGATTCCCTATATGCAGGGTGCATGTTAAAGGTTCTGTCATTGAGGTTGGTTGGTGAATTTTGTAATTATATTATCTTGTTGGCATGATTTTTCTTTTTTGAGATGTCTTAAACTAGTTCAAATAGCATGCACCTCTTGCATTTAGTATCCTATCTTGATGTTCTTTTGTTCTTCATCTGATTCCTGTAACAGGTGTCCAGTTTTGAAACGGTGGCAAAACATGCTGGAAAAAAGGAAGCTGATTCCCCTTGTAGGCCACCTGGCTGTGATAAGAAAGATTTCATCCGTTGGAGAAACAGCATGCATCGGGACTTCACTATTAACAGGTAACTCCGTTCTTTCATTTTTCAATTTACCATATATGATGGCATGCTAGCAATTTTAAACACTCTTGATTCATTTGAACTGTGTAAGTTCAATGCCATCTAACTTCAGGAGACATTGTGAATTGTGCAAGCAGTTTATTCTTTGATCCTTTTGCAAATAAGATCTATGATTATGCCAATGGAATGGCGGACTTGAGGTCCTTAAAGGTATCTCTCAATTTCCATTTGTTAATAGTAGACTTCATTTCTTACCAATATATCAATTGAAGTTTATTAAGATGAGTTATTGCTGGGTGACATGGACTTAGCTACGGACGTTAGGCTCTGCCAAGTTGTCATTTGAAGAGGATTGCGGTAGGTGTTTTTTATGCAAACTTTGACACCATTTGGATGCAACAGCTGAATGATTGTATTGGATTAAAATAACGGGATCATATGCATGCAGCACGAATCTTGCGGGGTTTAAGAATCGCTGCTCGTCTGAGTTTGTCAATATCAAAAGAAACTGAGACTGCGATGCATCGGCTTTCTTCATCCATTTTAAAGTTGGATAAGGTACCTCTGAAGGACTGTATTTGTTTAAGTTTATTTGCTGTACCTTTCTCCTTTTCCAATTGTTTAAACTGACATTCATTTTCAATTCAGTCCAGAATAATGATGGAGTTGAACTATATGCTCTCTTATGGAGCTGCTGAGCCATCATTCTGTTTGCTATGGAGATTCGATCTACTCAAAATTCTACTTCCCTTTCATGTATGTGTTTTCACAGTTCCTGAATTGCCTTATTATGAAATAATTTCTTAGTCATTAGTTGCATATATGATAGATTGTTAGCATTGCAGGCAGCATACTTTGATCAGCAGAGCAAAAATATGAAAACTGCTCAGAGTTCCACGATGTTGACGGTATGCAAAGTTTCTTCAGCTGTAACCGAAAAAAAAAGGAAATCCATAATTCCTGGAAATCTTAGGAGATTATGAAAGACAAGAAAGTATAGGTCTCTAGCGTATGACTATTTTTTTTTCCGTGTTGAGCCAAATTAATGTATACCCAGAACTGAAATTTAGTTAGACTTTGATTGTTCTTTTCTTTTTCAACAGAAGCTTTTCTCTAGTTTGGATAAAGTGCTTAGCTGTGATCGACCTTCTGAATCCACTTTATGGTGAGATAATTGTTTATTGTTTGTTTCTGTTAATTTATAGTATTTAACACATCATGGAAAGTTCATTTTATTTGTTTAGTTTATAAACTTGTTCCCGGGGACTAGTTTAAAATTTTGAATTTAGGAATTAACAGTTTTGCTCCCATTTATATTGGCAATCAACTTATGGAAATGATTTCAAGTGAGGTTTGTAGTACAAGATTTCCAGGACTTGACACTTCCTAAGCTAGTTTTGCTTGTTCATTACTCCTAATCAAATTGGAATTCAGCATTTGGTACAAACTTTGGGTTTTTATGTGTACTGTAGATGTCACTGCTGATTACTTGTGTTTATTACAGGGTCGGACTGTTGGCATTTCACCTTGCACTAGTCAATAACCCACAAGATGCTCTTGTAGTGTTGACTTTTGCTTCTGTCCTGTATCATGAAGAATGGGAAGATGGTGTTAAATTTTCCAGAGACAATGCTGAAGGGATCGTTAATTATGTACCTGAGATCTTATGCTCATCTGAATTTAAATCAGACAAAGAACTTGCAAAAGAAGTTTCCCAGTTAGCTTCTTTTGTGCTAGATTCTATTTCCACTTTAACTGCAACAGAGAGTCTTATTGAATCAATGTCCAGATATCCTCTTTTCCCATGCTCTGGGTTGGTAAGTACATCTAATTGATATTCAATTCCTAAGCTGTAACTTGGAGCAGAACAAAAAGAAAAAGAAGTATGTTATGTAGTGCCTCTCATGTCACTTATCTGCAGTTTGCTGATCCCACCCTTAAATGGTGTTGTTATCACATATAGCATTAATATTCAACCACGGTGCAGAATGATTTTGTCTGCATCTTTGTTACCTTTTATCTTAGCGTGCCTTGATTTTTTCTCAAAGGACAAAGTCACAAATTGTTGGACTATAGACTAAATGATAGTTTTTGCTAGTTTCTCCTTATCTGACTCTTTTAATGGCCTACTATGTGCTGTTTCTGTCAAATGCCATCCCAGGAGGTAACCCTTGTAGTGGTTCTTCTTAAAATGTTCGTTGGAGTGCTTGTATGTAGATTTTCTTTGGTTGGTGTGCTTTTATGTTTTATAATATGTCCCTAATACAAGTAACACTTATTTGATGCTTTAGGTATTTGTACCAAAGAAAATGGCTGAAGAGGTTGCTGAAATTTTTAAAGGGCTGGTGAACATCAAATCTTACAATAAAGGAAGGAAGAGTTTTCAGATTGATTACCACTCACTTGGGAAAGGCTATTTGAGTGAGGTTAGGTTTGTTATTGGAAAAGTTATTTTAGAAACCATGAACAGTGGGATTTTGCAAGGGAAGGAAGTTGTTCAGGAGTTGGACTGCCACCTGCTGCAGGAGAACGTTAAAAATTACAATAAGGGTAGAAAACGTAGCCTTATACCAGATACCCCTGAAGTAAAACAAGAGATGTCCAAGAAACTGAAGTTGAAAGAACAGAAATGCAATCTGTTCAAGCAAGATACAGCTATCGTTAAGCAAGAGGTCGTTGAATTGTGTCAAGCACCTCAGAGAGAGTTAATTGCAGTTCTGGGAAATATGTTGGAGAAGAGAAAATGTCAGTTACCGGAAGAGGAGGGGATTAAGAAAAATCAGGAGCTTTCTGAGGATGAGAAGTTCCAGAATAAGGGAGAGAAGAAGATGTACTTGAAGACGATAGAGAAGCTGCAGGAATGTATGCCACCTGATATGGCTACCAAACAGCAATTAAACAAAGTTAAGAAGCATAATTCAAGTCAGGATAATTCAAGTCAGGTGGATACCATTAAGCTGAAAAACATGTTTCAGAAGAAAACACAGAAAGTGATCAGTGAGGAGATTGTGGAAGACAGACAAGTAACAGACAAGGGGAAAGGCAGTCTACCTCCGTTACCTAGTGTCGTCAGCAGTGAGGAGATTCAGAAACGCAAACAAGTAGCAGACAACAAGAAAGGCGGTCTACCTCGACTATCTAGTCTCTTTAAGAGATAATATTTTCCGTAACTAACAAAATGACATGTGTGTTTTTGTACCTCCCCCCTCTATCCTCTTTCTCATATGCGCACAATTGGCACGAATAATTCTTCCATTTTTGTCTGCAGGTATATCATAAAATCCTAGGAGCTGGGGTAAATACCCTCAAAACTACCTCGAGGTTTTGCTCATTGTATCATTATGCCGTCTGCCCTCTTTTTCTCTTCATTCTTCGGTTTAACAATTTTGATTAGCCGTAGTTAATACTGATCTTTGATTAAGGAGCATAATTGTATCACAAATTTTGTATCTATTTCATAATTTATTCAAAGATGGTCTTTTTTTTTTGGTACAAACGATTGAGGGAGCGGGATACACATTTTCAAGGATGGTCTTTTGAATAAGTGTGAGTGGCGCTGAATTGAGTATGTTTTCTTATTAAAGGGGTGTTTTAGACTCTCTTTCTCCTTGATTTGTTTGGTTATAACTTATAGCCCAGAGCAGAGCAATGGAGTGGGCCTGAATTCGCGAAACGTACTTTTCTCTTTTCTTTTTCTTTTTTATGCTCAGACGAAATGTACTTTCTCTGTTCTTGTTTAATTTTAGTTTTGTTTTTCATGTCAACTTTATTTTTTATTTTTTCAAATGACAGGGAGATTATATTAATAAATTACATCACGAGGAAAATTCAAAATCCAATTTTGATCATATCATTTGTAATATTTTGTGTATCTAACAGAAATAGATTTACTCTTTCTTTTTCCATTTTTCTTGTTTGTCCAACTTTTGAATGGCTTGAATATTTTTCGGGAACGGGTATGCCAAAGGAGATGTCCCATCTTGTCCAGGAAAAGTAATTTTACTGTCTTTGGTTTGGATATGATATTGTCTATCTATCAATGGTTTTGATTCATATTATGCACAATAAAACTACATACTATTTTTGTAATGGACCACTCTTTGTTTAATAAATTTACGTACTACTTATTTTTTTTATAAAGAAAATGAGAGATTTCAAATTTCCCTGTTTTTTTCGTCGAATAAAATTAAAAATCTCCCGTTTAATTAATCAGTCAAATTTGTATATTTTTCAAACACCAATCAAGTTTATAAATTATACCTGACTTTGGTTAACAAAATAAATTTTCTAAAATCCAGTTAATCAATTTCTACTACATTGTTGAATCTAAATATTTAAAAAAAAAATCCATCAAAATATGAATTTTTAATTCTAGTCTACTTATGTCATCTTGTTAACTAATTTTCCTATTTTGATTATTACATACTTATGGAAAGTATTTATTGTGCCACAAAAAGCGGCTATGATAGGTCCTTCACACCTAACTCAATAAGTCATTGCATTTCATTGCAATAAATTTGGTGTATTGCATGCAACACTCATCACTCCATTTCATTGAACATGGTTTTGCTTTTATTCAAAAAAGGAAAATAATAACTTGGTTGGCCAACTCACCATTATGTTAATATTTCAAATAAATGAAACCACAAATTCGTTAATGCTTTTATAAATTCTTCTCGGTGTTCCAACGGTCCTTCCCGCTCTACCAAATCTTATCAACGGTTCTTTAAATTATTCCCGCTCATTAGCGCGAGAATGTTCTTGTAACTTAAATAACAGTCTTCATGATATATAACTCTACATCACATGAAGCAATCGTATTAGCAGAAGTAGTATTACGTTTAACAATTTCAATTTATGGTTAAATATAAGAAAATCCCTTTTATACACAATTTGAAAAGGAGATTACGAGAGTTGGATTCTTAATTTAAATATTAGGTTCAAAATCTTTCAACAAATAAGAAGGTACACAAATTGGTCAGATGCTAAATCATTCAGACCTTACTAATCTACTAAATATAACCATCCTAATTAGGTAAATAGGATTATTTACTTTTAAAATTTTCATAAAAAAAAGAAGAAAAAAAGAAGGCGCCGGTGGGCTGGAGCGCATATGATTGTTCTGTGGCTGGAGGTAGCGTAACCAAAAAGCATTGTCTTCTACCGACCAACCCCCAATCATTGGATGTCAAAAAATAAGAAAGGTAAAAAACTCTCTTTCTCTCCCTCTCTCACTCTGAGACATAAAATTTGGTTTAATTTGAAATCCCATAACACCGCACCACATGCCAACTAGGTGACCGTTGTTAGGACGGAAGCACACATAGAAAGTCATCTCAATCCGTATGATCCAACGGTCAGATTTCACTAGCCGTTGTATTTGAAAAAAGTGAAGGGCTTTTAGGTCACTCTCCCTTCAGACAAATACCCACAGTTTCTGTCACTTTTATTTCTACCAGTACCTGTATTTGTGGGCTCTCTCAGTCTTAGATGCTCTCTTGGGGTAAACTATAGAGGGTGACTGAGTTCTTCAAAGCCTCTGCTCACTTGGGTTTGATTTTGATTGATTGTTCCTTTCAGATAACCATCATTAACAGCAAAAATGGTTATTTCTGATGAGAACCGTTCTAATCTGGTCAGACCAACAACTATGCAAGGTGAATGGGGTTGATTTTGCATAATCTTGGCATTAGATTTGTGAGATTTAAGGGTGGAGATGGATGTAAAAGCCAAAGATTCTGACTTTTTTTTGGTTCTTTATTTTTTATTTTTGGAATAAAATGTAGGAGGACTAAATGTGGGTACCGGTAAGCTTGGACAACAGCAGGTTAGGCACACCAGGAGGGCCTTAGGAGTCATTAATGAAAGTTTAGTGGCAGCTCAAGGATACCCCTGTGTTGTTAACAAGAGAGCCTTCCCGGAGTAATTTTCCTTGTTTGCTCACCTTTGAATTCTTCATCTTTAGGACAGCCTTTGTTTTTTTGAAGTGATTTTTGTTTTTTTTCTCTACCCAGAAAACGTGAATTCTATGAAAAGAAGCAGGCAGATCCAGCGCATAGACCAATTACAAGGTTAGAATTTGACCCTTTTGTTTTTCACTTTTGTTTTCCATTTTTGGGTTGTCAAGAGAATGTTGGGGGGAAAAAAGAATGAAATTCAAATTTTGATCTCAGATCTTTCATGCTTCAACTGAGACATTTTCATTTTTGTTTGTTCAAATCTCAAGACAACATGAGATGAGATGAGACACCAATGTGAAATTGCTAATCTTCATTTTCATCAGAATGTGATTTTGATTTGCATTTTTCTATAGGAAGTTCGCTGCACAAATTGAAAGCACTCAGCAGCATTGTGCGAAGGTAGTACCATTATCCCTCCTATGATTTGATTTATAACTCTATTTATCTGTTTACCTTATATTGATGGTTGGTGTGATTTATATAAGCAGGAAACAAAGTTGCCCGAGCTACCAAACACATCAGCCATTAACTCAACTGGTTTTGGAGATTGTATATTCATAGATGAGGAATGCGAGTCACCTGAAGACCAGGCTGACCAACCAGAGCCCATGTTTTTAGAACAAGTAGAAACAGTGCCGGATGAAGCAGATGATACGGTACTTCTTTCTTTCTGGAAAACATGTCAAGTTTTGGACTGTGTTTATTTATTGGCAAACCCAATTTACTGATTCAATTAAAAATTAAATCTTTTAGAAGGAGATTGAGATGGAGGATATTGTGGAAGAGCCGATTGTGGATATTGATGGCTGCGATTTGAAGAATCCACTTGCAGTCGCAGAATATGTTGAGGATCTTTACGCTTACTATAGGAGAATGGAGGTAAGTTGCTCTTTTTTTTCTTCAATGTGGTTGAAAAGTTAGCAACAATCTGTGGTTGAAAAATTAGCCTTACTGTCAATTCATTTTCAAACATTCATAGAAATCAATTCTACAAATTACACAATAAACATGACTTGAATGACACCTTAAAAGTATATTTTTTAAACTCACCCAATTCGCGCTTAAGAGCGCTACGCTTATGCTAAGGCTTGTTATGTGCTTATACTAATATGCTAACCTAGCTGCCGCATTTTCAATTGCATATCTGGAATTACAAGTAAATCTGTTTTGGATTTCTTTTTAAGGTCATGAGAGAATAGCAATATCTACATATGGGGGAAGCATTTATTTTAGGGCTAAAACTTTATTTAAAATTGGTTGGCTTGCATTCTTAGTTGACATGAAAAGCTTTTCTGTAAGATGCTTGTACAATTTTGTCACTTACTTCTCAGCTGAATTTGATTTATTTCCTCTTTCAGCAAAAAACTATTGATGTGCTCTTTGAAACTGAGTAGGAAAACATCAAATTCAAACCAAGTGTGACATGACAACTAACCAACACTCATATGTGCAGGGTTTTAGCTGTGTCCCACCTAACTATCTGGAACAACAATTTGACATCAATGAGAAGATGAGGGCTATACTAATTGACTGGCTTATTGAGGTATACTATCCTTTCCTACCGACTCAATATGCCTAAAATGGCAAGTGGGTTCTGGTGCATTAATCAGCCATGCATATTGTTTTAATCAACCTCGTTCGTAAATGATTAATCTGCTTATTGGAATCAACAGGTGCACGACAAGTTTGAACTCCTGAAGGAGACGTTGTTTCTTACTGTGAATCTTATAGATAGATTTTTATCCAAGCAAACAGTCGTAAGAAAGAAGCTTCAGTTGGTTGGTCTGGTTGCCATGCTTTTAGCATGCAAATATGAGGAAGTTTCTGTTCCAGTTGTTGGGGATTTAATCCTTATATCGGATAAGGCTTACACAAGGAAGGAAGTCCTGGAAATGGTAATTCGTTTATTCTTTATTTGGTTGACTATCCATAATGGTTTTTGATACTTTGAAAATAAAGTTACTTCTCTAAGCAATAGGTCTAACTGAAATTCTCTTTCCTTGCATTTCTTACCTGCAGGAGAACTTGATGCTTAATACATTGCAATTTAACATGTCAGTTCCAACGCCGTATGTTTTCATGAAAAGGTTCCTCAAGGCTGCTCAATCTGACAAGAAGGTATGTGCTTCATCTAAGACTAATATCAATCAATTAGTTTCGCGCATTAATGGGATTCTAATTAATTTTTTTTAATGACCTCAAAACAGCTTGAACTGCTATCCTTCTTCTTGATAGAGCTTTCTCTGGTGGAGTATGAGATGCTTAAGTTTCCACCATCTTTATTAGCTGCTGCTGCAGTCTATACTGCTCAAGCTACTCTTTATGGGTTCAAGCAGTGGAGTAGAACCTGTGAGTGGCACACAAGCTACTCAGAAGATCAGCTTTTGTGAGTTCTTCCTTCCCTAAATTTGAGCATTACATGAGAAGATTTTTTACTATTAAGTAATTTCTTGACAACTAACATTTACATGAAGAATTTACTAATGAGTAGTAATTTCTTGAATTGTGCTAACAGAGAATGCTCAAGTTTGATGGTTGGCTTCCACCAGAAGGCACCAACAGGGAGACTCACAGGGGTACATAGGAAGTATTGTACATCCAAGTTTGGCTTCACCGCAAATTCGGAACCAGCACAGTTTCTCATACAGACTCAACTATGACAGAGCATATACTACTAACATTACATATGACTTTGTAATTGGGTTTCATTGGGTGGGGAAGAAGAAGAAGCAGAAGAAGAAAGAAGAAGAATTGCACATAATAATTCAGCAGCAACTGTGGTTGCACCTGGGGAAATTGGGTTTTCTAGATTTCTAAGCTTTGCAGCCTCAAGTAGCTTGATTGACAGCCATGGTTGTATGTTCTAATTGAACATACTCATTTAAAATTTAAAATTTTTACTTTGAACTTTACTTCCATTGTTGTCCTTTCTTGGAGAATAAATAATGTGATGATACAAATGAAATGACTTCATTTTCTCAATTTTTCTATTTATTATAGAGCAAAATACCAATTTTTCTTTGTTATCCATTGGGAAAGAAGTTCTTGTGCGGCAAGTTGTTTGTGTCTTCCACAACTGAACTACCTCTGACTTAAATGTAGGCCCCCCCGCCATAAGAAGACACCAAAAGCGCACACAGATAAATACTTGGCAACGACGTCGTTTCCTCAAAACAACAATATTTTTGCTAATTTCAAGTTTTTAACCTTTCCACCAACCCCCACATATCAAAATTCGAAACTATCAAATATAATACATGTTAATTAATATATGGCCTTTGCTTGGCAGTATATCATAACCTATTTCGAATATCCAATTTTACCATCCCACTAAATATTAAATTATAAATACCCCCAACATGATTCAGATCTTCGCCACCAAACCCCACTGCCCTCTTCTAACTCTCTCTTTTTCTTCTTTCTCTTTGCTCTGAAGCAACAGCGCCACCATGGCAATGGCAACCTCACCTCACTCTCTCCTCCTCCAAAACCCAAATACCCAATTCCTCAAAAACCCCAAAATACCCTTCACCACCATCCCTATGACCTCCACTCGTCTCACCACCACCCTAAACCCCAACAAGGCCATCTCCGTCAAATGCTCAGCCACCACGACCCACATCCAGGATCGCCCACCGGCCCAGCCCCAGTCCCAAGATCGGGTCTTCAACTTCGCCGCCGGACCCGCCAATCTACCCGAGAACGTCCTCTTGAAGGCCCAATCAGAGCTCTACAACTGGCGCGGATCTGGGATGAGCGTCATGGAAATGAGCCACAGAGGCAAAGAGTTCCTCTCTATAATCCAGAAGGCGGAGGCGGACCTCCGAACCCTTTTGAATATCCCACCGGAATATTCCGTATTGTTCCTCCAAGGCGGCGCCACCACCCAGTTCGCCGCCATACCTCTAAATCTCTGCAAACCCGACGATAGAGTTGATTACGTGGTTACTGGTTCGTGGGGCGACAAGGCCTTCAAGGAGGCCCAGAAGTATTCTCAGCCCAAGGTGATCTGGTCCGGCAAGTCCGAGAAGTACACACAGATCCCAGCTTTTGAAGAATTGGAGCAGAGCCCAGACGCCAAGTATTTGCATATATGCGCCAATGAAACCATCCATGGGGTCGAGTTCAAGACCTACCCAACTCCCAAAAATGGCCTCTTGATTGCGGATATGTCCTCAAATTTCTGCTCCAAGCCGGTGGATGTGTCCAAGTTTGGGATCATCTATGCTGGGGCTCAGAAAAACGTGGGCCCATCCGGAGTGACCGTTGTGATCATCAGGAAGGATCTGATTGGCAATGCTCAAGAGATCACGCCTGTGATGCTGGACTTCAAGATTCATGATGAGAACAAGTCTCTGTACAACACACCACCATGCTATGGTATTTACATGTGTGGGTTGGTGTTTGAGGACTTGCTGGAGCAGGGTGGTTTGGGTGAGATTGAGAAGAAGAACAAGAGGAAGGCTGATCTTTTGTACAACGCCATTGATGAGAGCAAAGGGTTTTACAGGTGCCCAGTTGAGAAGTCTGTGAGGTCATTGATGAATGTGCCCTTCACGCTTGAGAAGTCAGAGTTGGAAGCTGAGTTTGTGAAGGAGGCAGCTAAGGAGAAGATGGTTCAGCTCAAGGGGCATAGGTCAGTGGGAGGGATGAGGGCTTCAATTTATAATGCCATGCCTTTAGCTGGGGTTGAGAAGTTGGTTGCTTTCATGAAGGATTTCCAGGCAAAGCATGCTTAAGATTTAGTAGCATACATTACTGGTAGAGTTGTTAGCATCTTTGGTTTGTTGTGTTTGCTATATTTTTGTTGTTGAATGTGAGTGGACAACAGCAAGAAGTTTGTCTGCATATGTTTATGAAATTCTTGTCGTGTGGGATGAAGTTAATGCCCTAACAAGTTTAGGAATTTAGGCCAATATCCTCTGTTTAAAACTTTGTTGTCATAAGCTGAGAGTAATGAATAATTCAATTCTGGGCTCTTCTTTCATATCAAGTTAAACCTCTCTACTTCTTGAGGCAACTGTTCTGTATCCAAGTAGAAAAATCTTTGGGCAAAATCTAGGCTTCTTGATACCTGTTGTTGGCTGTGCAGCCGATTCTCACTCCAGCTCCTCAATTTCCTTCTGAGTTGAAACAAAAAACATGTATCAGAACAGACCTAAAGAATAGTAGTAATCAAGATGAGGGATTACATAGAAAAACAGAACAATAAGAGAGAGAAAAAAAAAATCACCTTGGTTACATCAAGAAGCCCATTTCGGCCCGGACCGGCCCGGTGTGCCTTAGAAAGCCCAGCCCATTGACGAACCTTTTGAATAAACCAAAGAAACAAAGAAACTGCTAAGATGAACGTCTAGAAAAATAAGGGCGACGAAGGAATTTTTAAGATGACGATTTATCACACGCGCACGATTAATATATGAAACTATTGAAATATATATCTATATAAATACAATTGCAAGAAAAATATTTACGAAACTTTATAAGTCGTGCGTAAAAAAGCCTCTCGCACACGCGGAAGCGCATGGAGGGAGGCTAATTATCTTAAATACAACTCGACAACACTTTCAATATAACCCTAATAACCAACTGCCATTGAATGAATATTATTTCCTTTTCTGCCTATCCTCTTTTACTTCTGGGCACTCTACCACAAACAGTTACAACTTTCCTCTTCTTCTCAGTCACTGTATGTAGTCCGCGCCTTGAACTTCAAATCCATCCAAGCTTTTGAATTTGCTCTGAAGAAACAGCAAAACCCAGGTCTGCATATTTACTGGGCATGACGAGCCCTGCCTTTTGTTGACCGGACGGAAGAGTTGTGGATCTAGTCGGATCGACACAGATCGAACAAAATCAAATGGAATTGGATCGGAGCTGATAGCGGAGGACACGTGCAACATGGAGAACCCAGTGATGAAGCGGATTCTAGAGGAGTATGATAAGATTGAATCCAATCCCTCCGACGATTTCATGTTCCGCAAGCTCGATTGGGACTCATATGAATGGCAAGGTGCACTCAGAGGCCCTTCTGGAACTGAATTCGAGGGTGGGATTTATCATGTGCTGCTCCAGTTTCCGATCGAATACCCATGGAAGGAACCCGCATTCATCTTTTTGACTGAAAATGGTTCATTCAGTATCGAAACCAAAACCAACGCAAGATTAAACTGGGACCCATCAAGGAGGTTGCGACAGGCTTTTCTTCAACTTATTGATTTAATGCCCGACTGCCCAGATTTTGAATCGGATTCAATAGAACACAAAGAAAAGAGGCGTGATCTGGCCAGGAAATCTCGTGCAGCAGCCAGAGAATATGGCAATGGTGAACGTCGGAAGTTAATTAATAAGATTCATCAACATATGCTAAGGGATGTTCCTCAACTCCAACAGACGAGAAACACTTCCCTGACACAGAGATGTGAGGTCAGCAATCCCCCTGTCAATTATTTTAACTTCTCCTCCGTTCTCTCTTGCTGCAACCCTTTAATTTTTATTTTTATTTTTATTTATCTGTACAGGCTTATCACATTCATATACTAAGTCTAGTATTTTCCATCTTTTTTTAGTCTATCTTCCAAAGCTGGTAAATTGTTTTTCCAATTTCAATAGTCGGTGAATTATCTAGATAAATGAGCGAGAGAGCCACGAAAACGAAACCAAGCCGAACAATGAATACCCATCAAAATGAACAAAACAGAAAAAGAGAACTGTGATTTTGGGGAAGGGGCTACATGGGTTTGACGGATCAGATATATATATATATATATATATATGTTTTTATTTTTAAAGCTTAGGGTGCTGTTTAGGGGTAAAAAAGGCTTGGGATTTTACAATCCAAGTTTGTCTTCCATAACAATTTGTTAGATTTGTGAGAGAGTAGTTGAAGGAGGAGGGTGGCAGAGGTGTTACTGAGGAGAGAGAGAGAGTTGGGATTGTAGAAAAATGGCTAGAGGTTAGAGAAGAATAAGAAGTAGAATAGGAAGAATACCCCACGATGAGTATTCTAGTTGTATTGGATTCCTTTTATATGCTATACAGTTGACTTTGTACATGAATATAAACAGGGTAAATTATACAAACGGTAAAACATAAAATAGGCAGTTCCAAGATTATAGGGATTGATTGAGATAATGAAGCAATCACACTTGAATGGCTACAGACTGCTGTGACTTGTGGGGAGTGTCTTGCATATTCATTGGCTGATGGGTAGGATGCTCTTCACCGATAATGAGCTGGATTGCTGACCTGACATCGCCGTGTCAGGGAAGTTTTTCTCACAGCTGACTGAGGTAGCCAATAGAAAGCAGCAGGGTGCAGGCGGCTATGTCGCCAACGTTGTTCGGAATGCATTTAATGCTATTAATTCCTACAGGGTAGGAATTTTGGGTTCTATGAATGAGTACCTCTACAAATCCCCCAAGAAAGCAAAACTATTTAGTATATTTACTCTGCATGACTAGCCCTTCCTATAAACAGACACCGCCGACTATGTTTCCTCATCTCTTTGCTTCGTATTTTGAGAATAATTGTATATTTAAAGTTTTGTTAACAGGAAGAGGTGGTTTTGGATCGAGTCCGATCAACGCAGATGGAATCAGACCGGAGTGTGATAGTGGAGGACAAGTGCAACATAAAGAACTCATTGGAGAAGCGGATTCTGGAGGAGTATAATGAGATTGAATCCAATCCCTCCTATGATTTCACATGCCTCACACAGTCGTGGAACAAATATGAATGGCAATATGCAATCAGAGGCCCTTGTGAAACTGAATTTGAGGATGGGATTTACCATGGGATGGTCCAGTTTTCAGTGGGATACCCATCGATGCCTCCTTCAATCGTGTTCTTGACAGAAAATGGTTGTTTCAAAATCCAAACCAGCGCCAGCTTAAAGCGATTACCGTACTGGCAGCCATCATGTAGTGTGCGAAATTTTTTAGTTGCAGTTATTGAGGAAATGCCTTCCTACTCAAATGGTGACTTGGTTCCAGTAGAAAACAATAGGGAAGCAAGGCGGCGTCTGGCCATCAATTCTCGTGCAGAAGCCCCAAAATATGGCAGTGTTGAACGTCAGAAGTTAATTGCTGAGATTCATGAACATCTGCTAATCAAGACATCTGTTCCAGAACTGAGCCCTGTGACCTCACAGGCCTCCAACGGCACAGGCGGTGGCCTTGTCTTCAATATCAACTTCATTTTTAGGGATGCATTCAACGTCATTTTTGGAAATACATTGAAGAGCATTTGTGGGAATGCATTTGGTGGTAGCAATGCCGATAATGTAGGAGTTTCTAATTCTATGAATGAGGCCCCCAACCCCATGATAAGAATACTTTTTTCGGTTCTTATGTTTTTCTTCATTATACTTTTTGGATTTTGGTCATACAAAAAATGATGAACTGAGGTGATCAAGTCTGTAGCGTAGTTCTCTTGTATTGGTAGCTTCACCTAATTTAGGAGAGGTAGTAATGGAACTGCAGAGAGTACCGAGAGCAGCTTCAGATCCAGGGTGTTCAGGGCAAGAATATTTCCTTTAGGGCTTGTTTGTTTCACCTTCTTAGCTTGGATTGGACTGGACAAATTTTTATCCCTTGTTTGTTTTCATTTGGTTCTAGTTTTAAGTGGGACTGTTAATACTGGCCCCACCAAAAACACCTCCTTAGGTGGTCTTAGTGAGACCCGTGTGGAAATGGAGGACTAGCCTTCGCTAGCATTCTTTTCCTTATCACACCTCCGTACCCAAGCGCAAGCAACCAGCCACAACCCCCGACCACCCAAGCAACCAAGAGCCAGTAGACCCGCCGAACTCGCCGCAACCACCAAGAGCCAACAGACCCACCCACCACAGATGCTTTCTCTCTCCTCCAGCCACAACCCAGATATTCTCCAGATCTGCCAAGGCCACTACATCGTTCCCAATCAGCCATAACCCGTTCGAAATTCAAAGAAAAAACACCACACACAAACCCACTGCATAATCGATGTGCCCCTCTTCCTTAACTCCGTTTCTGTATATTTGTCTTTTGGTTTTGATGTTTTATGCTTATTTGACTTTGAGAATTCCCAAGCTCATGTATGTGTACTGGTTTCGATGATAGACATAATATAGGTTTCAATCTCTGTGGCAGATCTGTTTCTTTTTTCTCTCTAGTGCCGACACTCACTCATATCTTGTGCAACCAGCTTGAAAAAGATGAGCTTAAACTGAACTCAAGGGTTTTGTCACCATCTTACAGTCAGGGCGGGAACTCTGCATTAGAAAATTGGTCAGTTTCCCGTGTTGCTGATGATGACAAGCATTCACAAAGTAATTGCTGAGTCTTTTCCCCCAGGAAATTCAATTTCACCGTGTCCTATGATATGATTTAGGATACAAGAAAACTTTAAATTTTTCATTTCATTTATAGATGCTGGGCTGTAATTGCTCTTTTTATAGTTGGATTTTAAAGTAATCTTTTTGGTCACATATGATGTGGTTTCTCTTTGATTTATTTAGTGGTTTGCTTGATGTTTGGTCACCATGAAGAAACATGGTGGTAAGCATGGAGATTACTATTGAAGATTTGAATGCTTCTCGATCAAGACTAATATTGAAAATTATGCCATAGGTAATATTAGTTTTGGATGAGTTAGATTTCTACCAAGCTTTGGAAAAAAGGGGAAAATGTTTTCTTTCTTTTCTACATTAATCAAAATTGTAGTTTCTTTATGTTATATTAGTTCATATATTTATTTACTTTTTTTTTCTTGGTGCAGATGTGCTAATTTGATTTGAGAAGTATGAAACTCATGGAATTTGATTTCTATATGTGATGGAAATTTACTTGTTTTGATTTGGATTTTCTTTTAACTTTGCAAATATATAGATTGTGAGAGTAATCTCAATCACAATCTGCTATAGACTGTAATAGTGATATCTGTGTATTTGGATGAGTGCGGTGGATGATTTTCTTATGTGCTTTGTTTTTGAATGATGATGAACTGTAAAATATGCAAAACTACAGAAACTGAAAAAACATACAAGAACCCTAAAACTTGAATGGGCCTGGAAATCTTGCACCCCCATAAAAAAAGAAAAAATAGAAGAATGGGCCTGGAATTTTTTTTTAAAAAAGGCTTTCAATTGAATCTTTTAACCAACCCGACTTGCCAAATTTGAGTTTCGAATTAACTCAAAATTGGGCCTACCAAACAGGTGTACGGTTACTCATTTGGGCCTGTCAACATAACCCGATTTGGCATACTGTTTGGGCCCATAATCGACCCGACCCAACCCGTGAACAACCCTACCAATAGGTTGCACCGCACTCTCCCATTCTGCAATCTCAGCTTCTTGGACTTTCTACCCTTCCGCTTTCATCTTATGCTCGATTTCCCCTGTTCACTTCTTTCTCAGCCAATAGACATCTCTAGACTAGTTCTGTCCAACACTCAAACAGTTACAGCTTTCCTCTTCTTCTCTGTCACTGTAAATTGTGAGAGCCTTGAACTTCAAATCCATCTAAGCTTTTGAATTTGCTCTCAAGAAACAGCAACAAGATCTGCATATTTACTATGAATGAGGAGCCAGGTGAGGTGGTTGAGGTGGATCGGGTCGGATCGACCCAGATCGAAAAAAATCAAATGGAATGGTATCGGAGTGAGGAGGAAGAGCGGATTCTACTGGAGTATGATGAGATTGAATCCAATCCCTCCGACAATCTCAAGTGCCTCAAGCTCGATTGGAACCCATATGAATGGCAATTTGCAGTCACAGGCGCTGGTGGAACTGAATTCGAGGGTGGGATTTATCATGGGCGGGTCCTGTTTCCGGGGGAATACCCATTTAAGCCTCCTTCAATCATACCGTTGACGGAAAATGGTCGCTTCACAACCCATACCAAGATCTGGTTAAGGCGACTGAATTTATGGCAGCCATCATGGAGGGTGCGAGATGTTTTGGTTGATTTTATTCATTTAATGCCCGCCTACCCAGATGGTGAATTGGGTTCATTAGAATACAGTAAGGAAGAAAGGCGTGTCCTGGCCATCAAATCTCGTGCAGCAGCCACACGATATGGCACTTCTGAACGTCAGAAGGTAATTGAGGAGATTCATCAATATATGCTAAGCAAGGCACCACCTGTTCCTTTTCCTCAACTCCAACTGATGAGAAACACTCCGTGTCAGGTCAGCAATCCACCTGTTAATTATGTTAACTTAACAGAAAAAAGAGTTTAAAGGGAAGGGGCTTACATGGGTTTGACAGAGAAGATATATATGGATATATCTATATATATCTATATATATTTATGTGTTTATTTTACTTAGGGTCCTTTTTGCGGTAAAAAGTGCTTGGGTTTTTACAATCCAAATTTGTCTTCCATAACAATTTGTAAGATTTGTGATAGAGTAGTTGAATGAGGATGGTGGCAATGGATCCAAAAGAAAGCAGCAGGGCGCAGGCGGCATTGTCACCAACGTTGTTTGGAATGCATTTAATGCTAATAATTCCGACCGGGTAGGAATTTTGGGTTCTATGAATGAGTACCTCTACAAATCCCCCAAGAAATCAAAACTATTTATCATATTTACTCTTCAACGCAGATGGAATTAGATTGGAGTGTGATAGCGGCGGACAAGTGCAACATAAAGAACTCAGGGGAGAAGCGGATTCTAGAGGAGTATAATGAGATTGAATCCAATCCCTCCGACGATCTCAAGTGCCTCATGCTCGATGGGAACCCATATGAATGGCAATTTGCAATCAGAGGCCCTAGTGGAACTGAATTCGAGGGTGGGATTTATCATGGGGTGGTCCAGTTTTCGATGGGATACCCATCGAAGCCTCCTTCAATCAAGCTTTTGACGAAAAATGGTCGCCTCAAAACCCAAACCGACATTAGCTCAGGGCTATTATCGAACTGGCAGTCACCAAGGAGCGTGCGAAATGCTTTACTTGCACTTATTGAGAAAATGCCCACCTACCCAGATGGTGATGATGAATTGGATTCAGTAAAATACAATAAGGAAGTAAGGCGTGCCCAGGCCATCAAATCTCGTGCAGCAGCCCCAAAATGTGAACGTCAGAAGCTAATTGATGAGATTCATGAATATATGCTAAGCAAGGCAGCACCTGATACTCAACTCCAACTGAGCAGCCCCTCACAGGCCTCCAAAGAGCTTGAGCATGACCATGACCATGACCATGACCAAAATGATGGAGCCAAAAGAAAGCATGGCAGCGGCGGCACAAACCCAGGCATCTCCAATTTTGGGAATACATTTGATGCTACCGACTACCAGAGTGGAGGAACTGTATATAATATTATAAATCACGCCCCCAAACTTGTGATAACAAAAACAATACTTTTTCTGGTTTTCTTTTATTCGTCAATACTTCTTGGTTTGTCGTCAGTACTTTTTGGATTTTGGTCATTCCGAGGGTGATGAACTGAGGTGATCAAGGGACTTGGCCTTCTTGCACTCTCTACCCTTCCGCTTTCATCTCATGCTCGAGTTCCCTTGTTCAGTTCTTTCTCAGCCAAATAGACATCTCTAGACTAGTTCTGTCCAACTCTCAAACAGTTACAGCTTTCCTCTTCTTCTGTGTCACCGTAAGTAGTGAGAGTCTTGAACTTCAAATCCATCCAAGCTTTTGAATTTTCTCTGAAGAAACAGCAGCAAGATCTGCATATTTACTATGCATAACAAGACCTATGAAATTAAACACTGCCGGCTCTCTTCCTTTGAGAATAATTAACCACTGTCGGCTCTCTTTCCTCGTATTTTGAGAAGTATATATTTAAAGTTTTGTTAGCCGGAAGAGATGGTTGTGGTGGATCAAGTCGGATCGACGAAGATCGAACAAAATCAAATGGAATTGGATCGCTACCCAGCGATGAAGCGGATTCTAGAGGAGTATAGTGAGATTGAATCCAAACCCTCCGACGATCGAGTCGGATCGACGCAGATCGAACAAAATCAAATGGAATTGGATCGCTATCCGGCGATGAAGCGGATTCGTGGGATTGAATCCAAACCCTCCGATCGACGCAGATCGGACAAAATGAAACGGAAAAAGATTTGTGGATTACTTATATCGAAGACGTGGTGCGGCGGCTTGGAGAGGAGTATAGAGAGATTAAATCCAATCCCTCCGACGATTTTGACTGCCGCATGCTCGAGCGGAACCCATATGAATGGCAATTTGGAATCAGAGGCGTGGGATTTATCATGGGCGGATCCAGTTTCCGAAGGAGTACCCATCGAAGCCTCCTTCATTCACGCTTTTGACGGAAAATGGTCGCTTCAAAACCCACAACAAGATCAGGATAAGGCGACTGAATGATTGGCAGCCATCATGGAGGGTGCGAGATGCTTTAGATGCACTTATCGATGAAATGCCCACCTACCCAGATGGTGAATTGGGTTCAGTAGAATACAATAAGGAAGAAAGGCGTGATCTTGCCATGAAATCTCGTGCAGCAGCCCTAAAATATGGCACTTCTGAACGTCAGAAGTTAATTGATGAGATTCATGAATATCTGCTAAGCAAGTCACCGCCTGTTCCTGTTCCTCAACTTCCTCAACTGATCCCCTCACAGGCCTCCAACGGCACAGGCGGCAGCTATGTCGTCAACGGCGGCTATGTCGTCAGTGGGAATACATTTCATGCTACCAATTCCAAAGCGGTAGGAATTTTGGATTCTATGAATGCCTTCTCCGACGAAGACCACAAGCTTTTACCTTCTTGGCTAAAACTTTTTAGGTGGAGAAAGCAAAACTAGACGTCTGTGAACACGACCAAGAGTGATGAACTGAGGTGATAAAGTCTGTCTGTAGCGTAGCTTCTGTCCTGTAGCTGTCGTACTAAATTGAAATTGAAAATGTGCATTCTAGTTTAATGAATATTCTTGTCTCTTCTTGCATTTATTCTTCTTTCATATCAAATTAAAACCTCTCTGCTTCTAGTCAATGAATACCCAAAGGCCTTATTTCGATGGATCCAAGTAAAATAATCTTTGGGCAATGAATACTCAAATATCCTGTCTGCTACTTTTTTAGTCAAATAAAATTTGTAATATCGCGCTAGGGAGACTGAATATTCATTGAAAAAAAGGGACCATCATCATCCGCCTGCAAATCAGCAGATGGTGAAATGGAAAATCCCCCCCCCCCCCAAATTAAATTCACAACCATTGAACTCGTCACTTCAATGGCAACGCGAACGAGAGTAACAGAGTCAAAGACAAAACCAGCTGATATCTGTTGCGTAAAACCGCACCTTCTAATTTCCAATAGGTATTGTTGCCCAACATAATCTCCAAAATCACGCTTGTGCAGTTCTTTTGTTGCACTCTACGTATAATGGCTGTCGTAGTTAACATTTTCTGGGCATTGTTGATAAACAATAGTTCGACGTTACAAAAGAATACAAGATTTACTATGATCGCACCTCCACCTTTGAATCTGGAGGGAAGCAGTTGGTTAGCTGAATATTGAGAAAAAGAAGTCGCTGATCCTGAAGCATCACTCGCTTCGGCTAGGAGGTACATCTCCAACCTCTTGCCTTAATATTGTAATGGATATCCTTTCTATTGTCAATTACGATATTACAAGTTTATGAATACACTTTATAAGTTTATGAAACTTTGACGTCCAAGTAATTGTAAAAGGGGTCCTTAATATTGTAAACCGTTGTGTTTACAAGAATAAGGACTACATTTACTTCTTTAAGGTCAATACTTACCTTAACATTGTAAGATAGATAATTTCTAATGTAAATTATAGTATTATAAGGTTATAGATTAGGATTCACCCTAACGTGTCAAATATCAGTCACCTCACCTTTGCCAGTCCATCAGCGGTTTCATTTTCGGATATGCTCAGTTCATACACGTTCTACAATTCAGAACTTTCAAAAGGAATTTCCAAACAACTGAAATCAACCAAGCCAAAAGAACATGAGAGAAACTTTCATATAACGGGGATAGCTCTTGTGCTATCTCCGGCCAATAACGCAATGACACATAGGATAATTTTTTCACATGTCATTGTGTTATTGGCCGAGGATAGTAAAACGGCGTTATCCCCGTTACATGTAAGTTTTTTTGAAAGAACAGAGGCTTAAATCTGCAAAATCCAGGCTTCTTGATACCTGTTGGCTATGCAGCCGATTCTCACGAGCTCCTCAATTGCCTCCTGATTTGGAACAAAAAAACAAGTATCAGAACTGACCGAAAGAACAGTAGTAATCAAGATGAGGGATTAGACACTTGAAGCGCTTCTTTGGGCTTGCTGCTTTGCCAAAATCTAAAATTCATATTAAACCAAACCACTAGGTAGGAAGGGGAGGGGGATAATATATTTACGTGGGGCAAAAATGCTGACCCCAACCAAACAAATGGACCGTAAGCTATATGAAAAAACAAAATTGGGCTTTTTAATTTAAGCCGAATCCAACATTATCACCTACTGCAAACGACCAGATGGTGAAATGCAAAATGGATGGTCCCAACTCACTGCCATGGAAACAAAAACAACTCATCACTTCAATGGCAATAGATATGGCAACGTGAACAAGAGTAGCATAGTCAAAAGACACAACCACCTCCCTGCTGAGGAGGCTCTACTATCTGTCACTATTGAGATTTAACCTGTACCAATCATGCGTAAAATCTTATGTCGCTTAAAACCGCGCATTCAAATTTCTGATAGGTGATGTTCCTTCCAGAGCCCTGCCACGATGTTCTCTCTTGTTACACTCTTCGTGACGTATAATGGCTCTGTCGTAGTTCACATTTTCTGGACAGTATAAATCTCCGGAAGCTCGGTACGCTTGTTGACACTTGTGCATCTGCATTCATATATAAAGTGCATAAATTAGAATGGAATTGAAAATCTAGGAAAACCACAAGAGGGAAGTGTGATGGTTTCGGAGCATCATATGAACGCAGGTTGACCTCGTCCGGACTAAGTTGAAGAATCATACCAAGTACAGGTAATAGAGCCTCCACTTCACCTATTTGATTGTTAATCAGTCTATAATAAAAATACCTGTTTCAAGAAGCTTTAAGATTATATTTTTCAGGTATGTCATATCTACTCCTTCCCTCTTCTGCCTTCTTTTCAGTTAATTACTTTCTTACATCAAGTTTTCATATACATAAACATCAACCCAAAAGATAAATTAATAAATAAATAAATAATAGCATACCATGCCTTTTGTAATTTTTTTATACAGCCCACGCCACGTTGGCGGTCAGTTTTTTCGGTTTGCTTTTTCCCTTATCCTTCTGCCGTTGGAGGGATTCAGTTTCATCAAGGGTTGGTGATCTTTAAGGTTTCACCAACTCCCAGTGGTCTTGGGTTCGGAGGTTGGGACCACTTTCTCTACAAAGCCCAAAAAATAAATTTGGGGGCAACGTAGCGTACTGTAGAATTTTCCGAAGAAAATCCCAATACGTAACACACCACCTCACCAAACTAACCACCGACCCTCGCCTTCTAAGAAACAACCACTACCAAATAAGCAACGCGTTTTCCCAAAATGGCAAAGGCGCTTGGTGTCTTATAATATAAATAGTGGCATACAACAGACAAATATTTTCTCATAGCTTCCATAAAATACTTTCTATTCCTACAATACAAGCAAATATTTTCTCATAATTCTCATATTTTAGCAACTTCTCTAGACTAATTCTGTCCAACTCTCAAACAGTTACAACTTTCCACTTCTTCTCTGTGACTATGAGTAAGTGAGCCTTGAAGTTCGATTCCATCCAAGCTTTTGAATTTGCACTCTTCATTTTTTTTGTTTCCTGCAAAAAAAGAAGAGAGAGATATGGATGTTGGATCTTATATGCTTTTTTATCCACAGGTTGTCGGCCTTGTAGCGGTGGATCCATGATCCTTAGGCCATAGAGTGTAAAAGTTCCGATTTTTTTTTTAGATGAAAATAACATTGAAAAATTAAAGGATCGCACTTTTTTCCTAATCAACTAATCAAAACACAAAAATATAATCAATAAATCAAAACACAAAACCATAACAATTCAGATAAATTAATTAATGAAAACAAAAAGCCCTAGCCAAATGAAATTCAATTCTGTCAACAAAATTTACGAATTTCAATGCATGAAATTGAATTCCTTTCCTCTGTTAAGAGTAAAAGAGAAAACCAATCAAGAGTTTAATTCAATTCAGTGCAATACCATGTCAAAAAGATAGAAACAGATCAAGAGGCAACAATACCCATTTTAGGCGGCAGCAAGGGAGGAGATGGGGGTTGAGGTTTTGGGGAGATTGGGGTTAGGGTTGTTGAGGAAGAGAGATTAAAATTGGGGTTTTTGAGGTGTAATATCGGGCGTGGGTCTGTTCAATGCAAAATGGATGGTCCCAACTCACTGCCGTGGAAACAAAAGCAACTCATCACTTCAATGGCAATAAATACGTAAATTATAAGAGAGATCCATCATTACTTTAACATTGGACACGTCCTTACTTTAACATTGTAAGAGAGATCCTTTCTAATGTAAATTATAGTATTATAAGATTATGGATTATAAGGAACCTTAACGTTGTAATTATGGTGCAAAAATGCGTAAATGGGAACCCAACTCTTGTAATATACCAGATTAAGGATTCATTTTATAAGTATATGGAACGTTTACATCCAAACCATTGTAATACGAGCCCTTATTGTTGTAAACCCTTGAGTTTACAAGAATAAGGACCAAGTTACATCTCCAAGGTCCGCCCTTGCCTTAATATTATAATGGATATCATTTCTATTGTAAATTACGATATTACAAGTTTATGAATACACTTAATAAGTTTATGGAACTTTGACGTCCAAGTAATTGTAAAAGAGGTCCTTAATATTGTAAACCGTTGCATTTACAAGAATAAGGACTACATTTACTTCTCTAAAGTCCATCCTTACCTTAACATTGTAAGAGAGATCCTTTCTAATGTAAATTATAGTATTATAAGATTATGGATTATAAGGAACCTCAACATTGTAATTGTGGTGCAAAAACGCGTAAATGGGAACCCAACTCTTGTAATATACCATATTAAGGATTCATTTTATAAGTAAAGGAACGTTTACATCCAAACCATTGTAACACAAGCCCTTATTGTTGCAAACCATTGAGTTTACAAGAATAAGGACCAAGTTTACATCTCCAAGGTCCACTCTTGCCTTAATATTGTAATGGATATCCTTTCGATTGTCAATTACGATATTACAAGTTTATGAATACACTTTATAAGTTTATGGAACTTTGACATCCAAGTAATTGTAAAAGGGGTCCTTAATATTGTAAACCGTTGTGTTTACAAGAATAAGGACTACATTTATTTCTTTAAGGTCAATACTTACCTTAACATTGTAAGATAGATAATTTCTAATGTAAATTATAGTATTATAAGGTTATAGATTAGGATTCACCCTAATGTTGCAAGGGAGGTGCGAAGTCTAGTAAATGCGAACCAAATATTGTAATGTACAAACTTAAGGATATGATTTACAAGCTTATGGAAAGCATATGTCCATGATAGTGTAATAGTGGTCCTTAATAATGTAAACTTTTGTGCTTACAAGCCTAAGGACCCTATTTTACTTCTTCAGTGTTTACTCTTACCTTAACATTGTACTATAGGTCCTATTCTTTGTAAATTAAGGTATAACATATTTATATATTTATAATTCTATATTATTAATATAGAATTATTATATTTGATTATTTTTATCATATATATATTTTTTATAAATACAAAACGGAAAAATAAAAAAAATCGCATTGAAAACATGAAGAAAAAAATTCAATTAGTAATTGGTCGATTTTGCAAAGAAGTATTTATATGATCATATGGTTGTGTATGATAGTGTTCTTTTGCTTAGCAATAATATGTTATATTATATGAAAATATAGACTATACTTTAAATTAAGAATCAATTTTATGAAAATCTGTATTCTTAGATTTTAAATTATTAGCAATAATATGTTATGTTATGTGCAAATATAGACTATACTTTAAATTAAGAATCAAGTTTATAAAAATCTATATTCTTAGATTTTAAATTATTTGGTGAAATAACATTTATATATATATATATATATTTATGTATTTTATGCACACAAAATTGTCAATGAACGAGATATCTATTTTATAAATGGTAATCAAGATGTTACCATGATTACTTAAAATTGAAAGTTAACATAACCACAAATAAATAAATATTTGACATGTAAAAATCTAATGTTTTACTATTACTTTTTGAGACTTTAGATCATTCTATTATTTTTTCCTGATTTTGGTCATACCTAATATTTTTACATTTTACTAAAATATTTGGTTTTTTCATTTATAGAAATAATTCACATGCTAGTTACTGGTGGAGTAATAGAGAAATAGTAGAAGTGAGATTAGTGGAAGAAAAACATGGAACAAATTTTTAATGCCTATTATTATTATTATTATTATTATTATTTTAATCTAAATATATTTAACTTTTTCTGTTTATTGTAATTTCTTTTAAATTCTATTGGTTTTTTTAGTTAATTACATTCTTACTTTAAGTTTTCATATACATAAACATCAACCCAAAAGAGAAATTAATAAATAATAAAAAAGCCAAAAAAGAAAATAAATAATATATATAGAATAGAAACACGCGTTTTGCCTTTTTTATATGGCCAATGTTGGCTATCAGCTTTTTTTATTTGTTTTTTCTCTTTCTTATTCACCGGTTGTACGCGTTTGTGGGATTCAATTTCAGTGTTTATTAAGAGCCATAGATTCAAAGTGATTTAAAGGCTGAAATTTGGGCATATCCATACACTGGTAGGTGAAGAGGGGGCTTAGGTTTTTGGGAATTTTCTGCTGAGCCATTCAATGGTGTAGATTTACGTTTACCCATGAAATTTTATCAAAATCTAACGGTCAATAGGAACCAACCCGTGCACCCATACACTGGCACCGTAGAATTTTCGTATAAATACATGTTCTCTATAGCATTACCCTTACACTTTCTTATTTCAAATTCTGCCTTTCTTTTATCTTTTAATTTAAGCCGAATCCAACATTATCTTTCAAATTCTACAAAATGGATGAAATGCAAAGCACCTACAAAAATTGGGCTTTTTAATTTAAGCAAACCACCAGATGGTGAAATGCAAAATGAACCAGAGTAGCATAGTCAAAATAGTCAAAAGACACAACCACCTCCCTGCTGACGAGGCTTCCGCGTTCCTTCCAGGTTGCCAAGCTCAGCCTTGAGCATAAATTAATTGTGAGACGAAAAGCGTAACTTACTTCCCCATTCATGCACGCAAGAACAACACGTGGCACCAAACATTTAAAACCACCGGTTAATTTATTTTTAAAGCACCTTTTGACAGCTGCCTTCTCCCTGCTTTGAAAAAACGGCCGTCACTGACCGCAGCTTCGGTGGCAGGGCACACGCGAGTAACTCTTAGATAGCTACCACGTGTCTTGTATTGTCATCCTCATTAGCTTTTCCATCTTTGTTGTATAAAAGGAGCGTGGCTGCGTGGTGGCCTTACAGCAGTGAGGCAGAGAGAATATCCATTTCCTATTTTCAATTCTGCGTTTCTTTACCTTTTGCCTTTCTTTTAGGGGAACCAACCCCTGCATCCATCATCGTCCAACGCAGATCTAACAAAATCAAATGGCTGTAGTGTTGAAGCGGGGGAGAGTAAAGCGGGGGATTTTTGATTCGATTATGCTCAGGCGGAACCCGTGTGTATGGCTATTTGAAACCACGGGTGCAGCAGCCCCAAAATCTGGCAATTCTGAATGTCAGAAGATAGTTGATATGATTCCAGTTCTTCCTCAACAGGCCTCCAGAGAGCATGAGCATTCCCAAAATATTGGAAAGCACGGGGGCTCGATGAAGCGGGGGAGACTAAAGCGGGAGATTTTTCAGTCGATTACAGGGGCTGTACCCAATAACTCCGACGATTTCAAGAGCTGTATGCTCGGGTGGAACCCATATGTATGGCTATTTGAAACCACGGGTGCAGCAGCCCCAGAATATGGCAATTCTGAATGTCAGGAGGTAGTTGATATGATTCCTGTTCCTCCTCAACGGGCCTCCAGAGAGCATGAGCATTCCCAAAATGATGGAAAACACGGGGGCTCTGTCGTCAACACCATTCTTAGTGGCAATATAATTTACGCTAACAATTCCACCAAGGTAGGAATTTCAATTTCTAATTCTGTGAATGGAGAAAACCGGAATCTGGTTTTGGTCTGTACTTGTTTGCTTTTGGTCTGTACTTGTTTGCTTTTGTTCAGTAATTTTTTGGTTTTGTTCAGTAGTTTTTTGGTTTTGAAAGCAAAACAAAACGTCTGCAAAGAAAGACCCTTAGATCTCCGGATGAACTGAGGTGATCAAGTCTTTAGTGTAAGCCTCTTTTGTGTTAGCTTCTCCTAATGGAAATTGCCCTTGAATATAAAAAAGGAGGAACATCTCCGGATGCAAGATACTACTATAAATTTTCAGGTCTTTGAAGGTTTGAAAAGACACTTAGATCTTTATGATTGTTTTAACATCGAAGTTGTGTATCAAATTATAGGGAAGCCATTCTTTGAATCAAACCTAAAATTCATATTAAACCAAACCACTAGGTAGGAAGGGGAGGGGGGTAATATATTCATGTGCGGCAAATATGCTGACCCCAACCAAACAAATGGGCCGCAAGATTTATGGAACAAAAAATTGGGCTTTTTAATCCAAGCCAAATCCAACATTATTGCAAACCACCAGATGGTGAAATGCAAAATGGAGGGTCCCAACTCACTGCCCATGGAAACAAAAACAACTCATCACTTCAACGGCAATAGATATGGCAACGTGAACCGGAGTAGCATATAGTCAAAAGACATAACCACCTCCCTGCTGAGGAGGCTTCTGCGTTCTTTCCAGGTTGCCAAGTTCAGCCTTGAGCATAAATTAATCGTGAGACGAAAAGCATAACTTACTTCCCCATTCATGCAAGCAAGAACATCACCTGGCTCCAAACACTGTAAGCTGTGACCAGCCATGATATTATAATACTCCGGGGGAAAATAACCCAAGTTTTCCTTCTTCTTTTTTGGCAAGACTTGAAAGTAAGTGTAGCAAAAAATTTAAAGAAAACTGCAAACAACAAGAAGCAAAAGATAAAGAGAGGGGAGGGGAGGGGGGGGTGCACATTACTACGCGGAAACCCGGATGCCATGTGAGGGGAAGGAGCAATGAGTTGTCACCCTTACCTGGATAATTTTATTTTTTTTTGGGGGTCAAAATATTGACCAATAGGTTATGTTTTGGACCACCCTGCATATTATATCTACGTCGTATTTCAAGAAACAGCAACAACCCAGATCTGCTATATATTTATTAAAGTTTTGTTAACCGGAAGAGGTGGATCTGTGATGGAGGAGGAGGACAAGTGCCACTCAACGCGGAAGCGGTTTCGAGAGGAGTTTGACCGTCGTAGATCGAGTGCGATGGAGGAGGACAAGTTGTACTTGGCGCTTTGATTCGAGGAGTTTGCAGATGGGAGTCGTGTAATTGGAGAGACAAGGACTTCCACTTGAAAAATAAGTGAGGGCATTATGAGAAAACCAAAGTTTCATTAAAATCACCGGTTATTTTATTTTTTTTTAAGCAGCTTTTGAAAGCTGCCTTCTCCCTGCTTTGAAAAAACCGGTAACTAACAGTTGTTTGGACGAGAAAATTAAAAGTACAAAAGATTTCATAAATGATAGAATTTAAAATGACGAAAATTAATGTTCTAGAATTTGTAAAGTTTCTTGTTTGGGTAATGGATTTAAAATACGGAATTTAACCTTTATTTGTAAAGTCATTTTTTTTTAAAAAACTCAATCTCTCTTAGGATTTTAGAAATGACGACTTTCAAATAGAATTTAAAATTGAGATTTATGATCTTCAAATTCCATTTTTTTCCCACGCGGAATTTCTAAATTTCTATGTTTTTTTTATCCAAACACGGGAATTGATTCATGTTAATTTAGAAATTCCGACTTTTGTCAAAATTCCAAATTTATTTCTCTCATCCAAACGTACCGTAACAATTGAAAAAAAAAAAAAAAAAAAAAAAAAAAAAAAAAATCTTGATGTTTACCAAACATCTTTAGTTTTGAATTTTTTTATTTATTTTTTAAACTGCTTTTTCATCCTTAGTTTCGGTGGGCAGATTCAAGTAACCTTTAGATAGTTATTTATCACGTGTCTTATATTTTCATCCTTACTAGTTTTTCCATCTCTGTTGTATTAAAGGAACCTGGCCTTACGGTAGTGAGGCAGAGAAGAATATACATTTCCTATTTCTAATTCAGCATTTCTTTATCTTTTGCCCTGCTTTTAGGGGAACCAACTTGTGCACCCATCATCGTCCGACGCAGATCTAACAGAATCAAATGGCTGTAGTGCTGAAGCGGGGGATACTAAAGCGGCGGATTTTTCAGTGGATTATAGAATGTACGGCGGATTTCAGGCGGAACCCATATGTACGGCTATTTGAAACCACGGGTGAGCGGCTGCCTGTAGCGTTGAAGCTGGGTAGAGTTAAGCGGTGGATTTTTGAGTCGATTATAGAGAAGTTTACAGGGGCTGTACCCAATAACTCCGACGATTCCAAGAGCCGTATGCTGCGGTGGAACCCATCTGTAAGGCTATTTGAAACCACAGGTGCAGCAGCCCAAAAATATGGCAATTCTGAATGTCAGAAGGTACTTGATATGATTCCTGTTCCTCCTCAACAGGCCTTCAGAGAGCATTCCCAAAATGATGGAAACCACGGGGGCTCTGTCGTCAACAACATTACTATTAGTCAGAATACATTTTATGCTACCAATTCCAAGGGAGTAGGAATTTCGCTTACTAATTCTAGGGAGGTGGAAGATATACGGAATATGGTTTTGGTAAATACTGTTTTTACTGGTTTGGGTTTCGCCTGTAATTTTTCGGTTTTGTTCTATATTTTGTTGGTTTTGAAAGCAAAACAAAACGTCTGCGAAGACGACCTGAGGCGATCAAGTCTTTAGTGTAAGCCTCTTTTGTGTTAGCTTCTCCTAATGGAAATTTCCGTTGAAAATTAAAAAGGAGGAACATCTCCGGATGCAAGATACTACTATAAATTTTCAGGTCTTTGAAGGTTTGAAAAGACCCTCAAATCTTTATGATTGTTTTAACGTCGAAGTTGTGTATCAAATTATAGGGAAGCCATTCTTTGAATCAAGCCTCACAGATCCTATAGAGAATATTGATACCAAGACCATTGAGGTGATGTACCTCGATGATCCCCTAGATATATGATGGTGTTTGAGGACTTGCTGGAGCAGGGTGGTTTGGGTGAGATTGAGAAGAAGAACAAGAGGAAGGCTGATCTTTTGTACAACGCCATTGATGAGAGCAAAGGGTTTTACAGGTGCCCAGCCGAGAAGTCTGTGGTCATTGATGAATGTGCCGTTTACTCTCGAGAATCCGGAGTTGGAAGCTGAGTTTGTGAAGGAGGCAGCGAAAGAGAAGATTGTTCAGCTCAAGGGATATAGGTCAGTGGGAGGGATGAGGGCTTCAATTTATAATGCCATGCCTTTGGCTGGGGTTGAGAAATTGGTTGCTTTCATGAAGGATTTCCAGGCAAAGCATGCTTAAGATTTAGTAGCATACATTACTGGTAGAGTTGTTAGCATCTTTGGTTTGTTGTGTTTGCTATATTTTTGTTGTCGAATGTGAGTGGACAACAGCAAGAAGTTTGTATGCATATGTTTATGAAATTCTTGTTGTGTGGGATGAAGTTAATGCCCTAACAAGTTTAGGAATTTAGGCCAATATCCTCTGTTTAAAACTTTGTTGTCATGAGCTGAGAGTAATGAATAATTCAATTCTGGGCTCTTCTTTCATATCAAGTTAAACCTCTCTACTTCTTGAGGCAACTGTTCCGTATCCAAGTAGAAAAATCTTTGGGCAAAATCTAGGCTTCTTGATACCTGTTGTTGGCTATGCAGCCGATTCTCACGAGCTCCTCAATTTCCTCCTGATTTGAAACAAAAAAAAACATGTATCAGAACTGACCTAAAGAACAGTAGTAATGAAGATGAGGGGTTTCTCTTTGGGCTTTAAATCTGATTATTAAATTTTGAGTGACATTTATGATTTTTGAAATTAGGTTTTTATTTTATTTTTGGTGTTGAAATTCTTGAAATTTTAAAATATATATATCAAAGAATTGAAAAAGAGAGAGATTGGTGGTGATTATTACTTATCAGAAAATAACGTGATTGCCTTTTTTGTTTTTTAAATTGTTATTGTTACAAATAATAAAATGAAATAAAAATAAAACTATTTGTGTACACAAGCTGGCTTTGAACCGAGATCCTAAAGGGAAATTTAAGCCCCGCAAACCAACACAACCAGAAACATATTTGTGCTAATATCTTGCGCGATCATTATATATATGACATTTATAATATTCATATATATAATATACACATAAAAAAATTATAGGACTCTCAAAAATCAAGAATTCCGAGTGGTGGCACTACTTATACACTCTCGGAGCCGCTCCTATAAATCAAGTGCGATGGAGGAGGACAAGTTGTAATGATCTACGTTAGTGGTGAACAATTCTATTGTGCAAATTTGTAGAGCCATCTAATAACAGTATGATGAAATTTGTAAGGTTCACATCCTCAAGTGTTAAGAAATCTTGTATGTGTGTATGGCCCACCAAACTTTTTATCACTTCAACTCAACAATAAATTTTTTAAATAATAAAAGGTTGATGTTATTTAGAATCTTAACAGTCCAGTCAGTCAGTCACTCTCTCTCTCTCTCTCTCTCTCTCTCTCTCTCTCCTGATTCGGCGTCTTTTCCACGCAAATAGCTTCTCGGATTGCATAAGCATAAACATCAATCATATCACGGGTCCCCCAAACAAGCCTTATTTATTTATTTTTTTTTATTAAGACAAGCCTTTACTCTTTTCCATGCTTGTTATTGGTGGAGTAATAGAAAAATATATATAAAAAGTGAGATTAGTGGAAGAAAAACAAGGAACAAATTTTTTAATGCCTACTATTATTATTAATCTAAATATATTTAACTTTTCTGTTTATTGTAATTTTCTTTTAATTTCTATTGGTTTTTTCAGTTAATTATCTTCTTACTTTAAGTTTTCATATATACTAGTCCCCGCATGTGCCAATTGGGTTTTTTTTTGTTAAATTTTTTTTTTTTATAATTAAGAAAATATAATATAGGTAGTTACGTTCCATAAAAGTAGAAGCTATTATCTGATTTTGTTTTTATTTTTAATTGTTTAAATATGAAAAAAGTGAATTTACTATATTATCCTAATTTAATTAATAATTTCAATTCTTAATGTTTGAATTAATTAAGAACATTTTCTGGTATTTTGAATGTTTCACCATTCTCTGTATTTTGTTTTATATATATAGATAAACATCAACCCAAAAGAGAAATTAATAAATAAATAAATAACAGTCTACCATGCCTTTTGTATTTTTTTTATATAGCACTGTCAGTTTTTTGGGTATGCTTTTGCCCTTTCTTCCTTCTACAGTTGGTGTGGGATTCAGTTTCATTGAGGGTTGGTGGGATTCAATTTCAGTGTTTATTAACAACCATAGATTCACGGCGGTTGTTGACCAAAAAAAAAATATATATTCGCGGCGGTGATCTTATGGCCTGCCCTTGTGGTTGTGGTTAAGTGCGCTTGCACCAACTCCTAGTGGTCTTGGGTTCGAAGGTTGGTACTACATTCTCTACAAAACCCAAAAAATAAATTTGGGGGCATCGTAGCGTACTGTAGAATTTTCTAAGTAAATCCCAATCCGTACTCACACCTTCTCCGCAAACCAACTACCGCCTCTTGCCCCTGCTAAGAAACACCAAATATACGCGTTTTCCCAAAATGTCCAAGGCGCTGGTGTATTATAAATAGTGGCACACAACAGACAAATATTTTCTCATAATTCTCATATTTTAGCAACTTCTTTCTCAGCCTAATTCCCACATTTGTTTAGACATCTCTAGTTCCGTCCAACTATCAAGGTGAAAACGTGGTATCTGAACACACAGGCATGGTGAAGGACAAGTTCTATTTCTTATGTCTGCTTAGTATTTGGATTGAGATAGCGGAGGACAGGTACAACATAGATGCTCTTGATGCTTTATTTGCAGTTATAATGTCCACCTACCCATATGATGAATTGGCCATCAAATCTCTTGCAGCAGCCCTAAAATATGGCCCTGTTCCTGTTCCTGTTCCTCCTCAACTGAGCTCCTCACAGGCCTCCAATGGCACAGGCGGCTTCTATTTCGTCTTCAATAACGTTACTGGGAATACATTTCATGCTACCAATTCCAACAGGGTCGGAATTTTGGGTTCCTTCAACGAAGGCGCCAACCCCGAGGAAGGAAAACTTTATTGGTTTTGGTGGCAAAACTACAAAACTCAGCCCTATTGGCAGAAAGCGATCAAGTTCTTTCTTCTGCTAGCCCGCGAACTTATCTTCCTCTTAAGCCAGTCAGCAGGACTGCTTACGGTGCTTGTTTTACATACTTGTCTCTAGACGTCTGCCAATAGGACCATTCATTTTGTTGTTATTCGGATTATAGAGTTTATAATTGATTGATTGTCATGTTTTATTTATTTATTTATTTTATATTGTTATGTTGATAATGTATTTATTTCTTGCACTCGATTTCCCTGTGCAATTCTTTCTCAGCCAAATTCATACTTCTTTAGATTTAGACTTCTCTAGACTAATTTTGTCCAACTCTCAAACAGTTACAACTTTCCGCTTCTTCTCTGTCACTATGAGTAAGTGAGCCTTGAACTTCAATTCCATCCAAGCTTTTGAATTTGCACTCTTTATTTTTTTTGGTTCTTGCAAAAAAGGAGAGAGAGATATAATTCAGTGGAGAATGACTTTGATTTGCATGCCAATGTCTTAAGTTCGAACCTTCATGACACCTTGTCTATGAGAAAACCCCCATCTAACTTCGGCCCAAAAAGATTAAAAAAAAATAAATTTACACCGTTATAAAAAGGTGTAGCACGCCAGGCTTTAACTCTTCAAAAACAGAACTTGTATGTAAATGCTGTATTCAGTATGCACCGTCTGAGTTGGAAAATTGCATGCTTTTACGTGCGATTCTTAAAGAAGAATAAATATATGTGCTAGATTATATATTGGAAAGAAGGAGACGCTATCTCATAAGAACTCAAATCTTCTTGGTGATGGTGATGCAGAGATTTTGATCATCAACGACGTTGTTTTCTCTGAAGATAAAGTGCACTCCTCTGAATATTCTGCCAATTAGTTTTTGGTACGTTTTTATTTCCTCATCATCTTTTGAATTCACAGTATTAATTCATCCCTTTCTTATAGAAAAAACAAAAATATATTGAATGAAAACAAAACCCAAGTTTGGGAATTCTCTTTGTTAGACTCCCAACTTCTTCACTTGATTAATTACATTGGAGGGCTTCATGCCTTTTTATAGTTGTTCCTAACCGACATGGCCCAAGTTCCACTGACTTGTCTTCTATATTATTCTAGAAAATTCTGCTGTCTTGTAGAAATCTCTCTCAAATGTGCATTAATGTTTAACAGATAATAAGAAATCGTACAATGGATTATAAATATATATATATATATATCATAAAATTGAAGATGGGGGGAGGGGTGGTGTGTGTGTGTGTGTTTTTCCTCGAGAGTGCACATTACTACGCGTTGAAACCCGGATGCCACGTGAGGAGAAGGAGCAATGAGTTATCACCCTTACCTGGATATTATATTTTGACCAATAGGTTATCCTTTGGACCACACTGCACATTATATCTACGTCGTATTTCAAGAAACAGGAACAACCCAGATCTGGTCTGCTATATATTTATTAAAGTTTTGTTAACCGGAAGAGGTGGATCTGTGATGGAGGAGGAGGACAAGTGCCACTCAGCGCGGAAGCGGTTTCAAGAGGAGTTTGACCGTCGTAGATCGAGTGTGATGGAGGAGGACAAGTTGTACTTGGCGTTAAAGCGGGTTGCAGAGGAGTATGATGAGATTGAATCCAATCCCTCCGACGATTTCAAGTGCGGCCTGCTCGGGCGTAACATGTTTGAATGGCAATTTGCAGTCAGAGGCGCTATTGGATCTGAATTCGAGGGTGGGATTTATCATGGGCGGATCCAGTTTCCGGAGGATTACCCATCGAAGCCTCCGTCATTCATGTTTTTGACGGAAAATGGGCGCTTCAAAATAAAAACCAAGATCAGATTGAAATGGCGGCCATCATGGAGGGTGCGAGATGCTTTACTTGAACTTATTGATTTAATGTCCACCTACCCTGATGGTGAAATGGGTTCAGTAGAATACAATAAGGAAGAAAGGCGTGCCCTAGCCATCAAATCTCGTGCAGCACCCCCAAAATATGGCACTTGTGAACGTCAAAAGGTAATTGATGAGATTCATGAATATATGCTAAGCAAGGTACCCCCTATTCCTGTTCCTCCTCAACTGCATTCCCAAAATCATGGAGCCAAAAGAAAGCACGGCACAGGCGGCACAGGCAGCAGCGGCGGCGACAACGGCTCTGTCGTGAATGTTATTGGGAATACATTTCATGCTATCAATTCCAACGGAGTAGGATTTTTGGATTCTATGAATGAGGCCTTCAACCCCAAGAAAGCAAAACGGTGTTGGCTTTGGTGAAGAGAGCAAAACTGGACGACTATGTTTAGGATGCCAATTCTCCAGCCCAACACTTATGTTTTAGTCCACCGTTGGTTGTGTAGGTAAGAATAAGTAGTTAGGCTCAGTATGAGTTGCCCTCCAGGGATCCCATGTGGACACCTGGCTGGGTCAGTAAGTAGTTGGGCCTAAATCATTCGGTTTTTATTTTAATTTTGTTGTTGTCGAAATTCGGTTTTTATTAAGTTTAATCTATGGTGTTTATGTCGTTGATGAAGACCCACTGCATTTATATCTCTTTTTTGTTTGTACCTTTTGCCCTTGGAAATACATATAGTAAGAAACTTAAAATCCTGATTTAATGCATCTTTCACTTCTAATTCAAAATTTGAATTATGAACTTGTTAATTTACTAATTTCGTCATGTAACCCACCTATAGCAAGAAAGAAAAAAATTGTCAATAAATGATTGACTTGTTTTTAAAGTAAAATAATTTACCTTTATATATAGTAAATAGCGTACCATGTAACAATTTACCTATACAGTTAAATAACGAAGTTTGTAGAGTAGGGCTCTTCTTTTATTTTATTTTTATATAACCAAAATGCAAGTACAACATTCGAGTACAGAAGACAGATGAGGAAATATTTGAATATAAGCAGCTACATAAATATTCAGTAGCAAAAATGGCCTCTTGATTGCTGATATGTCCTCAAATTTCTGTTCCAAGCCTGTCGATGAGTCCAAAATTGGGATCATCTACGCTGGGGCCCAGAAAAATGTTATGATATATCAGATATATAAATGTGTGGATTGGTGTTTGAGGACTTGTTGGAGCAGAGCAGGTTTGAGTGAGACTGAGAAGAAGAACAAGAGGAAGGCTGATCTTTTGTACAACTCACGCCATTGATGAGAGCAATGTGGCCAGTTGAGAAGCCTGTTAGGTCATTTGATGAATGTGCCCTTTGTTAACGGGTGAAAATTGAATAGCCATACTATCGCAATCACAAGAGATAGAGTAGTTCACTCATAAAATTTCATTAAAACCTAAGACAGAACTTGCCAAAGTGCATGTTTTAGTCAAAGATATATAGATGATGGCTTAAAATACGACTTGGGAGTGTTGGAGGCGTCGAAAGAGAAAAAAATTGACCATTTGGGAATTTAGGACGAAACCTCCCTCCCATAGCGTCTGTTTTAGGTAACACTATGTCGAAGTGAAAGGCATTTATTGTTCAAATCAATGCCGATCATAAACTAAAGATGCTCGAGGAATGGCGTCTCTGGTATTGCAGTTTTCTTGACTTTTCTTTACTATAATCAGCAGTAATGAACATTTTCTGACGACTGAATTCGCTCTATTTGTACACCGGATTTTTTCCCCCATTTGTCCCTTTTGCTCAGGCATTTGCAGCGGTGATTACAGCTGCTCTTACAGGTTCTCTGTACCATGGTTAATTTTTTTTAAAAAGCTTTTGAAAGCTGCCTGCCTTCTCCCTGCTTTGAAAAAACAGCCGTCACTGACCGCAATTTAAAAATAAAATAAAATTGATTCTAGATGCTTACCAAACACCTTAGTTTTGAATTTTTATTTTTATTTTTAAAACTGCTTTTTCATCCTTGGTTTTGGTGGGCAGACTTGAGTAACTGCTTTTTCATCCTTAGTTTTGGCGGGCAGACTTGAGTAACCCTTATATAGCTATCACGTGTCTTATATTTTCAGACTTAAGTAACCCTTAGATAGCTATCACGTGTCTTATATTTTCGTTCTTATTAACTTATCTATCTCTGTTGTATTGAAGGAACCTGGCCTTACAGTAGTGAGGCAGAGAAGAATATACAGAGCCTATTTCCAATTCTGCCTGCCTTCATCTTTTGCCTTGCTTTTAGGGGAACCAACCCGTGCACCCATCATCGTCCGACGCACATCTAACAAAATCAAACGGCTGTAGTGTTGAAGCGGGGGATAGTAAAGCGGTGGATTTTTGAGTCGATTATAGAGAAGTTTACAAGGGCTGTACCCAATAACTCCGACGATTTCAAGAGCCGTATGCTGAGGTGGAACCCATCTGTATGGCTATTTGAAACCATGGGTGCAGCAGCCCCAAAATATGGCAATTCTGAATGTCAGAAGGTAGTTGATATGATTCCTGTTCCTCCTCAACAGGCCTCCAGAGAGCTTGAGCATTCCCAAAATGATGGAAACCACGGGGGCTCTGTCGTCAACAACATTATTATTAGTCAGAATACAATTTATGCTACCAATTCCAACAGGGTAGGAATTTCGCTTTCTACTTCTAGGAATGAGGTGGAAGCAATACGGAATATGGTTTTGGTAAATACTGTCTTTACTTTTTCGGTTTTGGTTTGTAATATTTCGGTTTTGTTCTGTATTTTTTTGGTTTTGAAAGAAAACCAAACGTCTGCGAAGACGACCTGAGGTGATCAAGTCTTAGTGTAAGCCTCTTTTGTGTTAGCTTCTCCTAATGGAAATTGCCGTTGAATATAAAAAAGGAGGAACATCTCCGGATGCAAGATATTACTATAAATTTTCAGGTCTTTGAATGTTTGAAAAGACCCTTAGATCCTTATGATTGTTTTAAACGTCGAAGTTGTGGATCAAATTATAGGTAAGCCATTCATTGAATAAAGCCTCACAGATCCTATAGAGAATATTAATACTTTGACGGCACAAACAGTGGTGGACCTCGGCTTTTTTTCCATCTGGGGGCATAAAAAATAATTTCATAACTGACTCCTACAAAATCTAGGTTTTCATAGCAATACGATATATATTATAACACATAATCGAAGTTGCAGCATATCAAGAGCATTAATTCTAAGCTCTTGATATGCTGCAAGGTGTTGTTAAGAACAACATATCTTTGTAAAAAATGTGGAACTGAAAGATGAAGATCATTGCTTAACAATTTACAGTAGAATATTACCGTACTAGTAAACAACCAAACGACACTCGATGAAGAGCAGGTAAGGAACAGCCACCATGACTCAAGTAGTTATGGTCATGAAACAGTGAACAATCGACTACTAGTCTAAAACAGCTAATTGTTGAAATTGGTTGCGTCAGAGCAATAGTATGTACTTCTGTTTAAACACCTTTTATTTTAAGAATCATCTTGGCGTTTTTCTCTTACAATAACTAATAAATTATAAAAGGAATATTTATAATATTTCTGCATTAAAAATGTTATGATATATACATGTGTGGATTGGTGTTTGAGGACTACTTGGCGCAGAGCAGGGTTGTTTGAGTGAGATTGAGAAAAGGCCTTCAAGGAGGCCTAGAAGTATTCTCAGCCCAAGCTGATCTGGTCCGGCAAGTCCGACAAGTACACAAAGATCCCAGCTTTTGAAGAATTGGAGCAGAGCCCAGACGCCAAGTTTTTGCATATATGCGCCAATGAAACCATCCACGGGGTTGAGTTCAAGACCTACCCAACTCCCAAAAATGGCCTCTTGATTGCTGATATGTCCTCAAATTTCTGCTCCAAACCGGTGGATGTGTCCAAGTTTGGGATCATCTATGCGGGAGCCCAGAAAAACGTGGGCCCATCCGGAGTGAATCTGATTGGCAATGCTCAAGAGATCACACCTGTGATGCTGGACTTCAAGATTCATGATGAGAACAAGTCTCTTTACAACACACCACCTTGCTATGGCATTTACATGTGTGGGTTGGTGTTTGAGGACTTGCTGGAGCAGGGTGGTTTGGGTGAGATTGAGAAGAAGAACAAGAGGAAGGCTGATCTTTTGTACAACGCCATTGATGAGAGCAAAGGGTTTTACAGGTGCCCAGTTGAGAAGTCTGTGAGGTCATTGATGAATGTGCCGGTTACTCTCGAGAAGCCGGAGTTGGAGGCTGAGTTTGTGAAGGAGGCAGCGAAAGAGACTATTGTTCAGCTCAAGGGACATAGGTCAGTGGGAGGGATGAGGGCTTCAATTTATAATGCCATGCCTTTGGCTGGGGTTGAGAAATTGGTTGCTTTCATGAAGGATTTCCAGGCTCAAGATTTAGTAGCATACATTACTGGTAGAGTTGTTAGCATCTTTGGTTTGTTGTGTTTGCTATATTTTTGTTGTTGAATGTGAGTGGACAACAGCAAGAAGTTTGTATGCATATGTTTATGAAATTCTTGTTGTGTGGGATGAAGTTAATGCCCTAACAAGTTTAGGAATTTAGGCCAATATCCTCTGTTTAAAACTTTGTTGTCATGAGCTGAGAGTAATGAATAATTCAATTCTGGGCTCTTCTTTCATATCAAGTTAAACCTCTCTACTTCTTGAGGCAATCGTGCTGTATCCAAGTAGAAAAATCTTTGGTATCCTGTCTGATACTTATTTAGTCATATAAAATTAGTAGGGAGACTGAATGTTTATTGAAAAAAAGGACCCATCATCATCATCTGCCTGAAAACCACCAGATGGTGAAATGGAAAATGAATGGTCCCCCAACTCAGAAATTGATTCACAACCATGGAACTCATCACTTCAATGGCAACGCGATGAATAGTAATAGAGTCAAAGACACAACCAGCTGCCTGCTGAGGCTTTACGTCAATATCAGTCACCTTTGCCAGTTCATCAGCAATTTCAATTTCGGATATGCTCAATTCATACACATTCTATAATTTACTACGACTTTCAAAAGGAATTTCCAAACAACTGAAATCAACCAAACCAAAACAACCAATTGTTGGCTAAAATGTACAACATCTAGGCTTCTTGATACCTTTGGCTATGCAGCCGATTCTCACTCCATCTCCTTAATTTCCTCCTGAGTTGAAACAAAAACATGTATCAGAACTGACCTAAAGAATAGTAGTAATCAAGATGAGGGATTACATAGAAAAACAGAGAAATAAGAGAGAGAGAGAAAAAAAATCCCCTTGGTTATATCAAGAAGTCCATTTCGGCCCGACCCGTCCCAGTGCGCCTTAGAAAGCCCAGCCCATTGATGAGCCCTTTGAACAATCTGTGGCTCTACAACTTGGTAATTTACTAATTTCGTCATGTAACAAGAAAAAAAAAATGTCAATAAATAATTGACCTTTTTTTATAGTAAAATAATAATAATAATTGACCTTTATATGTAGTAAATAACGTACAATGTAACAAAATAGCTATAGATATGGCAACGTGAACCGGAGTAGCATAGTCAAAAGACACAACCACCTCCCTGCTGAGGAGGCTTCTGCGTTCTTTCCAGGTTGCCAAGCTCAGCCTTGAACATAGGTCAAAAACACAAGTAGAACCAAACTCATTCGAGCCTATATCATTCTTACCTACAACATAAAATGTGAAACACCAAAGAGCCAACATCGTAAACAAACAACCATCTTACCATTCTTACCTACTAAATACAAGGCTACTCACTGGATTTACATTAAAAAAATTAGAAACGTGTTGGTTTTTCCTAATCGACCCCAGAACACTTGGCTTTCGATCTAATTTTCTTTTCTTTTTAATGTAATCGCCCATTTGGGTAGGATAAGCTTGATGAGAATGCAGTGCTGAGCAGTCATGGTCAAGTCTGTGGCGCAGTTACCAAAAATTTAATCTAAAAAAAATTGTTAAGAGTCCCCAAATTTCTTTAGGAACCCTCTTATCCGCTAATCAATGTATGGAGCCGCAATCGCGTCAGTATTCCAAAATTGTCCCAAATGTATATATAATTGTGAGACGAAAAGCGTAACTTACTTCCCCATTCATGCACGCAAGAACATCACGTGGCTCCAAAATAGCTATACATTTAAAACCACCGGTTAATTTATTTTTAAAGCAGCTTTTGACAGCTGCCTTCTCCCTGCTTTGAAAAAACGGCCGTCACTGACCGCAACTAGAAAAAAAAGCTGATTCTTGATGCTGACCAAACACTTTTAAAACTGCTTTTTCATCCGTAGTTTTGGTGGGCACACTCGAGTAACTCTTAGATAGCTACCACGTGTCTTATATTGTGATCCATATTAGCTTTTCCATAAAAAAATAAAAAAATCTTTGTTGTAACTTGTATTAAAGGAGCCCGGTGGCCTTACAGCAGTGAGGCAGAGAAGATTATACATTTCATATTTTCAATTCTGCGTTTCTTTTATCTTTTGCCTTTCTCTTACGGGAACCAACCCGTGCACCCATCATCGTCCGACGCAGATCTAACAAAATCAAATGGCTGTAGTGTTGAAGCGGGGGAGAGTGAAGCGGCGGATTTTTGATTCGATTATAGAGAACTTTACAAGGGCTGTACCCAATAACTCCGACGATTTCAAGAACCGTATGCTCAGGCGGAACCCATATGTATGGCTGTTTGAAACCACGGCTGCAGCAGCCCCAAAATATGGCAATTCTGAATGTCAGAAGGTACTTGATCCTGTTCCTCCTCAACAGGCCTCCAGAGAGCATTCCCAAAATGATGGAAAGCACGGGGGTTCGATGAATCGGCGGCCTGTAGGGTTGAAGCGGGGGAGAGTAAAGGGGTGGGATTTTTGAGTCCCTTATAGAGAAGTTTACAGGGGTTGTACCCAATAACTCCGACGATTTCAAGAGCTGTATGCTCAGGTGGAACCCATATGTATGGCTATTTGAAACCACGGCTGCAGCAGCCCCAAAATCTGGCAATTCTGAATGTCAGAAGGTAGATGACATGATTCCTGTTCCTCCTCAACAGGCCTCCAGAGAGCATGAGCATGATGGAAAGCACGGGGGCTCGATGAAGCGGGGGAGAGTAAAGCGGCAGATTTTTGAGTCGATGATAGAGAATTTTACAGGGGCTGTACCCAATAACTCCGACGATTTCAAGAGCTGTATGCTCAGGTGGAACCCATATGTATGGCTATTTGAAACCACGGGTGCAGCAGCCCCAGAATATGGCAATTCTGAATGTCAGGAGGTAGTTGATATGATTCCTGTTCCTCCTCAACAGGCCTCCAGAGAGCATGAGCATTCCCAAAATGATGGAAAGCACGGGGGCTCTGTCGTCAACACCATTATTACTGGCAATATAATTTACGCTAACAATTCCACCAAGGTAGGAATTTCGCTTTCTAATTCTATGAATGAGGTGAGAGAAATACGGAATCTGGTTTTGGTAAGTACTTGTTTGCTTTTGGTCTGTACTTGTTTGCTTTTGTTCAGTACTTTTTTGGTTTTGTTCAGTACTTTTTTGGTTTTGAAAGCAAAACAAAACGTCTGCAAAGACAACCAAGCGCGACGAACTGAGGTGATCAAGTGTTTAATGTAAACCTCTTTGGTGTTAGCTTCTCCTAATGGAAATTGCCGTTGGCAACATCTCCGGATGCAAGATACTACTATAAATTTTCAAGTCTTTGAAGGTTTGAAAAGCCCTTAGATCCTGATGATTGTTTTCACCTCGAAGTTGTGGATCAAATTGTAGGGAAGCCATTCATTGAATCAAGCCTCACAGATCCTATAGGGAATATTGATACTTTGACGGCACAAACCAAGACCATTGAGGTGATGTACCTCGATGATCCCCCATATATATGAATCATGATGGTTGCTGAGTCCGGCTGAAGACTTTAAATTAAGCGATTCTTGGGAGGCAACCCATGTATTGGATGCATGACGATGATGCGAGGATCTTGGCATTTGCAGCACTTCCTACTCGAGATTATATGCCCAGGGAGCTCTAACCCTTACTCTTTACTCTTTATTATACTATTTTAATTCTTTTCTCCCTTTGCTTGATTCATTGCATGTATTTTGATTCTTTTTACATTGAGGACAATGTTTCATTTAAGTTTGGGGGGAATGATTTAGCTTTATTGCTTGTTTTTGTGTTTTGAAAATTTCTAATGTCTGAAAATGCAGGGTTTCGTTTTGCTTAAAAACTGTTTTAATTGGTAACTGTGCTGACAATTTGGTCCGCATCTCGTTCTTCGCTTTTTCGTGCTGAATCTAACCATATAAAGAACGTGAAAATCGGATCAACAGTTTGAAAGTTATGAGCTAAAATTTGAACAGAGGTCGAAACTGCCAAAAACTGCATTTTGAAACTCTTTGCTTTCTTGGTTTGTTTGAGTCTTATTTTGTTTCTTTTGTGTTTTTAGGTATAGTTAAGTAGTTAAGTTGTTGTTTTAAAGTCACAAAACCCATAAAAATTCTAAAAATGTCAAAAATCCAAAAAGATTTCTTTTTTCCTTTTCTTGAGTCATTTTAGTTAAGCTTTCCACAAGTCAATGATAACACTTGAATTCTACTTGTTATATAGCTTTTGAGGATTGGTAATCATTTTGTGAATTTCAAGTGTGATTCTTTAGTTAACTTTCTCTTGCATGAATGTTCCCATATTTTTAATGCACATAGCCAATTTAATGCAATTTGCTTTTGACTTAGAGAATTATATGTGGATTTTAGTGTAGACTTGTATATTCTTTTCATGAGAGTTATATATTCTTTTCATGAGTGCAACTATCATTTACTAGAACTTGCTTCAATATCTTTCAAGGCTTTGTATTGATTCACATGATTCTATCTAGGAAGTGATTAAGGCACCTAGGGTCACCACCATGGCCAAACAAGGTTTTGTCCCTACTACATTATCCCTTAGATACCCCCTTTGAGCCTAAATAAGCCGTTTCTTTCATGAACCACGCTATCCTTAACCATAAACTTAAACACTTCAACCTACCTTGTTCTATGAAAAATTGGTGGAGCTTTAAGTTTGGGCGATTTGCACCTTACCTTGTGAGTATCAAAGTTGTTGTGAAAGGAAAAAAAATAGAAGCAAAGATGAGTCTGAGGTTGGTGTTTGTTATAAAAAATAAAATAATAAAATAAAATAAAAACCAAGAAAGAAAAAAATTTGTTTTGCTACCTCAATATTGTGAAAGATTGAAGAAGTTTGAGAAATATGTTGATCAAAATGAAGTTGAAGCCCAACAATGAAATTTGGCTTCCAAGGAAGTACATAATTGGTGATACCACACAAGATACAAGAGAATTTGCAATCCTTCATGGTCATCATGTGCTCTACTAATTCTCATAGAATATTTTTGTTTTCCATATCCTTTCTTTCTTTTAACCTTAACCCCTAACCTCATTACAACCGTAATTTAAGACCTTTTAATCCTAGAAATTGTGTGAATTTAATCTGTGGAGATGTGATATGAAGAGCAAGCTTATAGGATTTGATTTTGTTTTCATGCATTCATTTTATTGAGTGAAACACTTATTTGAGCGTTTTCGTCGTGAGTGACATTCTTGGTGAAGTTTGGAGTTGAAGCTTTGATTTGCATATACCTATCCGGGTTGAGTGAGTTGTATTGATATTGGCTATTTCACACACTACACTTGAGAATGTTATGTACAGTTTTGTTAACTTTTGAATCATGCTTGTGGTTTATATGATGCTTATTTGATTCTTTAGAGTTATATACCTTGCACGATTTAGTGAGACTAATATGTGGAGGCATAACACTCTTTTGAGTCTTTGTTTTGTTTTGTTTTGCATGAGGGCAAGCAAAGTCTAAGTTTGGAGGTATTTGATATAACCATTATTTCGTGCGTTTTTATTATCTCTCTCTTAGATTCTTGCTATGTTCTTGAGTGAGTTTAGTCCATTTTTACTTAGTTTTGTGTTTTACTAGGTTTTAAGAGTAAAGATGGAAAAGCAAGAAAAATGAGCATTTTTGGGATTGAAAGATGTTTCGCAAGAATGTCCTGTGCAGATCAGTCAACTTGACAGAATATACTGTACTTCCTCATAGCGAACCAGATGTTGAGCCTTATATTGTTGGAAATATACGGATGTTAGCTTTTTGTAGAATTTTGCAGTTTGTGATTTGGACGTGTGTGAAGAGAGTTGTGGCCATTTTAATACAAACAGTGCGGGCAGAATGTGTTCTGCAGGTTTTGCAAAATAATCCTTTTGAAGTTCAATCCTTGGAGTCTAATTTATGTCTATTGCATATGGGAAGTGTCTACAAGGATGCAAGGTTATTTTCTAAGGTTTGATCCTATGTTTGTGGGATTTTGGATGCCAACTCATCAAAGATAATTGAAGCCAAATTAGGAAAGCTTCATTACCAAGTCAAAAGAGGATTTGTTCCTTATTTAAAGAAGAGCACAAAATAGGGTTCGTGGCTGCTGGAGTTAAAGGAGAGTCAAAGAGCTGCTACCATCGTCAAGTTCTCGAGCTTCATCACAATCCATAAGTTTTATTTTATGTTTTCTAGTTTTTCAATTATGTTTTTTTTAAACATGAGTAATAAATTATTCTCTAGGGCAAGGATGACGCCCGAGCATGGATAATTATGATTTTTAATGTGATTTAATTGATTCTTAGTTTCTATTAGATGAATGTTTAATCACTATTTTAATTGTATGCTTCAACTTGACTGGTCAATTTGATGGCTGCAGATATTGGCATTGAAAAGTAAAGAACCAGCGGAATCTATCTACCTCAACAAAGAGACAGGGGGCTCTTGCAGCAACAGAAGTGAAAACAACTCAGATATCAAGTTGGACATTTCAAGAACGCCAGCTATCGACAGCCCTCAAGCTATCGACAGAACCCTCTTTTCATCCTCTCTAATAAGGCCTCGGAGTAGCACAGCTCTTTCAAAACACATCAAGGCCTGAAGTAATCCAATGCCAGAAGATTGATCAGATGGTCAAAGAACAAAGCTTGACCAACATGTTCTGTGGCCTTGATGATCAATCTGCAGGGTTTTGGCCATGGTTAGAAACACATCAATTCAATTGAGCCGAACCCACCGAAGTGTTAAATTCAGCCAAACCAAAATTACCATGTTTCTATATTGAGTTTTTAATTAAAATATTCCATGTTTTGGTACTTAGATTAAATATCAAGTTCAATTTTCAAGTAGGGGCTGGAAATCTTTATGGAAGAATCAATAAAGGGGTATGTCATATGTGTCTTTGAACTAGATACCATGTTTTCTAGAGGAGATGGGGAGGAATGTTTGCCTTACCAGATTGGTTAAACTTAATGGGATAAAAAAATCCAGAGGAATTGAATTACATTTGGTAGCTAGTGACTGAATGTTACAGCTCCTAGCATGGGCCATGAAATAAAAAAGGGATTCTCTCCTTCAGTTGTCTGTTTTTTTTCTTACTTTGGCATCATGCCTTTGTACTGTCTCAAAGATAAATGCTTGCAAGTGCCTTAACAGGCGCCAAGGGCATGGTATGAGGAAATAAACTCATATCTCATTGACTATGGATATACAAGGAGTTCTAGTGAAGCAACCCTTTATGTTTCAATTTACGTTGATGATATTGTGTATACAGGAAGTAGTGAAGAATTGATTGCTGAATTCAAGTATGAAATGATGAGAAGGTATGATATGATTGACTTGGGTCTTTTGTATCATTTTCTTGGTATGGTTGTGATTCAAACTGAAAAGAGCATTTTCATAAGTCAAAAGAAATATGTGTGTGACACTGTTGAGCAAGTTTGGCTTAAAGCAATGCAAGCCTGTTAGTACTCCTCTGGTGGCAAGTGAAAAACTTTGCAAAGATGATGGCAGTAAGCCTACTGATGAGAATGAATATGGGAAGATTGTGGGGAGCTTGCTGTACCTGACAGCCACAAGGCCAAATATACTGTTTGTAGCTAGATTTATGCATTGTCCTACCAAAAGCATTATGGAACAGCTAATAGGGTCTTGAGGTACATACAAGGAACTATGGGTGGCATTTTAAACCGAAAAACCGAAAAACAGCAAAAAACCAACCGAGAACTCGTGCTTGTTGAGGGCATCTTGGATGAGTTGCTTGAGCTCCTCAAAAGCCTTCTTCTGCGGCTCGGGAATCTCACCAACAACATAACTCTCTCCCCACCCCCGTTTGGTTTTTGCGGTTTTGCCGACACCGTCCGCATTTCTCGGTCAACCGCATTTTCTCGGACGGATGCGGTATCAAATATGTCAATACCGCAAAATCACGGTCAGTTTGCGGTTTCTCTGAAAATTTGCGGTATGGTAACCGCAACCACCCCTACAAGGAACTATCAATTATGGCATTGAATATTAGAAGGGAAAAGAGGTTGTATTAATTGGATATTGTGATAGTGACTGGAGTGGATATATTCTCCTTTGGCAATGGTGAGTCAAACAACATAGTGTTGCTCTCTCTACAGTTAAAGCTGAATATCTCAGTGCGAGTGAAGCTACTACTCAAGCCATATGGTTACGTTTTGTGCTAGAGGACTTTGGAGAATTGCAGACAGAAGCAACTCCACTGATGGTAGAAATCCCGTGTTTCATCAAAAGACAAAACACATCAATTGTAGGTATCATTTCATTCGTGAAGCTTTGCAAGAAGGAGTTAATAGATTTGAGATATTGCAAGTTTGAGGAGCAGGTAGTTGATATATTCACAAAAGCACTACCAAAGGATCGATACAACTATTTGAGATGATTGTATTTAGCTAGACAAGTGTAGGGCTTAGATTAGACCACATGATGTATGACTCATATGTCTTAGATTTGTGTCAAGTGTCAAGCTTATATTGCTGACACATTTGTAAGGCTGAGATACCACTTGTTGGGTTTTTATAGAATAAAAAAGTGATTTTATTTATTTAACAATAGATGAGTACAATATAGAGTACTAGGCTTATTGGCCTTCAATAACTAGAAACTGATTACTAGGCTTATTGGCCTTTTGGTTGACACTTGGACAGCTGTATAGTTTTCAACTTCTTACATCTTTATTCAACGTAACAAGCCTATATATGTAGGAGAGTCACCGACTTTGAATACAGCTATGTCGGTTTATTATACTACAATATCTTGATTATTTTATACTAAAACATGCTATTGATATCATGATATTTTGGAGTTACCGACTTTGTTGTTCATTTCTCAACTATTCTAGACTATTCTAGATTCAAATGTGCGTTACTTTTCAACACTCTTCTCAAAACTATGCTCTGATATAGAAATCTCAACACTGGCAGCAATCATGGGATGTGCGAGAAGCTTTACTTAATGCCCACTTACTCCGACGGTGAATTGGGTTCAGTAGAATACAATAAGGAAAAAAGGCGTGCCCTGGCCATCAAAAAACAACCCCTCCTGTTCCTCCTCTGAGCCCCTCCCACGGCGGCACAGGCGGTACAGGTGGCACAAGCGGCACAGGCGGCGGCTCCGTCTTCAACATTATTGGGAATGCATTTAATGCTATCAATTCCAACAGAGCAGGAATTTTGGATTCTATGAAGGAGGCCTTCAACGAAGGCGCCAACTCCACAGTTTTAGTGGCAAAACTAGACGTCTGCCAACAGGCCCGAGTTTTGTATTTGTACGCACCGTTGGTGGTGTAAGCGCAGGGTGTAGAGAAGAATAGGTTGTTAGGCTCCGTATGAGCTGCCCTGCGAGTCCAGGGATCTCATTTTTTTTCTTTTTTCTTTTTCTTTTTTACTTCAGCACCCACATGCCAAGAGTGAATGATGAACTGAGGTGATTAAGTCTGTAGCGTTGGCCTCTATTTTGGTCGCTTCTCCTAGTTGTTAATATAGTATTCTTCTTTCATATTAAATTCTACTTCTTAAACAATCGCGCTGTTTAAAAGACAAAATGCAAGTAGAGAAAAAAAAAAATATATATATATATATATATATTCTATGGGCAATAAGTAATATAACGTAATGGAGACCGAATTAAAATTTACAGTAGAAAAGGACCCGTTATCACCTTCTGTCAGCAAACAACCGGATGGTGAAATGCAAAATGGATGGTTCCAACTCACTACCATGGAAACAAAAATAACTCATCACTTCAATGACAAAAGATACGGCAACGTGAACAAGAGTAGGAGAGTCAAATACACAACCAGCTGCCTCCTGCGGCTCTACTATCCAACTACAATTGAGATTTAACCTGTGCCATTATCGGATTATGTGTCGCGTAAAACCGCACCTTCAAATTTCTGATAGGTACTCTTGTTCCAATATAATCTCCAAAATCACGCTGTTGTTACACTCTACAATAAATGGAGACGAGGGGGGAGCCCTGCAAAATGTTCACTCTATCTCTTCGTGACGTATAATGGCTCTGTAGTACTTTACATTTTCTGGACAGTGTTGGACTGCGTTGATAAACAATGGTTCGCTGTTACAAAAGAAAACAAGATTTACTATGACCGCACCCTCCACCTTTGAATCTGGAGGCAAGCAGTTGGTTAGCTGGAGCAGCTAGTTTCCGCGCAAAGAATTTTCCACAATCTCACTTCTGTGGTTATGAAAATGAGAATCTTGAGAAAAGAGAAGTCGCTGATCCTGAAGCATCATTCACTGGGCTAGGAGGAACATCTCCGGATGCTCGGTACGCTTGTTGACACTTCTGCATCTGCATTCATATACAAAGTGCATAAATTAGAGTGGAATTGACAATCTTGGAAAACCACAAGGGAAGTGTGATCGTTTCGGAACATCATAGACAACTAACTACAACTGCAGCATAGGATACAAGATAAGAATTTCACCTCGTCCGGACTAAATTGAAGAAGCATACCAACTACAGGTAATAGGGCCTCCACTTCACCTATTTGAGTAATAAAGCAATCAGACATTCCAATATCACTTGTATAACTTGTTTCACTAGGTAATCACCGTTAAATAAAATAGACAACTTTGATTGTTACATCAGTCTATAATAAAAATACCTGTTTCAAGAAGCTTTAAGATTACATTTTTCAGGTATGTCATATCTACGCCTTCCCTCTTCTGCATTCTTTCCATCTTACGAAGCTCAGCCTTCAACATAGATTCCTGCATATATGTCACAACATTCAAAAGATAAATATGTATCAATAAAAGCAAACAAAATTTTAGGAGAGATTTCACCTTACGTCAAACATCAGTCACCATTGCCAGTTCATCAGCAATTTCATTTTCAGATGTGCTCAATTCATACACATTCTATTATTTATTACAACTTTCAAAAGGAATTTCCAAACAACTGAAATCAATCAAGCAAAAGAACAGAGGCTAAAATCTGCAAAAATCCAGGCTTCTTGATACCTGTTGGCTATGCAGCCGATTCTCACGCTCCAGCTCCTCAATTTCCTCCTGAGTTGAAACAAAAACATGCATCAGAACTGACCTAAAGAACAGTAGTAATCAAGATGAGGGATTACACACCTGAAGCGCTAAAATGTGCCGCTGTGACTGTGCTAGTTCTTCCTCTCTTTGGGCTTGCTGCCTTGCCAAAATCTGAAATTCATATTAAAACAGCGTATGAACACATTTGGATGCACAGCATGAAAAGGTGAAAGCCAGTGTACAAGTCTGCAATAATAATAACTTGTACACTTGAACTCATAATAAGATCTTAAAGCCCCCAAGTAGCCTGATTACTATAAATATCAGCACTCTAGACCACCATTATACCATTAAGTTCATCACTACTAATGTTAAGCACCTAGACTAAATTTATCAAATCCAGTTGTCTTATTTTGAGATCACAACTATAAATCTCTTGCATAACCAGCCATAATATTATTACTCCGGGTACAATAACACAAGTTTTCCTTCTTTCTTTTTCTTGGCAAGACTAGAAAGTAAATATAACAATTAAAAGCAAACTGCAAAAAACAAGAAGCTCCCAGTTGGGTGTTACATGGCAAGAAAAATCTAGAGAGAATATAATTACCAGAATCTGCTGTTCTGCAGCAGAGTTGCTTATACTTGATGCGTCCTGTTTATACATGTCTGATTATACCAGTGTGAAGAAAAAGAAATGTTAGAACTCCACTAGGTACCCCAACAGGTAAAAAACACCATAGTTCCAGTAATAAATAAACCCTTCTTCTAACTGGAACAGATAATAAGAAATTGTACTCAGGATCCTCCTACCTGTGTTATAATTATCGTTATGATCAGCCTGAGGTTATATACCACAATGTCAGGACAAGGGATTACAAATATGGAAGAAAAAAATTTATCAGAAAATTGAAGTGTAAGGATAAAGTTTAGATGTGACTTAAGAAAAAGGAACATACTCGTGGTCTTGACTCTAATGACTGATGAAGTTTCTTGTTATCATCTACAAGTCTAGAAATTTCTCTGTCCTTCTCCTCAATCATTCTATCAGCAAGATCTCGAAATGAACTGTGCTCCTCCTAAAATGATGAATGCAATTAAGAGAAACCCAAAATGTAAACATTGGATAGGAGCAGAAAGAGAGAGATTAAAGCAAATTACCTTCAATTTTTTATACCGTAACTTGAGCTCTTCCAATTCTTTTTTTATATCTTCTCCAGAAGATGCTTCATTTTGAGCTCTCAGTGTGTCACATCTTACTGCAAAAATTATTATTTCAAGAATAACTCCATTCAAATTTTGAACAATAAGCATTGCCTATAACAAGCAATAAGACAAACATCAAAAGAGGGAAAAAACATCAAGAAACAATATATGTAATTAGATTAGCATGGAGATAGTACCCCGCCATGTTTCTTCCAAACTATTAAGGTTCACTTCCCATGCTTCTTTTGCTGATCGGTGATGATTATTAGCAGATTCAAGCATTGATTCTAAGCTCTTGATCTGCTGCAAGGCGTCATTAAGAGCAGCATCTCTGTAACAAGTATGGAACTGAAAGATCAAGATCATTACTTAACACTTTACAGTAGTATATTACCTAACTCGTAAACAACTAAACGATACTCCATGAAGAGTGGAAGGCTTTTAGACAACAAACAAGACCAAAGTACATTGGGGAAGGAACAGCCACCAAGACTCAAGTAATTACGGTCATGAAATGGTGAATAGTGGACTACAAGTCTAAAACAACTAATCGTTGAAATTGGTTGCATCAGAGCATTGAGCTTTTATGTACTTCTGGCTAAACACATGTTGGTGCCTTTTATTTTAAGAATCATCTTGCTGTTTTTCTCTTACAATTACTAATAAATTATAATTACTTTACCCTTTTATGAGGAAAATATGTCTATACCATTTCTGGATTAGGGAAATTTCGAAACCAATCCCAAATTTGGGCCCCCGGGCATCACTACAGCAGATTCAGCAACAAATTTACCTTTCTGCTATTTCTTTGTAATGATTAGCCAAGGCATTCTGAAGATCTTGAAGGGCCTTATCCCTTTCAGCACACACAAAAGATACTTCTTTTTCAGCCTCCTACAGAAAAAATATGTATAATATATAAGTAATTAATAAAGATTGGAAGATGCACGTCAGTTCAAGATTTTACGTCATGCTAAAAAGTAGGATTAATTGCAAGTACACACTTTTAGTGCTTCCTCAAGAGCTTTGACTTGTTCAGAGTCTTTAGCTCCAGCTAGCTCCGCATCCTTCTTCTGGAGAAGTGCATGAGCACGGCTTTTGTAAGAAGAAAACTCACGTTCAAGGCGGTTGATCTGCAGGATATAATCAGTAGAACATATGAGGACAGAAGACAGATCAATAAATATATGGATGTAAGCAACTAGAACTTCACTAAATTTAACCCCGTTGAGAAAAGGTGGGGATAATAAATTTAAACCTCCTCCTTGACAGATGCAAGTTCAGCATCTCTAGCATCAAGCATTCGTGTTTTTGCAGACACCTCTGATTCCAGCTGGCCTGCCCAATGGGTAAAGCATGTGACACTGATATAAATATAAATAATATATATATACATATACATAGCTAAACAGATGAAAATTCAGTAAGGAATATAAATATACTTCTCATTTTGGCTACTTCAATTTCAGCACATATCCGGTTGCTCTCAGCAATTTGAAGTTTCGTGTTCAGTGCCCGGGAGGCGGCTTCCCAGCTTTCCTTTTCTTTCTCCTGGAAGAATTATATATTTTTACGATATATCAAAATTAGAAGCAGCATATCCCAGAAGTACAGAAGCGGTAAAGTAACCAGGCAAGGATAATGGTGACATTGATTAGAGGCGCAAAAAAAAACCACTCTCGGTCGACAAAAGGGCATCAGATAAGGAACTACACATAATGGTCTGGCAAATAAGAGATCCTGGATGCCATAATTCATACATGCTCATGTTTCAAGTGAGTAAGGTCTCCTTTTAGAGTTTCCACAGCAGCTCTAAGCCTTGCTGCCTCACCCGTTGATGCTGCTTCCATCTCTGCAATCTTAGACTCTTTCTCTGCAACTAGCGTCTGGAGAATTACATTCACTAATTAGTCTGATCCATTTTCAAGTTACAGAAACAGTAGGTGACTAAACTATGCAATGGAGTAAAATTATTATCCCAAAAAGAAGCAAAGATATAAGATAACGCAACCACTAATCCACTTCTACTTTATTGTCTTCTCATTCTGATGCCAACTTTCCAGCCCCTTATATTTTAATGGACCTTATACCTTTCTTTTATTCCAATAGTAGGCTGCAATTGAGAGGAGCACAAGACTCAGGCTTCACATGACTTGACTTGTTATGGTTATCTATTTAAGGCACAGCCTAAGCTCGAACATGCTAATCAGTTCCTAGCATATTCATGAACAAGAAGGTTGAATTATTCCTAATCTAATTACGGGGCAAACAGTGATAGATATAAGTTTGTTGAAAAGGTTACAAAAGTATCTCAAATTTAGGGGTCTTGGTTATTCACTTAGTACTTAAAAGGACTTACTGTTGAATTTGTTGAGATTTCAAGTCCAACTCATGATTATTAGTGACGTATTGGGAGTGAAAATGTCTACTAATCAAGCTTGTAAACATGCCCATGCCCACTTACACATTAAGGAACTAAACTTGAAAATATACTGGAGCTCATTAATGTGCTGTATCAGCTCATGCTCAATCCAAAATTACAAAAACCAAATCAAAAGATTTCAAGCTAGCCCCAGATTAAGTTCAGCACTATCTTCTTCTTTTTTTTAAATGGAATTTCAAACCTATCTGTAAGTTGTTAAAAACGGAGTGAACATTATAATCAAAACTCTCACCTGCAGTGAAGAAATAGTTTCAGTTGCTTTATTTCTATCAGATGAAGCATCAGCAAGCTGGGCTTCCAAACTCTCCAAATTCTGAAGAAATCAGAGACAGTAATTAAAGCACAAATTTGTTGGTGAATGTAATAGCAGGGAAAGAAATACACCATCTTTTATTATAAACAAATAAGAATACTAAATTAGACATACAAATGCAAATACACCTTCTGATGTTTAGCAGAGAGTTCAGCCATTGAAGCTTGCCTTTTTTCATCAGCAGCCTGCAGCAACCCTCGCATGTCTTCCAACATCTGAAATAAATGCAAGTTAACATTAACATAGATATCCTTTTCTGTTTATTTCTTATTAGTAGATATCTCTTGTTAATGAATAATACAGAACCTCCCAAAGTATAAGCACAAGCAGTCATACATGTTCCTTCTCCAAAATTGTTTGTTGTAATGCCTCAATAGCAGTCTCCTTGGGTTGCAATTGGTGCCGTAATTCCTCAATGTTGTCTCGGAGTCTGAATGTCAAGAACATAGTTACAGTTAATATAATAAATGGCAAAAGCAGTTATGAGTCTCTCAACATATGCATAAATTGGTCATGGTAGTAAGTTAACTGAAGATTTACTTATTGTTTGCACTTCTTAGTTGTTGTCTCTCTGCATCAATTGCTTTCAGTGCATCATTTGCTTGTTGCCTTGTTCTATCCAGCTCTTGCTGCAATGCTGACTGTTGGGACAATGCTCGCTCAGAAGCTTCATTTACTTCACGAAATCGAGCCTCTAGGTCATCTTTTTCCTGAAGAAAAAAGACAATAGCCACCAGCTTCCGAACTTAATTTCCACTTAAAAGGGTTTTCCACTACGTATGTTGAACAATCCGGAAAGAAGTTACCTTTTGAACATCTTGAATACGCTGTTTTGCTCGTTTGTGAAGCCTGGTGAATTTCAAGTCGAGATCAGAATACTTCTCTTCCCGTTCTTTTATTTCTTGATCCAACTTCTGTTGAGCTACACAAAATGAACAGCAAACAGTGCAATACATTCAGATTACGAAAGATAAACTTACGATTTAAGATAATTGGACATTATCAGCTACATTTGCCCAACAGAAACAACAAATTTACCAATGCAGAGACATAATCTGACCTTCAGCGAGCTTTGCAGAGAGCTCTTGAGCTTTAGAATCTGCTTCCGAGTGTGCTTCTTGAAGATGCTTCAAAGCCACTTCAGCTGCAGCTCGTGTTTGTTTCTCTTCCAAAAGCTCCACATTCAACGATTCAATCATTTGACGCAGTTGCTCCACCTCTTCAGATTTACCGCCTTCCGTCTCACTCGGCTCTGTTTGTTGGAAATTCTGAAATCCTTCGAACTGAGACTTCAGGAATTCGTTCTGCAATTTGAGCTCCATGACCATCTGAACAAGCTGATCATGAGCATCGCTCGAGCCCGGGCCGCCATTCTCCAACGCAGGATCTCCATTGCCATTGCCTCCGTGCTTCTGCGGCTTTGATTTCTCTTCCATTTGAGCCTCAACCTCCGTCGACATTGTTAACGCTTGGTTTCAAGTTTCAACCTGAGAGAGACAAACGCGACAATCAAAACGGTGCGTATCAATGCTGTGTGGATCTCATCAGATCCCAAACCAAACAAACAGCGAAGCCAATTCAGTGAAATCAACGCTGCTGAAATTCTAAGCAACAACCAGAGACGGTACCGTTTTGGTAGATGGAGAATTGGAGATCTATCCAGAAAATTGAAATCCCGCCCTGGTGTTGCTCGGCTGGAGGTCTGAGTCTAACGCTTAGCCAAGCACACAGAAGAGAGTCGCAGACACAGGGAGGGACTGAGAATGGTAAACGTCGCCGTTTTTGACACGGGCGTGCATCTGCTGTTAGTCTATATCTCTGACGGTGGAGCGGGAGGACGTGGCCGATGCCTCCGTCATAAGAGCCGTAATTACTTAAATTTGAGAAGGGCTTTTTAGTAATAAAAGAATAGAGCCCAAATTACTCTTGCTCTCTTCCGCCCAAATTTGGGTGGGAATCTTAACGGAACTTTTCACGTGAAGCCCAAACTCTCAAAATTTGCAGGCCTAGAGCCCATATCTCTTATTAGGCCAGTGCTAGTGCTGGCTTTTCTTTTATTTTTTTTAAATTAATTAATTTTAAAGAACACATTCTTTTTTTTTCTTTTTTAGAGTACAAACTAAAGGGGAGGGGAATTTCACACACACACACACAAATAAGATGCCATGTGGTTTCGAACTTGAGATATATGATCCGTAAATCTAGGCCATTTTCCACATTCTTTAAAAAAAAAAATGAAAATTAAATAATTTTAAAGAACACATTCTTCTAAAAATATAAATTATGAATTTGGGTATGAAAATTAATTTTCGAGTGTGAATACAAAACTCATTATTTTCTGCTGGCTCCAGTGAACTTGAAGTAAATCATATCTGCTTCTAGCAAAAAGTATGCATTAAATATGAAAAGGAGTACATTGGTCACCCACCAACAGGCTCAAATAAAATGACCCAAAACTCCTATCAACTTTTTTTTTAAAATCTGATGCATTCAATATTTCAATGCAGTTCAGTTTGATTATAACTTACAAGAGCATAAAATGAAAAACTAAGGTGGATCCCCAACCAGCTTTAACTTCTCCCCATCTGATTCATGGGTTCATTCTTTCTGGGTCACGGCTACTTCTAAAGAAATTTGCTGCTGGTTCTTCTCCCAATTTGTTATGGGGGGTAGAAAGAGAAGAAATCAGGTACTAAGCTTAACATCTCCTGTTCTTTAAACAACTGGTATGAGAACCTCAACATCAGCATGGATAGCAGAGAGTGGACATGGTTAATGAAATTGTATAAGACAGGCTGATACAATAAGTCATTTTCCTCTCCAAACACCACAAACTGCCTTCACATTGGCAATTTAGTAGTGGCGGAGATCTACGCCTAGCTACATCTCTTAGGTGCTCCTATGAGTTCTTTCTGAACTGTGACCTCCTGAAAACAAGTAGCAGATCTTCAAGGACAAAGTTCAAATAAAGCTCTGGAAACAGTTTCTTGAGAAACATTTGGAATAAAAAAAATTACCAAAAAACACACACTAACCAGCAGATCTTGTATCTCTACATTGAACAGCTACATGTTCGAAAAACTCTTTGGAGGCATCTGCAGATTCACAACAAACCTAAATGTAAGACATGATAATATAATTGAACCAAGCAAAGACTAATCTTAATTTTAAAAAACAATATGAACAGAGGACATTCAACCCATGGTACTATAGAATGTGAAGTAGCCTGCCTGTAGCATATAACTTTACTTCAATCCCTAATGGATATGTGATTTCCTTACAACTTTCTGGTCTTAATCTCAATATCCTAGTTCTAAATCAAATGGATAAAACAAATGCAAGACCTCAGCGGAATGTGAACATTTTTTATTTGTAGGCCCTGCTCATATGACATACCATGCTTCATTGTTAACGAAGGATCTTTTTCATCTACATATCCAATCACCTTTGCTGGTATTCCTGCCACCATGCTTGAGAACCAGAGAAAGAAATGTCACTTTCCTAAGAGTACATATTCAAGAATCATTACTATACTGAAAATCAGGAGCTACTTTCTACCTGCGTGGAGGGACATCTTTCAACACAAGGGAACCAGCAGCTATCATTGCTCCTTGACCTATTTTTATATTCCCGAGTATTGTTGCACTGGCTCCAATTAGTGCACCATCACCTACTTTTGGGTGACGATCACCAATTTCCTTCCCAGTTCCCCCCAAAGTTACACCCTGTCAATAAAGTGCAGCACACGTAGTTCTTTGTCATCAACAATTACTTATCAGCACAACAGAAGCAAACCCATGAGTTGAAACAAAAGATAATTATGGAATGAACTTACATGCATCAATGAAACTCTGTTTCCTACAACAGCAGTTTCACCAATAACCACACCTGTACCATGATCCAGCAGTATTCCCTCTCCAATTTTTGCAGCTTTAGAAAAACCATCAAAGAGAAATTATATCAAATGTTAGTTTTACATTATAGCCAGAGGTCCTTCCCTATCTCCTATAGACACAAATTCTACAGAGAGCAATGGTTTCAACAAACAAATCAAGTGTTGTACACAAATCTTCAATTACTCTAGATTTGACCAAATCTTTCACTTGCTTGAACATGTTCTTTGTTCCATAAGCAAGTGCTAAAAACAATAAAAGAATTAACATGTTTATTTACTTGCTTTAATTATTTTTTATCATTTGGATTAAATTATGCTAATGAATGACACAATAGCAAGTGATCCAGTGATACTCTATGTCAATGAGAAGCACAATCTTTCGTGTTGGGAGGACCATGTCAGAAGTTTCCAAAATCACATCGATTATATGTTTAAAAGATTCCACAATTGTTCTTATAAAACTCAATATTATCATGTCTACCGATAGCAGTGCAGAAATGAAAATACCTGGGTGAATGTCCACTCCAAAGACCTAGGATAAAATGGTTATAAGATTAGAAGGAGAACAGAAAAGCACAAATCTGTAAAACAGGTAGTCATGGTCATCGAGCATCAACTGAAAAGGAAAATACCTCACTAATTCGGCTTTGTAATGCCAAGGCCAAAACCTTGCGTCCTTGACTCCACAATGAATGAGCTACTCGATGCACTTGCAAAGAATGGTAACCCTGCAAAAGTAAAGTCACAACATCACTTACGCACTCTTGTACATCTATAACAAGAGAGTGAAAGAAAACTGATAAGGAAACTAAGAGCAGAACACCTTAAGATACAATAGGGCAGAACAATAAGACAAGCAAGCTGGATCACGGTCTTTAAATGCCTGAGGAAACAAGTTCAAAAAAACAGAACACATTTTCCATCAGTTACGAGGCATAAACAAAGTCAAAACTATATTCTCAACACAAACTTTAAGTTACCTGCACGTCTAAGCGAACAGAACGTTGAATATCTCTATCATGCATTATCACATCATTAAATATATCCATCAGCTGGGTTGCCAAAAGAGTCGGGTTTTGCAGTCTATTGGCAAGAACAAAGCCCAACGCCTGCTCTAAACAATCATGCGCCAAGATGCTCGCATACAAGAAGCTACTCAAAATTGGCTCCTTTTCTGCCTGCAGTGTCAAAAACCATTAAAATCATTAGCCTCTGTAAAACCCACCAAAGAAAAAGATCGATGGGAATTTTGTTAACACTTGCAGCAAATTTTGTTGCCTAAAATAACTTAAAGCTTCATACTTCCTCACTTGCAAAACTTCCCGGACTTTTTCATTACCAAAAATACACTTATTCTGGTTGCTAAAAACAACTATTTTCAGCCATTTAACAAAAACTTTCAAAATTAAAAAAAATATATATTAATATTCAGAGCAGCAAACTTCAACTAAATAAAGAACCAGAAATCCCTCGTTAAAAAATTGCATTGTACCTCCAACTTGGCCTCTTCCCTGACGGCATCCCATATCGGGTCGCCCGAAACCGAAGCCCGGTTAACCGGGTCGGAGTCGGGTTTCGGAATCCCCAATGCGTACACAGGAAAAACCTTCTCTAACCGGTACGCGGTGGACTCGGACACGAAAAAGCTGGGCTGCTCGTCGTCGTGGCGGTCTTCTTCTCTCAGAGCCAAGCGTTCCGAGAGCATTTTGGGGAGCGCGACCCAGCTCTCATCACTGACGCAGGCCATGAGAGGTTGAAAATGAAGCTTCGCTAGCTAGGGATTTACTGAATCACAATCACTCGATTGGGAAAGAGAGCCTCATAAATAACGAGAAGCATAAGAGAGAGAGAGAGAGAAAAGGCGGTGGTGGTGGTATGGGTTCCTGTGTGTCGCAGAGTGTGGCTTTGGTGTGGTGGAGGTGACGAAACTGCTGCGTTTCGCTTCGCGTTTGTTTCCTTTTTTTCAATATTTTTGGCAGAAAATAGTCATGGCTGGGATGAAGATAGAGACGCGGCTGCGACTCTGCGAGCGATTTTGATAATCGTGATTTTCTTCGAATGGATGGTCCATATCATGAGTTGGGTTTTCTTCTCCTTTTTAAAGGCCTTTGGTTCTGATTTTGGTACCCTTTTTTTGCCTCCCCTGCTGTTTCGTCTATTTTATTGCGTAAAAATTCGTGTAATTATTATTATTATTATTTGTTATTATTGCTCAGGTTTATTTTATGTCATGATTAATTGAATGTTTTGGAAATGGAACAATGTTGTATACCCTTTGTTTATAATAAAATATTATCTATTAACTGTTGTATTTTTGTAAACCATGTGTTAACACCATGGTCATGATTCTTGAATAAACATAGTGAATCCATTTTTTCCTTTTAGTAGATGAGAGTCAACGCTGTGTGACAAATTATGTTATGTAAAGCTTTTTCTTATCAGGAGGAAATTGTGTTGGTAATCTAGCCGCAAATGGCTAGTAGTTTCAAAGGCCAGTACAAATACAAGGGTTATATGAATAACATCTAGACAATAAGGTGTTTTTCCAACCAAGTGGGGCTTGGATAAACCAAGCATCAATAACATTAAAGCATCATTAAAGCTCAACTCTTTAAAGTAGGAGATGCATCGATCTGAGGACATGATTGAACTTCAAGATAAATGAAACCCCAATGAGGAAAGGACTCGTTGAGACGAATATGATGACGCGGGAGATTCATCGAATCAACGACATGGTTGAACTTCAAGACAACTGAAAACCCAATAAGCGAAGAGCTTGTTGAGACGAATATAATGATAATTTTTTTACTGAAATCAGCAAATACAATAAGTCAATGATAAATTACTCTTGTCAATATATAGTTAAAAGTAGCTTAGCCTACTTGGCTTTAAATAGTAGTTTTGAGTCAATTCAATCTAATGCATGCAAATTTTTTGTTGGAAATTTTATCAACTTACTTATTCAAGGATTTTCTAACTTTAGGTATGAAAAGTTGAATACCACATATGTGTCACTTCCATACTACTCTTTCATTTGTAGGATTGCAAAATTTAGTTTAGTGACTTCAATTTGGAGAAATGATACGAGTTCACATTCACTTTAAGAAAATTTAAGTACTTTGTAGACCTGAAATACTTCTAATAACGTTTGGTAGAAATATTCCTAAATGATATATAAACTCATGGAGCTAACTCGGGTATATGAGTTAGATTTAAGTCGATCTCTCTCAACCCACTTAATTAACCTGATTGACTTGCGTCCTTGTTTAATTAGGACAAGCTACCTGCTCATCAGCTAATGCAATTAGGAAGACATCGTACGATCTTGTTAAGTGTACGTTTACTGCTTCAATAATGGAAGGAATGAGAGGGGGGTCATATGCATATTGTCTCTATCTTATGTATTCATTGATCAACAATGCTTTTCTAAAATTGATTGAGGTGGGTCGAACAACTTAAGACAAAATACGTCTATGACATATGTAACCCGATGGGACAGGCATGTTATCCAAGCATAGTGTGATTGGACATCTCCAATTGCAAACATGGTGTTATGATTTTTTATCTCATGTTCAAAATTTATGGTTCATGTAATTTATCCGGAATAGCTATTCGCATCGTATTCGAATACAATCTGTAACTGTTTGATTGATGAATAAATTTATCATGTTTTATTAGGTTATAGATTAATCAAAACTCGATACATTGTCTTCGTATTTTATGTAAATATTAAGATTAGCACAAACTTTTGGAGAGCACACCAATTTATTAAACCCTTTGATTATTACTTGTATGAAAAATCCATCCTAACCAATTAACCAAAGAAGCGTAATGAAATTTGAACATCAAAATTAGCATCGTTGCACGTTTGACTATAATTAATAGACATATGATACATTTGCTGCTAATGTATCATCTATTTGTCTTCCTAATTACAAATGAAGGGGCTAATCAATCTCTTAATAATCATAACCAGACTTGCTATAGCCTCATGGTTTGTGCTCCATCCAAAATGAGCACCGCAAGTGCGCATAGAAAAAGTGTCCTCCTTGGCCGCAAAGTCTGCAGAAGCTGACAAAGGAGATGAGTAAGGTGCAAGTGAGTTACTGTAGGCACGTGAAATGAAAGGCCACAGATGAAAAAAGCCACCCGTATGATAGGAGGATTTGATTGGGACATTTGAGATTGAATGTGGTCATGTACACGGCCAGAGACATTCCTCCATTCATTTTTGTATGACCCTTCCCTTCCCTCCCAACCCCAAGCCATGTTATATAACTAATCATTGCTCTTCCAATCATTCAGAATTTTATTCAAGACATTGGTATCTTTGGCATCTGGGATTATTATAAGAAGACAATGGCATCTTTGGCATCTGGGATTCATTATAAAAATACTCGTTAGCTGATGCACATCCGACTCACACTTTTTCCATTTGTTGGGTTGATGGGTTCATTTCTCCAACAATTGTATGCCAATGAAACAATATCCAGGGAGCAGTAAAAAGAAAAAAACAATAACTTTAGAGAGAGAGAGAGAGAGAGAGAATAAATGGAGGGTTCATATTATATTATTGTAAGTGGACAAATATTTTAGATTTCTATGACCAAGAAGAATCTCAACCTAGCTTGACCAAAATAGAACATAGGCAATGGTCCTGCCTTCAATTTAATATTTAAAACAAAAGTGAACTGCATAGCTTTCATGAAGAAAAAAAAACACTACTTTTACAGGTATATATAATATATGTAATGATTGGGGGTAGTGGTGAACAATTCTATGGTGCAAATTTGTTGAGCCATCTAGTAAATATGATGAAATTTGTAAGGTTTACTGCTAAAATATGAGAACTATGATAGAATATTTGTTTGTGGGAATTTTCTGTGTATTCTTCTCCTTGTAGGAGGTCATATTTATAATACAACGAAACCTGAATGGGTAAGTAAATAATAAATTCCTAAATCTATTTACAATAGGAAATCAAGAATTAAAGTAAATCAATTATAATTATAATAGGAATTCTTGGTGTGTAAGGAAAGTAAGTCAATATCCACAAGTCACGCCAACACTCCCCCTCACGTTGGTGCATAGATGTCGCCAATGCCCAACTGATCCAGTGAATTGTGGAATGCTTTACTGGAAATCGCCTTTGTCAAAATATCCGCCAATTGATCCTCGGATTTCACAAAAGGAAACTGAAACACTTTAGCCTCAAGCTTCTGTTTGATGAAGTGTCGATCCACCTCAACATGTTTAGTACGATCATGCTGAACCGGATTCTGTGCAATGGCTATAGCAGCCTTGTTGTCACAAAAGAGATTCATTGTAGATGTAGGTTTATACCCAAGTTCAGTAAGCAACTTTCTTAACCAAAGAAGTTCACAAATCCCTTTAGTCATGCCTCTGAACTCGGCTTCTGCACTGGATAAAGCTACTACATTCTGTTTCTTGCTTCTCCATGTCACCAAATTACCTCCCACGAATGTGAAGTAACCCGATGTGGATTTTCTATCTGTTACATTACCTGCCCAATCTGCATCTGAATAACCATCAATATTTAGATGACCATGCTTTGAGAACATAAGTCCTTTTCCAGGTGCAGACTTCAAATATCTAAGTATCCGAAGAACTGCATTCATGTGGTCTTCACTTGGAGAGTGCATAAATTGACTGACAACGCTCACTGCATAAGCAATGTCTGGTCGAGTATGTGACAAATAGATCAATCTTCCCACTAACCTTTGGTATCTTTCTTTGTTAGTTGGAACTTGATCCGGATATTCTCCAAGATGATGATTCTGAACAATAGGAGTGTCCGCAGGTTTGCAATCTAGCATTCCTGTGTCTGTCAACAAGTCCAAGACATATTTCCTTTGAGAGAGAAATATGCCTTGCTGCGATCGAGCCACCTCAATTCCCAAGAAATACTTGAGTCCACCTAGATCCTTCATTTCAAACTCTGTAGCCAGATAGTCTTGTAGCTGTGATATTTCCTGTTTATCATTCCCAGTAATAATCATATCATCAACATAAATTATTAATGCTGTTACCTTCCCTTTCCGATGTTTCAAGAACAGAGTATGATCGGAGTTGCACTGTTTGAAACCATTGTTCTTCATTGCCATGGTGAACCGTCCAAACCATGCACGTGGTGACTGTTTCAACCCATACAATGCTTTTCGTAACCTGCAAACTGTTCCAGTCTGAGTAGTATTATAACCAGGAGGAATGTCCATGTACACCTCCTCTGTGAGTTCGCCATGTAGAAAAGCATTCTTTACATCAAACTGGTGTAGTGGCCAATCCAAATTAGCTGCAAGGGACAATAAGACTCTGACGGTGTTTAACTTTGCAACTGGAGCAAAGGTTTCTTCATAGTCTATACCATAGGTTTGTGTGTACCCTTTTGCCACAAGTCTTGCCTTGTATCGCTCGATAGATCAATCTGCATTGTGTTTTATAGTAAACACCCATCTACATCCGATAGTCTTTTTTCCTCGTGGTATAGTCTCCAATGTCCAAGTCTGATTTTTCTCAAGAGCTTTCATCTCCTCTTTTATAGCTTGGACCCACTTAGGATCTTTCAATGCTTCAGAGACCTTGGTTGGAATATGGATAGCAGACAACTGATGCACAAAAGCCTTGAGTGGTTCAGACAGCTTCTCAGTGGATACATGATTTGCAATTGGATACTTGGATGTTTTGCCAATATCAGGTGAATAGCGGTTTGGTGGCTTCCCACGATTTTGCCTGAAAGGTAATTGATATCCAATAGTTTTATCCTCTAAATGCACAAGTCTAGTAGGAGTAGTTACCTCAAGGATATTCTCAGGAGATTGGTCTGTTGGTACTGTTGAGTTAGAGGGGGGTCTTCATCTTGTTGTTCTGTATTGTCTGTAGGTGTGAGACTCGAATCAGAAATATCTTCGTATGGATCAGGTGGGTCAGGTAATTGATCGCTATGAATGGGCGATTGGTCACTTTTCGGCATAGAGTAATCTTGTGCTCTAGACTCAGGATGATCAATCATTTCTGTACATAGGAGAATTTTTCGTTTTCCAAGTTGCTCAAATTCTGCTCTTCACTTCGTATCTCCCCCTGAAGCGTAGAATTGGATGATGGGTCATGGAAGAACAGCTCAGATTCTAGAAAGGTCACATCCAAAGTGACATAGGTACGTCGGGTAGGAGGGTGATAACAACGGTAGCCTTTCTGATGAGTGGCATAACCCACAAAAACACAACGAAGCGCACAGGGATCAAGTTTGCTACGTTGATTTTTGTGGAGATGAACGAAAGCCACACATCCAAAGATTCGGGGTGTGAGTACCAAAACAGAGGGCAGAGGTTTGTGTTGCGCAAGCACCTGTAAGGGAGTTTTAAAGGTCAATACACCAGAAGGCATGCGGTTGATTAGGTGAACTGCAGTGACAATAGCATCATCCCAGTGATGGCGAGGAACATGAGCTCCAATTAGAAGTGCTCGAGCGGTTTCAAGAAGATGTCGGTTCTTTCGTTCAGCAACACCATTTTGTTGCGGTGTCTGAGGACAAGTCGTCTCATGGATAATTCCATGTTGTTGGAAGTAAGTCTGAAAGTCATGATTGACAAATTCTCCACCATTGTCAGAGCGAAGAATTTGGATTTGAGCATTAAACTGAGTTTTAATCTGTTTGTGGAAGGACTGAAACCGGGAAAACACTTCATTTTTATTCTTCAGCAAATAAAGCCATGTCATCCGTGTACAATCATCTATGAACGTGACAAACCATCGAACACCAGAAGGAGCAGTGATAGGTGAAGGTCCCCAGACATCAGAGTGAATTAACGTAAATGGAGTAGTACACTTGTTCGTACTCAACGGGTAGGGCACACGGTGACTCTTGGCCAAAATACAAGTATCACATGTGAAGTCGGAGTCCTTGAAACCTGAGAATAAATCTGGTATAAGATGCTTCATATAACTAAAAGACGGATGTCCCAATCGACGGTGCCACAACCAGATCTGCTTTTGTTTGCTATCAAAGGGATGCGTCACACTGTTTGCCATGCCAGGACTGAAGTCATCGACATAATATAACCCCCCTCTCTTAGTACCACGACCAAGAATCTCCTTAGTGTGAATATCCTGAAGCAAACAAAAACTCGGGTAAATGAGTACACAACAATTCAATTGTTCAGTAAGCTGACTAACGGACAACAATTTAGTGGATAAAGATGGAACAAGTAAAGTATTAGACAGTGTGAGAGAGGATGAGAGTGCAACAGTGCCAGCTCCTGTAACAGGATAAGTAACACCATTGGCATTTGCAATACAGGTTCGTCGAGGTTGTGTAGTATTCAGAAAATCATCAGGATCAAACGTCATATGATCAGTTGCACCGGAATCAATTATCCAACTCTTGGAATCAATCTTAGCAGAAGTATGGAATCCATAACCAGTACCATTACTGGTTGTATTGCGTTGTCCTCGATCTTTAAGAGTAGCCCACCAATCGGGATAGCCATGCAATTTAAAAAAAGTCTCACGAGTGTGTCTTGGATCACCACAAAATTCGCAATCTGGTCCATGTGTCGGGGTCGTTAGTCGAGAAGTCATAATCTGTGCAGCGGAAGATGTATAGGATACAGGTTTTGTAGGAATTCGGATCGGGATCTGAGCCTGAGTCGGGGTCGGAGTCGGAGTCGAAGTCGGGATCGGGGTCTGAATCAAAGACAAATTCGGGGTCGGGGTCAGGGTCGAAGTCATCATCGAAGTGGGGGTCGAGGTCGTTGTCGGAGTCGGAGTCAGAGTCGAGGTCATCGTAGTCGTCATAGTCGGGGTCGTCAAAAGAGGATCCTGATTCAGGATTAGATTCGGGGCCAAAGTCTGCATCTGTAGGAGCTGAGCCATCTGGGCACTCAACTCGGATATGGTTGGTTGAGAAGGAGAGAAGGAGTCGGTGGTGCTACCTCCATAAGGGATGAAAAAATCACCAACCCCCATAGCGGTGGCGGGGGTGTGAAACTAGAGTCAGCAATTCCAAGATCGCCGCTCTGATACCATGCTAAAATATGAGAACTATGATAGAATATTTGTTTGTGGGAATTTTCTGTGTATTCTTCTCCTTGTAGGAGGTCATATTTATAATACAACGAAACCTGAATGGGTAAGTAAATAATAAATTCCTAAATCTATTTACAATAGGAAATCAAGAATTAAAGTAAATCAATTATAATTATAATAGGAATTCTTGGTGTGTAAGGAAAGTAAGTCAATATCCACAAGTCACGCCAATATTTACATCCTCACGTGTAAAGAATCTTGTATACGTGTTTATAAAGAATTGAGTTACTTCTTTATTGTCAATTAATTTTAAATAGAAAATTCAATTTTATTTAAAATGTAACGTGCATCTAGTGAAATTCTAATTGTTTATATACGGTTATAATCTTGAAAAACAACGGACTTATTTGACCATACTACAATATGAATTTGTTCACCTCTAAATCTGTTGTATGACATACAAACCCGCACGAACACGCCCTGATCAACATATTAAAAAGCTTTAAAGTGGAATGTCTTTATGTTTGTTAATCTCGTCGACCTTCTTTTTTTGGGTCAAACAAATAATCTCCGGAAAAAGGGCGCCTTTTTCCCGCGCACTGCTCTGCGGCTGCTTTTTATAATTGTGGGCTCTACATGCAGTCCAACCGTTCCCCACCGGGGCCCACCATTCATAGAGCCCTGGACGGTCCTTACCATTTCTGGCCCACCAAGCTTTTTATCACTTTCACTCAAACAATAAATTTTTTTAAAATAATAATAAATAAAAATAAAAAGTTAATGTTCTTGAGAATCTTCATATTCCAGTCAGTCTCTCTCTCTCTTCTGATTCGGCGTCTTTTCCCCGCAAATGTCTTCTCGGATCGCATAAGCGTAAACATCAACATCAAACCACCGGTCCCCCAAACAAGCCCTACTCTCCCGAAAAGTCCAAAATCCCAATCGGACCCTAACCGCCATGGCCCGAAGATCCGTACCAATCCTCCGCCACCTTCTCACCAAACCAACCACCCCAACCCTCGCCTCAGCCAACCCGACACGATCCGTCACCTACATGCCCCGACCCGGAGACGGCACCCCCCGCGCCGTAACCCTAATCCCCGGCGATGGCATCGGCCCCCTGGTGACCAACGCCGTCGAGCAGGTCATGGACGCAATGCACGCGCCGGTATACTTCGAGACCTTCGAAGTCCACGGCGACATGCCGAAGGTTCCAGACGAGGTGATCGAGTCGATCAAGAAGAACAAGGTGTGCTTGAAGGGAGGGCTCGCGACGCCCATGGGCGGCGGCGTGAGCTCGCTCAATTTGCAGCTGAGGAGAGAGCTCGATCTCTACGCTTCGCTCGTCAACTGCGTCAATCTGCCGGGCCTCGTCACCAAGCATGAGAACGTCGACATTGTCGTGATTAGGGAGAATACGGAGGGCGAGTACTCGGGGCTCGAGCATGAGGTTGTTCCTGGCGTCGTTGAAAGCCTTAAGGTATATCAATCAAATTCTGTTTGGGTTTTTAGATTTCTTAATGTTTGAATAATACTGTTTGGGTTTTTGTTGTTATTTGGTTTATTGTTTGATTATTGATGGGATTTTGTCGTTTTCTAGTTTAATCATGTGGAATTGAATTTGTTTAAGGTTAAGTACAGGGTAATCATATTCAGCACATGGTAATTAACTATGTTTAACATTCTGATTGCATTTATTAAAAAAAGTGAGAAAATGTGACACATGACACATGTTTGGCAATGGTCCTATGGTAGTGACTGAAATTATTCTCTCTTATAATTCATTGTTAAGATTGCACTGACTGACTTATGCGGTCCCACACTATGGGAACTATTGCATGTGACTGTTGTATATGACCTCCCTCTGTTCAACATGTACGTGGGACCCACTTTTAGATGGCACTGGGACCGACATGCGTGTCGTGACTCGTGAGAGTGAGGCCAAATGTGAGGATCACACGCAAGATATTCTCGAATGCATGGAAGATTCTGATATGTTCTTTGCAGGAAATGTTTGTTCTTCAATTGCAAGTGATGTAGTCCCATACTGTGTTGCGCTGTTGAAGTTTTTGGTGCTGTTAAGTGGTTGTATGTTGATTGAGTTTGTGATATTTTAGCATTCAATCTATAGAAAGTGATCTAGTTATTGTAGCAGGAGTATCACTTTGTTTGATGGGTTTCTTTTTCTGCTTTTCCCTTACATTTCTTGCAATTTGAAGGAATGTTTCTTGTTATCCTCTCCATATTGCATAGTGTTGGGGATATTTTTGTCACTTATACTTACTCTTTTGCTAGGTGATCACAAAGTTCTGTTCAGAGCGCATTGCTAAATATGCTTTTGAGTACGCTTACCTAAACAACAGAAAGAAGGTGACTGCTGTGCACAAAGCAAACATTATGAAGCTTGGAGATGGCCTGTTCTTAGAATCTTGTCGTGAGGTGGCCACAAAGTATCCTGGGATCGACTACAAGGAAATAATTGTGGACAACTGCTGCATGCAACTTGTTTCGAAGCCTGAGCAATTTGATGTCATGGTATGCCAATTACATTCAGTGAATCTGGTCGTTATAAGCAAATTGTTCATTTATTATTAGAAAAATGGAACCCCACATGGTAAAGATAGGCTATTACTGTACAGATTGGACAAAGAAAAGTATGCTGCATCTCTTACCATTATTGTGTGGGACAGTAGGACTGGACCTTCTGTTGAGCACTTTTGCGCAGCCTAGGATGCCTCAGAAATGATGAGGCATCTCTTATGAGGGTTAGAAGATTTCTGATTCTTTGATTCTGTCAGAGAAAAAACTATGGATTACCATGAATATTTCCTTGGTTAGGAAGTTAAATCCTTTTTGCTGCAATCTTTCTGTTAAGCAAAACCTAATTGTGTTGGAGCATTGTACCTTCTAGATTCTTGGGAAAAAATTATGCATGTTTTGAATTGTAGAAAGTAGGGGAGTTTGAGGAGATGAGTAAAATTAAAACCAGTGCAGTGTGAGTTTTCTTTCTCATCTCGAAAGATTGTTGCTTTTAGCAATTCTACTGGGTCGAACTATCTCAGTTTTTTGTTTCTATTTTATAAATCAAAGAGGCAAAGTGAGTTTTGTAGCTGAAGCAGGCTGATTTACATTTTGCAGGTTACACCAAATCTTTATGGTAATCTAGTTGCAAATACAGCGGCTGGTATTGCTGGAGGCACTGGTGTCATGCCAGGAGGTATATCAATTCAACTGTCTGATTTATATTCCATTCAAGGTCTTCTTTATAATACTGTCACCAATGCCCCTTTCAAATGAAAAATTATAGGTAAAAAGAAACCTGATCCATGTTTGAACAATGTGTTTCTTGTTGGAAATTAACAATGATGGTTCTGGTGTTTTGCCTGCAGGCAATGTTGGGGCTGATCATGCTATTTTCGAGCAAGGCGCTTCTGCAGGGAACGTGGGAAATCAGAAAATATTGGAGAAAAAGAAAGCAAACCCTGTGGCCCTGCTTCTCTCATCCGCCATGATGTTGAGACATCTGCAGTTTCCTTCCTTTGCTGATCGACTAGAAACTGCCGTGGCGCGAGTAATATTAGAGGGTAAATGCAGGACAAAAGACCTCGGAGGACAAAGCACCACCCAAGAGGTTGTTGATGGAGTCATTGCTGCCTTAGAATGACAGAGAAGAGAAGGTATTCTTGAGTTACTACTGTTCATCCAATAGAATTTTTGGATTTGGCAAGGGGGGAGTGTTTACCCGCCAGAAATTTTCCAACATTTTTAACATAATTCTTTGATTGCCTCTAGATATTATTCACAAATTTTGTTTCATAATAATTCTCAAAGATGAACAATACTGATCTGGTGTTTTTTTGATACAAAATCCTGATCAAGTTTATGCTCATTCCTATTCTGTTCAAAAACTTTACCAACACACTGGACCTTTTTTGATTGGGGTTCAATTGTGTACATTGAAAATTGAATTCATCATGAACCAGGAACAAAGGCTTTTGAACTTGTGCATACGCAGTCACAGCATCAATTTTTGAGTTTATAGAGAAGGGTTTCTGCAATGGGCTGGGTTGTAGTTGATATTCGGCCAAGTTTACGCCTGGGATTTTTGAGGAGGAGGCCAAAATGGGGCTGGGCTATAGTTGGACTGTGGCCTCTTGTTGTTGGGTTCACTAGGCTTGCTGCATCAAGTGTGCGGGTAAGGTGCTGGGCTAATAAGTATTTGAAGCCATGGGGCCAATAACAGAAAAGAAAAGGGAATTTCACTAAAACACCCAAAATGAGGTCTGAAATTATAAAAAAACCCAAGCACTATTTAAACATATAAACACACTCAAAACCCATCATTACACACACTCAAAACCCATTTATAAACACACCCAAAAAGTTGACTTTAGGGTTGATTTTGGGTGTGTTTCTATGTTTAAATAGTGCTTGGGTTTTTTTATAAATATATGTCTAGGATTGGGTTTATTTATAAATTTGTAAAAAGAAAATTGGCCTAACATTAAAACGTCCAACTGGTTCTCATAGCATAGCAATAATGCAATAATTGTTATTATTTATTTCTTTATTGAGAAAATGTAGTGATAAGATTGACTTCTATATCTAAAAAAGTATGAATTTTTTGTATGACCATATATCACAATAATATTCCAAGTATATCACCCACTTTCATGTTGAAAAGTTAAAATACATGATAATTTGTTTAAGTTTGGAATGCCGGCACGGTGACATTCCCGTTACATGTAAATTTTTCTCCAAACGAACTCATATTATATTATATGATGAAAGTCCATTTGTATTGCCAAGTTATTTATAAGTCCTTTCCGTTGAAAATAACCATATCCCGTGTCCATTAGCCAAATCCGGCCAAGCAGTCTTTATCAGCTATCTAGAGACTTTTAACTTAAAATCCACAGCACACGTCTTTTGCAAACAAGATAAGGTTCTCTTATAAAAAAAACAATCAAACAATATAAAATATAAATCCTTATCTAAAGTATCGATTAAGGGTGCATCTACCTTACACAATCCAATGAATGAATCAAATTAATTTATACCATAATAGAATAGGGTGAATTCGTGTAAGAAGAATCAAAATTAATCTATATTATAACAGAATAGGGTGAATCCATCATGCTTTCACGATTCATTAAATCAAAATTAACCTATATCATAATAGAATACGAATGAATCCATCCATCTAACGGCTACAATAATGTTGTTACCAAATCTAATGTTGCCTTGCCTAATGCCAGTCTAGCAAAATAAACATAAGTGGCAAGATTAGCATGGCGACTAACATGAAATTTACCCCTTGTAGTTATCTTGTCAGTGTCAGCTACCAGCCTAGGAATCGGTACTAACAAACCACTTCTTCTGACCAACTAATTTACCTGTAGACAATCCAATTATCCAATATTCATAGAGACACATAATTTTCGGAAATCTCCTTGTCATCTCCGTCAAGACCATGAACCACTTGGTCAAGAACTCGTTGGCTCGCTTGGCTTCTGCCATCAATCGTTCTCATTTTCGTCCTAGTGTTGCTTATTATTATCGTTTCTGCTCTCACTTCTCTGGGAATAATTTTGAGCCAGAGTCATGGAAATCTATGGAGGGCCTTGTTCGGTGCCCAGCCAACCATGTTCCTTTATCGCCAATAGTGTTCTTGGAGCGAGCTGCCAGGGCCTACACAGACAGGACCTCACTGGTCTATGGATGTCTGAAATATACCTGGGCTCAAACTCATGAACGCTGTCTGAAACTAGCTTCTGCTTTAACCCAGTTGGGAATTTCCCCTGGTGATGTGGTGAGTTGGTTTTTTTTGGCTTCTTTAATTCACTGCTTTCTGTGCTGCTTAATTGTTTCTTGTTTCTTCAGTTTTTCCCATTTCAGAATAATCATGTTTTCTTGACAGATACCTCGAAAATATACTTCAAATTTTGATTTAATTTCTTATCTATTATGTTAAATTATTAGTCAAAGAAGTTGCGGATGAAGCCTGTTTTCATGTTTGAGCATTTCCATTGTTGAACCAGGTTGCAACCTTGGCTCCCAATGTCCCAGCCATGTATGAGCTGCATTTTGCAGTTCCAATGGCAGGGGCAGTTCTTTGTACACTAAATGCACGCCTTGATTCAGCTATGATATCTGTCCTGCTGAGTCATTCCGAGGCGAAAATCGTCTTTGTAGACTACCAGTTACTTGAAATTGCCCAAGGAGCACTTGATCGTCTCACCCAAAAAACAGATACAAAACCACCTATTCTTGTTTTAATTGCTGACTATGATGGGTCATCTAGCACATCTCCCACCATATGCACTTCAAACACCTATGAATATGAAAGTCTTCTGGAAACTGGAAATTGTGGATTTGAGATAAGAAGGCCAAGGAGTGAATGGGATCCTATCAGTGTAAATTACACCTCCGGCACAACATCCAGGCCGAAAGGGGTTGTTTACAGTCACCGGGGCGCTTATCTTAATGCATTGTCTACGGTTCTGCTTCATGGAATAGGCTCAATGCCTGTTTATCTATGGACTGTGCCTATGTTTCACTGCAACGGGTGGTGCCTCACTTGGGGGGTGGCTGCTCAGGGTGGCACTAACATATGCCTCAGAAAAGTCAATCCAAAATACATATTTGACAACATAGTTCAATACAATGTCACACACATGGGAGGGGCACCAACTGTCTTGAACATGATTGTTAATTCACCGGTCAGTGACCAGAGGCCACTTCCTCGCAAGGTGGAAATAATGACGGGCGGTTCACCACCCCCCCCACAGATCCTTTTCAAGATGGAAGAACTGGGGTTTGGAGTAAATCACTTGTATGGTCTAACAGAAACTTATGGTCCAGGGACTTATTGCTCATGGAAACCAGAGTGGGATTCTCTGCCTTCCATTGAAAGATCAAAGCTTAAAGCTCGACAAGGGGTGCAGCATCTTGGTTTAGAAGAGGTTGACATAAAAGATCCTGTCACTATGGAAAGCGTAGCACCCGATGGTAAAACAGTGGGTGAGATTATGTTCAGGGGAAACACTGTCATGAGTGGTTATCTTAAAGACTTGAAAGCAACAAAGGAAGCTTTTAGAGGTGGATGGTTTCGAAGTGGGGATCTAGCTGTGAAACATCCTGATAACTACATCGAAGTGAAGGACCGGTTGAAAGATATAATCATATCTGGGGGAGAGAACATAAGTACAGTTGAGGTGGAAACAGTTTTTTTTAGCCATCCAGCAGTTCTTGAGGCTGCAGTTGTTGCACGCCCAGATAACCATTGGGGGCAGACTCCTTGTGCATTTGTGAAATTGAAGGAGGGATTTGATCATCTCAAAGCTCAAGACCTAATCGAATTCTGCCGGGATAACTTGCCTCATTATATGGCTCCCCGGACAGTAATTTTCGATGATATACCAAAAACTGCAACTGGAAAGATACAGAAATTTATTCTCAGAGAAAAAGCAAAGGCCTTGGGGAGCCTCTCTTGAACAAGCTGTGACAAGTGGAAGGTAACTTGTTGGCTCCTAATATTATAAGCAAGGAAAAAAATTAAATATACCAAGCTATACCATTGCATCTATCTATGCTTAAGGTTCTCTAATGAAGCTACACTACCATTGCATTTTTGTTGCAAATTATATCGAAAAACAGGAAATAGTACACACTATAGCACATGTAGTGGGATGTGCATGATGTTGATGGAGAGATCGAGGCGGATAATGTAGGGATAATTGGATTAACCTGGTTGATGGTACCATTTATTATTTAAATGTAAGTCAATTAACCTAAAGTTGGCAAAAAAAAAAAAAAAAAAAAAAAAAAAAAAAAAAGTTAAAGACTGCAAACGATGAAATAGATTTTAAGAGCTGTGGTAGGAATCTTGAAGATTTAATGAAACAAAATGATGTTTATGCCTCTCTCTCCTTTCAGCCGTTGCCTCCTAGGTTTTCGCCATGTTTGATGTCAATTTTAGTACTTTATACTTTATATATCCTTTTATTTTGCATGATTTTGGTATAAATTTATAATACAAACTAATTATAAAAAAAGAAAACGCCTAGTCACTTGCCTAAGCCCCGATTACTCCTCTAGGAGCTAGGCCCCAGCCTGCCGCCCGCCTACCACCTAGCCATTTTTCGAACATTGCTGCTACTAATATATATATATGGCATCATGTGCAGTGCAGGATATGGCCGGGCAGATGGCTATTGAACATCAGTTATCTGCTGAAGCAGGCTCCAAATTCAAATTGAAATCTTCTTTCTAGAGTACAGAAATGTGAAAACAGCTGACATTGGAGCTAATATATGATTATGTCTGTCCAGGTGAAGAAGGTAAACTACATTAAATTGCGTCCCTACAGTGTGGTAATAATTGAGTTCATTTTCCTTTTCGCTGTTGAAATTGAAAGTGCAATTTATAAGAGCCTTAAGAGCAAAAGTATTGTGTCATTCTAGCCTGCACTCTCAACCATAACAGGAATCTACAAATGGTATCACTCTCACTGTTCACCAGAATGTACCACTTAATTAACTCAAGGTGAAGATGACTCTGCTTTCAGATGTTGATAAGCTTTTGGTTCAGCAGAATAATCATCCCTGAAACCAGAAGGAAAAGTATAAAAAGTGAAAATGCAAATGCAAATGCAAAACTCTTGATGTAAATTCGAAAAGAATAACAGCCGCTTGTTTTCTTGATCATTTTCTTCCTCTTGAACTGTCATTTACTAAACCAGTTAGAAGTAGAAGAATTGGCTCTCCATTAGAAAATAAGTTGATTTCTGCAGATAGCCTGCTGTCACAATTAAACTTCCTTCAGGCTATAAAATTGAGTTGTACGACATGTCAAAAACATAGCATAAAAAATCTCTTTGGCCAACCTGCCCGAGAAAGCACCCAATCGTCATCATTGGTGACTTGAAACACATTGGTACCAAGTAGCTTCTACTTCTTGACTTATGCACTTGACATATGCAATCTTAGCTCTGATAGCTTCCACATCATCAAAACCAATCCAATTCAATCCTATGATGCAATAATTCACAGCATAAGTAGAAGCATTATACATTATGGGAGCTCCGTAGCTTCGAATCTACCAGTTGATGTACTTACAGCTCATGGAACCGTGTTTTGTCTCAGCTTTGCCGGCTGCAGGTGCCCCAATTCCATTATTGTCTTTGGGGTTCACAAGTGTCCACGCATATAGCCATGGTAAGGCAAACCCAAAACCAGTTTGCTAGCAGGAAATGAGTTGTTTAGCCATTGCTTTATACCATAGCTTTGTTTAGCAAAGCTGAGCCTTGAGATAATGAATCAATTAGATGGTATGTATTTACGTTCTAGTTTGTTCATCTGTGTGCGCTTAGGGTTGAGGAAAAATTTATGCCTTGTTTGTGTGTGTTGCATGTGTATAAAGAACAGAGTATAACTTATCCTATTAGGTGCCTTTTGTCATATTTCCTTAAATATGTAAAATATTGTCCAATATAGGTCCATACAATTTCTATTTCCTAGAGATATACTAATCATTCTATAAATCTGTGTGTAAAACCCAATTTCAAACTTAAATGACCAGTAGGATATAAGAGGTCGTAGTATTCCTATGTTTTTACATCCTTGCCATCAGACTTCATATTTTTTATATAATTTATTCCAAGCAATTCATTAACTGCCATAATTGTAATTAAAACTCCCTATTAATAGCATATCAATCACCCCATTTCTTTTGGTTGCCATTCCCTCTAACATATGGCCCCTTAAAATTGCAAAAAAAAAAAAATATAAATATACAATAATGTACATATGAAAAATATATATATAAATATATACGTATAAAAATATAGGTATATTATTTACAAAAAAAAATAACAAAAATAGGTCAAGTACTTTGTAATTCAAAATTTCTGTACATTTTTCATAAATTAAAAATAGGTACACAATAATTTATAGAAAATAGGTAGGTTGTATAATTGAAATTTATGCACATTTTTTTTATAAATTAAAAATAGGTACATTATTTAGAATAAAAAAATAAGTTCATTATACTAGGTAAATTGTTTTACTAGGTATACATTATTAGAGAAAAAAAAATAGGTACATTATTTTGAGAGAAAAATAGGCTCATTTAAAAAAAAAATTGTTTTCATAAAACAAACAATAAAAAGATGATCAAATTATTTTTCATAAAACAAGTAATAAAGAAAAAATAGGTTCATTAAAAAAAATGTTTTAAAAACAAAACAATAAATAGATTATCAAATTATTTTTCAACATAATTAGAATGTACAGTATTATTCATAAAACTATAATAAAAAAGAATACTTGTCGTATAATTCATAAAAAGAAAAACAACATTAATTCCTAAATTTAATTTTGAATTTGAATTATTAATACTTTAAATAGATTACTAGTCGTAATTCATAGAAGGAAAACACCATTAATTCAAAAATAGATTGCTAGTTGTAAAATAGATTACTAATACTTTAATGTGGAATTTAATATTTAATTTCAAATAAGTTTCTAAATTAGTTCCTACATCCATTACAACTATTTGGAGATATTTCCAAATTCAATGGGTGTCATTAGTTACACCCCCCATAACACATTATCTTATAAATAGGGGTAGTTTTGGAATCCAAAAAATATAATAAATCATATTTTAAGTTATATTAGGTAACTTGCTTAGTTGGATCCTAGTTATAGGGTATTATTTGAAAAAATTGGGTATTTTAAATAGAAAACTAAAGGAAAGGGTTGTAGGTGCTTTTAAATGAATTTTATGGGTCTAAGCTCAATTTACTATAAAATATTTAAATATTCATTCAACAAATGATAATTAAAACATAATTACTAATTAAAGTAATTAAAAAAAACTAAGATATTACTTAGTTACATATATTAAAGTAAAGAAGTTGGCCAAAAAACAAAACTAAAGAAACTAGTTATATATTTTTTAAATAAAATAAAAAAGCAACCAAAAAAAAAATCTACCAACCAAAATATATAGCCACGCTGCTATACAGGTTTTTTCTATTTTTTTTGTTTTTTAAGAAATAGTATGGTCCTGCGGCTTTAATTTGATTTTTTTTTCTACTTTTAAAAAAAAGAAATAGTATAGCCAAGTAGCAACACTCGTTTTATTTTTAAGGATAGTATAGCCGGGCGGCTATACTCAGTTTTTAATTTTAAAAAAGAATTTTTCAATTTTTATAAAAATAACTATACTCTGTTTTTAACCTTTTCTTACAGAAATCGTAAAGCCGGGCGGCTATACTCGGCTTTTTCCAATTTTTTGAAAGAAATAGTATAGCCGGTCGGCTATACTTTGTTTTTAATTTCTAAAAAGAAATAGTATAGACGATCGGCTTTACTCGGTTTTTTCAATTTTTTTAAAAAGAAATAGTATAGCCGCCTATACTCTTTTTTCTGATTTAAAAAAAATAAATAAATAGCCTTACAGCTATACTCAGTTTTTTAATTTTTAAAAATGGAATAGTATACCCAGCCGGCTATACTCGGTTTTTTCAACTTTTTTAAAAAAATCATATAGCCGTCCTGCTATACTCTTTTTTATTTTCCAAAAAAAAAAAGTATAGCCGACCGGCTATACCCGTGTTTTCCAATTTTTTAAAAGAAATTGTATAGCCGCACGGACCTTTTCACCACCCCCGCCACAGATTCTTTTCAAGATGGAAAAATTGGGGTTTGGAGTAAATCAATTGTATGGTCTAACAGAAACTTATGGCCAGGGACTTATTGCTCATGGAAACCAGAGTGGGATTCTCTGCCTTCCATTGAAAGATCAAAGCTTAAAGCTCGACAAGGGGTGCAGCATGTTGGTTTGGAAGAGGTTGACATAAAAGATCCTGTCACTACGGAAAGTGTAACACCTGATGGTAGTACAGTGGATGAGATTATGTTAAGGGGAAACACTGTTATGAGTGGTTATCTTAAAGCCTTGAAAGCAACAAAGGAAGCTTTAAGAGGTGGATGGTTGTGGAGCGGGGATCTAGCTGTGAAACATCCAGAAAATTACATCGATCGAAGTGAAGGACCGGTTGAAAGATATAATCATCTATGGGCGAGAGAACATAAGTACAGTTGAGGTGGAAACAGTTTTTTTTAGCCATCTAGCAGTTCTTGAGGCTGCAGTTGTTGCACGCCCAGATAACCATGGGGGTTACTCCTTGTGCATTTGTGAAATTGAAGGAGGGATTTGATCATCTGAATGCTAAAGACCTAATCGAATTCTGCTGAGATAATTTGCCTCATTATATGGCTCCCCGGACAGTAATTTTCGATGATATATCAAAAACTGCAACCAGAAAGATACAGAAATTTATTCTCAGAGAAAAATCAAAGGCCTTGGGGAGCCTCTCTAGAACAAGCTGTAACAAGTGCAATTGGAAGGTAACTTGTTGGCTCCTTATCTATAGTAAGAAAGGCAAATTTTAATAAACCAAGCTATACCATTGCATCTACGTATGCTTAAGGTTCTCTAATGAAGCTACATTGCATGTTTGTTGCAAATTATATCAAGGGAGCAGGAAATAGTACACCATAGCTCATGTAGTGGGATGTGCAGGATGTTGATGGACATCAAGGCGGATAATGTAGGGATTAACAATCGAACCGCAGTAGAGGTAATTTCCAATCTTGATCCCACTTGAAATGAGAAATAACTCAGGATCAGAATAGTGAGCAGTAGGTTCCCCATTCAAATTCACAGCCAACACACCAGCATTCTTCTCCATATGCGGTCTGCCTGCTGCATACTGCTTCACGATTGCCAGAACCTTTCGAATAAAAGGATATCTAAGTGCTAGATCCAAGTATGGTGTAACCTCCTGCCAATTTAGCATACAAAACGTCAATAAACCATGAAAAAAAATCCATCCTTGTTCCATTCAAAACAGAACAACTGATGTGATTTTTCAGAAAACAGAGAGAAAATGAAGATCACCGTGGCCAAAGCAATCCAGTACTGGCCTTCCCCATCATATCTGATATTATCAGGCATGCCTGGCAAATGGTCAATAAAATTTTCTACACTCCCTTTTTTACTGCCTTGTAGATGGTATTTTCTACACCTTCTCCTGCAATATTAACCATTTAAGGCAGTAAAAAACTTTGTCCATACTTCAAAAAAAAAAAAAAAAAAAAAAAAAAAAAGTTCTAAGAACTTACATGACAGTTTCACAGAAGACAACGAAGTTTTGATCTGGAGAGACTGCTACTCCGTTGGCAAAGTAGAGGTTGTGGACTAGAACTTTGGTCTCTTTGGTTGTTGGGTTGTAGCTCATCAATCTGCCATGGGGTCTGCCCCCTAAAATATCCGAGACGAAGTCTTTTAAGCTGTATTTGTGTGAAGCATCTGTGAAGTAAAGCATGCCATTTTGTGCTACATCTACGCAGTCTGTTAGCTTGAATTTTACACCCTCGGCCTCATCTGTTAACAGTTCTACTGTTCCGTCCTCACTTATCTTCAATAGCCCCTGATTGAAAAAAATAATAATAACTTAAAGAAAACAAAAAAACATATTGATATAATTATGAGGCCATCTCCCTCTTACAATATGCACATGAGATCAGGACCTACTTTTATGCATGTTGTGAAACTGTAGAAAACTTAGGTGACATGAAATGGACTACCTAGTTAATTCATAACAAGCGTTACATAAGACCCTACGAGTTTTGTCAGTGAGAAGCAAGTTCCTAACGAGTTTTGTTCATAAGACCCTACTCTCAGACAAATTCATGTCAAGTTATATGTCTAAGTAACGTGACAGTACTGATGGGTTACAAATGGCTCTCCATGCATACACCGTAGCAGCGGGACCTACGTGCATGTTGTATGAAACTAAAACCAACATGAGCATTGATTAATTTTAGTTAATAATTCATGGGTGACCAATTTTTGTACGGTTTTGTTTTCGTTCATAAAAAGTTTAGGGAGAGATTGACTATTCTCATCACCACCAGCCAGGCATATCCGCAACCTCGAATCAAAAGGATTTATGCATGGCACCCAACTATTAGTTGCTATCAGTATGAATTAATGTAGGAAATTACAGATCGAGCACCAATTTATATTAATGCATGGCAGCGAGACTCGAACACTGATGAGGCTACACACAATGCATTAACATTACCAACTCAACCAACCCTCATTGTTATGTTTTTGTTTTTTCGGGGGTAAGAATCCATGAATACTTGAACTTTGACCAAATATAAAACATGAACAAATTAAATATGCACTGATATTTAGGATCGAGCAAATTATAATTCATTCTTTAAGTAAACTCTAGAATAGACTAGAACACATAACTTCTAACCTATTTAGAATATATTAAATTCAATGTTGTCATATACAAAATCTTAAAATTTGGGGGTAGGAAATTAAAGAGGAGATAATTAAAGAGAAGATAATTAAAGAGAAGAGAAATTTTAGGTTATACATACATATGACTTACTTTTTGGGTGGGCATTGGTTTGTATGTTTCACATGGGTTGGCTTATTCTATATGGATTAGTCACAAAATAACTTTCACATTTAAAAAAAGCCAAATTTAAAAAAAAAATACAGAAAAACCTCTCAACTTTCAAACTAAAGATATGCAAATGTAAATGATTCATTAGGAAATATAAAAATAAATAAGGGTAATTTTGTCCATTTCAACTTCTTTTAAAAAATTTCTCTCTCCTTTTGCCTTTTCCAAAGTTAATCCATGTATATACTTGAACTTTGACCAAATAATAAACATGAACAAATTAAATATGCACTAATATAGGATCGAGTTGACCTTTTCTGTGTCAGCCACAAAGACCTCGTTCTTATGGCCGTGAGCGAGTCTAAGCGGCCTCCCACCGGTGAAAACCCAGTTCTCCACCACCGAGTCAGCAGCCGACTCGTTCAGCGTGACTCGCTTGACCCACCCGTCAGCACAACCTGTGTAAATCAGCCCCGACTTTGAGTCATAAGCCACGTCTTCGGGCGCCACCAAAGCTCCGGCACCCACAAACTCCGACCCTTTGAGCATGTGGGCGTTACGCGTTGGAGCAGCCGCGACTCGCTGAGTCAACTCATGGAGGGGTAGAGGAGCTGGGTCTAGCGAGTCGAGTTGGTAGATGAGCAGAGCTATTGCCAGTGGACCCAGAAGTGAGAAGATAAGAAAAGCTGAGGGCCATGATAATGAAGACGACGACGACGACGTTTTGGTTGTGAGAATGGGATGAGTGTGATGAGAGGGTTGGGTTGGGGAAGGCGAGTCGCTTGAACTTGAGTTGGACATTGTCAACTGAGTTAATAATGGTGATCAACTCGTCCCAGAAAATCGATGGAAGATATGAGATGAGAGGAGTGGTATATAATTTTCAACAGCTAACGTGGCTTCTTTACAAAACAACACGTGTTTCTTTCAACTTCTTCAACTCAAGTCTTTTGCTGGTTTTCTTTAACTTGAGTAAAGTTAAGAAGGAAGAGGACGAAGGCAGGCGCGGCCTTTGCTATACGTAATATTATTATAAGAAATAAATATAATATATAGGTTAAAATAGTAAAACGTTCTTCTTCCTCTCTCCGCCAGCTGGTTATCACCCTCTTTCTTTTTTTTGACTTCTTCTTTCTTCCTCTCTCCGGCTGTTTTTTCTGTCTTTCTTTTCTCCTCCTTATAATTTAGGAATTTTGGTGAAATAAAGACCACTTGTTTTCCACGATCCTCATATCAACTGAAGATAGACCTTCATTTTATTTCCATTTTGGCTGGCTTAGCATGGTATCTCTGGCCCTTTTTTTTTCCTTCCCATTTTTGCCTGACTTGGTGTGCACATTTTTTTGTAAAGAAGCCAAATATGAGTCTGCAGGGTTCACTGATTCGGACATGACCGTTTAATGTTGGATTGGTAGGTCTCCCCTCGTACGTAATACTTTCTACATTGTCTCCTATAACATACACAAACAAAAAAACAATCTAACATGTTACATTATCACGCTATCAATCTAGATTACGAGTTCAAACAACAGAACATTGTAAACTAACAACGTACATGGGGTTTCACAGAAGATTATGTGGCTTTGATCTGGCGAAACCACCAGTCCATTATCAAAGTAGAGATCGCGAACCAGCACTATGGTCTGTTTGGTTGCTGAGTCATAGCTCATGAATCTACCATAAGGCCAACCCTCCAAAATGTCCCAAACAAAGTGTTTTAAGTTGTACTTGTATGAAGCATCTGTGAAATAAATCGTACCATCCACAGCTACATCTACACCGTCTGTAATTCCAAATTTTACACATTCAGCAGGCCCTACCATAAATTTCATTTTATTATGCACAACTTGCATCCATACCCTACCTTATATAAGGTCAGTCCTTCTTAAGCAGATACATTATCTCAAAATAATGTTCAAGTTTTACACTGATTACATTATTAGTTTTTCCAGTTTCCAAAGATGTCACAAGTTTCTTTATTCATAATCTAAAAAATAAAAATAAAAATAGTCAATTTGGCTTACACCTTTCAAATTCAACTTACCTTACCTGCAACCCTACACTTTTTGTTCCTACAAATAATAACCAATTTTTATTAGTAAAAACCAATGATTAGGATCCAACTTATCAAGTTACCTTATTAAGTTCAATATCTGATTTATTATCATTTTTTGATGCCAAAATACCCCTATTTATATTTCAACCTGTAATGGGGTGGTGTTTTAATTTTTGATTGCCAAAATACCCTTACGTTTTTTCTAACTTTTTTAAAGAAATAATATAGGAGCTCGGCTATACTTGGTTGTTTCTAATTTTTTTAAAAGATATAGTCTAGCCGAACGGCTATACTCTGCTTTTCTATTTTTTTTAAAGACACGGCTATGCTCGGGTTTTTCCAATATTTCAAAAAAGATATAGTATAGCCGCCCTCGGCTATACTTTGTTTTTATTAATTTTTTTAAAAAAGGATATAGTATAGCCGCACGACTATACTCTGTTTTAACTATTTTTTTAAAAGGAAATAGTATAGCCGCGCGGCGATACCCTTTTAAAAAAAAATTTATTTAAAGAAATAGTATCTTCATTGACGCCATGTCAGTAATTTTAACAAATTTTTTGACAGAATTAACGGTAGGGGGCAAAGTAAGTGAGACACAAAACATTGGTCATGGGGGAAAAGTGGGTAATTTTAACTTTCAGAGGGCAAACTGAGATTTGATCATAGTTTCAGGGGGCACTACAATAAATAAGCGTTTGAAAAAAAAAACATAGTATAGCCGCACGGCTAGACGCTGTTTTAACTTTTTGTTTTATAAAAGAAATAGTATAGCCGGACGGCTATACTCTGTTTTTCATAATTTTTAAAAATTCATTCAAGAGATATTCAGCTTTACTCTCCTTAAATCATCAGACAAAACTTGCAGTACAAAGTAGTTCAGAGATCATTTGACACCAACCATAAATTGGCACATGCTTCATGCATGTTGATAAAGTACAGGAACATATATTTATAACTAATATAGAAATGTTAATAATGATTAGTAAACCGAAATTTACTAATGTTAAATATAATGAATAGGCCCATAAATAAAACCCTGTTGTAGCATTGCGGTGGCTTCAAATCATTTTGATAATAGCTTCTGAGAATTTTTCACAGATTTTCCAACTACAGAGAGGGCTTATCAACATTCCATAGATTTCTCTTATTTGGGATTTCTCTTATCTACTTGTAGCATGAGATGATGACAGATTACTTGGCATGACCCATTTCCAAGCAATGGCATTCTGAAAAGTAAATCATAACCTTACAGGAAAGGACTGACTGTCAACAATATTCTGAATCTGACAAGTAACCTAATAGTTCAGCATATTATTCACTACTTAGACAACTTAAAACAACATACCTCTAAAACTGACTTGATTTTAGCGAATTGATCAGCATCAAAAGATTTCTCATGTGCATATACGATCTGCAAGCAGAGTGTCGTGTGAAAAAATTTGTATTATACTTACCAAAAAACTTAGTCAACAACGCGCATAAGTTACTCTACCTGCTGGAACAGAGAGCGAGCAGCGGAAAGTAGAAAAAAAGGTAAATTTGCTCCTGGCAGAGAGCCGCGCCAAAGATTACATGATGCAACTCTAAGCTTCAGAAGAGCTCACAAAATAATCCTTGATGGCAGGTGTGCTTTGCCTAATTTGATGGAAAGAGAAAGAGAGAGGAACATCATACATGAAAGACACATCTATGGAGACAGGAAACATAGCAATCGACACAAAAAACAAACAAATGTAAAACCACCACAACAGACCAGGTGCCAAGAAGAAAACATTCAGTACTCATCTATGTTTTTTATCTTCAACTTCTTAAATTTTTTAGAGTCAGTAATACTGCCATACTATAGCTGCGCAGATATACTCGGTTTGTCTATTTTTATATATAAAGAAATAGCTATACTTTGCTTTTTTTCCAATTTTATTTAAAGAAATCGTATAGCCGGCCGGCTATACTATGTTATTTTTCCCAATTCTTATTCGCCTTGATTCAGCTATGTTATCTGTCCTGCTGCTGAGTCATTCCGCGGCGAGAATCGTCTTTGTAGACTACCAGTTACTTGAAATTGCCCAAGGAACACTTGATCTTCTCACCCAAAAGACAGATACAACACCACCTATTCTTGTTTTAATTGTTGTTTCTGAGGGGTCATCTGACACATCTCCCACCAGATGCACTTCAAACACCTATGAATATTAAAGTCTTCTGGAAACGGTAGATGGTGGATTTGAGATAAGAAGGCCAAGGAGTGAATGGGATCCTATCAGTGTAAATTATACCTCAGGCACAACATCCAGGCCCAAAGGGGTTGTTTACAGTCATCGGGGTGCTTATCTTAACGCGTTGTCTACGGTTCTGCTTCATGGAATAGGCTCAATGCCTGTTTATCTATGGACTGTGCCTATGTTTCACTGCAATGGGTGGTGCCTCACTTGTGGGGTGGCTGCTCAGGGTGGAACTAACATCTGCCTCAGGAAAGTCAATCCAGACAACATAGTTCAATACAATGTCACACACATGGGAGGGGCACCAACTGTCTTGAACATGATTGTTAATTCACCGGTCAGTGACTGGAGGCCACTTCCTCGCAAGGTGGAAATAATGACGGGTGGTTCACCACCCCCACCACAGATCCTTTTCAAGATGGAAGAATTGGGGTTTGGAGTAAATCACTTGTATGGTCTAACAGACACTCATGGTCCAGGGACTTATTGCTCATGGAAACCAGAATGGGTTCTCTGCCTTCCATTGAAAGATCAAAGCTTAAAGCTCGACAAGGGGTGCGGCATCTTGGTTTGGAAGAGGTTGACATAAAAGATCCTGTCACTATGGAAAGTGTAACACCTGATGGTAATACAGTGGATGAGATTATGTTAAGGGGAAACACTGTTATGAGTGGTTATCTTAAAGACTTGAAAGCAACAAAGGAAGCTTTAAGAGGTGGATGGTTGCGGAGCGGGGATCTAGCTGTGAAACATCCAGATAATTACATCGATCGAAGTGAAGGACCGGTTGAAAGATATAATCATATATGGGGGAGAGAACATAAGGACAGTTGAGGTGGAAATAGTTTTGTTTAGCCATCCAGCAGTTCTTAAGGCTGCAGTTGTTGCTGTTAGAATTTGGTATTTTGTTTGCTGGTTTTAGTGCCTGATTCACAGAAACCAATAGAACCAGTATATGCAACGTATGCAGAGGAGAGAAAACTCAGAGAGAATGAGAATGATTCAGTCTATTTTCTGTGTGTTGCATCAGAGCCAAAATCACACTATATGCATGACACAAGCTGCCAAAAAAAAACAGATCCTAAAAACTAGGACACAAGGACTCATCTCCAGCCATTCAAGGTCATTGGAGGCTATGATTCTTACACCTAGGATAGAAATTGTTACAGCATAAAGGACTAAGACAGCTAAGAATGACAGCTGTAGAGTTTCCCAAAATAGTAGGAAAACTAGCTGTTAGACATATCCTATAACAGCTATTACTATAAAAGGAAAGTTCTTCAGTTCCTTCGATTTCATCATCCTATTCATTGTCAATCTGCAGGATTAACATCTGCAGCTTGATTCAAAACTAGTATGCAGCTTAACTCTCAACAGCCTCTCCTAAGCTGCTTACTGGTTTAACTCCAAGCTTCAACCTCAAATAATTGAATCGATCTTTGGGCAGAGCTTTTGTAAAAATATCTGCCAACTGTTCTTCACTTCTGCAGAATTTTATATCAATCACCCCTTCTTGTAAAGCTTCCCTTATGAAATGATACCTTCGGTTTATGTGCCTTGTTTTCTGATGGAAAACAGGATTTTTGACCATTGATATTGCTGACATGTTGTCACAAAACAATGGTGTTGCATCAGATTGCATTTCACCAAAATCATCCAACACAAACCTTAGCCAGATAGCTTGAGCTGTTGCCTCAGCTGCTGAAACGTATTCAGCTTCTGCAGTTGACAATGCAACTGTGTTTTGCTTGACTGAAGCCCATGAAAAAACTCCACTACCAAAACTGAATGCATATCCAGATGTGCTTCTACTGTCATCTTCACTGCCAGCCCAATCAGAGTCACAAAAGCCAACCAGAACAGCATTATTATCCCTTGTAAATTCAATGCCATAGCTGAGAGTGCCTTGAATGTATCTAAGAACCCTTTTTGCAATTCCCATGTGCTTCTTTGTGGGGCTGTGCATGAATCTTGATAACAAACTGGCTGCAAACATTATATCAGGCCTGGTTGCAGTCAGATACAACAAGCTGCCAACAATTTTTTCTAAACAAACCTTCATCAGCCAAATCACTTCCATCAACTTTCTTTAATCTTTCACCAGTGGGTAGAGGAATTGTTACTGACTTACAATCCTCGAGACCAAATTTCACAAGCAAGGACTTTGCATACTTGCTTTGATGAATAAACACTCCATTTTCAGTTTGTAGAACTCCCATTCCCAAGAAATGATGTAGGAGTCCTAAATCAGTCATTTCATACTTTTGCATCATGTCCCTTTTAAACTCACTGAGCAAAGCATTACTGTTTCCAGTATAAACTATATCATCAACATATATAGAGACAATGATCAGTTTTCCTTCTTCATCAGTTCTGGTATATAAGGTGGCCTCACTGGTGCTTCTTTTAAAATTGCAGCTAGTTAGATAGGTGTCTATTTCACTGTACCAGGCTCTGGGAGCCTGCTTCAAACCATAGAGGGCCTTCTTTAATTTATAGACCTTATGACTTGCTGTTTTCACTTCAAACCCCTCTGGTTGCTCAGTATAAACCTCCTCCTCAAGTACTCCATTCAAGAAGGCTGACTTAACATCTAATTGAAACAACTTCCAACCCTTTTGTGCTGCAAGTGCAATCAAAGTTCTGATTGTATCTAACCTTGCCACTGGGGCAAAGGTTTCATTATAATCAATACCAGGTTTTTGAGCATACCCTTTAGCCACAAGCCTAGCCTTGTGTTTTTGAACTGTCCCATCAAGATTCAACTTGGTTTTGAACACCCATTTGACTCCTATGACTGGTTTATCTGTAGGCCTTTCCACTAGCTCCCAAGTTCCATTCTTTTCAATAGTTTCTATCTCAGCATCCATTGCTTCCTTCCATGCTTTGTCTTCAACAGCTTCATAATAAGTTTCAGGTTCAATAATGGTCATGTGACATCTTGCATAAATGTCCTCCAAACTTCTCAGCTTCACTGGTGTATTGCTTGGAGTTGACCCTTGACTGGTGCCACTGCCATTTCTCTCAGAGACATGTTCATCATCTGAGATTAATTGATTCAGATTTGGTGAATCAATGCTGTGAGTTTCATGAGAGGCTGTTTCTGTTTCAGCTATCTCAGAATTTCCATTTTCAAAAATGAGAGGCACAGAGACAGTTTCATCTTGCTTGCTTTCCCAATTCCAGGATTTGTTCTCATCAAAAACAACACTTCTAGAGAGTATAATCTTCTCAGTTTGAAGATTATAGACCCTGTAACCCTTCTCACAGCTGCCATAACCCATAAAAATTCCTTTGCTTGCTTTGTCATCAAACTTCTGTCTAAGGTTTGATGGAATGTGACTGTAACATATACTTCCAAACACTCTCAGGTGTTTTGCACCTGGTTTCCTTCCTGTGAAAGCTTCAAATGGAGTTTTGTCTGAAACTGAAGTAGTATAGCACCTGTTTTGCAGATACACAGCAGTACCAACTGCTTCAGCCCAGAACTTTACAGGGATTTTCTTCTCAGTCATCATTGATCTTGCCATTTCACAGATGGTTCTGTTTCTTCTCTCAGCAACCCCATTTTGCTGAGGTGAGTAGGCAATAGTCAGTTGCCTCTCCATGCCAAGATCACTGCAAAACTCAAGGAATTCATGTGAAGTGTACTCTCCACCTCTGTCACTTCTTAGTTTCTTTAAGTTGAATCCACTTTGTAGCTCAACAAATGCTTTGAACTTTTTGAACACACTTATCACACTTGACTTGTTTCTGAGAAAATATACCCAACACATTCTTGAATAGTCATCAATGAATGTGATGAAGTATCTATTTCCTCCAATGGACTCATTTTGCATTGGACCACATACATCCGTGTGTATCAACTCAAGTGGATGCTTAGCTCTCCAAGACTTCTCATTTTCAAATGGTTCTCTGTGGCTTTTACCATACACACAGCCTTCACATACTCCTTCTTTTTCTGAGAAATCAGGTAAGCCTAGCACCATTTGTGTTTGCTGCATTTTTTTCATGCTTGCAAAGTTCAAATGCCCCAATCTCCTATGCCAAACCCATGGATCTACTTGTACTGCTGCTTTCATTCCCATTGAGCAGATAGATTCCATAGACAATGGAAAGCATCTATTTCCAGCCATTGCTACTTTGGCAACAACATTATCAAGGCTGCTATCATCACATATTAATGCATAGTTTCCTCCAAATAGAATGTAGTACCCATGCTCCATCATTTGTCCTACACTCAACAAATTCTCATCCAGACCAGGGACTAACAGCACCTCATTTATATATCTTCTCCCTTTTCTTGTCTCAACTACTAGTGTCCCTTTTCCTGTGGCTTGAACAAGGTCACCAGTGCCCATTTTCACTTTGCAGGTTACTGACCTATCAAGATTGATCAACAAGGACTCTTGAGAGGTCATGTGATTGCTGCAAGCACTGTCGACAAACCACACAGACTTGCTTGATGCAATTGAGCTTGCATGACAAGCATAGAACATTGTTCCTGTGGTTACTTCTTCCTCTTTTGCACAGTTTGCAACTTGTTTACCACTTTCACAGTCCTTAGTTAAATGACCAAATCGACTGCACTTTCCACACTTGGGTTTTCCCTTATATCTGCATATACCAAAATGGTATTTCTGACACACTTGGCACTGTGGTTTCAAACCACCTTGACTACTACTCCCTTGCTTGTTTTGTGAATTGAAGCTGCTGTTCCAATTCCCTCTAGAGCCATTATTGTTGTTAAAATTTCCACCTTGAGACCAATTTGAGCCCTTTTTGTTTTGTCCTTGCCATTTTTGATTTTGCTTTCCCTGAGAACTTTTGTTAGCTCCAGAAGCTTGATCATTTCCAACTCTGAGACTGCTAAAAGCTTTCTCAGTTCCTGCCAATTTGTCCCTTTCATCATGCAAATCCTCTCTCTTATCATAAACCTTGACAGATGCAAGAATTTCTTCAACTCTAATAGTGTCAAGATCTCTGGTTTCTTCAATGATTGACACTATGGACTTGTACCTCCTACTTAGACTCATCAACAATTTTTGGACAATCCTTTTCTCTGTTACATCTTCTCCTAGAGATTTCAGGTTGTTTACAATTTCAAAAAAACGAGCCAAGTAGTCATCCAGAGATTCAACATCATTCATTCTCAAATATTCAAAGTCAGCTCTAATAGCTTGTAATTTCACAGCTCTTACCTTTTTATCTCCTCTGAACTCTCTTCTTAGAATTTCCCAAGCACCTTTTGCAGTCTTCTCATTTCTGATGCGAGGAAAGAGTTCATCTGTCAGTGCTCCTTGAATAAGACTCAAAGCCTTGGCATTTTTGATCTTATCTTCTCTGGAGATAGTAGGTGCTTCCACTGGGATTTGCTCAGCCTCACTCCCTTCATCTCCAGTGCCTTCAGAGCCTGCTTCCTGCTCAATAATCGGCTGTGGTTGTATTCCAATCTCCACTGCATCCCATAGGTCATATGCTATGAGGATAGTCTCCATTTTTACTGACCAAAAATCATAGTTTGAACCGTTGAACTGTGGAGTTCGTAAATCTCCACCTGCAGAACCTGAACCCACCATTTTGATGTGAGTCTCAATGAACCACACAATAAAAGAGCAACCTTTATCCCTTACAGAGATTTCAGGAAAAACCCCTTTCTCACAGCTCACGCCCCTTCTCTGAAATCAGACCAGAAGCTCTGATACCATGTTAGAATTTGGTATTTTGTTTGCTGGTTTTAGTGCCTGATTCACAGAAACCAATAGAACCAGTATATGCAACGTATGCAGAGGAGAGAAAACTCAGAGAGAATGAGAATGATTCAGTCTATTTTC